GGAGGGTGACGCGGATGCGCCCCGGGCCGCCAGACTGCACAAGGACGTCGAAGACGCCCGCACTAACGGCGCTGGAGGTAGAGGAGGAAGGCTGGAGAGACATCTCTCTCTCTCTCTCTCTCTCTCTGTGTGTGTGTGTGTGTGTGTGTGTGTGTGTGTGTGTGTGTGTGTGCAGGCGGGAGTATCTGTCACTGTCAGCACCGTACAAAAAGAGAAAAGAGCCAGGGAATGGTACAGTAGGGCTTAGAGAGTGAAGGATAAAGAAGAGAAGGTAAAGGAGGAGGGGAGACCTTATTATATACACCTCCCTACGCACCTGCCTACGCAAAGATCCCACACCATTCCGGCACAAAACCCCGCACGAAACAGTTTGTACACTGCTAAATCACTCACAAGGCAAGCGCACAAAGGCTAGACAACAATAGCCCAAAACGCTCTACACCATTCATAGAGCTATCCACATGGCGCAACTAGCCTATCTTAACGTACGGCATCACTGAGGCAAGTCCTAACAAATGGGGTGGAGTAAAGGCAGAATGTAATTAGATAGACCTACACAGGCAGAAGGGAGGTAACGCGTACGGAAGGCAACTCTTTGGACAAAAAGAAAAGTTGCCAGTGTCTGTACGCAGCAGCAGCGTCACAGTCTGGATACGAGCGATCGCGCACGAGCAGGATCACGTATCTCTGTCACATGATGCTTGTGCGCGAACCTCTGTGCGCGAACATCTAGATATCCCCCTTTTCCTCCGTACGGAGGAAAGACAAGAGCAATAGAACCAGAAACATGTTGCCCTCACCTTACCTACCTCGTACGCTGTGCACACCGTACACCACTCTTACTCCTGCTACTTAAGTGCTCATACCATAAGCAGCTAGCTGTCGGAGCCCATTCAACATTTTATGTATTAATTATAAAACTATTAACTAAGGTTTAAGCTTACTTAACTAGGCAGTAGTATTACTAGATAACTTTTATAAAAAAAAAAGCATAAAAGAAAGTATAGTATTTAAAGACATTATAAATATAAATTAGTAAGTTTCTAACTAGATATAAAAAAGCTTAATTATAATTATATTTTAGAATACGCTAGATATGCTTCTAATTTATAATTAAAATATACTTACACTGCTATTTATGTCTTCTACTTCTTATTATAGGGCTATTACCTTTTACATACTAGCTTTGTAGCTAAAAGTTAACCTTACATATATAAAAGTTAAGCTAGACATAAAAAAGTTAAGCTGGATATAAAAAAGTTAAAAGCTAACATAACACTTTCTACTTTTAAGCGAGTTTTTAGCGTGTATGAACTGTACGCACGCGAAACCTGCAATCCCACTCTTCTCTGTCTGGGATAAGCGCTCTCTGAATCCTGCATGACGGGACACATTGAGGACCTCCGAAACCACGCTTCTCGACATTCCTCGCCACTATTAGAATATTTAGCCTGATACCACCCCGATGAAATCGTCGACGCGTGCACGAAAATCAGTCGCATTTACCCTCAAGCCTCAGATTCAGACCATCGCACCAACAGCATGTGTACGCGCAGGCGAAGAGGTCCCCTGAACATGGACAAGAAGGTTTATGAAGGATTTAAGAGTGACGAAGTCACGGATGAGATGCTCGATGAAGCCGCGAAGCTCTTCTCCGAGAATTATGGCGTTTGGGGCGAACATGCGGCAGAGCGAATGGGAAAGTTTGCGAAAGCAGGTAGGTATTCCGTGTCACAAGTTGTGCTACTAAACTGACCATCGCGATTAGGTCGTCCCATTCGGCTAAGCAAAGAAAGGCTTCAAAACAAATATCTCCCCAGCAAAATCTCTTCATATGTTAGAGTCACCGTTAACGGTCATCTCGCTGGTAACGCGTTCGCCTGTCGATGGTCTGTTGATGGCAGGACTATTTGCTGGATCACTCAGTTAGTCGTTCACCGCGACTACCGTGAACGTGGACTTGCTGCTGGACTTCTCGACGAGGTCAGACTAGATGGGGACGATGTTTACGGTGTTATGAGCTCCCATCCAGCTGCTTGTCTAGCTGCGTCAAGAGCATACAAGAGTGAGTGCATGCCACCGTCCTTGAATCTGATTACTCACCTCCACCAGGGCCGATCGATACTGCCTCACTCGAGTTCATGAAAGACAACGCACAATCGATAATAAAAGCCTCGCCAGTAGGTTATGTTCGGGATGCTAAGCTACAGGGTAAGCTTTTTGGTTCTGAAGATACTAGTGGTCTTGTGTCTAGTGTTGATACTGGATTCTTCGTCGACCATGAAGAGCCACTTGAAGCATTAGCATGGGTGCGGGAGTCGATGGACTGGCCTTTGGGTGAACTTTTAGATGGCCATGAATTTATTCTTATTCTGCAAGCAAGGCGTCGTTCTCGGTCTAGGTCTAATTCATTGCGCCGGAATGCTACGTCTTGAGCCCAAGTGGTCCGAGCTGCAAATGCCATATGAACGAAGGGGCAATGTCACGTTTTTTAACTAATGAAATTGAATGGAGGTAATTCTATCGAATTGGTTTCTGACCCCTGCAGTAAAGTACGGTGACCGCGATTTCGATAGAGCCTGCTACGAAATCGGAATCTGGATTCTTCTCTCCTGGCTCAGGGACACTGCTGGGCGCCTTGGAATCATCAAAAGCAGGGCTCTTATGGAAGTTCAGAATTTTTCATACCAAGAAGTTTGCCGTCTTGCCTTCAAACATGTTATGACACTTTCCATGGATTTCCACAGCAACAAAGATTCCGCAGAGATCATTAGAGCTGTTGAACAAGGCAATTCAATCAATGACCTTGCAAAATTATTCCTCCTCAAAATACCTCCCGTTGTCGTTGACCTTGTCGTGGCTGTGTGCTATGTTACATCTCTATTCGATGAGTATGTAGCCTTCACGACCCTCATTGTCGGCATTTCATACGTGTGTATTACGATCAAGCTCACGAACTGGACACAGCTTCGCCGGCGAGCCTACAAAGAGACATCCCGGGCTGAGAGCAACGTAGTGAATGAGTCTCTTAGGAACTGACAGACGGTTTTGTACTTCAACCAGGTTGAATCAGAGAAAGATCGTTACTCCAGAGCTGTTCAGGACTCGCTCAATGCTAAACGGGCGTACCGAAACTGGATGAATTCGGGAAATGCAGTTGAGGCACTAATCATGTTCCTGAGTTTACTCAGCGCCTCACTCCTCGCGATACGAAAAATTTCCTCTGGGGATGCCTCAACTGGCGATTTTGTCACCCTTGGATCTTTCTGGGCAACGATGACGTACCCTCTTGAGATGATAGCATGGCCCCACTCTAACATGACATCAATTTTCATCGACGCAGAACGCCTGTTACAGTTGCTCCGCACGAAACCGTCAGTTTCAGATCAACCGAACTCATACGAACTCGAAGTATCCACCGGGAAGATTGAGTTCTGTAACGCTGAGTTTTCCTATAGTTCAACAGGGAAGAAAATTCTCAATGGTATCAACTTTGAGGCGACACCCGGTAAGACGGTTGCCTTCGTTGGTAAGACGGGAGCCGGAAAATCGACCTTACTCAAACTGATCTGCCGTTTCTACGATGTAACGGGTGGATCTATCTTGATTGATAATCAAGATCTACGCGACGTTACTCTTAGAAGCTTACGGAATGTTCTCGGTGTCGTTCCTCAAGATCCTTGCCTTTTCAATCAAACAATTCTCGAGAATGTTCGGTACTCAAGACCTGGCGCAACAGATGAGGAAGTCATTGATGCATGCAAAGACGCGGCGCTTCATGGAAATGTCATGTCCCGTCCTGACGGCTACAATACCAAAGTCGGGGAACGAGGCGTAAAGCTTTCCGGCGGCGAACTTCAACGCGTGGCTATTGCACGGCTACTAGTGAGGAAGTCAAAGATTGTCATCCTTGACGAGGCAATAAGTGCTATGGACTCATCAACAGAGGCGCAAGTTCAGGAGGTGTTCCAGATGCTTCGATCTGGACGAACGATGTTTTTTGTAGCCCACCGGCTATCCACCATCATGGATGCGGATTTGATTCTCTTTATCAAAGATGGCGATATTGTTGAAAGAGGCACACACCAGGAGTTAATTAGAAGGAAAGGAGAGTACTTTCAGCTCTTGAAGCGTCAGAATGGGCGGAAAGAACAGAGGTAGAATGGTTAACAAGAACATAATCACCCACCTTTGCCGTGTGATCTAGATACATACAAAGACAAACATTTCTATGTAGACACCTAGAATCCGAACTTTTCAAGCGTCGATCCACCACGTTCGGGCAAGTCGTCGGAGACTTGATCGAGCGCGCGAGAATACTCTTCAAGCGAGCCAGATGGTTCCCTGATTGCTAGTTTATTGACCCATGCTGAAGCAGAGAATCTAGTCTTCTAGTCCGCGAGGAGCAATTAGTTACAAAGACTACGCATATCAACAGACCTTGCAAAATCCTGCACTGTTTGACGCAGACGCTGTTGCTGTGTGGCCATTTTTGACAGATGCAAGTTGCAGTGAAGGGATAGACGTTCATACGATCACGTATCAGCAGCTAGTCTACGCATATTCCACTTTGACTATCTTCAAATACTATGTGGCAGGGGCTCTGTACAGCGACTCTCGAAATATGTTCAAATGGCAATGTACAAGCATTCCCGCAACTGACTGGAACCTTACCACTACTCAGAGTTCTGTACAGTACATATCTGCTTGTAATTAACGTATTTACTGCGCCTCATGGTGTACCGGGTGTCTGCGCTAGGGCGGCGCCCTGCCGAATTACTGGGTTTTAGGGGAGTCCAGTTTTGGGATCCTGCAAAGACTGCGAAGACCGCTTAGAACACATGGCCTAATAGATGATAGTTGCAGTTAGCTATGCTCTGTGTAAACGCGGTGCTCCAGGTGTTATAGCTTGGCCTATCTGGAGCGTTTATAGTGAAGCTGGTTCGCTCTTTCTTTCTTGACTAGGACATCTGGTTCTCTCTTCTTCCTCTTCCTGGATGGCATTCCCCCATACATAGGGATTCACTTATTATACTCAGAGCTTCACTATCATAATGGTTGTGACACTAACTGTGCGTGAGCAAGAGTTTCTTGCAAGCAGTATTGCAACTATTGCAGCTATAGATCTATTAAAGGTCAAGAACAAAACTATAGAAGACAACTCTAGCAAGCAGTACAAAGCCAACAAGAACAGGCAGGGCCGTCAGTGGGGACTGTAAGTTCCGCGCCACCTGTTATACTATAACCTTAGTGGAGCTAATCTTTACAGGTTTAAGATGGGTTGTCCAGATGTAAGATTAGAGAGCACTAAAGACCTTAAAGACTTTATGCTCTTAATTAGGACTAGTATAAAGGGCAAAAAAGGAGATAATTACTACTTTAAACGCTAGAATAGAAAGGGTAATAGTTGTAACTAAAAGAGACAACTTACTGCAGTTTACAATTTAGTCTAGAACGCTTAGAACAACTTCTGCGCATGGTGTGCAGACAACAGGCACCTAATCTCCCCTAGAAATAAGGAACACATAACAAAGGTAAGACATGCACTAAGTACGCTAATATGCTCTTAATATTAATCTTGTCTAGTACAATAAGCGATTCCTTAAGAAGGCACTACACCTACAACTCTACGCAAGAGAATTAAAGTTCTCTGGCAAGTTTCACTACAGGGTCCTAAGTGTTTATTAGTGGAGACAAAGTCATGTTGTACACGCTAAACTAAGGGTGAGGTTTGTTTAGCATTATATAACTACTACAAATTTCTACAGCGCGGGTAGGATTAGCAAGTTTGCCAAGTCTGACAGAAGAGAGGACCCTAAAGAAGACTTAAAAGATGATGCTAAACGTGACTTAAGAGGATTACATTTCTAGGTAACTACTTAGCATAGCGTTTTTAGAATATTAGCTAATAATTATATTTAGGATGTATGCATGTTGCAATGTTTAACAAGGAGAAGAGGAAGACAGAGCTTTGTATCAGACTTACAAAAGATAAGAAAGGCAAGGGCGACAACCTACAGGACAGGTGATTCCTAGTTGTGTTCTCACGCGCTCTAATACTAACTGCTAACTTAGAGGCCACTGTACATTCTATAAAGACCTTAAAAGCCCTTTTTACTAAAACAACTTTCTTTTTTCTTTAAGCATGTTGCTTGCTAGAATGCCTTTTTAAGATTATTATTCTTTAGATAGGAAGAAGCTCCTGCAAAAACTCCTAAATATTAACATTAAAGAAGAGCAAAGGTTTGCTTAGATACACTAGAAGAATAAATTTCTTAATAAGAACTTCTTTAAATGTGCAGCTAATAATTCTAGTAAAGTTAAGAAAGCAAGTGCAGTCTATTATAGACATAATAAGGACTGTTACAGTGCAGGAATAGCTAATCCTCTAAACTTCCACAACATTGTGACGGCGTGTACCGCCTCACATGCTCTGCGGCATCAGCTCCCTCGCTTGCGCAACGAGTAGCACGCTAGTGCTACGAGTAGCGCCTTGGCAGGGGGCACACATGTATATTTAAACTCGCAGAGCAGCTCCTCTGCTCCTTAGTTTAATCTAGTTGAGTTACACCACCTCTTGCTTGTAGCTTGAGCATGCCGACCGTGACAAACATTAGAAGATTTAGGATTAATAAAGCTTATAAGTTAAAAACACATTCTGTCTATCCTTCTAGCTGCTAATATAAGATTAAAGATAAAGACTACTTAAAGTCCTCTTAAATGCGTCTTAGAGGTTACATAAAGGCTAGAATGTTCTTTAGGCACTATTAACCTAGAGAAACAATTAATAGCGCTACTAATTTCCTTAGACTAGAACAACAAGAAGACGTTCTTAAGATTAGCTAGCAGTTAAACATCCCTTATATTCCTAATCTCCTATAGTCTTTGCTAGCAGAAAAACTCTACAAGCTTTAACAAAGTTAAGCATATAAAGATTTACTAGAGTAGATAGAGAGTAAAACATTTAACTAAAAACTAAGTAAGCTAAAACAGCAGGTTAAATTACTAAAATAAAAGGAGTTAAAATAGCTGCAAACTAAGCAGAACTTTAGCAATGCGCTTAGTTACAAACATAAAATTTATGTTCTTAGCTAAGAGGCTTTATCCAGAGATGAATCTTTTTAAAGAGGTTAAGTTAAGAAGCGATATAGGCATACAAACTATCTTAGACTTAGTTGCCTACTACCTTTAGCCTAGGGAAGTTATGTTCTGGCCTAGCTTAGAGCCTTGTGCTCTTACTTAAAAAAGCAAGCATATAACTAGAGACATATATACAAATGTTATTAAACTTCTTAGTCTTGTATTTACAGATTGCTAAGTTTTACTTCTTATGCAACATCTAGATCTACAGCAAGGAAGGCTGAGAAAATTATTGTTAATCCTATATTAACAACCTAGAAATTTTTCCTGTATAGATTAATCTACTAATATATAGTAGAGTTTTAGCAGCTGCAGGATTTTGTGAGTGCTGCTTAATTAACCCTTAATTGCCTGCCTCACAGCAGATGCGTTAATAGACATGGCGCCACACATAGGCTAAACATTATATGGAACACTTTAGCAATCCTTGCGTTAGGAAAAGGTGTTGCTATAGGTTATTTAGCTTTGTTCTGGAATTTAAATTCCACCTGTATAACTATCACAGCGTCCAAATACCTAACCTTTGGAGTGTTGTGGAGGAGGGCAACAAGAGCGTACAAACTCCGAATCTACGCACTCCCAATCTCCGCGCACCACAGGTGGTTCCAAAAGAAGAGGAGAAGGACAATGTGAAATTCCAGTTTCATAACTTCACAGTTAATACAATGGCCATGGAATTAACAGAGCGACAAGGCTCGTCCTCGAGGGGGATCTCTGTCGCACGTGTCTCACGCGATATCATACCCATGTACTGCACTATTCACTCATTAGGCATAGCTCCTCTCTCGTACAGTATATAGTCAGCCCAGAGCTCTATCGAGCTCCTCAGACCTTACAATCCACTCGTTCAATCCACTTTGTTTGGATCTCACTACCTTGTCGACTCGCTTCCCATATGACCCCTCCTCAGCTCATGCAAGAATCTCACCCAAAGCGGAAATCAGCAGCTCATCTCAAAACGAGTTGACAAGCAACTTCAATGTCGATTTTGTTGGTTGTGGACCATCACCTAAACCAGAACATTTTAGCAAGCTTGTACTAAAAGCTGAACCGCTTGAGGAAAGCTTTCTCACTCGATCAAAAACTTTAGAGGATCTATATTTAATCAAAGATGGCAATCCTATGGATATTGATCTCGAGGCTGAAGAGGCCACTTCCGGGCCGTACTATTCAAGTCAAAACACGACAAAAACAGACAACTCTGAGATGGAGGTTTCGCCCCGAGCCATCCTGAGCCCGGAGTGCAACTTCATCAACATTAATGATCTTCTAAGTGCTTCCACTACCGGATATGTGTTGTCTCTGCCTTTGAATGGAATCAAAGAAGAGGCACTTGAGACCATAGGTCTGACAGGTATAGGTGAGACAGGTGTGAAAAACCTTTGTTTTATTGGAACTAATGGAGGCAGATGACCAAGAAGACAGTGACTCCTAAAGAGCCTATTAGAATGACTCTAGTTATGTTTCCCCTGGAAGTCTAATTTCTCAAGGCTTTAGTACTTTTGCCAATCATAGTGAGTATATGAAATTCTAGTATTTCCAGTCAGTTGGTTTAACAGCCCGTATAGGCGACTGTGTCGAAGAGAGAAGGGATGGAGAGAAGAACGGAATTGGTCTGTCAAAGTCATCAATAATCCAATTCCCCGTAACCTCGCTCTTTCTACCCCAGCCCATCCAGGTCAGGCTCGGTAGGTGAGTGCCAACATGTATTCCAGGCGTGACCCACTAGGCAGCACAATGGCCTGCGGCACGGTCCGGGTTGTAGGACGGGCGCATCGCCGCCTTGCCAGCCCCCTCACATAAGGCCAATCGCCTTGCGATCTTTCTCACATTATCAAACACGTTCCCGTAGCCGCGCGGCTGCGCCCCAATTGGACGGTTCAGAGTGAAACCACTGCTCTGAGTGTAGATTCTCCTTGATGGCGTGAACCGTAGTTAAGCAGCTGGTGATCCTTGGGGAACAGATATATAATATGTTCGATAGCCGTAGCCTGGCTAGATAGGTCAGTGCAGTCCCGTTAGGCTCATAAATTTATCATCCCAATTCGAAATACTTCAAAAAATGGCTAGCTCCAGTACTAGCTACGAGCTGGGGGACCTCGTTAACGGAGCCTGGACACAGTGCGCCACGGCGGCTGGCCAGGACTATTACAACAACAAGCAGACTGGAGCTATTCAATATGCAATCCCGGCTGGCTGGGAGGACCACCCCAACGTGAGTGCCAAAGCCTCTGAGGACTGGCGACTGAACCTATTTACCTGATCTATCTCCTAGGATACTTAGCCGCTTGATACCTCAAAGTCCTGGAGGCAATGGTGAGATTCTAGCCCCCCCAATGACTTAATGCAAATGCGAGAGCATCTGAGTAATGTTTTCGTTCTCCACATGCGTAACGAACGGACCGGGAGGATCACCCGCATTGATCCTAACCCTCCTACTCCTTGAAACTACCTAGATTTGGACGTCGTCAAAACTCATATTAAGACCGTCGAAGAAACACCTGACTCTCCTGAGTATCTGTATCGAAGGGTTATGAAAGCCGTCCTACAAGAGATTTTCAGGATATCTGAGGGATTCGATGTTACTCAAGAAGAGAGACGAGGACAACACGGGGCATCGTCAATCCTGGATTTTGCGGTGCTCAAAATTACCTCTCGTCCTGGGGGGAGTTTGTATACGTATGACTACTGTCTGGTCGAGTCCAAGAAAGCCGGGTCACCGTGGCCTGGGACGGAGGACCAGTTAAGCCTCCATTGCCAAGAGACGGACAACCCCCCTCGAAGGTCTTCGGCACCGTCTACGTTGGAATGCATATACAAGTATACACAGCGGACAAGAGGGCTCTCACCGCGAAGTCAGGTCGCATGCACTTGCGAAACGACGCTGACCAAGTCACCGGTTGGCTGAATTACATGAAAGAGAATCCACTCCCGTTTATATGAGCGAAAGAGCAATCAAGAAGCAGTCTTAAAAGGAAGCCTTTTATTATCGAATGTATGTAATTTCGCTGCGGATAGCCTAGTGAGAATGCAGGAGATTTACTCCAATAGTGGGCGCCAACGATACTTGCCCCCTGTACACTATGCCGCTCATATGAGGACCAAACCAGATTTGGGAGTCAATAGGAGTCCACGGTGTACGGGCAGTGTGCGTTTCTTCCAAAGCAATGCTGGCCTGGCCATCTCTCCACGTGAATTCCGATCCTATGCCAAGCAAACAACCAACTCGAGCCGGCTCAACAGGCCCTACAGATAGATGGCTTAGTATAACATCCTGGACCTCAGTAGGTATCAAATGCAGTCGAGTTACCGAGGGATTTGTAGTTGCCCAGACGAGATAATCTAATGCCAGATCTGGGGGAGAGGTAGTACCATTGAACAGCGGCTCTGGTCGCGTATGCTCAAGTCCCGCTGAGCCACCAAGCCGACAGAGCATGATGTATTTCATTGATAAGACGATATAATCTGGTTTGGCAGGTCTAGATTTCGCCATCTTACCAGTCTTAAGAGCTTGGGACGCCGCGTGATTCTGCGCCGTTGATAGCCCTTCTTGAACGGTTTGGCAGACTACGAGATGGACGCCACCGACAAGCGCAATATTAGTCGTGAACGGTTCCCATTCTGGAAGCATGGTGACCCACACGAAGTGACCTCGCAGACCACCACCACGCTCCTTAGTCACCTCACGGACTTCGAAATCAAGGCTTGAGAGTCGGATAACCCCACGTGCCAGCACGCGTGAAGTCGTGTCGTTCCAGCTCCGCCGAAGAATGTGCCTCCACTGGTGGCTAAAATCTCGGAGTAAACGATGAGTAAATGTCCGAGTTTTCTCAGAGACCTGGACTTCCGGCTTCCAGAACGTTGTAGGAAGAGCTCGTAGTGTAGGCATTGGAGAAGAAGGCGGGCTTAACGGTTTAAGGTCGTCTAGAGTTGCGGTGCGCTGTCGAAGAACTCGGAGCGGTGTCCTTCTAACCCCGCTCCGATTAGCACAGAGCAGCACATCATGTTCGATGTCGAAGGTCCACGCAGTCTGATACATGACTTGACGGAAATCTCCAAATGGATTGGTCGTGTCGTACACCTTTTCCCATTTAAATTGGAGTTTTGCATGTAAGGCTTCGAACATTGCGCCTGGGCATACTCATTAGCACTGTGTTCGTGGTGAGTCTGCTAAGCGCCATATAGCCGACCTTTTTTTAACCCGTTCAAAATATTTGCAAAGCGCTGCAAGTATTCTACATCCTCACCCTTAGACCTCGAACATCCAACCAGAATTGTTGTTGTTTCGCGTTCCAGGCTGGATACTGCGAATGTGGGGGGATTGCGCGACAGAAGGTACACCAGAATGTCGCCTGACATTATCGCGGCAAGGTGAAGGTTGCATGTGAGCAAACCGAGCGCAGCGCGAAGGACAGGAAGCCCATGCTGTCTGTCACGGGACTGCTGGAGTGTGATGACGAGGAGGCGAATGGGAAATAAGAGGACACGCAACCTGATGCCTCCAGAAAAGAATCCTTCTCGGTCGTGCTTGCTACGCCGTGGTTTAGCTGGGCGGCTTGCTTGATGCTCTCCCCCCAAGCATCTGCACTTTACATTGCGCCTACAACTCCCGTTCTCTTTATGTCCTGCACACCACGATCGCAAGCTTGCGGAATGCAGTAAAAAGCACGCAATTGCGATCTTCGATATGCGCTCCCTTTCTTCATCTCCATGAAGCCTCTTACCGTGCGAAACAAATATCAGCTAGACCTTTGATTAGGCCATGGCTTGTACGGCAAAGGTTTTTATTGCTGCGCTGCCCCTTTGGCTTGCTTCAGCTGTCTGTAGGAACGTTTTGCTATTGAGACATGAGAACGTTGTCTCTCTTTGCCATGAGGCTATAATCATAGCAGCTGCATGAACTGAGTCTTCTCAAACACGAGATATTTTGGTCGCTTACTGTCTAGACATAAACTTGTGAACGTTGGGAGAGGCACGTTATTTGAGGACTAAGTCGTTGCACCCAAAGAGAATCTCACCCTTTCCATCTAACTTCTTCATTACTCGGGAAATATCGTTATGGCACCCCTCTGATATAACTGATATGTAGCCTGTATTCTCCTCATTCAGGGAATCAACCGGTATCAAATGCGCCTGACATGTATGATCACAAGTCGCCAAGGTTGCTGAAAGCCACATTCACCTATGACTTATTGCCACAAAACCAGGTGCCTCGAGGTCATCAGACGTGGCCGCAGATCTTATAGCTTCCGGGGTAAAATACCCTCCATAAATATCCGTCCATAGACGCCGCGATAGCCTGCCTGTGGTTGTTCAAGTTCCACAATGTCTGCATTTCTATCCGTCGCACATTTTATCTCATAGATGCTATCATGACTGAGTTTGAAATGCTCGTCAGTATATTTAGCATCCATCTCTTGGAGGCAGATGAGTAGGAACATTGGTACCCTGGTCGTGTTTCTTAGGTATCTGATTTTATCGCAAAGGCGTGAGAAAGGGTTTCTCGAAATTCCACAAACCATGGCGTAATGTTCATCTAGGCATTAAGAGTAAAAGCGCAAGAATACGACCAACCTGCGATATCGGTCGCTTGGAAAAAAAATCCTTATTGCTACCGAAATAGAAGTATATATAGAGTATACTAAAAGGTATTGTCGTAACGTCCGTCCCTGAATCATGGAACCCCACTGTACCGGAAAATACGAAGGGTACTATGACTTTAAGCCACTATAACTCTACACATATGTTGATATTGACAAGAATTTTGTATAAGCTGTGTGCTGTAGCTGCTTTTAAACATCCTAGACCACTCCTACCTATATATTACATTGCATCGTCGCCTTCCCGCCTGATTCGCAGAGAGCCTCCTTCTATAGTATAACAGGCTTCCCTCACTACAGAACTACTGTTAAGCTCTTACTACCCTTTGTGCTTATAAAAGGATCTTATTTATGCCTTAGAGCCTTGCTACCTGGCTAAGAAGTTGTTATCAGCCTTCTGTCTGCTGTGGCGCGCAATTTAACGCAGGGTTGCTACGCGGGTTTGCAAGGACCTCTGATCAAAGCGAGAACTAATCCTGGCTCGTGCAATACGACCCCGCACATCTCACATTATTGTTTTAGTGTACTCTACTAGTGATAACTATTAAGCCTGTGGCTGTGTAGAGCCTTTCCCTATCTAGCGAATGCTCAGAATAACATAAAATCCGATTCTGGAACGAGAGCAGAGTTGAGGTTCTGGAGGCTCTGAGCAGAACCTGTTCAAATCCCCGCCTCATAAAATCAAGGCAACGCCAGGCACGGCAGAACCAGTTCATGTAAGCAGGTGGGGGTAGGCTGTAGATGATTCCAGTCTGTATGAGTGTGTGTGTGAGTGATCAAGCTGAGATAACGTTACCGGTGTAGTGGATGATGGAAGCAATGCAGTATCATAGCCCCGGAGGCGCAAACTAGCACTTTTTCTCGTAAGCTCAGCAGTCAAGAAGGGTCAGTTTACTCCAGCCTGTGGCATATTGGTTATAGTTCACAACTCTTCCGTCTAGCTTTTAAAGCCGATTATTTCGTACAGCAGTGTTCATATTATCCTGTATTTTCGTTAACCCTGATGGCGAGAGCTGTGGTTCTTAGCAGATAAGCGACCTGCCATACTCTTGTCGCTTCACATAGGTTGCTGCGCTTTAACACCCAAGACCCTATTCCTACGGCTTGCGCCTATCGGACTCCTCGGCAAGCAATGCGTCTTTAAATACGTAGCAAGACCGGCGGGTTTCAGCCATAGTAAGACTTAGTAGGTAACGATACAGTCTCTTCTTATGCAATACTTTCACACACTTGGGAAGACAGCCGAGAGCCACGGTGAACCTGGACATTCAATCAAATCTAATTTGTATCAATTCACCAATTGGAAGATTTGACAGGAGATGTTCTAGGAGAACTTGAGACAATTCATTGCTTGTATAGAAATCAGAACCATTCGTTTGACAGGTAGAAAAGAGGAATAACAGCTATATATCTAGTGCTGCTTAAATTAGTACATGAGCTATATACCACCTGTATAAGCGACCCAGGTGAGAGTGAAAGCCACGTGATATGCTCGTGAAAGAAGGCACTGCTAAGGCTGTGCTACCTTGCTGCCTAATGCCCTCAAGTCTCCCCACGCCCAGCCTGATATCTCACCACAACAATGCACCTAAATTCGTAAACCCACCCACACAACGCTCGATTATGGCCAGGAAAGCGCACCGCAAGGATCCTTCGCCGACAGGGCTTCTCAACCTGCCAAACGAAATTCTCCTCGACATTGTTTCCCTCCTTTGCATTTCAGATGTCAGACGCCTTGGTAGGGTTAACTACAAACTTCACTTCTTTACTAGGGACTACCTGGTTCGGTATCGGTACAATGTCGGGCTTGTCGCCCTGCCGAATGAACTCCTTCTCGAAATCGTGCAGCACCTAGGACGTCAGAAAGATCGTAGTCGTCTCGCACAAGCAAGCCAGAGGTTTTACCCACTTATCATGGGCTATATATTTCGCTACAATGTGCGATACGGCGGAAGCAGTTTGCTGAATTATGCAGCCAAGAGGAACCTTAACAGAATGGCTCGAATGATACTACATCTCGGGGGAGATGTAAATACTCAATGTGGGCTCCGACTAGGGGTAATGAACGAGCGGTCAACCCCACTCGCGACCGCAGCTTTCTATGGGCATGAAAAGATGGTCAAGATGCTTCTGGAATCTGGGGCTAGTCATTTCGTTGACGGAATGAGGATTCCGCTCGCGGTAGCCATATTCAAACGACATGAGAATGTGGCTTTGATACTTTCTCAAGAGGTAGATTCCGGTGATGTGCCCCTTGGAAAGACAAGAGGCACAGTGTTGCAGATCGCGTGCGGGGCGAAACTCGTAAATTTAGTCCAATACTATCTGGAACGCGGATCGCAATCCGGAGTGCGTGTAAACGTCCATAGTTTGCATAACCGCAGCACCGCCTTATATCATGTTCTCCGAGAGGATTCTAGGAAGGATATTTTCATTAAGAGGGAGCTGCATGAAGATGTTTACCAGATCGTATTAATGCTCCTGCAGCACGGCGCCAATCCTGATATTCGACCTGAGATTCCTTTTTCACACCCTGTCACTGCAAGGGCTATTGCCTCTAGGCATCCAGATCCACGGGTGAGGAACCTGCTTTTAAAAGCAACGCCTGTAACAGCATCTCAAGAGGACCCCCTCCTGATTGGACGGCCTTGGATCTCGTTCGAAGATGAGGCTCTCACATTCCATAAGCTCCAGTCGGAAGCATCACCCTCTGGTGACAGCCGCTATGCTAAACTGTGGGATTTTCTTGAAAGTTCAAACTCAGAAACACTGGCTTTGATGGATGAGGATGGAACTGAATATAGAGGAACAAATTTTGAAGATTGCACATTGAACTCTTCGGATATTGCGGACTTGGTGGAGGGCGGAATGCAGGGGCTGAAAAAAAAGTCGGAACCTACCGAGCCTCCTCCCTTATCGTCATTCCCGCAACTTGGTATTCCAAAAGCAAGTGCGCAGCACGCTGCTAAGACTTTTTGGGCTAAAATACCGGCCCAGGCTTCCTCGGGCGTTAATTCGGTTCAAAAGCCCAGCATTAGTGGCATGGGTGCCATTTTACAGAAGGTGAAGCAGTTGGAGAGGCTGGCAGAAACAGAGCCGTTTCCACAACTGGGGCGACCAACCTCAACTTCAAATGATACTAGCAAGGATCTATGGGCCCGTTTCCAACAAGGTAAGGTTTCTCAAAGTACGAGCGAAACTCAGCGAACATCTCCACTCGAGGAAGGAAATGGTATAAGACGGTCTGTCAATAAGCCATCGAAGAAGAAGAAGAAGAAATGGGAGCCACTATTAATGTGATTTTGCCGTCACTCAACAAACGAGAGGTGGCTAACTTCCCGGAAAGTACCTTGATATTGGAGCAGTGCCTGGTGCCGATATTCCTCCATTGTAGGGCGAGGTCAAAGGTCTTCGAAGCCTTGAGTTTTGTTCATTGTTGCTCTAGGATAGCAGGCTAGTTAGAAGAGCTGAACTAGGTCGAATTTAGTGTTTCAGCGCACACTTGCCAATAAACAGAGGTTCCCTCAACAGTTATGCAAAAAACCAACTTTACAGCCCAGTAAACATAACAGAGAAGTATATTGGTTAAAGAGGTTCTTGAAACTATTTCCAGTCTCCACAAGCCCAGTATCCACACCGAAATCTCAATTCGAAGAAGGAAGATTCCAAATATGTTGAAACATTAGGACAAATTTCGGATTTCCTTTCTTTTTCATCTTTCCACTTTCCACCGAGAAATAATTACACATGCCCCTCGTCGCTATTTGGAACAGGTGGAATACGAATATAAATTATAGAGGAAAGGGCTCGATTTTGTGGCCTGGCTGCGGGTATATGGATTTGCTATTGCTCTTTCTGCGATTCCAGCCAGTGTCCTGCAGTTGGAGGGACGGAATGTCGAGAAAAGCATCGCTCTAACGATTGTGCCGAAGGATAATGCTGTCAACCGAAAAGGAATGCTAGGGTGGATATATGACTGTTCTCTGAAAGCGCGACGTATCCTAAAAGAATATGACCTATGTCAATATCGAGAACCGGTCTCTTAGAGCTCAACCTCCGAGCTCTAGAAATTGGTGCAAATGGCTCCAAACTTCATCTTATCTAACGGCTGCGGGAAAACCCCCGCGTCAATCAATCTGAACGCATCCCACTCTGCCGCGCCCTCGGTCTTGAAATTCCAGAAGAACCACCCTTGGGTCTTCTTCTCAAAGGCCATCATTTGGGCCTCGATATATCCCCTCGTATCATCCTTGTAGGTTTGCGGCCACTGAGTGATATCGTTTTGGAAGCCACAGGTACCGACGTAGGAACTTCCGGGATATGTTCCATCATATCGAGCACCCACACCAAAGCCGTTGAGATACTTGGCGCAGTCTGTCATAGCACCTGTCCATTCCCCTACGAATGTCCACTTGTCAGCGCCATTATAGGATTCGGCGTTGTTACAGACAGCTTGGCGGTGCTGCCAGGGTTGCATGGCGACTTGCTCGGGAGAGAACACTTGGTATTCGTGGTGGTCGATGGCAACATTCTGTGCGTTATTGTCTGAAGGTGTGAGGAATGTGTTCCATGTATTCGGCGGTTTGAATCCATCATGGAGGATGACAGGAGTATCAGAAACCGTTCGTACTTGACCAAACCCGTCGCGGTAGAATTGGCGAACGCCGGCTTCATTGAGTTTCACGATCAAGGGTTCATTAAGGAGTTGGATACCGATGACGACGTCTTGGTATTTGGTCTGAGCGTATTTTTCGGAGATGGTCTTGAGCACTTGGAGAGTTTGCTTTACCGTGTCCCCGCTTTGCCAGGTTGGGTTTGCTAGTCTTTCACCGGAGTTATCGTAGCCATTTTGCGAACCGGGGGCGCCATGAAGGTCGATGATTATTTTTAGTCCCAGACCCCTTGACCAGTCTATGGCTGCGTCGATGTAAGCGGCTGCGCCTTGGACGTACGGAGCTCCAAATGTATCGTATGCCCAATATCCGATGGGTATCCGGACGACATTGAAGCCTGATTGTTTGATTTTGTTAAAGTCTTGCCAGGTCGCCCATGTGTCCCAGTGCTTCCGTAGAATAGCGAGTGCGGCATCATGACCGAGCTTCTGGCCGAGAGTATACTCATCCACTACATCAGAGCGACCAAGACTTTCGAAAACGGATGGTGTAATCCAGCTAGATATGCGTTAGATTAACTTCTGCTACACCAACCCTCCCAAAAACTTGGGCTTTAGTATAAGGGAACGTTGACGTACGGTTCAAGCACTAGCCATCCCCCAATGTTCACACCTCGCAACTTTTCCGATCCCCAACTGAATGCAACTCCGCGTTTCTCCCTACAAAAGTCAGTACTTTGTCCTCGTCGATGAAAATACCAATCCGAAAGGTTTCATGCTCCAAGAGATCTTCCGACCACGCTGAGGGGTTGAGACTGGTATGCGCTAACATCCCTAACAGTCACTGCCTCTAGTTGTGGAGCGGATCATGTCGAACGATACGACGTGGAGTAGAATTCCTGCACTTTCTAAATTGGGACAACTTACGCTGGAGCAGTAAATGCGGATCCAAGGACTAGGGCCGCGGATATCACACGCCAAAATATCATAATGTTGCAATGTAGGTCAAGATGAAGCTGACGTTCAACAAGACGTAGTAACACAGTTACAGGAACAAGAATGAGAGAAGTAAACAGTCGCCAGCAGAATAAGAAGGAATGCTGGAATGCTGGGAACCTTGACGCACACCCTCGCGTAGGGTAATAAGTAAAGAAACTACAACGAATGACAACGATAGGCTGTGCGCGGAATTAAATGCCGGGGCAACACACAAGGATGAAGTCAAGTTTGCATGCAGGATCGGGGCAGACGACTGGTAGATAGGCTGACCGTTGGCTTGCAGAAAAAAAGCTAGATTGAATATTAGATGAAAGGATGACTTGTTCCCTAAAAGAAGGACTGCCCACCTGAGTGAACCCACGTGTTGACGAAAACTCGCTGTGAAACAACAGGACGAAAAAGAGAGAACGATACTACGGCCGCTGCAAACCTACCTGAAAGCTGCATAAAGCTAGCCCCGCAACTGATCCTGAACATGGGTCCACTGAATCTACAAAAGTGTGGGTCGTTATCAATAATGACGGCCAAAATTCATGTGCTTCGCCGCACAAACACCCCAGGACATCATGCGAGGAGTGGTGGCCCGCACCGCCATAGCTGGACCCTCCGAGGGAGGTTGTGGTGGAGTGGAGAAGGGTTGAGTGTGGAGCTCACAGAAAGGGGAGGGCACCGGCGTCATCAACGTCTCTAAGTGGTCCAGCTCAATGGGTGAAACAGCTTGGCCAGTTCGCGAAGCCCTCGATTCGACGGATGCCAAAAACAGGCTGAAAAGCTTGACGTGACGGCGAAAAAAATCCAGTCGCCATCTCGCTGCAGGGAACATGCGTGTCGACGGCTTCCACAGTTGTTGTTAAGGGATGAGGCAAGCTTGTGATGTTCAGGAACGGAACGGGGGTGCAGCCGGCCGCCAATCGCTGCCAATTATTGCGCCTCCAACGCCTCATTCCAGTGAAGATCTTCATCAAAATAATTTGCCGCATTCATCTAACCTCGTCGCCAGAGAAATCGTGCGGTGGAAATCTGGCAACAGAATCCTTTCTGCTCTCTATCAGCGGCTCTACGTAGGAGACAAACCCCCCCTCATTGATCGGGATCACGACAGGTAGCGTGGCACCAATCTGATCCTCAGCTCCAACTCCCTCACTTCCCTCCACAATACTTGCATCTGGCGTTACAACTGGTTCGCTATTCTGAGCCGTGATAAGGTGAGGTGGTGCCTCGGAATCGCTGCACCTTGAGCTCCAAAGGGGCGGGAACCTCTACAATGCGGTGCAAGAAGCTAGGATGTATCCCTCTCCACCGGTGTTGGCCGATCAAAATTGCCTCAGGAGAGTTGCGAGTCTCATTGGAGGGGCTGGATAATTTTAGAAAGGTGTTGCCACCCTGAATGCTGAACCTACAAATAATTATCTCGTCCATGCCATTTCAGGAATCAGCTGCATGTGAGAAGCTAGGCTTTGACGCCCAACAAACTCGGGTCAAGCCTGAAGATAAAGCGGAAGACGTTGGAAGAGAATGCAGGGAGAGCATGGAAAGTTGGAAGTGACGTTTGATGCAGGGCTAATGTGGCGTTTGTTGAAAGCGAGCGAGATCTGAGGCTCCAAGTATTCGTCGTCTCAGGTTGCTAATTTGCCTAATATCTTCTAAAAACCTCGTCACTAGAAAGTAGTTGAGCATTTCTGCGAGGCTTACCAGGCCATTTCGGTGGCAATCGATCGTCTCGCCAAGAACAAAGTTGGTACTGAGAAGGGAAATCAGACGATGGGAACAAGAACATCTTAGGACCGAACAAAATATTGTATTGCTACAGGAGACTTGCTCACTCCACCCATCCTTGGTCCACATCCTCGGAATGAAGAATGCGCACGTATTTACGGAGATAGCCTTTATCCATTAAAAAAGTCACCATATCAGCAATATATGCTACCCGGTGAATTTACGCTTTTCTTATGCCAGTTCGGTTCTTTGCCGAGTGACTTTTCGTCGAGTAGCTTTATTTCGAAACCTGGTAAAGGTTTTAGGTCAGGCTCACTCCCAGGTCCCGTTAATACGTGGGGTTGGCCACTTACCAAACTAATGTCTTGCAGCTCAATAAGCGAATTCTGACTTCCATCACGAGTGACGCGATAATAATGAGTTGCGTAGTCACTACAGTTCATCGCCCTCAAGAACTCCTCATCATGAGTGATGACGATGAGCTGGAAGTTGGCTTGCTTCTTGCGAACCTTTATAATCTCCGACAATGCGCTTGCTAGGCCAATGATGTTCTCTTGGTCAAGATTTGTAGTGGGTTCATCAAGAGCGATGAGACCGCAGTTCGTCCCGAAGCACTCAGCCAGCGCGAGACGAATGACGATACTGGCCAGGACTTTTTGACCAGCACTACAACGTCCCCGCATATCCATCTCAACTTCTTGCTTTACCATGACAACTCGATAGTTGTACGATCGATTGCCCTTTCCGGTTTCGTTGTCTGAGCGAATCCGAATTGAGTCGACATCCGTGCCCTGATACGCCTGCCTCCAGAGCTCCTCGATGATACTATTGATCTCTTCCATCTTAAGTGTGTGGTATTTCATGATGGCTTTGTCTAGGGCTCCTCCGTAACGACCCAAGTCTTCGACGGCTGCCTTTGTTGTTTCAACCTTGATATGCGCCTCCCGGTATTTGTAGTTTGCATCTTGGAAGTCCGTCTGCCATTCTGCCTCGAGGTCCTTCAGCTGTTCGTCCTTCTCTTTCATGGTCCCAAGTAGGCTCGCATTCATAGTGGTGAGCTTATTCCATTCATTCTGCCAATGGTTGCCTTCGAGATCCCAGCGTTCTTGGTCCTTTTCCGCGTTGTTGGTCTCGAGCTCCTGAATCTCCGCTTGGAGAGTTTGGAGAGAGCGCTTCGCCTTCCTGTACCTGAGATTGTCGCTAATGGAGCGTTTCGTGTTATCTGTATCACGTAAGGTGTCATCAATCTTCTTGACCTGCCTAGTGACATGAATCATATCCTCCTCAACGCGGGAGATTTCAGCCTGAAGGATTTCGAACTCTCGTTGGCTTCGAGCAAGTTGCTGGGGGCCACCTTTCTCTTTATAAGCAGTAATCTCGTTCTCTGCATAAGAGAGCTGCCTGACGCTATCTGACAACTTTGATGCGTCGTCTTGAAGACGTTGAACTCTTTCGCTGCCGCGTGAGTTGATGTCGTCATACTTGAGTTGAGCTTGCTCGATCTGAGGAACAAGATTTTGTATGTCGCGATCATAGCCTCGGATCGCCTCTCGCTGATCGCTGCTATGAGTCTTGAGCTCTTCCATGCGCTCAGCGAGCGCCCGTTTCTCCTTCAGCTTGGATTGAGCGCTGTTCAGTTCGGCATTTATGTCGCGAATGTTAAATTCGAGAGTATTAACAAGATTCCGCGATTTATCCCTCTCTTCAGAAACGCTTGCAAGGACGGCTTTAGCACTCCTGACTTCGTCTCCGATCTTTTTGAGCTCTTCCTGAATATCGTCAATGCTTCTACCAAAACCAGCAGCTTTTTGCTTCTCGGAGAGCTCAAGAATCTTCTTCTCAAGATCGCGAGCCTGGTTGTAGGAATTGACAATCGACTGAACATTTTTGGAGAGTGATTCAACCTCCATTTTCGAGGTCTGGAGGTCTTGGATGATAGCGTCCTGCTCTTCTAGCTCCTTGTTAACAACATCCCGCTCAGCCACCCACCTGGTAGATTCGGATTGGAGTGTTGGTAGTTCAGTGTGTCGTAGGCGCATCGCCAAATCATAGCTTGGTTTCGCTTTCTTTGCGTCCTCGAGCTCGGCAAACATCTCGTCGGCATTCTCTTCTCGTGCAGCTTTCTCAGCCTTTGTTATGATCTGCTCGATTGACGTGATGAACTCCGCCTTTTTGAACTGTTCTGACCTGTCATCTTTCAACGACCTCTTGCAAAGTCGACAGCGATCGTCTTCTTTAGCTGTCTTCAAGCAGCTCCGCATGTACTCTAATTGCGCTTGGAATTTGGCCTGATCCATGGTTGTAGTCTCGTAGATTTCTTCTCGTTCCTGAAGCGTCTGCTCGAAATCGGCAATGTCGTCTGATCCAATGGCATCCTGCACGGCCTTTTCACACTTCTGAAATTCCGTGCGTTTCTTCTTTTGCTCGGACTCAACTGTTGACAGCTTGAAGTTAATATTGTCGAGCTTGCTCTGGGAAATGTCACGACGTGACTCGGCCTCTTTGACTTCCGTCGCCTTGTATGTGACTGCCCGTTCGAACGAGGAACTCAAAGTGGCAGGATCCCAGCCTACCTCAACAAGCTGCGCAATTCGAGATCCGTGGGCTCCTTTCATCGTTTCCAAGCTGCGTTTTGTCCGCTGCAGCTCATCTTGAGCGTACTCAATCTGCGCAGAATCGCGGGCAAGTCTGGTGGCGTTGACAAGCTCCGCCTCTAAGGACTCCTTTCTCTCGTCTAGATTACGCTGCGCGGCATCTGCATCTCGTATTCGATCATCGAATCTCTGTGAAAGGTTATTTGCATTTGCGGTTTTCAGCCGTTGCTCTGTTTCATTCTTCTTGTCCTTGAGAATTGCCTCGCCTCCCTCATCAATATCGATCTTGTCCATCGTTCTCTGCAGGTCCACTACCCGCCTGTCGTTGGCTGCAATCTGAGATCGCGACATTTCTTTCCTCTGAGTCAAGACTGACTTCTGTTCGTTCAGCTGGTTAACTCCATTCTGCGCGTTACGCAGTTCCTCTTGGGTGTCTTTGCGAGCGCGATCGAGAGCCCTGTTCTGATCACTAGACATCTTCCCGATAATTGCTAGGAAATCAGTGACTTGGGAGTCAGTGATGTCGTAATCGAACCCGCGAATGCCGTGTCGCTTCGCAGTTTCTTTGATGAGGGTCTCGCGTTGTGAGAGGTGGCGCTCGTGCTGCTCCTTCTGCGCCTGGTATTTGCCGATTTCGCTCTGCTTGACACCGAGAGATTCTCGATTCACGTCAAGGTCTTGTTTGAGATTGCTGTACTCTTTGCGAAGCTCTTCCTGTTGCTTCCCATACAAAGCGACTCGCTCCTCGTACTGGTTCAGCATGGAGTGAAGATCTTCATCCGTTTCCAGCATCTGCTTTAGGTTGGCTTCTAAATCGACCACACTCTCCTGATTGGCCCGTAAAGTGATACGTTTTCCATTGAGCTGCGCAACAATCTGCTCGAATCGTGCGGCATGATCGAAGGCTTCTTTGGACTTCATTTTGGCCTCTGCGACCCTTTCTTCAAGGTTTTTGGCCTTGTTATTGAGTGTTTCAATTTCGTCGAATAGCGCATCGGCCTTCTTCCTGGCACGCTCGCCTCTGTCCCTGTCTTCTTTAGCATGTTGCTCGATGAGCTTAAACTTGCCAAGCTCCTCGGTATGCTTCTTTCTTAGAATTTTGATGTTGTCAATTGCCTTAGTGTACTTCTGGGCTTCGAAAATTTCATCGAACTTCTTCTTCAGGGCAGAGGGCTCGCTCATTGGCCACAAGCTATCGTCTTGGTGACAAAATATGACATTCTCCAGTACAGCCTTGGAGACACCAAGATATTGTGGAAGGATCTGATCCAAGTGCGCGACGCGGGACGAGACGACAGATTTTTCGCCATCCTTGGCAATAAGGAGACTACAGTCCAAAGTTTTTTGACTCCTGGAGGCTTTCTTAACAGTCAACTGCAGCTTCCGGTCCACGACCATACGAGAGCCCGATGCAGCGGTGAATGAGAGCTGCACTCGGGCCATGACTTCTTTTTCGCCGCACAACTACCGTAGGTTAGTACAGAAGATCAAAAAAATCCTCTACAGACATACTTTTGGGTCATGGATGAAAGCACCCCCGGTCTTGCTATTTGGGGGCAGTTCTCCGGTGGTTGCATACTTGAGGCACTCGATGATTGTCTGCAAAACAATAAGCTATTAGATTCCTATTTGCCTCAGTGTGCCTCACCGTCTTTCCGGATCCATTGTACCCTACAATAAGAGTAAGAGGCGTCCAGAAAACGATATTCTGGTGTTGCTTGTTGTCGAAGGAGCGGACGCTGCCGGGGTTAGGACCGAGCACAATGCAGGAGACCAACCACTTACCCCAAAATCTGCATCCGATTTACTTTCGCTGCAAGCGCGTATTAGCATACTGGATTGACATTGCAGCCCGCACTACATGACTGCCATCCAAGGAGCGAATGAACATACACCTAACGCTAAGTTTAGTATATGATTCATAAAGTGCGAGGTTTCTCGTTCTGCTCACATCTTATTGTCTTCCCGCGGCGCGCTGCTTAACCTTGCTGGTCCCCTTCCTCGTCCTTCCTTGGAGTTGGCGTGTCGTGTTGGAGGAGTTGAGGGGCTCGCTGCGGCCTAACGAAGTCGCGCCCGCTCAGTTCGCGAGATCACGTGAGACTTGATGCGCCACTCATGCCGTGGCTGATCAATCGGCAAGGACAAGGAAGCTCTCGGGCCGAATGCGGGAGAGGGTGTCATATCTCCAAGAATCAATTCACAGTGAATATCAAGCTTTTGTTTCTTCTTCTGACGGCGCGTCTCCGCGCCTCATGGTATATATCTCGACTGCGGGACCTCGCAGCCATGTACCAAAGTGGCGGCTCGCTTCCTGCTGAGGTATGCCGCCCTTGACGCCGGGTTTTCGCGAGAAACGTATGATGCTGACCGAATACTGCATGAAGATGGGTAGTCTGGCGCCCCTACCCGACCTCCCCCCCGATCAAGGCACGGGTGGCATTCCCGGTCTCGATGTGGACATGATGCAGATGGACATGGACCTCTCGCAAATGGACGCGGATACCCAGACGCCCGCCCAGCCCTACAATGCCTTCGCCCCACCACAACTCCTCTCAACGACGAGGACAACCAGCGTCTCCACCGATGCCTTCTCTCTCGGCCAGGAAAACACCATGACGGGCGCGGGTGCGGGCCCACTTCCCACCGGCTTTGGCGCCCCCACCCTGAACCCATCGGGTAGCACATTGACAGAGTTCACAAAGCGGCGGAACTGGTCGCAGCGCGTGCTGGAAGAGCTGCGAGACTTCCTACATATATTAACGTCCGATGGCAGGATCCTCTATGCATCGCCGTCCTGCAAAGCCCTGACCGGATACGAGCCGGCTCAGCTCGTTGGCCGCTTCATTCAGGAGTTCATTCACCCTGATGACACTGGAATCTTCGTGAAAGAGTTCAACGAGTCAATCGCGTCTGGCAATCCCCTACGCTTCTTCTACCGTTTCCGTAAAATTGATGAGACATGGGTCATTTTCGAATCGCACGGCCACCCGCATCTCAGTAGCGATGGAGGGGCCGCCTTCGCCGCGCCGGGTAGCATCAACTGTCGCGGCTTCTTTATGATGTCTCGCCCCTACCCCACCAAGAATGCCGCCTTGCTGGATTCGTTCCTCGAACACAAGATAGAAAATGAGCGGCTCACAAAGCGAATAGCAGAGCTGAAGCGCGAGGAGCAGGAAGAGCAGGAGGCACAGAATCGGCATTGGCAGACGGCTGAAGGTCAATCCTCCATCACGCCTTCTGAGACACAGGCTCGCACGGAAAGTGACAGCCACACATCCGCTGCGTACAACAGCATGCCACCGCCAGCTAAACCTGGTGTATCAAACACAGCTTTGACACAGCAAAACCTCAATGAAGCCTTGGCCGCAAGCAAGCCAGACAGTATCAATGACAAAATGGCTCGATATGAAGGAGCCACTCATCTGGAGACAATTGAAATGCTGACAGGACTGCGGTATCGGGATGGAGAAAGATCTCAAGGCATCAGCACTGGTGACATAAGCCCTCTTCTTATCAGGGGAGATGCTGGTATCCAAATCTCTTTGGACCGAGACGGACGGAGCTCCGATAAGAAGAAGAAAATTAAGATTGCGGATGAATACGTGTGTACCGATTGCGGTACCCTAGATTCTCCTGAGTGGCGGAAAGGACCTAACGGGCCGAAGACGCTTTGCAATGCGTGTGGGTGTAAGTGATGTTGTCGTGTTTTCAGAGCTAGCGGTTTACTAACACTTTCACAGTACGCTGGGCGAAGAAAGAGAAAAAGAAGCAAGGTGCAACAGGCGCTCCTCATGCACAGCCTCCAACACTGCCCGTGCAGACTGGTACACACAGCAGCTGAAATTGTGTACCTAGTCACTTGTCCCTAAACATATTCTCTGCGATGCTCTAGCTGCTGATGCATTACTAGCCTTCCCCAACGCACGAGGAAACGTTCAGGGGACGATACTGAACATCGAGACCGGCAATCGATCAGAATATGAAATCGTACCGATCAGGTTTGGAGCAGAAGGACATATAGGGAGGGAAACGGGCTTGTTATAGGATTACGTCACGAACCCGTAGGCAAGAATGATGATTTATGACTTTATGGATCACCAAACAAAAGGTAATGGCAGATTACATTTCGGTTTCTAGTACACGATTTCGGGTCTCTTCAGAACAGAGTTTGAATGTTGGTATGAAAATGGAATCGGCTCTATGATACCGTATTTGGATCTCAATATCAAGTATTAGCAATTAATATGACCGAGCTAAGGCCGCAAGGTCTCAGTGTCTAGACTTGTGAACGTGGGATTTATTTATGTGAATGCGTAGAGTCCATTTTCCTTCGATCTTGCCTTCTTTTCATCTTCTTCGTAACATTTCTTGACCACCATCCTAGCCTGTGCCCAACCCAGCATTCATTCCATTTCATGAATGGAATTATATGGCCTCTTTATCAAATCACCGTGATTAATCACCGTTGAAGGAGTCGGAGTGTATCAGAGGGGTGTTGGTGCTGCCATTGACGATGTGTGCAGAGGCTAGTTTCACGGGCTCAACTTCCACATTTAACTAGACGGCGGGTTTAAGAAGTATGCCGAGGTGATCTTGAGATTTTTAGAGAAAGGAATTGGGTTCTGGAGAAGAGGAGGAGAGGAATCCGGGTGCGGAATGTGCCACTAGTATATCATTTAGGACAGCAATTTCAATCATCTTAAACATGTCCCTAATTCTACCAACGACTTTAACAAATCGAATCTACAATATTAATGTTCCCCGAAAGACACCAATATGCCATAGGATGAACCCGCAACCAAAGTTCCTAAAGACCCAGCTGGGCATTGGTAACGAAGTGTGCTCCACCTGCACACCTATACCCACCAGCTTGTTTAATCCACCTGAACCCCTGTACACAAACTCCCAAATTTCTCAACTTCCTTTGAACCACAATCTCCTTCTCCCTTGCCTTTTCTGCCTCTTGTCTCCGTCGCTCCAACTCTACTAGCATCTCTTGCTGTTTTCGCATCTCTAGTACGCGTCTGATGCGCTCTGCTTCAACACGGCGTCGTTCTTCATCATCTTTGGCATCCTGCTCCGCTTTCTCCAGGTTCTCGAGTTCCTGTTTGGCCCGAAGTTCTTCTTGGGCAGCCTGTTCTTCTTTTGCGATGCGCTCTTTTTCGAGACGCTGGTGCTCCTGCTCGCGAGCTTGGGCCGCTAGCTTGTCTTTCTGGAGTTGATGCCAGATTTCGTCGCTAATCCTAGCATCACGGGTGTCTCCTAGGTCAGGAACTTCGGTCTCTTCAACCGTTTCTTCCTTCTCGTCACCTGGAGTGGCAGGTATCAAAGGGCCTGGTGAGGATGCAGACGTGCCGGTATTTGTAGAAGTCTGGATGTTCGGCGCATTATCGGGCTGCGACTCGGAAGGAGCAACAGGAGGATTAGTAATATGAGGTTTGTGCCTACTTGTTCCAGCCTCTTTGCTGCGGGGGGTGCGCTCGTCAAGCATCGTGTCAAGTGCAGACAAGACGACAGATTCTGTGACGGAAAGGTTCGTAATGGGTGGAGTTACTGAGGAGATTAGTTTGCTGAAAACGGCTTTCTCAATGGATTGGATGTCTCGAGCATTTCCCCATGACTTCAGCCCTGACAACTGCTTAATCTTTTGAAGTACCTGGTGGCGGAAGCCGCTAGATGGCGATGACAAGACGGAGACGTCTAGGGGAGCCCTTCGTGCCTGTAAAAGATCTGTTAATAGCGTGAGACACTCCTCGGCGGTCAAGTGACGGAAGATCATCGACTCTGAGAAGCGGCTCGTCAGACCCGGGTTGACAGACATGAGCCGATCCATATGTTCATCGTAGCCGGCCAAGATGCAAATCAGCTTTCGAGCAAATTTGGGCTTGGTGATGCAGTCAACAAGCTCATCCATGGCTTCCGTAGCAAATTGTCCCTCGGCTAGTCGGTACGCCTCATCGATGAACAACACTTTTCCTAACGCCTTCTCGAGAAGCTTTTGTACTTTGGGTCCAGTATGTCCAATGTATTGTCCTATCATATCTGTAGCAGAGCATTCTTCGACCGCTGCGTTGGCTAAGAAGCCCATGTCGTAGAAGACTTTTCCCATGCGGCGGGCAGTGGTGGTTTTACCTGTGCCTAGACGAAGAATGAGCACAGTGCGTAAGGAAATGATATTGGCAAACCTTACCTGGAGGTCCCTTAAACAAGAAATTGAACGGAATCTGATCTCTTGGATCCATCCCCAATGTCTTCATATTCGCCGCTGTGTTCTGATACGTCTGTAGCTGCTTGATGATGTCTTCACATCCAATCACCCCTTTGAAGAGAAGCGGCAAATTGGTAGAGGCAAGCGCGCCTCTATCGAATTTTGGATCAAAGTCGATAGCTTCGAACTTATCCTTATACTTCGTCTTGGCGGTGGACAAATGCTGCTGGTGGAGAAGTTTCGCTTTATCAAGGATGATGTCTATCTCGCCACCATTGCCGAAATGGGGTCGATTGCGAGCTCGACGAAGCATATCCATTGCAACCTGTTTCGCTTGATCTGTGGCCTCAAATCCTTGGTCCTTGAGCTTCAAATCTAGAATCTTGCGCAGTTCGCAGTCTTCAAAGTCTTCAAAGACGAAGGCTGAGTCTAGAGGGAAACGCCGCGCTAACCCGGGGTTAACATCCCGGAGCATCACTTCCATCTCATCTTTGTATCCCAACAGCAGGACGCATCGGTCTTCGCCTGGAGTGCTCTGGACCTCGGCGACAATGGTGTCAACGACTGCTGTTTTGAATGCGTCACCGCTACCGCCCTTACTCGGCCTCAGCATATAGGCCTCGTCTATTATCAAGACTTTCCCAACTGTAGATGCAAGGATAGCTTTCGTCTGGGCTTCCGATTTGCCGAGATGTTCACCGATAAAATCAGCTGGGTTTCTTACAACAACTGGGCCTTTATGAGCGAGTACTCCAACTATCATAACAGGGGTAGCTTACCTTCTCCATTAGAAAGCATGTTGAGGTCTGCTAATATCTTTCCATACAATTTCGCAACTGAGGTCTTCCCTGTCCCGGGTGAGCCAACAAAGCAGCGATTCAGTGAGTACTCGACAATGGGTTTTTCGTCCAGCTCACGTTGGTAGTTGAACTGAATGGTATCGAGAAGAACTTTAACAGACTGCTTGACAGCATCCAAACCAATCATCTTCTGTAATTTCGCCCATGCTGCATTGCCTTTGAGAGCTGCTGCTGGCTCCGGGCCGATGAGATCTTCTTTGGTGAGGAGGTGGTCGTCGATATTCCTGCCCACTCTTCTTTGCTTCTTCAGTCGTTTTGCTTGACGCTCAGTGATGATAGCTAGCTTGTTCTGGACGTCACGGGCGTTGCCGAACCCATCTCGACCACGGCTTCGGCCAATGCGGCGGGAAACTATTCGGGCATAGAGACCACCCATTCCACCTTCCACCTTCATTGCTCCGTTGTACCGCTGATTGATCGAATAGCCGAGAATCCGCAGAAGCTCCTCATCTTCGTAATCTTTGAACTCCATCTCGATGGGGATTCGGCTTGGAATGCCTGGGTTGTGGGCGAAGAATGCCTCCATCTGCTTATTGTAACCTGCTAGGACGAAAGCAATCTTGCCGGTAAGGTTCTCGATCTCGGTGAGGAGATAGTCCAACACTGCCTTACCACCTGAGCTATTTCCGGAAACAAGTTGATACGCTTCATCGATAAAGAAGACGCCTCCTCCAGTATTTAGGATGTCATCGATATGCTTTTTGCAAGCATTAATTCCATCATTAGCAAGGCCAGATCCAGAGGTCTCCACAAAATGGTCTCCTGGGAGAGCCCCGACCTTGCACAAGAATTTCGCATAGAGGCGAGCAACGGTCGTTTTCCCTGTCATCAGATGTGAGTCACGGTGTAAGTAGTTCATAGCAAGAGTCTTACCAGTTCCAGGGTTTCCGAGCAAAGCTGCACCGAACCTTTCATTCTTGAGAGAGACACCTTGTCGCACTATTGCGTCTACCTTGGCTTTGATGTCCAGAAATTTCTGCTTTACGGATTCTAGCCCTAAGTGAAAGAGGTGAGAGAAGCAATTGCTAAACCAGAGTATAGATCTTACCTATCATGCCAATCAAGGCATCAAGGGCTCTATTGTCTTGCCCTTCGAAATTTTTTTGGTAATCCCAGTCATCTTTTGCTTCACTTGATTCCCAAGGTTTCTTCGAGTTGCCATCATCTTCATCATTACTCGTTACCTTGGCCTTCGTAGTGGCTGACGAATTCTGCGAAGTAGATTGGTTCGGATCGGGTGGAGATGCATTCTCTTTGCTTGCATCCTGACTCTGGGAACTAGCGGGATTGTTAAGAACCTGCTGCTGCTGCTGCTGCTGCTGTTGTTGTTGTGCCTTCTTTTTATTTCTGAGGATTTGAAGATCTTGCCGGTGTTGTGCTAACACCCTTTGCCGCTCCCGGTCATCTGATTCATCCTTGACCAACCACTTCTCATGTTCAATCTCGGCTTGTAGCTCAGAGAGCTCATTTGCGTAGTGTTTCTGTTTTGCTTCTCGCTCTTGCTCCAATTTATGGTCCCGCTGGCGTCTTTCTTCCTGTTTGCGAGCCTCGGCCTCACATTTGTGACATATGGCGCCAGACTTGTCGTGGCATTTTCGAGATATCTTATGCTTTTGAGGGCAAGTCGATTTAATGATTGATATACAGGCCATTTTGGAATGATCTTTCAAGTTGTGGCAATGCTGGGGGCATTTGTGCAAACCACAGTTCAGCATTGTGCCGCTATGAGATGTTAACATGGTGAGACTTGCGTGTTTGTCAGAGATCTTACCAAAGCTCGGAACAACCTCCATCAGGACAAACGCTGTCAAAGTCCTCTTTCTTGGTCAAGAGCGCCACCTTGTCCGGATGTCTCTCACATTTCACTGGGAAGCCATTGTAAACATGGCCATCTTTCTTCAGTTGCTCCATGAGAGGCACCCAGACATCCTTTCCTTTACGACTGCTCATGAAGGTCTCCGCATTTCCAATCATGATCAAAGCGTTCCGTGCTCTAGACAGGAGCACATTCACTCTCTGTGGTGCAGACATAAATCCAATATCTCCTCCAGGGTTACTTCGAGTGAGAGAGGCAATGACAATGTCGCTTTCCTCTCCTTGGTAGTTATCTAAAGAATACCAGTCATTGATACACCCTTGTCGTAATTTGACGAAAGAAGTTATCCTAGGGACTTCTAGGAAAGGGCAAGGTCTACGTACCGATCGTAGAAATCTTGATTGGCTGCTTCGATATGTTCGCAGCTGCTGGGGTGACCAGTCCTGCTCGAATCAGATCCCATGAATCCAGATCATTCAGGATGGGGTCATTGTCCTTCAAGAGCTTTTTACGAAGGAGGAATAGTTGACCGAGATACGGAGTGAGGATTACAAGCTTGTCAGTACCATAGCCTTGCTGACCAAGATATCTCACGCATTTAAGCACCATATCGACTTCATACTCATTTTCGCGGCTAGATGTCACATTTTCGTCTCGACGATCAGCAATTCGTTGGGTGTTGAGCTCCGGATGGTCATGGGAAATGAACATGACATTGTTCTGAAATCCGCGGAGAGGGGGTCTGTTCTGTGTTTTGGGTGCATCCTCGAGCTCAGGATACGTGAGCTGCCTGACGAGAGTCGAAATTTCCGGACGCATCCTATGCTGCGCCGTCAGTACGCTATGTGGGAACTCGGAAAGAACTAGTCGCTCGAATAGAGATTGGTTAAGGTTGTAGCCGTCACCCTTCTCAATAGTGAGGGCAAAATTATCAACCTTCGGTCGAAGCTGCTTGTGGTCTCCAATCATGACCAGTTGCTTCGTATTCATTGTCATTGCCGTGAGGATGTGGCTTTCCAGAATCTCACCAGCCTCTTCCACAAGAATGACTCCTGGCGAAGCATTGCGAAGCCCTTCAGCTTTCATGGCAGCTGCGGTGGTAGTGCAGCCAATGATACGTTTCTCTCTGATGGTATGAACATCCCTTTCGCGGTTCAACTGCCCCAGCCGCTCCTGGCATTTGTTGTACCCCGTCAACAGGTTACCAATCTCTAACAAATTCTCCTGTAACAAATCTTTGATCCATCGGTTGAAGAACGTGGTACGTGTTGCTAGATCCATTTCCCAGACACCAGAATATTCTGGAAGAGCACTATCTTTGAACACTCCGGGATCATATCCAGCAGTCCATTGGTCTAGTAAGTAGTGGCGACCAACCTTTTTGCCTTTCGATCCAACAAGAGACATACCATCAGACTGCTCCGGAACCGTGAATGCGTCAAAAAAATTTGAATCATCTGAGAATTCTAGGTACTCTAGCAGGGCGTCCTTTGAAACCTGAAAATTGCGATATCGAGCAATTTTAAAGGTCAATGACTCATAATAGCCCTCCGCCAGAGATCTCAGGTTGTCGATCGTAGTCCATGTGCACCTGCTGTGCTTGTATGTACTCTTTTGCTCAGTAATGTTCAATGGCTTCGTTCTCACTGTGGACTTGGATCCTAGCCGCACAATAGATCTTGCATCTATTCCGATATCGAGAAGTTCCTCGAGGAACTGGTCGAGAGCATGGTTTGTATAACAGATGACCAATATCTTCTCATTGGTGTAGTCGTGTATTACTTTCGCGAGCAATGCGCCAATGAACGACTTTCCCGTACCTGTCCGTATTAGAGGGAATAGTGAGGAGTGTGCAAGGCATCTCGAATCTGAATGACTTACCTGGTGGGCCTTGAATGAGACTCACTTTTCTAGTAAGGCCCTTAAGGAGGGATTCCGCTTGAGGTCGGTCCAGTTTGATAGACTTGGGGGTGCCTAGTATACCACGCAAGTCGTCTTGGCTGTTTCTCTGGATCTTGTCGATGATGGTTGCGGGTACAACATGGGCATTTTCTTCGCTTGATCCAGGCTGCAGGTCTACTATCTGCTCCTTCAAAGGCAATACAGTCATCCTTTGAAGACATTTGAGAATTGGTTCAAACGCGAAAACGGCCGTATCGACTTGAACAAATTGTAGATCTGGCGATGACTTGGTAACAAGAAGGACCTTTGTGAATGAGGCTGGATCATCAATACGCAAGACAATGACTGGAGGCGAGTGAGAGAGAAGATTTTCGTCTCGTTCTACAGTCGCAAAAGCAACCACGTTTCCATCGCTGATCAAGCACCCAAAGGATTGATGTCGAATAAAATTCTTGTTGTCTTTGACGAATTGTAGTCTGTTCTTCGCATTCGTCAAATGTGCCATTCGCGGGATATCCTTCTGGCAGCGAAGTTTCATGGAGCAGAATTTCCGCCTTGTTTCCGGTCCACAGTCGATTCCCTCGAAGGTCAAGCCCGGGATGACGAGGTTCCTTCTGCTACCTTTCTGCTGGCCAGTGGCTGTCTGGAAGTCGTTTCTCAGCTCTCCAAGTAGATTCTCTCGTAACAAGCGGAACTGGTTGTCGAGATGAATTGCTCCACGAGCTTCTATGTCTGCGGATGCGACAGCATCAGCTGTTCGATAGAACGGCGTTTCCTTAGATACAAATTCATCCGAAGTAGGTAGGATCTTAATTTCCCTAAAGTTGGCAAAGTCATTGTCATGGCGGCCTCCGGGTCCATCCTCACTGCTGTGGGTAAAGGTGGTACTCAAGACATGCTTGATCTTCTGGCCAATGTTACGAACATTGAGAGACGAGGATTCTGTCAAAGATCCATTCTCGGTGACTTGTTCCGCTATCGATCGAACATTCGGGAGGCCTTCCGTGTGGGAAGAGAGGATTTCTAGGAGAAGCCATCCGAAGGCATGGCTTGCTCGCTCCGTAAGCAATCTCTTCTCATGTGCATCGAGGAGAGCGTTCCAGAAAGATGGTGGTTCTACGATGGCCTCCAGGACGCGGTAAAGGAATTGGCCACTGCAGAGCTGTTTGAGAGATGGAGCCGTGAGGTAGAGGAGAAGATCTGTGCCTGCACCAATAAGGAATGGGCGATCAAGAGAGAGCCGAACTGCCTTGGCGACTGCTTCCAGCCCCTTCGGTGCTGCGATAAGAGCTTCAATTCTTTTCGCAGCATCAATCTCATCACAGAGAGCCTCCAGGAACCGAGGTCCATCAGCAGAAGTCTTGAGCTCGCGTTTGCCCTTGACAATGAGGTCGAAATACTTCGACAGCCTAGCCGACCGGCTCGACGCGTCTTCCTGCGCTGCCATGCTGGTTGTTCAAAGAAAAAAGTATCGGAGAAGCGAAGGACCAATCTAGGACGAAAGACTTTAGGAGATCTCAATACTGGTGTTTATTGAGTATCATCCCTGATGTCTGAAGCTCAAAAGAGGAGGAGGAGGCACGACTTTAATGCTCGCGCATAGCGTCTTCTTTGATACCAGCTGGTTCGAGTTCATTGGAAGAGCGACACTGCCTCTCATGTGGCAAAGGCCCAAAAACCGCTGCCTGCTCTCTGTGTCTCTACAAACAATTTGAAGCCTATCATTTTCAAGTTGTGCAACATGAGACAGCGGTAAACCACGCCACATCACCCCGCTCAGCCTTGCTTACTTAGGCATCGGTTGAATACATGAGCTTTTCATGCCGCAGGGCAAACTTTCATATATTTTTTTAAGAAAGCCCTCCCCCTCAAATCTGGTCAATATCCGAACTCTGCCTCATCATGTCATTCGAAAGAAGTCGCGGACGTGGGCAGAGAGGTTCCCGACCAGCGGGCTCCACCTCGTCCGCCCCGACACGTGGTCTCGGTATGGGAGATCGACCGTTGGGCAGAGCGGGCTTTGCTTCTCGGGATAGACGCGGTGGCCGGGTTAGTTCATGGGGAAAGCCAAAGGCCCAGAATCTACCAGATATTTCCCTTCACCCATTGGGGAATCTAATCGACTCCCTCGACAACTCATCCCTCGATTTGGCGGTTTGTACGACGTCTAGATCATCCTCCATCACGGATTGCAAGTATGTCACTTCATACAATTGGTTGAATGAAAAGACTCCTACCATCATGGTTCCAGGTAGCTTGCAAGCTCCTTTTGTTACACGTAGCGAGCTTACTCTTGGAAGGAAGACCCCCTTTATGGACACCCCTTGATGAACCACGACGTCTGAACGAAGATCGTGGCAATTACTTCCGGGACCCAAACGCTGCAAGATTTCCCGAGTACCCTACAGAACCCTCTATTCAAGCGCTCTTCACATATAAACCAGAATTTCCAACGTCGAGCGTTGACCTCTTTGCGTGTGGAAGCACAATGGGAAACTTGCTTAGATTCGTCCGATCAATCGACAAGCCGTTCAGGTTTGGCGTTGAAGTGGTCGGCAATACTGTGTTCTTCGTCCGCAAGGAAAACTCCCCTGATGAGCTTATCGATGGCGTTCGTGGGTTTGGTCATACGTTTCCTGGTAGGCTTTCCTTCCCCTTAGGCTAGGAACATATCTCACTATTGCCTAGAAACTTACACCACATGGGAGAAGGAGGTAAAAGGCTCTGATACGCATCAACGGGTGATCCAGTATCACTTCGGTGGATTGAACTGCCTCGTACGATTCGAATCTGACGGATATCTTGGAAACTTGACGGCCGATAACGACACCCTGAAGGGAGAGCCGAACACGCCCTTGGACGAAGATGGCCTCGCGAAGGCTTTCGAAGCAGTCTCGGTCTACCACCCCTACGCCGCTACCAGCAATCTGACTCTCAAGACAGGAGGTTCTGAGGTGCTACAGCAGTCCATCTTCGACCTAAAGACCCGGTCCGGAAAGTGGGGGAAACAGATTGATATAAGCGAGCAGCTTCCAGCTCTTTGGGTGAAACAGATCCCTAACTTTATCGTGGCATATCATGATGGCGAAGGTCGATTCGAGAAGGACAAGATCCAGACACACGACGTGCGGAAAGATATCCAACAGTGGGAAACAGAAAACAAAGCTGCGTTGAAACGGTTGGCAGCACTCCTTCGCAAGATCATTGACTTTGCTAAAGCTAGTCACCAGGGCATGATCGAAGTCTATCGCTATTCCATCGACCGCCTTGAGATCCGGACACAATTTGATACCGGAACACATGCCCTACCATTATCTCTCAGGAATCGCTGGGCTAGCAATTCTGCTCCTGGGAGTAAAGTGCCAGACATACCTAGTCCTATCGCTAATGCCCTGAGGAAGATGGCCGAACAGAATGACAATGATGGCACCAACTCCGACGCCGATTTCGGTGATGGTTTCACTCATATTTTGCCAGGGAAGAGTCTTTATGAAGACAACGACGATCTGGATTTTACTGCTTGCTCGGCGGAGGATTGTGGGTATTGTGGTCGCTGCTCTTACTGATAATTCGAGATGATTTTGGATGGAGTCTTAACTGTCGTTGCGTCATTCCCATAACAGGGAACATGAGAAAGATAGGCTCTATATATTAAACTTCTTCCTAGATTATAGGGAACGTTAATAGGAAGGAAAAATCTGTTCTAAATTGGTCCATGACAAGATGAAGTATACTGCATTTATATTCCCGATCATCTCACTTTTGGTCTGCAATTGACCCCTGAGCATGTGTTCTACCCTGCCCACTCTCAATAGGAGCAATGCTCAAGATCCTCTCTTCCTTGAAGCACACATACAAACATTCAACCCTCCCGTCGCCACTTGTAACCTCAGCACCTCCTTATCCACCAATCACATCCCCAAAAGTCCAACAAAAAGTCCCCACAGATTCGAAATTACCCCCTACCAAGCTACACTCACAATCTTAACAATGCCCTCTGTATATTGCCATATAAATCGCATGTTGATCTTCTAGCCTCCATTGTAGTAGCGCTTGTGTCTACATCGGCTTGTATCGACCTAGTACTGCATAACCTTGTACGACACACCGAGGATTGAAGGAAGAGGGGTGGGTACAACATGACAAAAATGCAACCAAAGATTCAGTCGGAATGGCAAAAGGCCACAATACCTTTAAAAGCCACCTGCACTGCGGATTCAACGTAACAACCCTTCGACAAGCCGAACACAGTTGCGTGCGGACTACCAAACAGGCCCCCAACGGTCTCCAAAAGCGAATTCACGCACTCTTCATCCCCCCACCCCCCAGAAGGCCAAACCATACGTATCCATAACCTAATTACCCCACCTCTACCCTAAACACCAACACCACCATCAAGCAAAATGCCCTACCCCAGCGCAAACCCGCTTCCCCTACGCCGGAAGCTTCAACAACAAGTAAAGCCACAAAGCCCAAACACCTCCTATCGCTCCAATACCAACGCCAACGGGCGTTCCACGTCTTCGAATTCCTCCCCGTCTTTCTTTAAATCCACGTCTGCTCCTCAAACCTGGGAAACCGGCGTGAACAGACTGTTGCAGAGGCTGCGAACTGGGGTGAGGAAGTTTAATAATGGAATGGATCGACTGTTGCATGTTTAAGATGGAGAAGGAGAGGGAGGGAGGCGTGTGGCGTTTGGAGACTAGGATACCCGAATTTGACACAACCAATAGTAGCGTGGGGGTTGGATCTATGTAGTGAGGAGTTAAGGGGAGTCTTTCTGGTAGTAGAAATGCGGTTCGAATTCTGGCTCAGATTCCAGATAGAATTTAGGCATAGGTTAGAGAGAAGAGATAGTGTGAGATGCGAGAGTAGATAGGTGCAAGATAATGAAGGAAGGGGAGGTAGAATCAGGGGAGGTCTTATCTATATTAAGGAGAACTTGATGAATTTACAGAGCTCTTCTATATCGTATTATATGTGAATGTGAATAACCGTGCACAGGAAAACAAGCGAACGGACAGGGACGATAGCGTATGTAAATTAAGCTAATCTAATTGCACGCACTAGATTCCATACTAAAAGAAAATGGTATACTCATCTACCCCTCAACTCCAATCCATATTCTTGATCCCCTTCCCATATCTAAACCACCCTCCCCCTCGAAACCGTCCTCTCCAACCGAATCGCTGCATCCTCCTCCTCCGCTTCTGCCAATCCCTCCCCAGGCAACAAAACCGCCTTATCGATTGCAACCGGCAAGCCCCTATGTCTCCCGCGAATCATAACAGCACACAGAATCAGCTTACTCAATGTATGCCACGCGCCACAAAAACTATACGCCTCATCTGGCAAGCCAACACTAATTCCCACACAACCATACCCAGACACGACTTCGAAGATGACATTGAAGACGGAGAAGACGGTGGGATTAGATTCGAAATTCGAGCCTTCGATGACCATGATGAGGAAGACGGCGAGCACGATCCACCAGAGGTCATGGGCGAGCTGGGCGCGGAGTTGTTGGCGCATGAAGTAGGATTTTGTCTGCTCAAACGGGCGGTTAGTGATTGTGCGGCGTAGTCTGCCAAAAAAGCCGACGCTAGGCTTGGGTTGTGAGGCTGCATAGGCGGCATAGCCTGGGTCGTCGGCATAGATGCCGAGACTGCGTTCTTCGTAGACATTGGAGTTGCGCATGGTTATTACGACGGGATATACGGAAATGTACATCATTATGACGTATAGAACTTGGAGAGAGATCCGGACGCTAGGGATGGGAACGACGTAGAAGCCACCGCTGCGGACAGCAAAGGCTTGGAAGAGGCCATCGAGGACTTCGATACCCGCCGGTAAGCTTGTTATTGCTTTGTTACCTAAATTGAGAATCTCAAAGGCGGCCCAGTCAACACCGTTAAGAGAAACGACGGAGAAGAGTAGCCACCAAGTATGTTGAGAGGGGAACATGTTGGTGTAGCAGCGTCGCGGGTGGTCAAGCAGGAATTGGAATGTTTTCCGGTCTTCATCCCATCTTTCGCTGTCCGGGAGGAGCTTGAGGAATGTCCAGACAATGAGGCGAAGGAATATAGGGTAACACGTATTTCCAGCTAGGATAAGAAGACCCATAGAGATGAGCATGTAGATGGAAGTTTGAAAAGCGACCATGTTGGCATCGAGAAGGGACATGCCGGAATTATTGAAGGCAGAGACAGCTAGTAGCCGTCAGTCTGGTTCATCTTGATGCTTTGGGTTGCTGAGGTTTTTGATAGACTTACCGTTGAAGCTGCCCACCCACCAAGGATTCATCCCATTTTCTCGGGCAACAGAAGCTTTGTTGTTGCTAACATAGGCGCCAATACCAAGGCATCCAAGTAGTTGCCAAAGAACGAAGTACGCAGGGACAATCCAGGAAAGGAACTGGATGGCTCTGTATTCGCACCCGCCAAGACGTTCCCTCTCTTCTTCCGATAGATGGTGGAATTGCGAGTTGCGGGAAATATATCCGGAAGAAAGGAAGGGAAGATGACGCGTTGCAGCCTCCAGGGCGTTATCGGGGAGAGTTTCTGATGGAGCGGCGGACACATTAGTGGGTCTCCTTCTGATAGTCGAGCTCGAATGGGCGCCAACTCCTTGCATTGATAGGAAGCGGTTGTGACTGTGTCTTGATGGACTTAGGTCAGCGTGGGGCCTCCGAAAGTAGGTGTTAGGCCCAAAAGTGATATGTTCAGGTGGGCCACTTCCTTCAGCTCCTGTAGGTGTTCCGTTGACCTGGATCTCATCGCCATTCTCACTGCGATATGTGATGGTGCGAGTGTGCAACTGCGATGAAGAAGGAGCTGCTGAGTCATCTGGGTTGCGAGGTTCTTGCTCTTGATCCGGAGCAGTGGCTAATACTGGGTCCAGGCCTTGTTCACTGTTGGCGGATTCTTGTACACCTGAGGTTGTAGCTTTGTCTTTCTGGGACTCGTCAGCGGCGTCAGCGACATCAGCGACGCCAGCGACATCAGCGACGCCAGCGACGCCAGACAATGCATCATGCACGCCTATAGGATTTGGTGCTGAAGTGGCATGGGATAAGTGGTCCTTGGCTTCGTGTATGACCGGACCCGGCAGGAACCCCCGCGTATCAGACCTTGTGAAGCTTCTTGAAAGCCGCCGACCTAAAGATGTGCGACCCTTACGCGCCAGTTCTGCCCTGCGTCGCCGCAGATTTGCAATGTAGTCGAACCTCCTCTCAAATGCCTTCTTTCGAACATGGACTACAAACGCTGATACAAATATAGCGGAGCCGATTATGATGAGGAGGAACAGCATGAATTGCTGGAAAGTATTTAGTGTGGACAGATTGACTGTGTTTAGCCCACTACTTTGAATCAGCTAGGCACTCAAGGGCAAAGTCGAACTAAGCTTCCAAGTGCAAACTTGCAGGGGACAATGTAGAGAGTATGCTTGGGTTCCTCTCAATTTTCGCAGACCCACTACTTATTGTGTCTTTTGATGCCAGGGCTCACTTACGCTAATGTCATGGCACTGACGACCAAGAAGAGCGAATCAGTGTAGCTGACACTCCTCGCCGGTGTGGAGGCGCCCCAGAAGATCAGACTCGCTACCATACATGTCACCAGGAAATATATATAGTGAATCGTAATGAAATTGAGCGGCGGGAATATTCGACTGAGGTTGAGGGCGTGACCGGCGTGACGCATACGACCGAGACCTGGCACTCCGGCGAGGGCCATGACACCAATGGGGCAGGAGGGGACGAGGGATGGAAACAGCCGCTGAGGGAGCGACGAGTGGCTCACGGCCAAAAGCGGAGGTTGCAACGGGAGCAGTGGCACTCAGACGGGGCAGCGCGGAATAATATGCGGAAATCCATGATCGTGGTGTTGAGGTGGCATCAGGGGGGTGGTGCTAAACAAAAGATGGAGCTCGAGCCGTTGATAGCGAGGGAGGCCGCGATGCCGCCAGTCAGCGACACACACACACACGCCTCAAAACTTTGAATTTGTTTTCGGGGCGTGGTTTGACCTTGGAGATGGCCTTAGAGAATATGAAAGCAGTGGAATGTTGAGACAAGTAGTGGACGGCACTCCCGACACGCCAAGTGTGGCCGTGTCGGTCCAGATGTCCTCGAAAGTTGACAAATCACGCATGTGCACGTGATTATGGCTGTGCATTAGGGGAGCGATATGTGGCTGTGCGGTGCTCCGATTGGGGCAGGTGGGACAGAGGTCCTGACGTAACGTGCCTCTGAGTTAAGCGCGCGACAGGGTGAACAGGGTGAACATCAGCTGGTCAAGCTCCTTGGCTGGCACACGTAGAAAAAGCCTTCCTCTCCTGCATGCAGTCCTCAAAATAGACGTCACCCCTCATTGCTCATTCCTCCTCTTCTTCTGCTCCGCGAGTACTCTGTCGTGCTATTTAATCACCATCTATTGTCCCATATTTGAGTAGCCTCCCTCCTCTCGGTACCCCGCAATCCTCACCTCCTCTGCTTCTTCAACTTCGCTCCTCACACGACCATCCGCGTCATCATGACTTTCCACAGCGATCCCAAGCTTCTCTACTCAATCGGCGGCATCCGAGCCTACCACATCCAGCAGGGCGAGGAAACATCGCTCACGCCATCCGGGGCCCAGACGCTGTCGCTGTTGATGGTGCCTACAAACTCGCCCTTTGCAGACCTCAGCAACACGCGCGGCCAGAACGAAGCGCCTGAAGAAGACTTCTACCTCCACCTCAATCTCCCTCCCGAGCTCGATCTCCCTCTCCCCGCAACCACGCAGATCTACCACCAGCCACCACGGAGCTACTTGATTCCGCGGTGGGACCTGGGACCCGACAGCGGAGCCTTCACCCGAATTGAGTTTCCCTCGATAGGCAAGGGCCCGAACAGCGTTACTCAGGAAGATGTCGATACTTTTGAGACCATTCTAGCACAGTGCACAGCGTTCCTTGAACGTGCACAGGCGCCACACTCGGAAAAGGGGGCGAAGGCATACAACCCTGCCGACTACAAGCCCGGCGAGGGATACATTGGGTCCGAGCGACACGGCGAGATTGTGCTCGTTAACGAGGACAACGGTAGCGTGGTAGGCGAGCTAGCGGAAGGCGCCAATGTTGTCGAAGACCCGTCGTTGAAGCCTGGCTCGAAAAGTATGCTACCTACCATACCCCTCCAACCTCCCTTCCTCGGCTAACCAAGGCTCAGATCCTGTTGAGATATTCGTTTCCCCAGACGGAAAGCGCATCGATGTACGACCTCTCTCCGAAGACTATCTCCGTCTAGCCCGCCATCCCGCATATAAAGACTCAAGCATGGTACAAAACGCAGCCGCCGCCTCTCGACTTATCGTGACGGGCTCCAGCTACGTCAGCAACATGCTCGTCTCTGGTGCAGGCAGCTTTATGCAGAAGACAACGCCGAACCAAACCCCAATGGTCTTCAAGCCCACCACCCACGAACGAGTCCGCAAGATTAATACTCTTACCACTGGCGTTGCAGGCTTCTCCTCGAAAACGGTTGGTCAAGTGTCCAAATATGCCCAAAACATCGGCGCGGGGCTGGCAGGTCGCAAGGCCAAGCAATCGAAAAGCATGAACCCGGACGGCACCCCGAGAGAGGAGTACAAGCCCGGCCTGCTCAACAAGTCTATGATTGCCTTCACCACTGTCGCCGACGGTATCGCGCAGTCTGGTAAGAACTTGCTGACGCATGGGGGTGCTGCGGCAAGTGCAGTCGTGGGGCACAAATATGGAGCAGAGGCGGGCAGTATCGCTGCTGACCTCGCCGGAGGTGTCAAGAATGTCGGTCTCGTTTATATTGATGTGACCGGTGTGTCAAGACGAGCCGTCATCAAGTCAGTAGCGAAGGGTATGGTTGTAGGAAAGGTAAAAGGAGGCGGTGACATTGTCGTCGGAGGTGGAGACGGCGGCGCCATCACTCCAAGCGAGATCCAACCGGGCGCGAAGAACAACAACGTTCCAACTAGCCAGACTACCGGACCTGCTGGCCAGATCGGCTTCGGCAATACGACACCTCCCAGCTATTCCACTGGGGTTGGTGAGTCGCTCCAGGGACAACCTGCATACTATCCCCCAGAGAAGCGATAAGGTGACCATTTCAATGAGGGTTTGCAGCAAACGAATGGCAATGCTATGATTGGGTTGAGGCAGTAATAGTAGGGGATTGGCAAAGGCGTTTGGTTGGGTATTGTTTGTGATAGACCAGGTCACGCCTCTGTCTTAATTCACTATTTGCTTTCTCAGCGAACACATATCCCTTCACCAATGGATCACTTTCTTTATCTGTTAATGCCTCTCAATTCGACAGGTTCGAGGTCTATGTGATGTCTTCCAAGACCGTTTCCCTCTCTGTCCCTCGTCTTAGTCCCACCCCCAACAAACATTTCAGTAACCACCCCAGGCTCATCGACGGTGATCCCCTGAATCATGTTGCGCATGTACCGCAACATACATCAATCAATGAATTTGGCCTGCCAATATCTCAAGGGAGGCAGTTGGATGCCACGACTCACCGTCTTTGAGAAGACTCTTCATTCTCTGCCGCCAATGAACCCAATAACGTTAAAGAAAAGCAATATCTCACGCAAGCAACATAAGCAAATTTGGGTGAGAGCAACTACGTTTACTTTATCTAACCTATAGCATAGCACAGATGCCGTCGGTCCCAAAACAAAAGTTACTACGAAAGTAACGGTAGAGGAGGATCTGGAGGACTCGAATCACCAGCGACTCAATGTGTTTTCTTGAGGATGATGATAGCGGCACTACGGTTCGTGATATCTATCTAGAAGAACTCGGATGTATGATGTTCGTTTGTACAGCTCGGAAACTCGCTGGGAGAAGACAAATGAGGCATCTAGTCCAGACACCACACCTGCAATTTTTATGATTACCTGGAGCCGGGGTTGGTAGACGTGAATAGACAGGAGTGATAGGCGTATTAGCTACCTTTTCTCCGTCAACTGGATAAGACAATGCATCACCTTCTTTTCCTCTAGCCTTGTGTCCCACGAGGGCTGATGTGTTCGTGATACCTGTCTGTCTCTGTTGCCCTTGCTGCCTTCTATGCGTAGACTAAGTGGACTTTACAAAAATCGAGAGACATTTCAAAGTACACTTTCAAATTTTGCATGGCTATGTCGAGCACTCACACGGCATTACTGTACCAAACCCATCCAGGTGTCTCGGTCCTTTCAGCCTGATGTATGTACAAAACGGACGGATTTCCCCATTCTAAAAGCTTTCAAAGGCAACCCCGCTGTAAATAGCGTACTCCTTAAATGGAACATAGCAACGGGGTAATGGAGGACAGAAATATGCAACTTTTGACGTTTTCCCTATTTCCAGCAGGAGGTTCAACAAAAAAATACCCTTGTCTTGTTCCACGTTATGTTATCACATAACATGCTAGACTTGTACATCGATATATGCAAAACACACCAATACCCAAATTATGCAACCCAAAATAATTATGCTATTATATCATCAACGCTGTATCACCGCCAAATATGCACCAAACACGGCTCTTCAGGGTCCTTCCGACCACCCACCCACCCATCCACCCATTTACCCGTCCATCCATCCGCACGCACAAACATCCGCACAAGCCATTGCCGTGAAACCAGTACTGTGCACACAACGCACAAAACATCCCATGTCGTGTCGGACCCGTCGGACCTGTCAATCATCTCGCCATCCGCACGCCATAATCTGACGCGCATGCCACGGCATGCCATGCCGTTCCCACGTGTCTTCCCTTCCTTCCGAGCCCTGTGTCGATGCCGTGTCGTGTCGTGCAACGTTGCCTACCGTTCGACAACGCTCGCTCGTCTCCAGGGCCCTGGCCCAGGGATCACACCGCGGCTTCTGAACCTGGACCTGGGCCAGATAAGCTCGGAGACGCAATATCTCTTGCAGCAGCCGCCGCAGTGGTGGAGTAGTCTAGTGACCTTTTTGGACTCGGGTCCGGGATGGTGGGTGCACAGTGAAGGCTATCCTGATTCCCTCGGGACATCTGACGATGCTGTCACCTGTCACCTGTCAGGCAAGGCTGCGTTAGGTTGGGCTGGATTGGATGGGGTTGGATTGCATGTGTTATGCAGTTAAGGCGGGTATGTAACGGTGGGGACGGAAGGGAAAGGGAAGGGTGAGTGCGAGTCAGGTGATGAAAACGTCATTCGCATGGCAGCCAGCGATTGCGCAATAGTCTGGGGCAGACATGCCGAAGAGGCGGTGATGTGGGGAGCACGTGCGTGGATGGCAGCACTGCTGGCGGGCTGTTCAAAACAGCGGGAAACCTTCATCGAAAATCTTATCATGGACATCTTCAACAAATTGCTCAAGGTTTCATAAAACTTAGCATAAAACAATTTTAAGTTTGTTCAAAATGTTCTTCATCGAAGCCTTTGCTGTGCTCCTCGTAACAGGACTGAAGCTCACGGCTCTCGCTCTCGCAATTCGATGGATTGCCGGGCAATGAACCAGCCCTTTTCTCACGCATATATTCTCCTATCCACCACATCTACCATTCAAGCTTTATCGCAGCGACTCCCTGAAGACGCTGAAGCCCTTCTCGCACGCTGCCCAGCACACAGAATGTCAAATCGAAGCTTCCGAAACGGCAACCCGAGAGAAAGCTCGCTGCGCGTGAAGGGCGCTCGCTGATGCCATTGCCCCGCTCTAAGGTACCATCGGCATTACTCGAACGACAGGACCACAACCAACATCGAGAACCTGGGTCTAATAAAAGAAACCATCTGGAGCGATTGCTTGCGCGACGCGGCTAGCCACGGTCTTTGAACTTATTTCTTAAGTCTCTGGCGTCAGCTCACTGGCACTCTTGTTTGTATCTACCTTAAACTGCCCGCAACAATGGCCTCAACTCCTCCATCAACAACCGCAACCTTCTCTAGCATTCCGATCCTCCCGCTCTCGCAAGCCCTCAACCCATCCACGAAACCGCAATTCCTAGCCTCCCTACGCTCCGCCCTGCTCAATGTGGGTTTTCTCTATCTGTCCGAAACCGGGCTTCCAGATACGCTAATCCAGGATGTCATCCACGAGTGTCGAAGTTTCTTCGAGAAGCTGCCGTGGGAAGAGAAAGAGGCAATTGAGATGAAGAATCAGAAGAGCTTCCTCGGGTGGAGTAGGGTGAGTGGAATTTTAATTAGTTTTAAGTTCGTATTCCATGAAGCCTTATAGCATTTGTGCACTTGCGGAACTTCATTCTCTGCATGGTTAGGGGTAGTAGGGGGTTTAGGTTGAAGTTGAAGGTATGGTAGGTCTATTAAAAAAACTTCTATAAACGTGGTATCCATTACAACAATGCTTTTTTGTTAAAAAAAAAAAAAGGCGGTATGCTATATTACTCTTTCCCAAGGTCAATGAAAGGAAAACGAAGCAATGCAGGAACAGACAAGAAACCGTATAAACGCATAAAACACATAAACACATAAACCCAGAGAGATGCAAGTCCGAATCCAACCTGAACCATACGACCAGAACTCCAGCAGGCAAGGACCAGATAAAGCGGCGGGTATCTTCCCAGATAGACAGACATAGATCGTGACCAGTAAACCTTTCTTTCTCCTGCCATTACCATCTTTCTACATCCTTTCTTTGTTTTATTCAATTACTTCTCTGTTCTCTTGACGTCTCGTTTCGATTGGCCGTGTCGGTAATTACTGGCTGACGACAAACTCCTCAAGCTTGACAATGAAACCACAGCCTTCAACCCAGACCACCGAGAACAACTTGACCTATCAACACCACACCCGATCCCCGGGCCTATGGCACCTCTATACCACAACCTTCTTGCACCGAACCAATGGCCTTCACCCGCCCATCTGCCTTCTTTTCGCCCAGTCTATGAAGACTATATGCGTCGCATGTCAAATATATCCACACTCTTCACTTCGTTGATTGCAGAGGCGATTGGCCTCCATGTCGATGCATTCAACAAGTTCTTTGATCAAGACCAACAGCATAAGTTGAAAATTGTCAAGTATCCTGAAGTCGATGTTCCGGATCTGCCCGCTGGCGCAAGCGAAATCGATCGAAAGAAATGGGAGATTAAGAGGCAGGGCGTTGGACCACACAAAGACAGCATGTTGACGAGCTACCTGTTGCAGGCGAGCGATCAGCCCGGGTTGCAGGCACAGAACGCGAGAGGGGAGTGGGTGGATTGTAAGCCGATTTCCGGAACGCTAGTCGTTGCCATTGGTCAGGGTATGGAAGCGTTGACAGACGGCGTTTGTGCATCAACCACCCATCGTGTGCTCAGTCCGCAGAAAGGGGAAGGTGCCAGGTACTCGGTTCCATTCTTCCAGGGCGTAAGCTACGACGCGAAGTTTGAGGCCATGGACGTGCCCGGCGAGGTGCTCAAGCTACGAGACGAAGCTCGGAAGGCAAGACGGGACGACGTCGAGTTCACCTTCGTCAAAGGGCGATGGGGGCATCTTGGCGAGGCCACCCTGATGAACAGAGTGAAGAGCCATCCGGATGTCGGCGAACGTTGGGTATGGTTCCATCGTTTCCTTTCCTCTTTCTGGTGGCATCAGGGTCGTTCGCCCCTCACGTCAGCAAGCTAAACGTTTCATGATGCGCACATTCTCCGACTCTGCCTGAGCATGGCCAAGATCCCCAACTGACTTTTCTCCACAGTACCCCGAATTGCTTGCGGAGATCCGTGCACAGCAAGCTGTTGCAGCGAAAGCATCATAATCAGGCTTTCCTCACAACACCTACCCAAAACATCACCACCTTTTCAGAGTGTGCCCTGACTGTGCAACGTCCTGCAGCAGTATCGCGCCAGATTGCAAAATTGCGACGTGCACGATGTGGGGTATCGCTTTCCAATCGATTGGAGGAGTCTAGATGATGGAAGCTGTGGATGAATTTAGCTTTTGGTCGCTTTTCAGCTGGTCATTGGTCTAAGTGCACGGAACCGTCACTTCGGAAGGGCCGGTTCGTTCGCTTCGGCCGCTCGATTTGTCTCTCAGACCGGGACCGAAAGTGTCGATTAAAACATGGTTTTACAACTTTGTCTGCGCTCGCTTTTCAGTTGACTATGCAGGTGATGCCCTAGCCGGCAAACGCGAGCGCTTGTCCGCTTCTATGTTGCACTACAACATGGATATTTCCGCAGTGCAAATCGTGGTCGAGCCGCGGTGTCTTTATTTGTAGCTGTCATGCTTTTACGTGTTCGTATAATTGCGTCCAAGGACAGCTGTTTGTAACGGCAACGCACCGTTACGCGCGTATGTTTTGGATATTTGTTTGTGAGCGACGAGCATCGTAAACCATCCGCTCCGGCTCGTGTCCGGCTAGGGCTCGGTTGCCTCATCCGAATTCGTTAAAGGGGTGCGTCTCCAAAAATCGAAACAACGGAAGTGTCGCGCCGAACCTAGTTGTGCATCCTTGGCATCGACCCTGGATCCGAAGCTTCGAGACCCCAAACTTTAAGAAGTATGTCATGATATTGAACCTTGGGAAGCGATGGAAAGCATGGTTCTCGCTGACCAAAAAATGGCCAATGACCGAAATTGCTTGTGGGTCAGACCCAGCTGTCGCAATCATGCAGGGGGAGCGTGTGGGCGAGTAGCAATTTGTGTTTCCGTTTCGCTTTGGAAGTGGGCAGCCAGGGGTATGGGGTTGTTGCGTTGCGATGCATTGAGCGATAGACGAACTTTCGGCTGGAAAGAGTTAACACCGGGTCGGAGGCATTGGGCAAACCGGATGGTTGAGATGCGAGAATTTGAGATGGGGTTCGATGAATCGATCGTCGGCTTAAACCCGTGTGGACGCTCGAAGCCGTGGATTTGACATTAGGCCGCCTTGGTGTTTGAAAGACTCGGAGGTTCGCGACGCTTCATGGACTTCACCAAAACAAGGTTTGCTAACCCAGACTGGAATCTTCGCGATCCGTTGCATTATTCTTCCAATTCTTCCGATTTGACGCGAGTGCGGTGATTGGGCTCCAAGTCAAACCTTCCATGCTCTCGGTAGGCGGAGACACATTGTGCACCATGGTGGATTTCGTGAGCACTACTCATCTGATTTCCCACCCTTTGCACCACCTACCCGCCCGCCCGTCTAAGGCTTGGATGCATGAGCCTTAGGACGGCAAAACTGGAACTTCCTGAATTAGTGTTCGACCTTCATGTTCGGTGGCATATGATACATCATATGTCCCTGCTCACCCATCATCGGCGGCTGCGGATGGGGAGATTGGGTCATCATCTGCATCTCTCCCTGATGACTCCCCTGAGGGACGTACCCTTGGGGCCCATGAGATTGGAAATTCGGGTACGGTGAAGGCGCTTGCTGCTGCTGATGCTGATGTTGATGCGCAGGATGTGGAGGTGGCTGGTGAGCATTCATTGGCACGTTCAGCCGCTGGTATTCAGGATGATGAGGAGATGGGTTTGAGGTCGGGGTACCATAGCCTGTCATTTGCATGGGTTGCGAAGTAACGAGGTGGGTATTTTCGAGCGGGTAAGACATAGCTCGCGCGCTGCTGTCCATGCTATACGGATTAGGATATGACATTCCCGAAGAGTCGACGGCGTGAAGCGAAGGATCTTGAACCGGGAGCGAAACCGAGTGATGTTGTTGATGACCGTGGGGATGAGGACTCCAGCGCACCGCGTCCTGTGGGCCTGAGACATCGCCAAGGGTCGAGGGGTTTTCGATATGCGGTGAGGAGGAGACATTAGGAGGGTAACCGGTGTGTTGCGGCTGCCAATGTCCAGGTTGGGAAACTGGCGTTGCCATTTCAGGAACTGAGTGGGCGCTTCTGGCAGTACCCGTTGAAGATCTTCGAGGCTGGCTGAGCATTTGGATACGATCGCTGGGTGATGGAGCGCCTCCTGTCGCTGATATGAGGCCACTCGCGTCTGCACCTGGCATCACATTTCCTGTAGATAGCGAAAAACAAACATCAGCAAAAAGCCCATATCGGAGTAAATTGGGCAGACGAGTTAGTATACGCGTATCGGACTACTGCAACTCGCCGAAAACAGAGGCGTGACGGAAGAATAGGAAATTTGGAGGGTGGAAAAAGTAAAAGGTGAAAAGGCAAAGGGAGACAGTTGCCTCCCAACCGGGTACGGGCCGGACACCAAAAAGCAAACAGTGAAGCCACTATGGCTGAGAAAGGAACATCTGATCTGTGCTTGGGAAAAAATGAACATCAGCATCAGACTTACCTCCATTTTGGTCCGAGACTCCAAATGCTGCAACTGCGTGAGACAAGCGACTGCGGAGAAGAGCGTTCTCCTGCTCCAGCTCCTCGTTCCGCCGCATTAGCTCCATGATTTTGGATGACGAGTTGGCATCTTGCTGTGCGGTCAGGTCGCGGATCTGGCGCTCCAGGTTTTCAATATGGTCCTTGGTCCGTTGGCGAATGGCTCGCTGTGCCTCACGATCGTTTGCTCGTTTCCGTTCGAGCTGGGCGGCGGTGAGAGTGGTGACGCTGCGGGTACCTGCCCGTGAAGGCCGTCGTTTGGCGCCTGGAGTCTGCTGATTCTTGACGTCTGAGCCGGAGGAGTGGCCGTCATATGGAGGGGACTTTTTGGTGGAGGCCATCTGAGGTGGAACGTAGCTAGGCGTACTCATTGGGATGCCGCTCCGGTAGGCGATGGGGTCTCGGTAGTGGAGTACTGAAGTCATGGGGGGATCCGCGGGGGGCGGTGAACAGAAAAGGGCAGTGTCGGTGCAGGTGGAGATCTGTCAGCGGCAGGCCAAAACACAGCCAGACAGAGGGTTCAATATTGTCAGTGTCAAAGATGATGACGGTATCCTGAGCTCTCGGGGGACGCAGGATGGACTTGGTTTAATGGGACATGCGGTGTGCACGGATGGAAATGCTCACGGGCCTGGGAGGGGCGTAGTGTAAATAGAGCTGTGAGGAGAAATTACCACAAGGACGTAAGCACTGGGGGGGATATGGCGAGTGCACTGGGCAACATGGAAGGTTTAGCAGCTGCTAGGCTTCCCAAGAAGAGAGAGACAGGGACGAGGCTATAACTATTGTCAGGTGAGGATAGCGTCGCTCGCATCCATCGCACCCTGGCATTAAGGGTTCAGGGCTGTCTACGCTACGACCACAGTGCCGCGCCCGACCCTGGACGGTACCGCGCTCCTAGCGCCGCGAAATGGATCCAAGATGGTGGTAAGCACACGTGCGGGAGTCTGCGGGGAAGTGGTTTCACATTCAAACTTTGGAGACGAGCCACGAGGGCTTGGAAGGGGGTTGAGGGAACCGTTGATGGAGGCCTGCAGGACGGCGACGAGCAGAGACAGCCACCCACCCTCGCAAGCGTCGGCTCGCGATGGCCGTTTTGGCGACGTGTGGGAGAAGTCTAAGTCTACCATCCGCACCTGCTTCCTACCTGGCCGACCTGGCGTGCTTGGCCTGAGACCACGCACCGCCTGAGCGACTGCGGTTCTGGGGCCATCTAGACAGATGTCTCTTCTGGCGGCCTGAGGCGTAAGAGAAGGAGCGGTCGCTAGATATCACTAGCAATTGCTGGTTCGCGTTCGCCGCCGTTGGAGTGCGAGTGTTGCGCACACCAAAAGCGAAGGCAAATATGGCTCGGCCCACTTCCCATTCGGTCGCAGGCAGGAATCGCGAGAAGCCCCGGCCAATAACCAAGGAGGCGGTCCCAGTTTGGTCCACATGGCAAGACGAGATCAGAGGCCACGTCGGGCGACGCTTGTCACGCCGCCATTTCGCTTGCCCTACCCTTCGCTGCTCAGCTACGCCGCCTGGGCGAGCCATGGTGGTCCCTCGGACGAGCAGTGGGCACACAGGCGAGAGAAGCAGACGCCAGTGACGTCTGCGGAGGGTATATTGGCGAAGTTTGGCCCGAGGCGACGGCGGATGTGATAGATGCTGCTCTCAAAACTGCTGGACTATCTCCGTGGTGGCTCTGGGGCTCGGATGGCTTTCGCAGGCTCAGGCTGGGCATGGACGAGGAGCATTGGAGCAACGTCCAGAGTCACTGTCGACCAGGGCCCGCACGTGGGCGACCGGGGGCAGGGTAGTCCAACCCTGGGAAACTTTCAATTGTGGGGCCGGCTGAGGAAGCTTCTTGGGGCTAGATGCGGCTAGGACGCTCCCCAGGAGGCCACCGGCGAGGCGTCAAAATCTGTAGTGCGGCTGCCGGTGTCCAAGGCACAGTCGACCTGTGCGGACATTAGATTGTCGCTGCGAGCTGCAAGCTGCACTGCAGACGGCGAGCTGCTGGCCTGAGCAGAACTCGCTGCAAACACACACAGATGCACGGCCAGAGCAGGCGTCGCCCCGACCAGCGTCCATCCCAGCCAGCGAGCCAGGGACCTGTCGATCACTGGACAACGCGTTGCGCCGAATCAAGCGTCCCCAGTGCCCAAAGCGTGCCCCCATGCTCGGGGATTCGTCCACTGTTGTCGGGGGGTCTGTTATAGCAACACTGAGGGGAGCAACGACCTCTCCGCGGCTAAGGGATACTGCGCGAGCGCTGCACGCGGGCATATAGCAGCATGTCCAATAACGCGTTTCAAGAATGTGCCGGCCTTGCAGTGTTCGCTGCTCGACGTGCCTGCATCAGTGCAGCAACCTCGTTCGCTCGGTCTGCGGAAGCGGTAAACCGAGCACGCGGAGCCAATCCTGTTTCAGTGCTCTGGCAAGCCTCACCTCTGAGAGTGAGCAGCAAAACTCAAAATGAGATGAAGCATGGAGCGCTCGGCTTCGCACGTCAGCGCGCCCCACCAGGTCCTGCATCCGTCTCCCAGATAGGCAGCGGATGCCTACGCCCACATCTTGACGCCATCATCAGAAGAGGTGTGACGTTTGGTCATGGAATCTTGTCAAAGGCAAGCCTCCTCTCCACGGTTCGACGAGGTGTCCACACACTGCTCACTGCGGCCATGCGGCTGTGAGCATGCCAGAACAAGACCTCGAAGCGGTGCAGCCACATCTTGGCAGAGGATTTCAACAGGGTATTTTTGGGGCGTGGTCCCGTCTCGCTCGCTCATCATTCCCTTCACCAGCCACCAGTGCTTTGTCTTGGCGCCATTATTGGACCACGTCCAACTCAAGTCGGCTGTCGGATGTGTCTTGAAGACGGCCAAATGGCGAATGGCGTGCCCCTTCGGAAGCACTAGGCAGATGGCCCGTCATCCGCAACCTCACGGTACCTGGTAGATGAGCTGCCATCGATGATTTGAATTCGTGAGGGTGGGAGGTTGACGATGGCGCGAAGTGTGGGGATATTCGGGAACGTGGAGCCTGGCTGGCAGGGGCTGCAAGGTCTGGCGAGCTGCACGCAAGAACCTTCTCCAGAGGTTCGCGGTTTCGAAGTCTTCGAGCGTTGAACGCGAACGTTGAAAGATGCATCTTGTGCTGCAAGATTCTGAAACCACCATCAGCTGTCTGGTTGAAGATCGCTGGTCCACATGCCGTCATCCATCGCCAGAGACGCCTGCACCTGAGGTCTCGTGAGGAGCAAGGTACATTCTCTGCGTCTTCTAGCTTCGAGAGCGGGCCTCTATATCAAACCATGGCGCATTATCAATATGCCATCCCTCGATGAGGACAATACGCCGCCGTCAAACTCTAACTTATTTCCCCGATGAATCACTTGGCAAAAATCTTCCAGTCTTCTGGATGTATCCAGGGTCTCATGTCGAATCATCCAGAGCTGATGCGGATCGCCCACGACGCCCAACAAGGAGATAAAGGCGGGCCTATTACCTAGGGCAGACTATCTACTCCTATCTTGTGATGTGTACTCTGCATTGTGCTGTACGTACCTAGATACCTCCTGCAACCACCGTCTGCAGAAAATGCTACACCGGTGTACGTACCCCTTAGCCGCCTCATTACTATAGAGGAAATCTGCAATTTCGCAATCACATCCCTCCCTAGTCTGTCTCGCTTCAGCTCTCTATCTCAAATCCTGCCACGATGGAAGTGGATCGCGGAGGGGAGGAAGAGAAAACACGCAATCCACCGTCGTTGTCGCCTCCTCCGGGCGCCTATCATTCAATCAAAAATCCAATGAATCGAAAAGCGAAAGCGATATCCGGCCGCAGTGCCCTTCACAGACAAGAGCAAATCCCCCGCATCCGCACCCGAAATTGCAATTGCGCGATATATACTCTGATGCCCCGAAAGGGAAGCTTTCCCCAAGTTCCAGTGTGATTCGCCCCACTATGAGACAGACATTCACATTGATGTGATTCTCCAGCCTCACGGCTGTCCGTGTAACAAGATAGGCATCCTCCAGAAGCGGCAGCAGCGTTATTGCGGATTATTGATCTTGAGCGGCGACGTCGCTTGGTAGTCCGACGAGGTTCACTTCGTTGGACAGCATCGACTTAGGTTTAGTGGCGGCCTCATCTCAACCACAGCCGCCATGAACGAACCATTCCCTTCACGCAGGCGTCAATGCTACAAATCCATCAAGACCACCCTCAACTTCATTACCACCCCTTGGGAAGCCCCTGGCGCACATCCGAAAGCCCGTTTAGCTTGATCATTTTCCATCTAGAGGATACTAAAACACGGGGAAGAGCGTATCCGCAACAGCCGGAATACACCTTGTCTCCACCCCCATCCAACACCTTCCACACAAATTGAAGCACACATGCCTACCTCCTTTTGGCCTGGCCTTGCTTGCCCTCAAGCTCGTGCTGAGAGAATTGGGCGGCCACGAGGTCACCCTACCATCCTGAAACAGATGTGAGCAGGGCTGCCACGCTTGCGCAAAATTTAAAGTTTGCTACCCAACAGGGGGATCCTGAGTCGTGTTGACGTGATGGCGCTGCATATCACGAATCTTCGCTGAAGGCTTCTAGCTTCGGGCTAGAAGGGGTGCAAGTGGGTCAAGGAATGGTGATGGTATGGAGATGCACCTGATAGGCAGGCTTGTCATTATGCATCATTTGAGGGGAAGAGTTGGCGAGCGATCGCTTGTTGCATCATGTTTCCAGAAGCGGTAGCATTGCTAATCGATAATGAGTTCAGCATAAGCATGCTAAAAAGGCAGCTATCGAGTGTCTCTCAGAATCCTCCACCCTGACTTTTCCCCTGTGGCGTGAGACTATCGTAAGAGAAAGAAAGGTACCTTTGCTAGGCCTAACCAGCCGCTCCTCCAAGAAGCCAAGTAAAGCCGCAAATATCCCGTCGAAAAGCTCATCAGATGAAGGAACTTTCCATGCATCCACGCTAGAAGTTTGCTAGAAACGCAAAATCCAAACCTATTGACCGTTGTCTGCAGCCTAAACCCACACGGCACACTACTGTAGTGCCTCTCCTGAACTATCCAGCCGCGCAGAACTACTACGCCACGCCACACCCATCGACAACTGTGTCACTCCTTTTTGATGTACTGGTCGAATATTTGCCCGATAAGTTTTGCACTTTTTTTGGGGTACCGCTTTTGGCCGCCTGTGTAGTCGACATATGTAACGCCGAAACGAGTCTCGTAGCCTTCAGCCCATTCAAAGTTACTGCAGGTACACGTTAGCGGAAATCGCCATCTCAAGTGGAACGTGTGAAAGCGGTTTGCGAACCATTGCATCGTTTGGTAACAATGCCGCACTAGTGGGTCCTGGGTTGTTTGCAATGATAAGATGAGATTGAAGAAATTCGGGGACATACTCTAAGAGACTCCAAGCCATGTAGCCCCTAACGTCAACTCCATCTTTAGCATGAGCATCTGCTAGAGCTCCAATATATCCCTTGAAATATTCGCAGCGGAAGTCGTCCTGGAGCAGTTGGTCGAGAGGTAAGTCGTTTTCACCTTTCAAACTCGTTCCATTCTCAGTCACGTAGAATGTTGGTCCATCGTATCGATCACTAAGCCACTTGATCAGTTTCCTAAATCCGAGAGGATTAGGCCTCAACCAGACAGATTGTGTCTCTGGACCGATGATGTCTCCGGCTTTGTTTTCCATGAGGATCTCGAGATGGCCTGCAAAATCATTCACATCCGGCTCCCCCTCTTTGTGCTTGATGTAGTTGGCACAGTAGTGGTTCATGCCATAGAAGTCATTGCTTCCCTTTACAAGAACAGCTTCTTCGGGTGTGAACTCTGGAAGACGATCACCGAGCTGTTTCCGCATCGAGTCTGGGTATTTGCCAAAGTATACGGGGTCTCCGAACCAGCAGATGGCAAACTCGATTTTACGGGTGCAGGCCTCGACATCGGCAGGATCATTTTGATCCCAAGGCTCAGTCCAATCCCCTAGAAATAATCAGCAATTACATTCGCTTCAATGCATAACAAACGGCTGACGGTTGCGGGATGGATAAAGTTTCGTAAATACGAGTGCCACGTGGAGGGCGCACCGTTCAGGGTAATGCCAATCTGACCGCCATCCTTTGCTTTAAAGTCATCCCTATAAGCCTTGACGGCAGCTCCGTGAGCAATCAAAAACGAATGACCCACAATCCAAGGCTCCGTGCTGCTATCTCCTTCCGCACTCTTGGTCCGGTCGCTGGTTCGCCCTGGAGCGAAAAGTCCTGTGCTGTAGCCGAGGATGGAGCTACACCAGGGCTCATTGAAGGTGATCCAGAATTTAACTTTGGACCCGAATGCTTTGAAGCAGACCCTTGCGTAATTCTCGAAATCCTTTACGAACTCGACTTTGTTCAGCATCCCGCCATATCGCTTATTGAGAGCGTCGGGTAAGTCCCAGTGGAAGAGCGTAATCATCGGCTCGATCCCCGCAGCACGGAGGTCGTCAACGAACTTCACATAGTGCTGAACCCCCTTCTCGTTTACAGGGTCACTCCGTCCTCCAAGAGGGATGATACGAGACCACGAGAGCGAGAAGCGGTAAGCTTTCGCCCCACACTCTTTCAGGAGCGCAATGTCTTCTGCAGTGCGATGGTAGGAGTCGCACGCCACGTCGCCAGAGCTTCCATCAGCGATCTTTCCTGGGATGCGGCAATGAATGTCCCAGATAGAATCAGCTCGCCCGTCTTCGTGGGGTGCACCTTCGATCTGGTAACTGAAGTACGCATTCCGTCAATACTCGGGAGACGAGTCGTCAAGCGTTACAGTGGTGGGGTTATGTGTGTGAGACTCGGCTGGGATACGTACCTGGCCGTCGCGAACCCCCACAAAAAGCCCTTTGGCAAGTACGAATCTGACATGTTGAAACAATGTTGAACAGACTCGAATTGACACAGTTTGAGCCTTCAGGCGCAGTTCGGGAGGGCTGCAGCAGCGGGCATCTCACATCTTCATATACTGCGTTGTTCCAGGTTGGTTGCGGCAGAACGTCCCGCTGCGGCCGTCTCGACGCGTCCCAAGAAACTTAACAGATGCCGAGTAAGATATGTGAGCGATGTACGGTGCATCAATTGCTCACAGGCGGCTGAATATCAATTTCACTGTCCGCCCTACAGCCCATCAGAAGGCAGAAACTGGTTGCCAACACAGTCTCCAGACCTTTCTCGAGCTGCACCTGACGATGCTGGTGTTTTAGCTGCGTTCTGCCTGGCGCCGTCGACGATGATGAAGGCGGTCAGTGGATTAACGGGCCGTCGATTCAGCCTGCCTTTTCCCCGCGTGCAAGCATGACTTGGGATGGGTGGGCTGAAGTGGGCTGTTGGCACTGGATAGATGAAACGGGATGCATCAAGTGAGGGGCAGGATAAGGCGAGTTCTTGAGATCGGGACCCCCCATCCCCAGTCGAACATTCCCTCGAAGCATTCCGTCAGTGATTATTCGACAAATCCAAGCCATCAGTCTTGGAGCAGAAAATAGGTCGGATAGATTTCTCGACGGCCAGACGCCTTCCTCGTTGGATAATGGCTGGGGTGAGGAAGCCATTCCCGTTTGGGCTTTCCGAAGTCTGAGCTTGCCCCTCATCTCCAGATTCACGACTGCATTGTCGGAAAAGACTCATGCATCACCAGGAGCCTTCTAGTTAGCAGACGGTATATAATGGCACAGAATGAGAGATTAGATTGCCTCATCATAACACCAAGTTGACTCCCGAGCCTTAAACTGGCCCTATTCATCATGTTGTCCACGCTACGAACAGTCCGAACCCCCACGAGATGGATCACTACGCAGCTGCGGACTGCAGCCACGCAGGCTCAGAAAAGGGCAGGTGATATTTCGGATGCCTTTGTTTCGCTGTCTGGCCAGCAATTTTCCCCTCTCGCCCCCAAATATGCAGACTTGAAAGGTCGCCTGATCAAGGGTCGCGAGAACGAAGTGCGAAAGTCGTGGGAACGTCTACTACGAGATCTTAGAGAGGAAATTCCGCTCATCGTAGAACTAGGATCTAAGGCCATTCCTGAGATAGACTTCAAAGACATCGATAATGCACCGGAAAAATTCAACCACGAGTTGAGGAAGAGAGGTGTTGCCGTTGTAAGAGGAGTGGTCCCAATAGAGGAAGCGTTACAATGGAAGGCAGATCTAAAAGAATACATCAGGCAGAACCCTCAGACTAAAGGTGTAGAGTACTGAACTTCTTCCTACGCTGAGCTCGTCGCTAACTTTTCCTTCAGCTTTTCCGGCAGATAACCCTCAAGTCTTCGAACTCTACTGGTCACGCACGCAGCTCCTCGCTCGTGGAAACTCCAATCTGCTTAAAACTCACCGCTTCCTCATGTCGTTTTGGCACAGCACCAACCCCCAAGCCCTGATATCAACAGAACACCCAGCCAGCTATGCAGACCGCTTACGAATGCGCCTTCCCGGAGATGCAACGTTCGCATTAGGACCTCACGTTGATGGCGGTAGCGTCGAGCGATGGGACGAAAAGGGGTATGGGCTTGGTGGAGTATATGATTCAGTGTGGAAAGGGGAGTGGGAGAAATATGACCCTTGGGAAGCAAGCTGCAGACTGTCTGCCGTCTTAGATCTCCACCAAGGAGTAGGAGCCTGTAGCATGTTCCGTATGTATCAAGGATGGCTATCGCTCTCGACAACTGGCCCTTTTGAAGGAACCTTGCTAGTAAACCCCCTGTTAGCGAAAGCGACAGTGTACTACCTTCTTCGGCCGTTCTTCTCTCCGAAGCGTGGTGTCGAGTCCGGAGCTCAAACAACATCTGAAGCCATGTCTAGTTCGGTAGATTTCCTTGCTTCAGACAACTGGAGCATGGATTCAACGCCCTCGTCATGGCTCCAGGGTGCTACCCCCGGACACGGCCAAGAACTTTCACAACTCCTACATCCTCACCTCAATTTGCAAGAATCTATGATTCACATGCCCACAGTACATCCAGGGGATTATGTAGCATGGCATTGCGACACAATCCATGCGGTGGATAAGACACATGCCGGAAAATCTGACTCCAGCGTCCTATACATCCCAGCTTGTCCAATGACAGTAGAAAACGCTAAATATCTTGTACGACAGAGGGAGAACTTCATTAAGGGAACACCAAGTCCAGATTTTGGGGGTGGCATTGGAGAGAGCAACCACGTGTGCCGAATGAAAGTGGAACAGTTAGAGAATTTGGTTGGAGTCGAAGGATGTAGAGCCATGGGCCTAGCAGAGTGGGACAGTGATGCAGAAGGGTTGGTGCCTGGGGAGAGAGAAGTTCTTGATAGGGCAAACAAGATCCTCGGATTTTATGACTGATTGAAGCTGGGTCGAGAGGCAGCCTTGGAAAGTTTAAGCACTTCTGTTAGATAGTATATTCAATAGCCAAGACTTTGGGATATTTTTGGTGAATTGTAGCACCAATCAATCCAAGCTGAGGTCCTTGGTTCCTATGACAAAATTTGCAGAGCTCTATCCCCTCTATTCGAAATTTTTTTTGAAGAGCAGGCCCAGTGTTATCTTTTAGTTCCACCGCCATTGCACGCGAATATTCAAGTCAAACTTCTCCTAATTGCCCCAGCTAAATCCCTCATCTTGGTATCTGCACACTCCATACTTTTTTCCTCTCAGCGTCTCTCAGTCAAATGTATATGTCCTCATATCACCAGAAGCAGAACACGTTTCTGTTCTCAATTTCCCTTATTTCTAAGTATGAACCAAACCATCAACCCCGTGACCAAAACTGCACCTATTACCACCACGCCTACAAGAATGCAAACATCCAGATGTGGGTCAATATCTCTACGTGCCCGCCCTTTCCAATTTCCCGTTGTTTGCCGGGAATGCTCCTCTATGACAATATTGACGAACCGATGTTCTTCCATCGCCCTGTCTTGCAAAGGGGTTCTCTGATGGGAAGCATCTCGAGCTTGTTGGCGATGGTGCCATACCTGCTCAGCTGCACGATGCCGTCGAGCTTCCACGGCGTGAAACTGACAAGGGGAAAGGCCGCAGAAGTTCTGCGTCATTTCGGGGTCTGGGTGGGACCATGGTGGAGTCAACAGTCTGCGGCCAAAAAGGTGGTCGTACTCTGAGCTGGTGTCGTTCTCGTACAGCATATTTATTGTTATAGGAGACAGGATTGTGGATGGTACAAGGGATTCTTGAGGCTGCGGATGCAGAGATTGGGGACTGAGAAAGATTCGGCTAAGAATTGATTTAAGTACTTTCTGGTATCGATACGATATACGGTACAATGTACTAAGGTTGAATTTGAGGGAAAAGTTGGATTATGTTAATGGAGGCGTGCCCATTTTAGACCTCGCCATTCCCCCGATACTGTGTACTTGGCATTCTATTCATTTCTTCGTTAGAACTACCGACTCAACAATCTTATAAGTATCCACAGATCCAAGCGCTTTATTTTGCTTGCTGGAGCTCGATGGCCTCAGATGTGCGTGTATTTGAATGATAGTCTTCTCAATTCGGCTAGATCCATCCCTATTCTAGTTAGCGCCGTTGGGATTCCACGACTCCACCCACGGCAACACTTTCAACAAAAGCTAAGTGAGACATCTCAACAGCTCCTAATGTTCCTTCTTGCTCCCTAGCTACAAAATTATCCCAAGCGCTTCGACCCATTTGCCACGCAGCATCAGCGCAACACCAACCCTCAAATCCGCCACTCAGCTTCCTCAGCAACCACCCACGTTCAAATAGTTTTCAAATTCATCAACGTTCCTTGAATACATATCTGTAGGTTGCACGTTTCGCTTCAAGACATCTCACTCTTTTTGCTCGTGCTCGGCTTCCTTATGCCGTTTTTCTATACGGCTAACCAATCACTGAAGTTCTCTAGATGTGGTGCCACGAGGCTGAGTTAAGGAAGTGACGCATAGTCCTCCAGGGCAGAGATGAAGAAAGCAAATTTTAGAAGTACAGGCCGCTTGTCCTTGAAATGGAGGCTCATCTGTTCATCCTTCTAGATTATTTCCATATCTTTTTATGATATTTTGTATCTAGTTCGCTACGCCAGAGAGCTGAGTACCCAGACATTTACTACTCTGTGCAGGTCTCCTTAAACTATCGTTTATATATATCTGAAAAAGCTATCCAACAACCATATTCGGTAGCTACAGACTACAACGCATTCAATACTTCAAGTTCTATAACGTAGGTGGTAAGTATGTTAGCCAGACAAGCGAGCTGGCCGCCCCCACTACCTTGTCTCTAAAAAGTACTGCGCAGTTTAACAACACCTTTAAATTATATTATTATATAAGATATCCTAACTAGGCAGTATATATAGCTGGCTTCTTGTACGTGCGCGAGTCGTGCCTAGTCTCTCTGCAGCGCTTGCAGCGCGCTGTAGCTTGTCGACTCAGACCTGCCTGCGGTGCAGCTTAACGCCTCCTGTCCTCTACCTGTCGCTCAGCGTCCTTATACGCGACTATATCCTTTTCTTCTCCCTTCGTTAAGGTCCCTTGTTTCCCTATCTACTGTCTTTTGCGCTATCTCTACCCTGTCGCAGCCTAATTAACCTACTGCAGGTAGAGGCCTAATTCCGTAGCAACACTATAGAATAAACTACTATCTCCGCGCCTTTTATAAGACAGAAGGGTAGAATAGCCTAGCTAGCAGTATTAATTCCTCAGATAACTGTAACCTACTCACAATTGCTCAGTTGTATTGCCTTTGCCCTACTGCGCCTCTCTAAGCTAGTGACAACTAGTTAAGACAAACTAGCTATGTTAAGGTTGTAGGTATCCTTGTTCAGGATATTTTACGTAGCCTTAGTATGCTGTACAAGCTTAAACTAGCTACTGATAAGCCTTAGATCCTTGAGTAGAGCTCTCTGCTTATTGTATTGTCACCTTTCGCTTCTGAACCGTAGGTCTTAAGATTAGACGTCTACTTAACAAAGTTTCGCAGCACTAGTCTCTAGCTTAGCCAGCGTCGCGCTCAGCGAGCAGCTTGTCTGCCATAAAACGTACAGCTTTTAGCGTATGCGCAAATTATTGTGAATCTAGGCCTAGTATATGTCTAATAACGACCTCCTCTTCTAGCTTAGTAAGCTTCTTTAATTTAGGCAGACAATATCGTTGGGGAGGCATTCCAGCGCGTTAGTTAGTTGCTAAGCGTTGCACGCTTTTAACTTAGCATTTATCAAGAGCTGCCTAGGCAAGGAGGACATCTGCTTTATTATAGCACATTTTAGTAGTTGTTAGTGGAGTTATAGTTGTTAACGGTCATCGTGTCTTAAAAGTAGGCGCCAACTTGCTTACCATCAACGTTAACTATCAAGAGCTTTTTGTTATCCCGTCTACTGCAGGAAACTAGACGTGGCATTCCGGTGTCGTAAACCGCGTAAGAGGTCACACAAATACCGGCGACGCGAGTTAAATCTTTTAGCTGAACACAACACAATCGGAGGTTGAAGCAAACGCGCCAAAGTTAGGATTTGATGGATGTATGATGCTACCAGGACCAAGCATAGTCCATACCACTCGGGGGCAGCTCAAAAAGGAGCAATGTATTGCAGCTTTTGGATAGAAGAATTTGCCATTCTCGTGAGCATAACCAGGAAATAGGAAGATCCAACTTTGAGCACCAGACTTGAGGCACCAGAAGCTGTCTTCCTCATCGACATGGTTTCGCCATCACCCCGGCCTCGTTTGCCTTCTAATTTCTCCAAAACCGATTGCAATGGCCGGAGTCCAGGAATTTCCTTGAACTTCTTCTCTCCGAAGTGGCCGGACTCTCCGTCTATATCAAAAGCGTCATTGGCTGCTTGGTAACTATGTGATTTTGAGGTGTAGATGCCCTCTCTGGGAGCATCTTTCTCTAAATTGCGAGTGGCCTCGATAATATTCCGTGTATAAGGGTCGGTAGAATTCAAATCACCAAAACGTGTGTAATGCGTTGTCCATGGCATAGCAGTCTTTCCCATCATTGCAGAGAAAGAGAGGAAGGAATGTATATCGAATGCAGCGAGGAATCGTGAGAGTGAGATCCCAGTCGATGACACCAGTGACAGGGTCGGAATTATCGATGTAGACGTTATAAATGTCGAGGTCGTTGTGAATAAGTACGATCGTTTCGTGATCATCGCTGGCTTTCTTCGACAACGATGGAGGTTCCGGATCGTAGAAGAAGGTCATAAAGCTGCGCATGCTTCATATATAACTAAGTACATCACTCCCTTTGGTGTGTCGACTAAGTTTGGCTTTAGAGTATGCTTGGCTAGCTGAATGTGCAGGCTGAAGCTTCAAATCGCCATGGCCGACACCATGCCAAAAAGGACTGACCACTAGGAGATCGCTCCCGTCTTTAGGATTCAGCATACCAACCTTGTCAAACTAGAGATGGCGAAACTAGGATATTGTGTTTGCCAAAGACTTAAAGAAACGAAAGCGAATTTGACGTAGCGTGGAGATCTGCATTGAACCAGTCCGATATTCCATCTAGATTTGTCCTGGTCTATAGAGATAGTGTGGGTCGACCTTATAGGGACGCATTAGAATATAGTGCTCCCATGGCATTGCCCAGTGTGTTATCCTGAGACAGAGCCTCTATTACAGGAACATAAGTATGTCAACGAATGTATTCTATAGTGCACGCTCCATTACGGAGGTTGTGGGCAGTTTTTTTTTTTACCAGAAGGCGCTGGTGCCGGTAGCCCGGACTTTGACGGCGTAAGTGCCTTCAGTGTGCCTAGAGTACTGGAAATATGCGGGCCCAATTTGTTCTCCGGGTGAATGTGCTGAAGAAGTAGCTTCTCAAAAGCTGTGTAGAATCCCAATCCTTACCATCTACCCAGTCGCCTGATGAAGATAGCGCAGTAGTCCGAGTAGTGGTGCTCATATGAGTAGCGAGTCCCCATGACGCATTTTCACTACAGTTTGATAAGTCCTCGGGGGTTTTTTCCTTTCTAAGTTTGGAATAGATTTGGGATTAGGAATTATGGCTAAATGAATTCGCTATAAAACTGTGAATACTCTTGATGAATTTTATATCGAAGGATGTTGATTTGTACCGTAAAAGATGAGATAATTTGGAGAAAGAGATAGCGCTCTTAGAACTAAGCCCTTTGAGTATCTCGCAGGTAGGGGCGTTCTGTACAATGCAGAGAAGATTCCTTGTTGACAGGAGGACAGCGATTGGCACAGTTCATTCTCTTACCATAGCCAAGGGTTTCAGAATAATATAGGCCTTTTTGAGTGCCCCCAAAACATGAGCTTGATGAGTCAAATACACAATGTTGAAGCCTGCCGTTACGATTAGAGGGCTTTTTTTTTTTTTTGGTAACCTGGCCGCTGCGTAGCGAAAATCCCACCGAACCGAAACAAATTCAATTGATTAGCATCTCAAGATTTCCTACATGAATTTATAAATTTATTGTCAATGCAGAATTGTTCTCTATGTATTTTTTCCCTAGGGTTCTAGACCGTACCCAAAAGAATACAACCATCTTAGTTGTGCCCTTAGTCGGTTCTTTTTTAGCACCTGAACAGCCCTCAAGCCTCCTGCATTATGGATTTTGCAAGCTCTTTATATTTCAGAATAATCCTTTGAAAGTTCAATTAAAAGAGAATGTTCTTTTATGGTATTATACCACTCAGCCCTTAATATCAAGTATTTCAAGAGTTTTGCTGACTAAAGGGTGTTTACGCTAATAAGTGGACTGTAATGCTTGTTTCCTTATAGCATATTAAGATATAAGCCAGTCGTATTGTATCGTACATTATATTAGGAAAAATAGCAGTGTAGCGTAAGTTTCCAGAAGTGTATGTTCAGCTACGTGTCTTCTAAGCCTCTTTTTAAATGCAGCTATAGTAAGGGTTTGCCCTGCTAACTAACAAATGGCTGAGCATTCAACCATATATATATATAGTAAAGTGTCATAAACTCAAAACATATGTTTTACCAATCTCTATCATATAGTAACTGCTTTAAACTCACAAGGGCTAACCGGAGCGGGCCGGCCGCCCTCCCTGCTGTTGGTAGCAACATCAGTGCTGAATTACTTTTTCTACTATTAGATATTACTTTCAAGCATGATTGCAGCTTGACTTGTTCAGTATGTGCACTAGCTTCAGGCTACTGCTTTAAACTGGAAAAACTGATATTCTAGGGTCTTTACCGGCTCCGTTTCCTAAACGGGGGACAGTGGAAGGAGGCCGAAGAGCTGGAGGTGCAAGTGATGGAGACGAGAAAGAGGGTGCTTGGGGGCGAGCATCTAGACACGCTGACTAGCATGGCAAACCTGGCCTCGACGTTTTGGAATAAGGGGGGGTACAAGGAGGCTGAAGAGCTGGAGGTGCAAGTGATGGAGACGAGAAAGAGGGTGCTTGGGGATGAGCATCCAGACAGGCTGACCAGCATGGCAAACCTGGCGTCGACGTACAGGAATCAGGGCCGTTGGAAGGAGGCCGAAGAGCTGTTTGTGCAAGTGATGGAGACGAGCTCGAGAGTGCTTGGGGACGAGCATCCAGACACGCTGGCCGGCATGGCTAACCTGGCGTCAACGTACAGGAATCAAGGGCGATGGAAGGAGGCCGAAGAGCTGGAGGTGCAAGTGATGGAGACGAGAAAGAGGGTGCTTGGGGATGAGCATCCAGACACACTGACCAGCATGAACAATCTCGCATTTACGTTCAAGGGTCAAGGTTGCAGCCACAATGCTATTTTATTAATGGGAAAATGATCCCTGCTAATGCATCAGTTTCTGCGCTCTCAACATCCTTACGCAATATCATCGGCTACAATTCTAAATCGGTGGCAGCTAGAGAACATGGACATTAGAGTTTGAAGAGACTTTATTTTATGCTGCACTCTCGTAAACATTATCAGCGGTTTTAAGAGTCGCGTAGATTGGAAATGCGGATTGTTTGTAGACCGATTTAGTCTCACCGTAGACGAACGAGCTTCTCGTTAGTGAAAAATCGTAGTAGAGTACTGGATATTTCCGTCCTAGTGAAGTGTGAATTTGGAATCTTGTGACCAAGAATTGAGCCTTAGTGACGTGGAAAAGAAAGAAGAGACGCCGCCACCCTCCAATTGTCGATTCCAATGTCAGTGCCAATCTACTCAAGTCGTTCTCCTTATTGCGCTCATCCATTGCTTGTCAACTCTTCTAACTCTTCCTCAATAGTCGGCAATACATGGTACTTCGGTTTTCCCTCTCGTTTGAAGCATCTGGATGCATGTAGCAGATGGCCCCTTTTTTGTCGTACAAACCCTGCAAAACATGCTGCACTAACACTTACTGCCCCTGTGCTAACCAAAATAGGGATCTTAAACTCCTCTGGTCGATGAAAAATCATAGTCAGTGTGAATGACGCTAGCTCAAAAACATTCTGTAGGGCGACTTCGATCGCGGAGAAAGATCCTCGACTGGCTTCCGGCGCATCTTCTTGAACTAGATACTGAACACTGAGATCAAAGCCCCATAGACCAATACGACTCAGTGCAACACCAACCGCTAAGACCGCTCCAGCAAGCTTAGTCTGAGAGTTGACACAAGAGAAGAGACCCACAGCCAAAATGACGGAGATGAATTGTTCGTTCACAAACCAGAGTCCCGAGCGAGTGGCACCGATTTTCCTCATAAGGGCCGGAGCGGCACAGGTAGCTGAAAGTTCGAGTACGACTGCAACTAGCCGCATGATCGAAATATCAATAGACGTAAATCCGAGAGTGAGGAGGTATGTTGTCATCTGTGACGCAAAGCTGAGAACGGTGAGGTAGAGAAGGGACAGGGAGAAGGAAGCGAGGAAGGCCGGATTGAGGACATATTCTTTCCATGGGTGGAGAGAATCCAGGACGTAGTCATAACATCGGTAGTGTCCCGTAGCCGGAACACTGGCTTGTTCTTCTCCTAATCCCATGGAGGATTCGGTATCTGAATACTCCACGACATTCCCTTTACCCACCTCTTTCCCCTCTCCCAGTCCGGGAACTGCGGAGAAAACCTGGGCAATCGCAAAGTATTCGAAAATGACGCTGATCGCATTCTGCCCAAACACAACCCATATAGCCACCCGCGTCGAGTATCCATCGACTAACGAGATACTCAAAGGAGCGAACAGCTTGCACGTGAGGTCGATTCTCCTCATTCTGCTGTTTAGGTCTTGCCTTTCTAAGTTGAGGCTATCGGAAATGAAGATAAGCCAATCTCGTTCGATAGAGACCGTGTTTGCGACGAAAGCTAGTTTTTCTATGCCTGCAAGTCCCACACTAGCGGCAAAGCATGTTAATGTGAGAAGCTTGCTTTGGCTGCTCTGCAGTAGAACAAGCAGTAGACATGACATCGCAACAGGAATCCTCTGCCAGGCGATACTGTGGCGTACAGTAGTCAACCGTTGCGTGCGGTCAACCAGTCCCCCAATCCATGTGCTAAAGACCACAGCTGCTGCGGATCGGAACAGAGAGTAGCATGAAGCGTAGAAAAGAGTGCCTGGAACTAGATAGGAGATATTAGTACGGAATCCAAAGAAGGGGGCTTCTTCATTCGTGAAGCACCACTGAAGTGGCATCTCATCAAAGTTATTGGGCAGCGTAAAGAGGAGAACTATGCTTACTGTCAAACCGTTAGCATAATTCTTTGTTTTGGGGAATACCAAAGCATGTCTTAGTATTTATGCCTGGGCCCAGTACCAGATCGCGGCGAGGAAGATAACAGCGCCAAACTCAAACATCCGGGCATTCCAGGTTGATATAGTATGAGAAAGATATAGCCTCCATAGGATAGAATTTGTGGATTTGTGGTCTGTCCTCGAGGGAGATCCTTGGGTGGGCTCGATGAAATAATTGTTAGGCTCCTGAGAGGTGCTGCTCACGAAAGAGTGCGAATTAGATGCCATCACTTGTGCAAATCAAGGACCGCGCTTGCGAAGTGAGGAGAGGAATCATATTTCTCAAAGAATGCAGACTGTCACGACTGCCAAGTGGTGGGATCATCCGAGGTCCCCGCAAGTGGAGCGATTTTATCTCAGCAAGCTCAGACGGGGGGTGGGGAGGGAAGGGGCAAGCCCCTGCTAGTCAACGCGATCCCTAGCTAGTAGCCTCGGTGGCGCAAGCCCCATCTCTCTAGCCAATGAGGGCGTAAGAAAGGGTTTCTCTCCCCAGCCGTCTAAGGGACTTTTGTGATTATTTCTTAGATAGCGTACCTCACGGGTGTGCCGGCCACTCTGCTAAGACCCTACTAAAACTAACGTACCTTACAGGCGAGTTGGCCACACAGGCGAGTTAGCCACTCTGCTAAGACACCACTAAAACTATGGACTTCTCTATTATGTGCAAAAATTAGGAAATTTCTTAGCGTTCCTTAGATCTTTTTTTCCCTTACTAAAATTATATAGAAGATTAGAATCTTAATAGAATTTCTAATATATAATAAAAAATTTTAAACATTCCTAGTAAGTTAAAGCCTTAAGTTTATATAAATATACTGCTCTTAGCTTATTTATGTAAGGACGGGGCTCCGCACCACTCCGCCAATACAACCAAAAGGTACGAATAATCAACCAACAGTTGATTTTCGGGTGCAGAATAGTATATATACCTGCCGCACGTAAGCGCCATCCTGGCCTTACAATTTTTTAAAGTAATAGAATAATAATAGGCTTAAAATAGAGGGCTAGAGCAGCTCTAGCTACCTAGATGTGTTAAATTAACCTAGATAGTAACCCTCTAGACTATTTTACATAGGTAGGAGTGTAAAGCCTGTTAAGTAAGCATAAGAAACCTACTGTAAGGACAGAGCTCTGTACTACTGTAATACAACTGAAAGGTGTGAATAATCAACCAACAGTTGATCTGCGTACAGAATAGTACATATATCTGTCGCGCGTAAAGACTGTAGTACAAGCCGCTTCTAGTCTTTCAGTGCATTATCCTTCGTAAAGACTAGCGGCCTTACACCTACTAGTAGTACTAAACTAAAGTGTTACGATATCTCACCTGAGTCTGTCCCTTATTGGGTGACCTAGTGCACGAAGGATGTATAGTCCTTTGTGGGAATCCAGGTGGAAGGTAAGGTGACGGGGTAGGAGGATGATGTAACGATTTGCATGAATCGTTCCATTCAAAGTTTACCCGACAAACTAATATCCAAAGGTTCCTCGTATCTGCCCCGACCCTGCCCTAGCCCCTACTGTACCCCTATTCCCTTAAGTATTTCGTTGCACCTCTCCTCTTAGCTAGCTTAGTAGTTTTCTAATATCCTTGTAAGGACGGAGCTCTGTACCACTGCACCAATACAATCAAAAGGTACGAATAATCAACCAACGATTGATCTTGCGTATGTAACGATCCTCATGAATCGTTCCATCTCGGAAGGCCCCCGTATCGGCCCCGACCCCGACCTGGCCCCGACCCCTGCTGTTACCCCTATTCCCTCATGTATTTGGTCGCACCTCGCCCCCGTAGCTAGCTCGGTAGTTTTCTGATATCCTTTCGTACAAGGCCTATAGGTGTCAATGGCATTCCCAGGTTCAGAGTCCCCACGCACTCCCATATGCCTCTGAGTGGACTCCCACCGCATTCGGACCCATTGTCTTGCCTGCGCCGTTACAGCGTACAGAATAGTATATATACTCGTCGCACGTAAGCGCCATCTCGGCCTTACATTTAGTCTCTATTAGCAGTGCGTTAAAGTAGTAGTTAGAGCTAATTTAGATAAGATAATAATAGGTAACTCTTACTTTCTATACTTTATTATCTAGTAAGTTTATAGGGGCTTAATTATCTCTTCTATGTTTCTAAACTAAAATTAGTCTAAATTAGCTAGGCATCTAGGCTCTAATTATTCCTTTGCAAATGCTAGCAATGTCCTCTAAACTAAACGTTATGCGTGCGCACCTACCTCTATAGTGTAAGGACGGAGCTCTGTACCACTACGCCAATACAACCAAAAAGGTGCGAATAATCAACCAACAGTTAATTATTGCGTACAGAATAGTATATATACCCGTCGCACGTAAGCACCATCTCGGCCTTACACGTAAGCGCCATCCCGGCCTTACATTATCCCCCTTCTTAGCAGACGCATGTCCCAGGCGTCACATGACCTACCCGCAGCTCAGAGGCGCCTATGCGCATGTCTCGGTTACCGGCCAGAGGCTGACCACCTGCGGCCCAGAGGCGCGGGATAAACACGACGCAACGCTCAGTGGCCACGCCAGCTAAGCCATACACACTAGACCTCCCAGCAGCTACAACGTGGCGCCAGAAGAGGCCGCCTCACGTTTCAGTCTAAAAACTGGCTAAGCTGTCCGAGGTGTGGGTCGAACGCCGACCGTACCCCGCTGTTGGTTGATTATTATGTAAGGACGGAGCTCTGTACCACTACGCCAATACAACCAAAAAGGTGCGAATAATCAACCAACAGTTAATTATTGCGTACAGAATAGTATATATACCCGTCGCACGTAAGCACCATCTCGGCCTTACACGTAAGCGCCATCCCGGCCTTACATATAGTCTGTTAGTAAGAACTAGGTGTTACACTTTATTAATAGCTAGTGTCACGATTGTGCACGAGTAAGGTTATAGAGCTTCACGGAGGTCTAGTTCAATTACTATGTGAGATATCATGGTAGGTACAAGACGTTGTGTGAGGAACAGGAAGGTTCAGGAGGAAATTAGCAATTAAATACTTGGCTCAGAAGTCCAAGCGCTTCGGGTATGAATCGAGCCTGTTCCGGGTTCAGTTAGTGTTGAGGCGGTTCGTGCTTAAGTTCATGTCCGTGTCGTGTCGTGTTCGTGTCGGACGTGCACCGATAATACTCCGGTACGCGTCCGATACGGTTATGTCTGGGATCCGGGGAGGATACCGTGACAGCTAGGTAGAGCTTATAACAAAGTAGAATAGAAAGCTATATACTTAGCATACTTTTTATTAAAATTTAGTTAAGTTTAGAGCCTAGTTTAAGCTTATTAAAAACATATATTAAAAGTATACCTTTTTGGTTGTATTAGCAGAGTGGTATAGAGTCTTGTCCTTATAAGTAGCTAACTCGCCTATGTGGCTAACTCGCCTGTAAGATACGTTAAAGAAAATTACAAAAGTCTTTTAGACAGCTAATAATAGAAACGCTGGCTACAGGGGTTAGAATCTGCTAACCCTGAGGCTGTACTCTGTTTGGAGTAGCACTATGCATGGTGGTTTGTGCGTCCTCGGTTCTCTCATCACCCCGGCCGAGCTAGCTGAGATAAGAGCGATTTCGGCCAGTTGCGTACGCTAGACTTGATATGGACTAGCTCATAGCCTTGACTACATGAAGGAAAGCTCCTGCGTTCACTACTTCTCCAATCCCATTCAATAACACACTCATTCACATGGATTCGAATGCAAACCAAAGAGCCACTTTCACATCAACGTAGGCTGGTTTGGAAAGACCCACGACAGGAAGAGCTAGAGATCCCCGGTCGAATGCGGGAAATCACATCGAAGAAGATACCGCAAGAGCATTTTCGAAACAAAGCTCAACATCCAAGTTTCCTCTCCAACCCGCCTAGGACCAACTTTGGGAAATATCTTTGACGCAAGCTCATCGAATGTTCCGTTTGTGATCATGTTAGACTGTGAGTGAACCGATTCTTGAGAATTCCCAGAGAGCAGGGTCGTATATAGGCTGATGGGATCATAGTATTATGCTGAAGGCACGAATCGAATCACTTTCGAAGGGCTTATTTCTTTAGCTGTAGATCGCTACCGGGGACTAGACGTTCCGTCCGAGCAAAGATCGATGCGCTTTGTATGCTGATTATGTTACGGCTCTTATTTCCTTGCTTGTAGGGTCGGAGCATTCGGCAAGATGCACACTTCCGCCGCTGCACCCTTTAGATTTAAGAATGGTGCATTCAAACTAGGTCGCGCGAGTGCAATGGTAGAATGCCTAATTTTCCGTGAAGATGAGAAGCCGCCTTGAGAAAAACTTACTCTTGCAGATATCAAGCCATGATCTCCCATTGTTACTCCCGCGACACTCGACGGAATGTCTTCTTGGAGCAGATGAATGCCTTGTCGCCAGGTCTGAACCGGAGTCAACCTCCGGGGCTTGGAAGTGGGGAGCCTCCCACGTGATAGTCACGCTAAATGAAGCTTGGACCACGCGACCTTCACTCCTCGAAATCAACACGACCTCGAAGGGAAACCAACAATCTAATCTCGCTCACGCCCCAGAGTCTTCGACCTTTACCCATGTCGAACATAGGCAACCTTTTCAAGCTCCCGAATGCCCCCACGAAACGCAAATTTGAGAACCCCTCCTCGCTCGACCCAACCCAAGCGTACAAATCTGCGAAGCTCGATGCAAATCGCGATGTCAAACGATCACAATCCTCGGTAGCCGACGACGAGGACGACTCTGAAGCGGGGCCATCACTTCCACCAGACATGGAAGAGGAAAAGGGAGACGACGAGGAGGGAAGGTTCTTTGGCGGAGGTTTGGATGAGGATGTGAAGGAGGCCATGGACATATTGGATGCCAACGATGCGGAAGAATCGTTTATGGAGGAAAAGTTTGACATCGCTTGGCTCCGCAAGCTAGCACTTAACTTCGAGAAGAAAGTCTCTAAAAACGCCGAGCTACGCGCAAAGTTCGACGACGATCCTTCTAAGTTCATAGCATCCGAAGGTGACTTGGATGAGACCATAAAGACACTGAGCATACTGTCAGAGCATCCAGAGCTATATCAAGAGTTTGCGAAGATTGGCAGCGCCAGCAGCCTGGTTTCGTTGTTGGCGCACGAGAACACTGACATTGCAATCAATGCCATCGAGATCATCTCAGAGCTCACAGACGAGGATGTGACGGCTGCTCAGGAACAATGGGATGTCTTGGTAGCTTCTATGCTAGAAGCAGACCTCCTCAATATGTTAATCTCCAACTTCTCGCGGTTCGACGAAAGCAACGATGCGGACTCAAATGGGGTTTATCAGTCATTGAGCGTCATTGAGAACCTACTCTCACATCCTGCATATCTTGATATAATAGGGAAAGAGAAGAAACTCCTCGCATGGCTTCTAAACCACATCAAGGATGACCTCCCTATGTCACAAAACAAACAATATGTCTCCGAGATCATCTCCATTATCACCCATTCCTCTTCTCCCAATCGACAGCACGTTATCCGGGCAAACGGCATGGACATTATCCTAACATGTCTGTCGGCGTATCTGCGTCGCGATCCGGAGAAAGATAGTGAGGAGGAGGAATACATGGAAAATCTGTTTAATTGTGCGACATCACTAGTCGATGAGGTAGAAGGAAAGGAAAAATTCTTGGAGGCAGAAGGCGTGGAATTATGTCTCTTAATGCTGAAAAGTGGGAGGACGTGCAAGAGTAGAGCATTAAAGATACTGGATCACGCATGCGGGTATGCCGAAGCACCCGCCTTGGGGGATGCAAAGGCAAATGGAGCAACCTCAAAAGGAAAACGCAAGGCAGGCCCTGAATTAACGAACACCAACCGTGCCGCTGCGGTGTGCGAGAAAGTTATTGAAGCTGGGGGGTTGAAACCCCTCTTCAGCACTTTCAAGGCGAAGAAACATGACCTACAAACGACCGAGCATATCCTTGGGGTTTTTGCCTCACTCTTGCGTTCGTTACCAGGAAACTCAGACTCCAGAGTCCGGTTGCTGGTCAAGTTCTCCGAGAAGAAATATGAAACGGTTAACATGCTGGTAGTATTTCGGCGCCAATACGCCAACCGCGTCGCTACGTTTGATGCTAAGCTTAATACCCAGAAGAGAGGGCTCTCAAAAGAGAAGCAGGAGGAACTTGAGCTTGAGAATACTACAATGCGGCTTGACGAGGGACTGTACTGCCTCGAACGTATCGACGTCATTTTGGCCTGGCTAGCGGCTGAAGATGCTGAGGCGAAGAAAGCTACGATAAAGTTTCTCGCTGAACGAGACAAGAGTTTAGCAGATGTAATGAGAACACTCCAAGGTCAGTTGAATGGCGTCTTGGAGGTTGAGCCCGCCGAGCGAGAGATGCTGGAATCTCTGATCAGCTTTTTAAGCTAAGAATATCTCTTGGACGTTGTAGCGAGGCTGTTTGAAGGGCATACTTCTAAAAACGTTTGTGTATGATGAAGCAAGTTTTGTAGCTCTCCTGTATTATATATGCCCCTTCTAGGCAACAGGTTAGCCATCCGTCTGCTACAATACAACCCCTGGCCGATTTTTGAATACACCGAAGGGTTGGTTCAGGAACGTGACTTGAGCGGAACGTTCTCCGAGCTTTTAAATCTAGACAATCGCTGTCCTTTCCTATCTTAACTCTCTATCCATTGCGCTAATCCATTGCGTTGATCCATTGCTATCCCAATCGAAATTACCCTAACTACAATTGCAGTCCGATGGTTTCATTCAATTCTCTAATCGATACTGCAACGCTGTACCGTCCTAGAATACCGAGAGAGAATGCGAATGGCTGAAATCCTGGACGATGTCGAACAGATACCAGGCGTAAGGCCGATATGTGTCGAGACATATTAGAGAAGACCAACTAGGCATGGGTATCATAGATAATCTCTTCATATAAATCAATATTGAGCCCTATCGGCCTGCCCATAGGTGGCTTGCAGCTTCGCCCCAAAGAACAGCTGCTTAGTGGGGCCTATCACGACGCTGGGCTACCGAACTTTGCCTTGATGTTTCATTCTATCATGCAATGCCTAGGGCTATGGTAAAGGAAAATGCTTAGGGCCGAGACCGGCTTTCAAGGGGTTCAACACCCGCCACTAGTTGCCAACAAGGCTGAGTCGCTTCGATTACTACATTCTCCTCCATGGAGAGATGGCCTCAATTTCGTCTCGAACTTACAACGAGGCCCTTTAGCCGCGACTTTAATTAGTCCTCCAGCATCATGCGTAACTCTTGGAATCATCCCAAGCGGCGTAACATTAATGGGCTTCTGGGGCTAAACCTGTCTAGGAAGCAATGTAAATGGGCGTTTTGAAGGGTATGGGTTGGAACAAGGATTATTACTCTTGGTATAGCACGGCATATCCAGAGAGGCTCTACTTCTAGCTTCAAGTTGTCCTTCAGGATGGGAACCAGTGACCAGAAGGACGGTATCGACAGCGATTTCAGACGCGACCTTTCTGGACAGGGAAGCAGCGGTGATGTGTTGCCCTAGGTACTTAGTTTCCCAGATATTCCCTTTAGAAGTCTCAATGATTGCGGTAGATATTTAAGCGTGGCTCTTACCAAATATATATGCTAATTATCAAGTCCACAGGGGAATGACTTATGGGGTCAACGACACAGCCCCGGAAAACAATGGGAACTGCAGACCATTGAAAGAATCCAATAAGCGCTATGTTATCCAGTTCTGCATCACTGGGACCGCTCTACCGAAACTAGAAACCTGGAAATACACTGGTCAGCCAACGTACATCATAGTAACGGAAGTCTTAGAGTTGAGGTACTACATTTAGATATAGGACTGGCGCTGAAGCTACACCTACGAGTACACCACCTGATCCGCCTAAATCTGAAAAGATTTCACTCGCGATGGTGTGATTGTCGGGACGGTTGTTGTTGCCACACCCCATTCGGTATCCGACCTTGAGAGTCTAGCATGCTTCTCTAATCTTACTAGAACCGTAAGCCCTACCGCTGAAAGTATGAACAGACTACCATCAGGTTCGAAGGAACATCAAACCTCGTCACACGTATTTTTACTAAAATCCAAAGATCCTCGACGGGAGGAAGCAGGAGCCAGCTCTAAATGGCAAACGGAGGACTGGACGGCTCCCCAGAGGTGCAAGGCAAGGACTGAAGAAGGCATTGGTCGCTGACGGTATCAGAACGAAGGATACCGAATGGCAACTATGTTGAAGAAGATCGCCATTTTCCGCATTTTGTCACCTAATTTGCAACACGACAAGAGACCTAAAACAGGAGAATGCACTATCTCAACATTCTACCAAATATCAGCAAGAGGTTTACAAATTTACTCTTCCCTTGTTATGTTCTTCATTATCTAGTAACATGCTGTAAAATATACCCTGAGGCCCTTTCATTGTGGTACAGCTGAGATGAGGATTCCAAGTTGAAGGGATTTGAAGGTCTATGGATTTCCTGCCGGCTAAGGACTCCTTTAAAACCAGGAGAAACACCGCTTGCGGATGGACAATTTCTCTACCTCCCCCTTTTTCTTCAGGTGGAATTTCTAGAATCAATTGCAGCTTCCACCTGTGGACTACTTAATGCTTGGACTACGTGCGTATTATTCTCTTCGCATTTAAAAACTCAACTTTAAACATTAATCACTTCTTCGCTACGACCTCAATGACGAAAACGCATCTTTAGAAAACGAGCTCCGCCAAGCAACGGCTTCAATTTTCCAACGAACAAAAGTGCAGCCATAGCGAGTTGCCAAGACCGTGCATGGCTCATTCACGATCCGCAATAGGACAAGATTTACATGATTATTGACAACGATCGCGAACTACAAAATTCAGACAAAGCAAGCGAAAAACAATTAAGCTATGAACTTCACAAGCTACAAACTGTTTGCTTAAGTAGAGGATGTTTCTTTCCTTCATGACTGTTACTTCCTTCTATTTTCCAAATTCAAGTAACGATTTCGTCATCCACTTTCCCACGTCGCGTCGCGTTGCATAAACAGGTCTTCACCTTGACTTTCCAAACCCCACGGCGGGTCTCTTTGATAAATCTCTCTCCATTGGGACTCTGTAGCAACTGAATCACTCCGTCCAAAATGTCAACTCCTCCACTACGCGGGTATATTGATCCCAACTTTCCAAATCCCATGGGCCCCAACGATGCAGCTGTTGTCATTTACGGCTACACGCCGTCTGTTATTGTGGGAGTTTTAGGTGTGATACTCTTCTTCGTCGCTGGTGTGCTTCATACCTGGCAGTTGTTCAAATATCGGACCTGGTATTTCTGCACAGTGCTGGTTGGAATCGCTTTCGTACGTCACCCCATCCTAAGCACCAACCATATATATACAAGACCTCCGGAACTGATATTGATATGCCAAACAGGAAATCGTCGGCTACGTGTTTCGTTGCTTATCCTCACAAGTTGATCCCTACCGCGTAACATTCTTCGTCGTACAATACTTCTTCATCGTCGTAGCACCAGTCTTCTTCTCCGCAGCGATATACACCGTTCTATCAATCCTCATCAACACCACTGGTAGACACTACGCACCCATTCCACCAAAACTGATTCTGTGGGTCTTCATTACCTGCGATGTTATCGCCACCGTAATCCAAATCTTCGGCGCAGCCCTCATCGGCGTCGCAGAATCGAATCGCAAAGACCCCACAACCCCAAACAACATCCTGCTCGCCGGCCTCGCATTCCAATCCTTCTCCTTCCTCATATTCATCCTTCTCTTTGCGTGGTTCCTAGTCAAAGCCCGACGCATGCAGTTCAAGGTCGTAGGGAAAAGTTTCTACGTTGCGTTTAGCGCGGGGGTTGTCCTGGTATATTTGCGTGTGTGCTTCAGGCTTGCGGAGACAGCGCAGGGACTTTATGGTGATTTGAGTACACATGAGGTGTTTTTTGGTTGCTTGGAGTTTGCACCTGTGGTGGGGGCGATTTTTCTGTTAGCGGCGTGGCATCCCGGTAGGTGTATTCCGAGAAGTCGCCTAGTGCATGTCGATAATTAGGGGGGAGTATTAAGAAATGTAAGCCGGAGGACTCTACAATAGAATGCCCAATCGACCTTGGGCTTCGCGTCCCACTATACTAACTATATAAATCACATAGCTCCTCAGACCCTAAGTCCAGAATATATCACTTCTTTCATAACTCATTCCTCATAAAATTCTACAAGAAGCCAGGAGAAACCCCTATTCTTGTTTTTTTGATCGAATTTCCATTGTACCTTGAGCTCAATTGAGCTCTGGAAATAAAGAAGTCCGGCCTAATTAACACTTCGCTAACGCATCTACGGTACCTCTCTATCAATCCCGCCAAAAAAAATCCAACCCAACGGAAGGCCTGCCGGAAGGAGAGGAACAGCTGGTAGAAAATTTAGGCCTTATGATGGAATCTATTTTTTTGGATACTAAGAAACGTTTCTGAGCGCCAGACTCGCACCGGTCACCACGTTGCGGTAGTGTTTAGTGGTTAATTTAGAAGAGGAGGGGAAGGAATACCACTACACCATTTCCCCTGGAGATAGCTGCTTCCAAGTACTATTCTTGAAACGGTTGCGAATCCTTAGAGTTATGTAGGCATCTCGGGGGAGGGCTTTGGAGATGGAGGCAGCGCAAGGCACTCAACAAAATCCATTGATCGCTCGACCCGCGGCCTGAAAGGGGGCGTTGTGAAATTATGCGAAGAGAGAATTTGGAGTACTACTTCATAACCACTGTATAGCAGAGATTTCGGCGATTCCTCTACTTACAGGAGGCCTAGTTGCAGTGGTATTAAAGTTTTATATAAGAGAATTAGCATTTAGTGGAGTAGCTTGCATGTTTACGTGGAGAGAGTGCACACACGCTCACTATGTGATTACATAAGGTAAAGATGTAAAGCAGGTAAGAATAGCTCTAGAGGTAATAAAATATAATAAAAGATAACTTGTAGCCTAAGTTGCAAGAGAGAATGTTGACGGAGATTTTATGAGGGGAAGAAATCTAGAGGGATAGAGGCTAGTCCTGTTGCAGACTAGCTGCTTTGAGGGTATGCGCCCTCACCTTCTCACCTTCCTCTTAACCTCCACTACTCGCGCTTCACGTGCACAAAGCACCTAGAGTTGAGTACTCTAACTGCCCATTTACCTTATTTTCCCCACAGTCACACAAGAATCCCTCTTTCATAGTCGAAATTATTGATTTTCAGGGCTTTGGCAAGTGTTCTCTTGACTCCGCCTCGGCCAAAGCTTCACGAGCTGAGCATATCCCTAAACATCGACAGCACTTGTATCGGCTCTCAGTTGTACATGCTATGAATATTGGCTGACATTTTCGAAGCCTTTAAATCTAGTATTAATTGCTGAGCCACTTCCCTATTTCAATTACCCCAATAGAGGGTTTTCAGGTCAAACTCGAACACGGTCTCCCCAACAATGCTGTGGATAATAGACCTAACTCTTGAAATCCTCAGCTTCATAAGTCCTCAGATATATGGTGCGTATAAGTAACCTTTGGTCGGGCCTAACATTGTAACCGTTGACCGACTCTACTAAAGGACAGGGCTTTTTTCAAGACCAGGTCCCCTTGAAGGGACAGGAGTGTTGCTCCCAAAGTAAGTTCTCTTTGTGAATTTGAAAACGTACCCAGCTTGGTATTCCTGAGTTCTTAGTGTTTCCTAACAGTAACCTCTACTACGAAGTCAGAAGTACCTGACTATTTTGACACGACTCTGGGACAATTCGCTGGTGAGCTGTGAAGTGCATTATCCTTGTATAGCACTATCTGATAAGCCGAAAGGTCCAACACAGACTGGGGGTGCACCATTCCTGGCTCAGACGAACGTAGCCCCCTTCCCGGGAATCTCATATATTCCGAACACGCCGCTGGAAACACAGGTACCAATTCCTGGAAATGTGCACAATCATAACATTTTCCAGCGGTTAGCAAATCTTAGCCCTTATTTCCCTAATCCTCGTGGGTTCGGCGTCCAGGAGTATCCTATTCCCTGTGGCTCAATCGTTACATGGTTGAATATGGTACATCGTCATGGCAGCCGCTATCCAGAAATAAGCGGGCGTGAGCGAACACTTGGGAAGAAGATCATGGGTGCGAAGGGAAAGTTCACTGCCAGTGGCGCTCTGGAGTTTCTAAATAATTGGAAGTTCATGCTCGGAGCTGAGATTCTTGTCCCCATTGGAAAGCAAGAGTATGTCAGGGATAATGGTATCGATAGGTGCCTTTGCGGCGCAATGCTAACTCCTACAGGCTATTCAATTCTGGGACTCTCCATTACTACAATTATGGCCACTTGTTCCCTAACAATGGGAGCAAAATCATAGCTCGGACCACGACCCAGAGGCGTATGGTAGAATCCGCCGAGTACTTCTTAGCTGGCTTCTTTGGACTTGGTTGGACACGGAACGCAACTTTAGAATTGGTCATCGAAGGCGATAATTTTAACAATACCATGGCTGGGTACAAGCTTTGCCACCACTCTAACTCACAAACTGCATACAAAGGCATCTTATGTCCATAGACTTCTCCGCGGACCTGGCTAACGATGGACAGCTGTCGATGACTGGGCACAAGTTTACCTCACTGACGCTTATCTAAGAACTAAAGGAATGATTTCGGGAGATTTGGACTGGACTTTTAACGATACATGTAAAACACCTTGTTGGCCCCTTCATATGTTTTCCCTGACGAAGTATAGATAATGCACAGGCATTGTGTGCCTACGAAACAGTAGCCCTAGGCTTCTCCCACTGGTGCGGGCTCTTCACATTTGAAGAGTGGGAAGGCTTCGAATACAGTCTTGATATCGGCTTTTCCGCTCTTGTCGGATTCCAATCACCTGTTGGCCGAGCCATCGGCATAGGTTCGATACCCTATTCCCCAAAGTTGTTCAGGACTGATGGTGAGTAGGTTACGTAGAAGAAGTGCTCGCTCGAATGCAGCACCATGTGATCACCAACGCTGCCGCGCAGATCAACATCACGCTAGACAACAACACTGTCACTTTCCCGACAAATCAATCCCTAAACTTCGATTTCAGCCACGACGCGAATATTATCTCAATCCTCGCCGCCTTTGGGCTGACGCAATTCAGCAAATTTCTCCCAACCACCCATATTGTTGAGCGCGAATTTGTTCTTGGCTATCTGGAGCCTTTCGCTGGTAGACTCGATATCGAAATCATACAAGCCCCTGCCCCTGTTAATTCTAATCGATCGGACCCTAAAATTTACCTCGAGGGGCCGCCGACGAGCTATGTTCATTTCATCTTAAATCAGCGTACGATACCTCTCGGTAGAAGTCTTGAAAAATGCGGGAAACGGGACGACGGGTGGTGTGAATTTGAAACCTTCCTTCAGGTGCAGAAAAAACAGATTGAGATTGCTGACTTCGACTTCGCCTGCTTTGGAGAATATGAGTCTGGAAAATACGGCGACGTGACTGACGGACGACCTGCGCGGTAGGCAAGTCCACCATCATATGTTGGATATCTTTGTTACTGCTCTTCTCTAGCTAATATTCTGGACTTCCCTGAATAGGTATGTGAATTTTAATGCCATTGAATACTGACAGCCGCATGTTTCGCATACGTGCATATGGATCCCGGCAACTATTGTACGACTTTCAGCCTCCTGGACCCAACTCGACACCGGCCGCTGCGGCTTCCCGATATCCGGTCTTTGATTGCCATAAAAGGTAAGTGAATATCAAAATCGTGGATTGCAGACATATGCATGTTTCGCATGCCTGCATTATTTCTGGATAGGTGGGAATCTTGTACTACCGTTCGCCGTGGTTGAAGATTTATCTTCGTTTCTGTAGTGAATGTATTGAAGATATTAAATCTGGGTAAATTTTCATTTGAGTGTTTCTCCCCCAACGGTGTTTTATTATTGCTTTTGTCTATGCTCATGATGTCCATTGACGCTAGGAATCTAAAGCTGGAAAGGAGTTATGATGACTGCTTCATAGGAGCAGCCCGGAAGAAGTGTCCATTTCGCGCTGCAATTTTGGTGCCGATTCAGAGCCGTTCTCTTTAATTCGATGTTTATCTAGCGTAATTCACTCGCTATCAAAGATACAGTGTGTATCGTTGAGAAAAGTGCACCTTGGATAGCCTCGAGCAAAGAATTTCTAGTCAGCCAACATTCCGTCACCACTTCTCTTCACGCCCGAGAAAATGAGCACTCGCTACCTGAGATTTAGTGTCCCTTATCTAAGAAAAAAGCCTTTTTGACAACACTTCCCTAATAGAACTTCCTGCCAACCATTATTATTCTATTGTCTTTTCTCATCATCTTCTGCGAAATCTAGTGCTCAATACTCTAAATTCCAGCTAATAACCCATAGAGGCTACCTCAAAATAAACTGAACCCTAGAAGCTTGTAACTTAAATCACTCTGCTATGCCCCCAACTCCACAACAGCCGCCTGACTGCGCTGAAAGTTCCTGTTCTACGGCATCAGATTCCATCACTCAATAACTGAACACAGCGCCTAACACACCCATCACTACTCTACTACTACTCCACAACCACCACTCCCAAAGAAACATCCTTCAAATATAAAACCTCTTTCTTTCCCAACGGCATCAAAGTTCCTATCGCCCCTGACCTCTGCAATACACAACAATACGGAACTTGCCACAACTTCTACGTCCGCTGGAGCCCATGACCCTGCAAATTTACAACCTGTCGGTATCTAATGCGGCTTGCTCAGACAAAGAGGGCGATGGTGACGACACCACGCCCGTCAAACTCCTCCCATCAACCACATCTTCTGGAAGTGCTGCATCGCCAGACGTGCCCCAACTACTAACAGAACTCTGGGCCCTTCCACTCTCGCCACAGCTAGAAGAAGAGGAGGAGGAAGAGGAGGCCCACGAAATCGGCAATGAATACTCCTGGCGCGCCGAAGACGCCAAAATCCGGGTCCGGCAAGGTATCCATAGGAGACAGTCGCGCATCCTGTCCGTTAATAACTGGCCACTGCCGAGCGGCGAGGTTGCAAGGATGCCAGCTGAGGACTGATTTGAGCTCGCTGAGACCGGTGAAGAGTGCTGGCTAGGGGCTAATGGATGAAGGTGATAGTGTTTAAGATATGTGGTGTCTTTGCAAAGGGGTTTGATAGCGTGCTTGCTCAGGTTTTAGAAATGTTACGGAGTGTTGTGTCGCCTGCAGTATTCCTTATTTTAGCTGGAAGGGTTGAAATCCCCGTAGACAAACACAAGGGTCATCCATTGCTGGAGTGTTGATGTGATTTGATTTATCAGAAGAAATCACATCTCCTATTAACATTAGAGCACTAAACTGACTCCAAGATCCAAAATGTTGCCAGAGCGACCTCGCACCACCCTTCCCCTAGCCCAACATCCAAATTTCCCTTACGCCATCTCTATACCTAGCCAAACACTTCCTCACCTCTCCCACCACTCCTCAGCTCCCTCCCAAGCACATCCACCCAATCCCTAGGCCTCGCTCTCCCTCCCTCAAACCCCTCATTCAACCATGCCTCCCCATCATACCCAAACTCAATCAGCGCGTCCTCACACCCCCACTCCCCATTCCCGCTCAGGCCAATCGGCACTCTACCATCTCCCTGCTTCGCATCCACATATCCTATTGGAAAGCTAATGCAAGGGATCCCCGTGAAATTAGCCAACCAGACATATTCCATATTCCTGACCTGCATATTACCATCCATCAGCCCATAACTCAAATCTCCCGGTTTGATCGCCCATCCTGCATTCGGCGTTGTAGGTGTGACGATGATGAGACCCGGGTAGGTGGTAAAGAGGTGTGCAAGATGTTGCATGAGGAGGTTGCGGAGACGCTGGGCGAGGAGGAAGTCTCGCGCTGGGGTTTGCGCGGCGACTTTTAGCAGTATTTTGTTCGCGGCCGTGAGGTTGGTGACGGAGGGCTGGGCGGTCACGCATTCTGAGAGGATGGTCATGGCATGGGCTAATTGGCCTTCGTGTATGAGTGGGAGGCTGATGTCGATGACCTGGTAGCTTAGTTTAGAGACAAAGTAGTCAATTGCAGCTTGGCAAACAGCCTTGACTTCTGGGTCTGCGCGATCGAACCAGGGTTTACAGATCCCGAGGATCTTTTTACGCGGCGTTGAAAGTAGTTTCGGGGGATCGAATTGCCGGGATAAGGGATGGGAAGGGTCAGGTTGGGCAAGAATGCGGTAGGAGATTTCGAGATCGGTCATGTTGGCGGCCAAAGGTCCTTGAACTACTGTTGTATTTGCGAATTGAAGAAGGGGGGCGGTGGAGACGCGGCTATGGGAGGGCTTGAGGCCGTATATGCCACAGTAGTTGCTCGGGATGCGAATCGAGCCTCCGCCGTCCGAACCTATGGCGAAGGGAACAAGGCCTTGAGCTATGACATATCCGGCACCTCCAGACGAACCCCCGGTGTAGTAAGACGAGTTATATGGATTCAAAGGAGTTCCCCATTTGGGGTTATTGTTTGTAGTATCTGTCTACCATTAGCCTCAGCCTATGCAATACATCATATGTGAAGAGTTTCTCACCAAGGCCTAGCTCATGCATTGTCAGCTTCCCCAGCATCACGCAGCCTTCCTCCTCAAGCTTCCTGACACACCACGATGTCTCTACTTCCTTTCCCTCATTGTAGTCATGCGTTGTCCCCACAAACCTCTGGTATCCCCGGACATCCATTTCATCCTTGACCGCAAACGGCACTCCATCCAGCATCCCAAGCGGCTTTCCCTCCTTGTATCGCTGCGTCGAGGCCTCGGCAGCTTTCTTCACTAGCTCGACCTTCGAGTGAACAAATGCGGTGGAATGGACAGTTCTCTTCTCCACATCCCTACGCACAAGCGGAAGCAGCGCCTCTACAACATCGATAGGTGCAACTGTCCCAGTCTTATATGCCTCGTGGAAATCCGCACATGTATAGAACCGTGCCTTTGCAGCTTTAGGAAGAACGCGGATACTCAAATCGCTCGTATAGCTCGCAATTGGCTCATCACTAGGCTTCGGAATGGGAATTACGGTGGGGTCGTATCGCGCCTCGACGTGTTCGAGTTCCTTCGTCTTCCGCAGCGTGTTAAAGCCCGCATTGTGCCAGAAGAAGGATTGGAGGAAGGGGAGAGATGCAAGACTGGGTTCATTAGCGGAGAAAGGCAGTTGGCAAGTGGGACTTACAGCGAAGATAGGTAGTGAAGTGCCAATCCCTTGAGGGCTGGATTTTGGGGTGGCTTGGGCGATTGGTATGGTATTTCGTAAGCTATGGGCGAGGGATAATTGACGAAGTCCGATGGTGCACAATCCCTGTCGAGCATCTTGGCTGCTGATGGACGCACAGGGAGCTCGAGAGACTTAGTTGGCAAGTGTCAAGGACCTAGGAAATGACTACCAAATAAAGCACAAGTATTATGGAGTGACAGTTTACGCTTCGGGCGTGTCGACAGCTGAGATATTTCGTCTAAAGATCGTGGTTGCGCCTCCAAACCTGCTTGTGCGTTCAGGGACACCGAGGCACTTCATTGTTCATGTGTTTAGCCAATCATGTCATTGCTACCAGAGTATAGAGCGACCAAAGATTCGTTATAGGAGACTCCCATTTTGAACTCCACTACCAGTCCTCGCTATGTTTGCACTCGAAACATAATAATACAATCATATTAATGTACTGTATGGTGCCGCCCACCCCCTGGGCTCTTCCTATCAATTCATTTTGTTATTCAGAATCCGAACGAAGTCCAACACAACAATGTCGAATGATTTAGCGTAGCTCTCATAGGGCGTTGGGCTTAGGTCTCGCTTGTTCAAATTCTCGTCCGAGTGACTATTACTCGTCCTTTCCGGGAGCGCCGCGAGAGCCAGAGACCTGGTCGCCCATACGATTGTACTCCTTTTGCATGTTCTCCACCTGCTTCTTCAGGTTGGCCATATCGCGGTCCTTGGCAGCGAGCTGCTCCTTCAGGCTGGCAATCTCACCCGGGCTGCCAGCATTCGGGAGGGAAGCGCCTTTGCCCTTGGTCTTCGAGTCACCCTTGAGGGACTTGACCTCCTCTTCGAGACGGAGCACGTCAAGAATCATTACATAGGTGCGGTTGAGGATGAGGGACAGGAAGAGGGTGAAGCCGCAGAGGTACATGTTGCGCTGGGAGTAGAATTTGCGGGCCTGGACTTCCATGCGTTCCGATCCGCCCATGACGGCAGCCCTGCGTGTGTGATCAGCATATGTGGCAATACCCGGTGGCTAGCCTACATACCTTCCCTGTGACTCGCTCTTGGAGAAGGCGCTGAGTTCGACCTGGACGCGGTAGACGCGGTTGACGCTATCGACGAAGAGGATGAGGATGAAGATGAACGTGATCTGAGGATATGATGAGTCTTGACCCCCTCGTCCCTATCTGGGCTACTTACCTTCATGCCATATTGTAGCTTGGCGACGATGGGGCTCTCCGAGATGAAAGTGAACAGTTTGCGGCGCCATGTGAATGGCAGAGGTACGATTAGGCAGCAGAAGATGACCATCTCGGTCACCAAGAGGATGAAGACCTGGAGGAGGAATAGAAGTAAGCACGTGAGCAACATTGTTTGCATGGCGAGGCGAGGCCATGGAGGACGGTGTACTCGCAGCTAGTCGGCAGGATGATCCATAATATTAAGTCCGAAGATGATGACTTCGAGGAGGCATCCAAGGAAAGGGAATAGGCTTACAAGGCTGTAGTAGAGAGTCATGTTTGTTGCGTGGCTGGAAGCTCACAGGCACGGCGGGATTGGAGTGTTGATATGGAGAGTGAGCAAGCAAGCAAGCAAGGCGAACTGATGGCCTTGTAAAGAACAACAAACGACAGCGTGTCGGTAGCGCGAGTGAAAGCGGCTGCTGATGTGGTGTGGTGAGAGAGGAACGGAGGAACAACACGCGCGACAGGTTGGTACCTAGCCAGAGAGAAAATACGTCACCTCAGTGCAGCCAGGAAATACAGTCTAACTGTATCGAGATTAGCGCATATCCATCCAGAAACTTTCGACTCGTTCAGCCACATCGAAACAAACTTCCCCTCCAGCCTCACACGCAGAGGAACCGCTCTAGATTCATTGCCCAAATTTGACATCTGCTTCAATGACCGACAAGACGGCGATTTCAGCCGATCCTGCTGAGCCCGTCCAGCGCCAGCTTCACTCAAACATCGAAAATATTGAACCAGATGGAGGAATTGGTAATGAAGGTAATGGAACAGAGCTTTCCGGTCCTAAGAGAAAAATTAACCCGGAAGATGACCTAACATCACGGTCGAAGCGCCAGAAGGGTGTTGCTCCAATCAAAGCAGAGTCAGTGAAGGCCATCGCCTTCAAGTTGCAATTGTTCCCACTGACTTCAAAAGGTACTTGATTCATCCTACTGGTAGCAGAGTCGCGGAAGCTCGGCGCGGGGCTGAGGATGACGACGCGGCTGAGGCAGCAGATGATCGCTACCGAGACCGAAATTCACGAGACAAGCGTCAAGGCGGGAAGGGACATAAGAAGAGCCAAAGGAATAACCAAAAAGGCCAGAACACTAGTCGAAAATTCGGGAGCTCACATGATAAACTTCAGCTCTGTAATACTCGTGCACTCAGCCCTGAGTTCTCTCCCAAAGACTGCTCATATGGAGACCGGTGTCGTTTGGAACATGACCTCCGCAAGTACTTGGCTAAAGGCAAACGCGAGGATTTGACCACTTTTGGTGGAAAATGCCCGATTTATGAGTCGAAAGGCTTCTGCAACCTCGGCTGGAAGTGCCGATTCGTGGGATCTCACTCTGAAGAGCGCGAAAATAAGGATGGGCGGCAGGAGCTTATTCTAATGGAAGACCCTGAGCGAAAGTCAGCCGCTGAGCAATCTCCTGCTGCGGAAGACGAAGTGGGAGTGGTCAATGTTGTCCCAAAAGAGGCCAAAATCAACCTGTCAAAGAGGAAGACCGGAACACCGAGATCTGACGCTTACCTCCAGTGGGTCAATGCAAACGTCGATAGTTTGAGGAACCACTTCGACAACAAGCTGGGAGCTCCTATCCAGGAGGATGATAAAAAGCCAGAGCCAGAACAGGAGAAGCACGAGAAGGGGGACAATCGGGCCCAATATACCGAGCCTCCATTCTTGCCGTCCGAGAAACGCCGTATCTACTATGGTTCCGAGACGCCCATCCTGGCGCCTCTCACTACGCAAGGCAACCTCCCTTTCCGCCGTCTCTGCGTTGAGCTTGGTGCTCAAGTCACATGGTCTGAAATGGCCATGGGACTTCCACTGATCCAAGGGGAGAAGGGTGAGTGGGCCCTCATGAAAGCTCATGAGTCCGAAATCCGACCGCCTAAATTTTTCCAAAAGAATATCATTGTCCAAGGCTACGACAACGCAAAAGATCTCAAATTCGGAGCTCAGATTGCGGCTAACAAACCATGGCTGGCCACAAAGACCGTCGAGGTGTTAACCTCACTTTGTCCCCACCTTCGTGCCATTGATTTGAACTGCGGCTGCCCTATTAACCTTGTCTGCGAACAGGGCGCTGGATCTGCTCTTCTGGACAACGGCGCTAAGCTAGAGAATATTCTGCGAGGTATGAACTATGTTTCCAACGAAACCCCAATCACCGCCAAGATCCGTATGGGCACCAAGGACAGTCAACCAACGGCCCTGAAGCTAGTCAAACGCCTCGTGCTTGGTGGCTACGAGGCTATTGAGGCAGGCAAAGGTACTTCGGGTGTTGCAGCTATCACGCTTCACGGCAGGAGCAAGCAGCAGCGCTACACTAAGAGTGCAGACTGGTCCTACATCGCAGAATGCGCCGCCTTGATCCGCAGGCTGAAGCGTGATCGAAGTGAACAAAGTGACACGATGAAGGAAGCCGACCCGCGGGATGTCGCCAACGAAGGGCATGTCTACTTTGTCGGAAACGGCGATTGCTACTCACACATCGACTACTACAATCACCTCGATAACGCACAAGTGGACTCTGTCATGGTCGCCCGCGGGGCCCTTATCAAACCGTGGATCTTCGAGGAAATTGAAAAAGGTCAATACCTCGACAAATCTGCCAGTGAGCGTCTAACCTACGTTGAAAAGTTTGCAAAGTATGGCCTGCAAACATGGGGCTCGGATGAGATGGGAATAGGCACAACACGTCGTTTCCTTCTCGAATGGCTTAGTTTCGCATGTCGCTACGTACCTGTAGGATTGTTAGAGCACCTCCCGCCGAATATTCAGGACAGGGCCCCTGCGTTTAAGGGGAGGGATGATTTGGAGTCGTTGATGAGCAGTGAGAATTATAAGGATTGGATCAAGATCAGGCACGTCATTCCCCTGTTCCCTGTCCCCTCGTGTTCATGGAAATCCGGGGATAAGAGAACCTAACGAAAAACAGTGAAATGTTCCTTGGACCAGCTCATCCGGATTTCAAATTTGAGCCCAAGCACAAGAGCAATGCATACGATATCGAGGCTGAGGGTTGAGGGCTGCAATATGGATAAAGGAAAGTAAGTGGAATAAATCTCGGGAGTTGACTGCATACCTGCATGAGGCTCGAGAATGCGAGAGTTTAGAGTTTTGCATTGCGAGGCGGAAGCGATAGCGATGTTCGCATCGTCAAGCATCGGTCTCGGCATAGAACACCAAGGCTTGCGATGTTGATCTGGAGGGATTCTGGTTGCTACTTGGTGTGCGCCTCGGATCTCGAACTGCGCCTCTGGATTGAAGGGCATACCTTCGCGAGGTGCACCTCGTATCTAAACCCTCTCTTAGATCAGTGAGAATCAAAGTTTGATTCCAGCACTCATGCTTGCTTCTTTCGGTTCTCAACACTCCTCTATACCTATCATCTAGTAGACAAGCCTCCACAACCATTTTCTTAACTTCCTCACCAAACTCCCATCAATCCATCTCGACCCATGATATCCGCCACTGCCGCCCGCCCTGCATCTCAACATCCAACACAATGATGTCACTCCGCATTCGCACACAACCATCCTCGTACATTCAAACTAACTGGAAGCCACGCAACCATGTCGAGTGCTCGAGCTCTCCCTAAAACCTGCTTTTCATGAATGCATCAGTCTTAAGCTTTCTTGCTCAGAACGTGGCCTTCCCCGATCCAGCGATTTGCCGAAAGCAGAGCTTGTTCAGGGCGAATAGCCAAGGGCATATAAATATGAGTCAGCACATTTTCACACAACATGGTACATGACCAGGATGGATTTAGTCTGTTAAAACATCTTTCTGGAACTACGCAGGATGTTAATAGGATGAAACTCCCTGTCTTGAGTTACCTCGTCGCGGTCCTCGTTGGCGAATGAGATGGAGTAGTTAGAAAGGGAGGGTTCGAGAATTTGAGCTCTAGATTATGCGCATGGAGCGACGCGCGGGCTAAATATGGGATATCCTAGGGGAATAAGTGGGTCGGTAAGAGAGTACGTGACATGCAGGCGGCCGACGGGAGTGCGGAAGGTGGTTGGTGGGTATGTGGATCTGGTTGTTGTGCGTAGGGTGCATCATGTTTTGTGTATGAGTATGGGGTTGAATTGAATATTCTATGAGATGAGGATAGGGAGTGAAGAATTGCTGCATCGGTCGGATTTGTACGAACGGTGTTGTGCTATACCGCAGATTTTGGGAATTCTATAGAGTCAGGTTCTACATCTGGGGAATCTAGAGTCACCAAGACCGTTAGGTTAACTTGTCCACGGCATAGCATCTGGAATGTTGCAACACCTAGTCAGGGCTCCCCACATTATTAGCATTAGTTTAGTAACTATCTAAAGCCTTTACACTACATAACGTTAATGGTTTGGGCGAGGTGGTTTACGGTAATGAGTGTACTATGAATTGGCCAAAATGGTGGTCAGAGACTTGGCTCGGCGAGCTTACGCCATCTGTTGTACGCAGGAACAAAGTAATTAATTAAGTCCGCAAAGAGAGATAGAGAGATCGGTAGGCACAGAGGCCGGGGGAGGCGATGCGATGCGATGACTTTTCTTTCCTAGGGATGAAGGGATTACAGAGAAAGCTTAACTCAGTTGCCATCTGAGAATGTGTGGACTGATGTGGAGTGTGGCTGAACTTCGGATGGGACAGTGTTCTGATTTCAAAGCAATTAGTGGTAAGAGGCATGCTAGTTTGAGGGTGTGTTCGTGGCCTTGGGACGCTTCCTGGAACGAGATGCGACGAGATACGATGCATAGAAGACATCGGGTAATCTTGAAACGTCGAGTATCGTTACTCCACACCCACGCCCACACTAAACAGCATACCTTCCACGGTTCGTTCTAGCGCATTACCTACGTTCAATGACATTGAACCAAGCCTCCTCTCTCATAAGGGTAGTATTGTTCATGTGTTCAATGAGGCTCCGACATCCAGAGTCCTGGATCCTGGAACGAAGGAAGCAACCCTTCAGATCATCCTCGTCTTACCTGCCTCGAGGCGTAGCCATCGAAACGTGGAAACCGGCATCAACCTCGTCTGGCGGGTGTAAGGAACGTGTTCAGCGCAGCGAATCATTTAAGCGCCACCAACGTTAAGCCCCCTTTGGCAACCATAGTATTGGACCTTCTTTCTTGAGAAGCTGCTGAAGCAACGTGAGGTGAGCCATTCTCACAGTTGCATTCTAGAAGGTGCTCGCTAGAGCAATCGAGCTGGGCTTGAAATATTAAGCTGCATTTCAGGCCCGCTGATGCCACCCATAGTCCGTAGGATCTGGACTTCGCCTCGGCAACACTCTCCGCGATGGGCTTGGCGGCTGGGTGAGGGTTCCCTCGAGATTTTGGAGTCTTGGACATGCCAAGCTTTGGCTGATGATTGCCAGGTGCCCAAGCTCAGGCTCGTGCTTTGGTGCAGAGCGTTTGCCGCGTTTCTGCCCTAGCTTCGGCGAGGTAGACGACGGATCGAGGATGTCGGTGAGCTGGACGCCGCTTCGTTCCGAATGCTGAAACAAGACAGTCCGTCGCTCCGGCTGTAGTGTTGAGTGATTATTCATAGCATTGTTGTTGTGAGGCGAATGGGCTCTGGTTCAAGTTACGTTATTCAAGGAGTTAGGAGTGGGATTTTCAACATGCTGTGATGTGCGTGCTGCGTCAATATAGAGAGCCTTGTTTTGGGATAGACAAGTGTTCGGATGGGAAGGCGATATGCAGGGTCCAACGGTCTCCTCGTCAGCACGGATCGAGCCAATCGCTAGGGTTGAGCTTATAATTTACATGGGGACTCGGGATATCATTGGCTAGACAATCTGGCTTGAAGACCTCCGGTTTTCGGAAATTCTGTCACGAGGCTGAAGGACAGGTGCTTCAGGAAGCGGATAGAGTGCGGACCTGGAATTATTGCAGGTCTCTCTGGGTTCAGAGAAGGGCCGTGGAAGAATTAACGCTTCGACAGAGTTACTGCACGCGAACCTTTTGTGTTGTGCATTCGTCGAGCCGTGAATAGTCGGTGCAGCTCGTCAGCCCTGCGGGTCTCGATTATCGGATTATCGAGATAGTTGAACATGCCACCAGAAGTCCAGACGTTCATGCAGGTGAGCCTTGCCACCCCAGAATCAACCATAACAGTGGCAGGTTCTAGCGTTATTGCGTCTCACCAGTCGCATTCTATTGCCTTGCGACGTCGCTCTCGAGACTTGAGACTCGCATGTCGACCGAACAAGCGTTCGGAAGAACGGGACGAGTCTCTCTGACAGGCCGTGGCGTCCGATATAGCCATGCTGTCAAGTGCTATTTGGGAAATGCAGCTGGAGCTTGGAACATTGTCAACATGTGAACATGTACTGTTGACTTGGGCACGTAAATGTACCGCAGGCTAATAGAGAAGCACGAATTAGGAAAGCCGGCCTCAAGACAGCCCAAAGCGGTCAAACAGCCGAGCGCAAATCCGGGAAACCGAGACGGCAACACTGCAATCTGCCGACTTGTCCACACGACGTCAACATCTTGTCAGTCTCGAGACAAGGAGAGCAGGTTGTGCGCGGGAGAAGCAATCGCTGTGGTGGGATATCAAGCAGGGAACAGGACGAGCGCTTCCTGGATGCTCGAGCGAGCAAGGGGAGCAGGGGAGTGGTGGATGTTGGGCGTGGAAGATGCATCCAAGACCATGCCGGCCTTTAGAATCATGGTGGTATGAGTGCCAAAAGTAATTACGCAGTCCAATCGCCGGCGGGCGGGCGGTGGGCCCTGCTGCAGCTCCAGCGGGCGCGGCGTGGTGGCCTCGGGGCATCGTGGAGCACCGAACTGGAGTCGCAAAAGGGGCCTCTTGAGTCTGAAGGAATTACGGATACTGTGGAAGAACCCGGATGCCCATGTGGTGGAAGCTGGTGCGTCCTCCCATGGGCGCTCCTCGGACCCAGAGCGGTGGCGGCTCCCAGAGTCGAGGAAGACGGTCTCAGTGCCACGCGAAGGTGGAGCGCCTTCTAGAAGACGAGGAATCATGCGTGCGAGACAGTGCCTGTAAGCCTGCGTTGTTGCCGACCTCCAAGACAGCCTTCCAGCGAGCGCTTGAGTGTGCTTGAGACTAGTACGGGGTCCTGGGGGCACTGGGGGGCAGCATGCTTGAGCAAGGCCGTGCTCGGCCGGGCCAGATACATATTTGTACCAGAGAAGCGCCATATAGCAGCCTTCTGGTCAGATTTAGATTTACGATAAACATACCAGACGCTTCCTGCTGCTGCCCGCAAAACAGTTACCGTGCCTTCGACACCATCATCGACTCATTGCTAACCGTCGCTGATCGCCGGCGGTTCGTCAAAGTACCGCAGACTTGTGACGGCGATTGGGACCCGCACTCAAGCGCGACCCGAAGCCCTGCGTTCTGATTCGACCGACGCCATCAGGGATCGAGTACCACGTCCAGCATCCACTCAAGTCGGCGCCGCTCGCCCAGTCGTGACCTCGTCACCGCTCTGCCCCAGCGACATATATCCCCGACGGTGCGCCCGGGACGCTGGTCTTTCTGCAATTGTTTTCTCGAGCAGCCTTAGACGCCACTCGCAGACGTAGGCAGCATTCATTCACTACACCAAGCCGATTTTCCCCCCCCGTCACATTCCTCCGGCGCTGCTGCTTACTCCCATTTTCACCGCCGCCCTCGCAACCGTGAAACTGGATTCACAAGAGACGCCGCCTCCCCTCACCTACTCGCCTAACGCCAGCGACCGTGGGCGTGAATCGACCGCAGAGACCACACCCATCAGCACTCCCGTGGTGCAAGCAGCATCTCCGCAACTCGGACGCACCAGGAAGAACCGCGACCTCTACTTCTCCTGGCACCGCAAGCCGCACGAGCTTGGGGGCCATAGGAGCCTGTTGTCGGAGCCCGATCTTCTCTTCGAAGACACGGGCGACTGCAGCTTCCCACTGTTCCCAGAGAGCCCGCCACAGACCATCCCACACCGCGACATGGCGTCGACAGCCTCACCAATCGACATCTCGACTCCCCCGCGATTCAACTCGTCTTCCCCGCGGAATCAGACGTCCAACCTGACCTTTGCCCTCCAGGAGGCAGGCGCGAACCACGACTTGGCAGGCACCGCCCATGCGAACACGGCAGGTGGCAACGAGTTCCGCGATGGGCGCCTGAGCGTCGGGGGACGCAACGACTCTATCAGCAATGGACTCGGGTCCTCGTTCTATGGCAGCGGCGCCCGGCCCATCAGCATGAAGGACAGGCCGCGGAGAGAGAGCAACAACATGGGCAGCTTCGCCGGCGGTGTGAGCTGGGGCGGCGTATCGGTGGGGTCCTGGATCCGCGATGAGTAAGTATCACCAACCTCCCAGCCATAGGCCACAGCTCTGTCAGCACTGTGCACGAAGAGATGCTAATATTCTGTGAACAGCATCTTGATGACTGGCACTTCACCTGCGTTCAACCAGTCGCCCTCCTACCATTCTTCCTCGTACCTGCCCAAGCTAGAAGCCAACTTTATGAAAGACTTCACCTGCTGTGGCCTCACGCTCGCTTCTCTGCACGACCTTCTGCAGCACTTCGAAGAGACCCACGCTAATGCCCCAGCCTCGCGGACCTCACAGTCAGCACAAGGCGGTCTGCCCCCGGTCACAGGAGCCTCAGCCGCAGGTGTCACAGCAGCTCAGACACAGACGCACGGAGAGCCAGCAGCGCACACACAGCATGGATTTCAGCCGAGGACAGGATCGGTCGGCGGATTCCGAGCACAACGACTCGGCTCGGATGGCTTCAGCCGAACAAATTTGTCAACTGTCCAAGACATGGACTCCTTGGAGGACATGGAAATGGATGACGTTGCAGACGCCCTTCCACCGATCGAGGAGCAGCCGTCACAGTTCTCCTCACAACAGTCGCAGTTCAACCAGAACCAGAGCCAGTTGCAGCCGCTGAACGTGAACCTCGCAAATACAATGCAAGCTCACCAAGGCCTGCGAACTTCGACACCAACAACTCCTGCGGCGTCAAACCAGGGATTCGGATTGCAGAATAATCCCACCGTGTCCTCTGTGAATACACCAACACTCGGAACAGTTCCCATGCAGCAAAACGCCCAAAGCCGAAGTTCGCCAGAATCCTCTCATCCAGGCACCCCGGCTGAGCTTGACATGTATTTCTCAAATAACTTCAATCAACCCATGATGGGCCAAGTGCAGGATGCCGATATCAGCTTTAGCAACATGAACTTCGGGAATGGCATGGCCGGATTCGATGGAACAATAGATCAGCCTGGCAAGCGGCTATTCAGCAAGGCAGGATCTGGCCTTACCCAGCAACAGCTACAGATGGCATTCAAGAACTACCAGCTGGGCGGTGGAGGCGACCAGGGCGAATTGGCGAAGAGGCTGCGAGAACAGCAACTGTTAGCTGGTGCAAACATACCTCAGATACCGTATCAAGAGGAAGTCAAGCCGTTCAGGTGTCCGGTCATTGGCTGCGAAAAGGCGTACAAGAACCAGAACGGTCTCAAGTACCATAAGCAGGTGAGGAGTCTTACCCGAAATATGCACTAGAATTTTCTAACTCGGGTAATAGCACGGTCACCAGAACCAACAACTCAAAGAGAACGATGACGGCACTTTCTCGATAGTCGACCCTCTGACCTCAATTCCCTATCCCGGCACAATCGGTATGGAAAAGGAGAAGCCTTATCGCTGCGAAGTATGCGGAAAGCGGTACAAGAACTTGAACGGACTAAAATACCACCGAGCACACGCCCCGCACTGCAATCCGGAGTTGAAGCTGGGCCAACTCGGCCTCGCAAACAATATTCAAGGCATTAACGTGAATGTTGCGGGCGCGGGCATGACGGGCATGGACACGTCGATGTTCTAAGTGCCTCGTCAATATTTCTTGGCACTATCTTCACCTACATCGCTGCCTCCATCTCATCAACCTGCTTCTACATCTCCTCCCGCGCGATAAAAGATACTCGATGGTTCAACGGCGTTCTAAATCTCATAGAGGTGGCTTGGGCCGATCTGCTGCGGCCCTCCGATCTGGCGTACCGGCAACAACAGCATTCTAAAAGTTTCGTTTCCAGCATCATCTCCTTACATTCGGTTTTTGGCGCTTCATGGTGTTGATACCTCAAGTCATCCATACCACGAACAGCAGAGAACTGGATTCTTGGATATGGTACGTCGGCTCTGCATAATATCTCCCCTTCCTGTACATCTCTTTAGGTGCATCTCTTTTGACCGACTTCGAGGTCGGTATGACGACGCGATGTGCATAGAGAGGTGTTTGAGTGGATCTTGTGTTGGTTCTTCGGGATTTCTGGTGCTTCTACTCACCTCCAACTACCCCCTTAATTTCTTTGTTATTGTTCGATCGGTCGCTTCGTTAGACTGGGATATGAACGGCGTTTAATAGGGACTGGAAAAGTTCTGGATCAGGGGCGGACTGGCTGGCTTATGGGCCACTACTACCTCTGGAGTTGTATGCCGATTGATCGATTTGTTTTCTGGAATGTTGATAGATCATCTTGCGGATGGAATTCATCGCCGCCAGAGACCTTTTCATTTGTTAATTGACGGAACGGATATACCAGCTTTCACACGCGCCCCACCTTCCTAGACTGATTATCTGATATATGGGGTTCCTCATTGTGTTGTCTTCCTAATTAAACGTTTTGTGTCTCTCCTTCTCAACCCCTGTCTTCACACCAACCAAGTTTCCTGATTTCCCTTCAACTGCCGTTCAATTAGCAGTCTACCCAATGTGCTCCCTCAATACGTTTCGTAGCGGGAATTTAAGCTATTATTCACGGATTCAACTCCCGTCTCTCTAGCTTCGCAATCTTGAGACATGACAAAACATCAACTTATACCTCTGCTTCTCAACCCGTGACCAATCACTTGGCATAATTTGCCTAGTAGAGACAACATGATGTCCACAACTCAAAACGTATATCTAAATGTTGACACTAGCATCCCTATTCCCGCTCAAGCAGCTTTTACCAAAGTTAGAAGCATACTGCGATATTAAGCTCCATTGCAACCAGACCTTAGCACTGCAAGTGCTGTAAACCCTGCAAGTGGGTTGTGCACAAAACACTGAAGGCTCGCTTCTCCGAGTCGCCGCCATCTCCACGTGTTTGACAGCTACTAACTACGCGCTTTGGCTTATGTTTCAGCCGCAGTGGTACATGTAGCGCAGTACGCCTGTTGGACGATATATCTGTGTCTCAGTCGTGCAACAAAACGCAGGGCGCCGTTAAAAACCGGAGGCGGAGATGGCCGGGTGTCGGAGGAGTCGGGGAGGAAGATCGGGCTTGGCTCGGTGTGGTGGACAACAGATAAATGGGCGAATAAGAGGGGAGGTTGGTGGCGAGTGATGTGAGCTGGGCGATTTCATGGATATTCCGCCGATCCATTGACAGAGTATTTTGAGGTACAAAGGGTATAGTTGGCAGTTAGCAATGAGTCCATTTAGGCGTATACTTGGGGGATATATGGCTGAGGGAAGAGGATATAGGAAGTATGGAGCTCCTATGAAACTATGTTTCTGCCCTAAGGGAATCGGGAGGGAAGCGGCAAGGACTACTTTGAGGAACAAATAGTTGAGGTGAAGTGGTCGTGTGCCAGATTCTTATTCCTTGAGACCGAAATATTCAACTGCTCTATACACATTCCTCTTCAGTCTCTTGATTTATCTCACCACTCTTCTCTCCAAGCTGCATTATATATTCTATGAAACACATTTCGAGGCATATGAACTATGTCCCCTGTTAGCAAGGGTTTCATTTCTACCTCGTTTTTGCAAAAATTATTCCACTTCGAGCTCCATCAATTCAGTATTCCCAAAAACTTCTTGCAGATTCTGTATGAATCTCCTTCGCCCCCTGTTCGGAACGACCGACGCCACACGCTACCACCGCCACACTTCTCCTCCCACGTGAGCTCTCGCTTCCTGAACCAACCCACCCAACACCACGTCCATTACCAACAATCCCGATCTTCGTGCCCCTGCCAAGTCTTCCGCCACTCTTTGGCTCATACTCTTCTCTAATTACTGACCCATTTGAATGATCACAAAATGGCAGCAGAGAGAACAGACAGACATCCGGTGCTACATGCTCCGTCTCTTCTGATCACGAAATCAGAATGATATTGTCAGTTTCTGACCTCAGCAAACTACCTGAGGAGCTGTATGACCCATTGGAGGAGTGCGTGGTGAAGGCAAAAGTGGAGGACTTCAAGAGAGGGCTGTGAATAGTAAGGGTTGTTAGGTACAGCGATACCCCTGTTGGTAAGTCAAGTGATGTTCGAGATTAATGTGTTTTCATGCTACATCTCCTACTGTGGTTAATTTGGCTTGTCCTCATCTTCCTCCCGGTTCGAGGTATATTTCACTTATACTTATATACATATTTCTTTTGCCAATCTTCTCACTGTATAATTCCTTCTTTGATCATTCCTATAGGCTCCTAAGACGAGCTTCTTCTCTGGCAACTTTTCCGTTCCACGACCATCATCACCTCCTTCTCCGCCGAAGATCCCGAAGAAAGCACTTCGAATCTTACGCATCTACACCTCCCACCAAACTACTTTTTACAACGGGCGCGCCAATTAGAATATCCCGAAGCATCTCGCTCGGTTCTCTTCCTCTGCTCCTCCGACCCCAGCCGGCAGCTCTCCTTTGGAGTCAATAAACATCAAGCTCTTCCCTCATGGCACTGACATTGTAGGTGGTGATGGCACTCACCTTTTCTTTTCAGTAATACTGAAGCCGTGGAGATGGGTCTCAAGTGTCCCTTTCAGTTCGAGGTGATCGCCGTTGATTAAAACGCAAGCACAACCGCCTATTCCAGAGGCATCAGGATTTGGGTTGTAAGCTGCAGATGAAAATGAAGATGGCGATGGCGGTGGCGACGGCGATGCAACAGCGAGAATTGGTCCCTACGATATCAATCCAAAGTTTGAAGATGGGCTACTCGCAGGTAGTGGCAGATGGTCCTGTTATCCAATTAAATGTATATGTGCCGAGGGCAAGAGGCTGCAGAGTACCTATCCATGAACCTGACAAAGACGCAGGAATGGAACAAGAGTAGGCAGTTAAGGAGGTGGGCAAGTACTAGCCTGGGGACGCCCGCCCTTGGAGCATTGGAGCTTGGATGGAGGATACGGAGATGATTGTTTCCAAGCCGATTGAGTGGGAACTGTAGAATTCCCTGCTGCAGCCGAGAGGGTGATTACAGGAGTAAACAATCCAACCTTGACCCACACCGCCCTACTCCGAAAGCACAGCAAAAGCCGCCATACTTAATTTCGAAGAGAGCAGCAGAATTTCACCACACGAAGCAAACAATTTAACTCAGCTTCCTCTCTCGCTGTCCCGTCAATTGAACGTCTTCGCGTTGCAACAGGCCCATGATCACAGCGCATCCGAGCTGCAGCGCCTTAACCCTTACTTCCTCCCTCCTATCTAGAACCATGTCCACCTCGAATTCCGTCCTGCTCTATATTCTGCCAGAGATGTGTAACTCGAATCCCACCTACAATGATCTGAGTGGCAAGAAAGAGAGTCCTACTGAAGTAGACATGCTTATCTGGAGCTTAGGTAAGTGCCTTTTCCTTGAAATGTCTTCAACAGCGCTGATGTATTCAACAGAGTTTGCCCTCACTAATAAGGGCAAAGATATTCTCCCTGCACATTACCTGGACCTTTTAAATGTCAGTATAAATCCATCGCCTACCATATATAGCGGTAGACAGGATAGTAACACCATGGGGGTTGACTCTCTAGATCCACCGGGACTAGGATACCTTAGAGCTGTTAATGGAATCCAGTAAGTCGCAGAGCACACTCACCTACCTCCTGAGATTCTATGGGCAGCGCTCATAGTGGCACTGAGCGACCGTTCCCAAGCTGCAAACTTTCTCGAAGCCCTACTCTACCTAGTATTCCCGGATATAGACATTGCCAAGTTCCAATACCGAACTGGGGATCCAAGCCAAAGGCTTTGGGGTAAAAAGGCGATTTAGTGCGTGAAAAGCTCCGAACCGTTCTTGTCCCGGCCTATGACACCCTATTCTGACATCAAGGCATTCTGTCGGATCACCTGCGTTGAGAGAAAAGCCATCGGCGCAGGCCGACACCGGCTTTCGGCATGGTTCCGTGGTCTGCTATTCCGAATCCGGCTATCCCACACGGCACATATTTGAACCAGCGATCCCCTCAAACATTTCAAACTCTCTTCTCTTCTCCTTCAATAGTCATAGATTTCATGGGATAGACTTTCCGAGAGCACTTGCGAATACACTGGGGACTGGCGTAGAAGCTCTCACCTGCAACTTAGTACCGAGCAATCAATTGCCGAGTCACTTTCTTCAACTTCTTTACCTAATATATTGACGTCAGAGACCGTTGTCCTAGTCGAATGACACACGAACCAAAAGGCAGCAAGCCAGGATCCATTCACGAACGGCACCAATCGACGAGGGCGAATACAATCCCCTCTGTCGAGTTTTCTATCCCACCATCAGTTCTCGATCCACCTGTTCAAAAGATTGTTTCGCAATGCCCTTTACGCCGAACTCAAAACGGAGATGCCCAGGAAAAGTCAGTAGCGAATGAAGATTACTGTGCAGCTCCCAATGACGAGGAAGCTCAATCTTTCGTGACTGATGAGGTCACCTATCCCGAAGGGGGACGTCAAGCATGGCTTGTAGTTCTAGGATCCTTCTGTGGGACTATCGTAGCTTTTGGCATGATGTAAGTGAATCTCAAAGGGGTTGAGCATATACTAACTGAGAGTTAGGAATACTGTCGGCATTTTCCAAGCCTACGTCAGTGAGCATCAACTGAAAGACTATAACGAAAGCACCATTGGATGGATCTTTGGCCTCTATGTCTTCCTCTCATTCTTCTGTGGCATCCAAATCGGACCTATCTTCGATGCCCATGGGCCAAGGATGTTGATTCTCGCTGGGAGTATATTGATGTCTGCGAGCATGCTGCTTCTTGGTCTTTGTACTCAGTATTGGCACTTTATGCTTTGTTTTGGTTTCGTCGGCGGACTCGGTACTTCCCTCATTTTCACTCCGGCTATCTCTACTATTGGGCATTTCTTTCTTGCTAAACGCGGTAATGCAACGGGAATAGCCGCGGCGGGAGGTTCCCTTGGTGGTATCATCTTCCCAATCATGCTGCAGAGGCTTTTTCCGGCAATTGGATTTGCTTGGGCTACGCGGATCATGGGTTTCATTTTCATCTTTAATTGCTCCATTGCTGTTCTCTTCACACGCTCTCGGCTTCCTCCGAAGCCGGGTCAATCCGTTATGCCCGATCTTCGAATCTTCAAAGACCCAAGCTTTGCATTGCTTACCGCTGCAATTTACTTCATGGAATGGGGCTTGTTTGTACCGATTACCTACCTGACGTCGTTTGCAATGGCATCGGGCGCCATCACGCCGGCCTTTTCCTATCAACTGATTGCCATAATGAATGCCGGTTCCTGCATCGGCCGATGGGCACCCGGATACATTGCAGACAAGCTTGGACGATTCAATAGCATGATTGCTGCGCTTGCTCTTTGTTCGGCCTCCACAATTATGCTTTGGCTCCCAGCTTCCATCCTTGAACCCACGAAATCCGCGGACGCTACGACGATTAAGGCTCTGACCATTGTGTACACCCTAATCTTTGGCTTCGCATCTGGATCGAATATCTCGCTAACTCCGGTCTGCGTCGGCCAGCTCTGCGATACCAATGAGTACGGAAGGTACTATGCTACCTGCTATACAGTTGTGTCTTTTGGAACGCTGACAGGAATTCCTATTGCTGGGAGCCTTGTCCAGGCGGCTAGAGGACGCTTTTGGGGTGTAGTAATCTGGACGGGGTTGTGCTATATCGTGGCACTTGGTTGTTTCATCTGTAGCCGGGCTTGTAAGGTTGGGTGGAAGTTAGGAGTGAAGTTTTAGGAACGAATATAGAGTCGGCTGAGTGGAAAGATGAGGAGGGATGTCCGAGGAAAAAGACCATCAAAAATGAGCTGGTTCTGGCGTGGTTTCTGCAGGGCCAGAACGTGGAAAGGGAGGGGTAGGCGGAGGGAAGAAATGCGAGGCTGATGATTGCGTGGTTGTTTGGTTGGTTAGAAATCATGAACGCGATTCAAAGCAATGGTTTGCGCTTGTCCAGTCGTCTGTTGTTTCGAAAGACGGACATAATGCAGGGGAAAGGGTAATTGAATATTTCATAAGTAAGAATAGCTATGAACTTTGTTTTAGACTCATGCTTGAAAAAGGGTGGTTGCTTAGTCGCGCCGTCTTCGCCTCCAATATTCTCCATCAGAAGCAAAGTCTCGCGATGGGGATTCTTCCGACAAGCCTCTCAGGGGTAAAGGGCAGGGACCAAGACCACGTGATGTTGGCGCTAATGACAGCCGCTACGTCTTTCAGGGCTGAGCGATCGCTTCTTCAGTCCCTCAATTTTCCGTCTCATCGTCTTCTCCAGAATGATTCAAGAGGCGAATTGCACGTTAAGGCTATCGATATGACAGGATAGCTGTGCCTATCATGATCTGCTGTGGCTTCTGCGAGGGTCAGGACGACATTCATCGGCTCCCCATTTCTGGCTCAGCTTCGCGCCAATGCGCGCCACTGCCAGCGGAATGGCGACCAACAGGCGAGAAAAGTATCGAGGCACGAAAATCGCCGCTCGAAAAAGGAATAGCCAGGCGCATTTGACAGTTGGCAAGCAGATGAGATGGCACGAATTGGGTTCCTTAGTTTTCCTTTCGTGAGACTGTTTCTCCCTGCGCAACGTCCCTTCGTGTTCCTTGCTCTGCTCCTTCAATCTTCGCGTTATTGACATCTCATCTTATCTTCCCTTCGTTGTCTTTCAAATTGATGAGTCTTTCTTTACTTTCTCTACCTCTTTAATTTCTAATTGATGAATATGACGCGCTTTTCTTGCACTTCGAATGCAAATCCAGAACAAAATCCTTCCCCGAACCACAGACACCATATTTCGATTGATACTTACAAGGATGAAGTCAAGACCACAGTGCTGGGTCACAAGGGTCCGAAAATGCAAACAGTCATTGAAGTGGTGAAGTCTGAGATGGGAAGATCAAAACGTTCCTTGTCGACTCAAAAGTTTCATGGGCCTTTAGAGGACTGGACCCCAGTTCAGTACGCTGCCCACCGCAACCGCGAAGCTGCTCTGTTGCACTTCCTACGGGCGGGTCAATCTCCTGACGACTGTAGAGGCACTGGAGCGAGTCCGCTTTGCATTTCAGTTACGGCAGGACACATCGGAATTGTCAAGATCCTCTGCGAGGCGGGTGCCAATTGCAAGTCCACGACGAAACCCGAAAGCGAAACTGCGCTTCATCTTGCGATCAAGAATGGGCGGATCGATATTATGGATGTACTCCTTTCCTATGGACCTAACCTCGACGCACAAACATTGACGACCGGCGAAACACCTCTACATTACGCTGCATCGATTGGGAGCCTTGCAGCGGTGGTGGCTCTACTCAAGAACGGAGCGAGCTATGAAACCTTTAATAAGAGTGGACATAGTCCAGCAGAAGTCGCATTCCAGGCGAAACACGTACATGTTGCAGTTGCTATCATAAGCGCTGCGCGCGGGAACCGGAAATTGATGAAAGAGAAGGAGATGCTTTTGAAACATGTCGAAAAGTCGCAGAATCGTTTCTCTATGAATAACGAACTGATTGCCGATATCTTCGAGGCAGGCTGCGATCCCGACTCCACCGTTCTGGTTGAGGCTATCAAGAGAAATGACTTGACATTGGCAGAAATGTTCTTGGAAAAAGGCGCCGATCCAAATCGTTCTACGACAGCTGGCCTCCGCCCAATCTTCGCAGCGCTAAACTGCTCCGGCGCACAAATGGTACGACTCCTCGTAAAGCATGGTGTTGATGTTAAAGTCCGCGACACGGACGGCCTTACCGTCCTCCAGGCTGCCTTCGATAGCCCTTCAGTTCATGAGAAGGAAGCAATCGCTGGCATATTCGAAGCACTCCTTGCAAGTGGGGCAAACCCTAATGTTACATACCCAGATGGTCGAACTCTCCTTCATCACGCTGTTGAACCAGGATATGGTCTCAGCAAAGTCGCCCAACTACTTCTTCAGTACGGCGTGTACGTTGACGAACGCGACAACGGAGCAAACATACCATTGCACTTGGCTACTCATAGTAGATCATGTATCGACATTCTCCTCAAACATGGTGCAGGTGCGGGTGCCATCAATTCCGACGGACTTACACCCCTGCTATACGCTGTGACGTCCAACAAGAGGGAAGCGGAGCCGGATCTCGAATCCTTAGTCAAAGTTTCCAACCTTCGAGCATTAGACCCACACCAGAAGACTGCATTGCATCTTGCCGCCCAGAATGGACTCGAGAAAACAGTTCGAGCATTGCTCAGATGTCGCGCTGGCGCTACCCTCATTGATTCCGACAACTTGACGCCACTTCTACTTGCCGCTCGCAACCATCAATGGCCCGTAGTCGCGATGCTTGCGACTCAGCCCGGCGCAAATGCATGGGATAAGGATGGAATGACTGCTCTCCATCATGCTGCAACAAGCACCCCGAAAGCACCAGCAAAATGGGAAGACATTGCTGTAGCCGTCAGAAGATTTTGCGAACGCGGTGTCAGCAGAAGTATGCGGGACAAGTCTGGAGCCACACCGCTGATTCGTGCGGTGAGGACGCTGCCTGAAAAGGGTCTTCCAGTTATCCAAGTTCTTCTTGCAGATATTGGTGCCGGACGAAGCAATTGCGTCGCTCACGAAGACCATAAGAATCGAAGTGCTCTATACTTTGCTGCTACTCTGGGCAAGCCTTCCTTCGTCAAAGCATTACTAATGAGTGGTGCTTCATTCACACTGCAAGACTGGACGTTAGCCAATTCGCCGATTAAACCGAATCTCCCTGCAAACAAGCAAACCTTGAAATTTCTTGCAGAGCATGAATGGCTCCGACGGATGGGAATGTTGAAGAGGCATTCTAGTAGCGGGTCAGAAGTTTCGGTCCTTCCAAAGATTCTCCCCTTCAGTGACTTGGCTGAAATCCTCGCCATGGGCCTTGACCCAAACCATCCTCCAGTTCCTCCAAGAACGGGGACAAGATTCACCGGCCCAGTTCTCTGGATTATTCTCAACCAAATTTTAATACAGCCTATCCCTCCCACGGAGTATCTCTACGATATCTTCAAGCTTATTCTTTCCTCCAGCGCAGACCCAAATGCTACCCATGTCAGCAATATCGACCCTCTATCCCCAGGTCGAAAGTCGCCCCAAGCTCTCCAAGCAGAAAATTCAAATTTGAGCCTCCCAGGCCGGCCGTCACAATTACTCTCCTTCTACCACCCTCTAACCTTCCTCCTCGAGCAGCATGCCACCATTGACATCGACATCATCACACTTTTCCTCGACAAAGGCGCTAATTTAACAACCGCCTCTTCGTTCTACGACGGGTGCTTCCCACTACATTCAGCCGTGAAAGCAAATCGTCTGGATATAGTCGACGAATTTCTAATCCGCCGCGCAGACGTCAATGCTCTAGACAATAAACAACGTACTCCACTATTTGTCGCCGCTTCAAACGGGTTTTGGGAAGTTGTGGACATGTTGTTGCGATACGGCGCTAAAGTTAACATCAAAGATGAAGACGGCAATACGCCGCTACATGCAGCTTGTGCGGGCGGAAGCTCTAGGATTGTATCAGTCCTGCTTCGTGGTGGAGCAAGGTCGTTGGCGACGAATCAGAAGGGTGTTGTGCCTTCAGCTTGTGTGTCTGAGAAGTTAGCGGAGAAGGAGAAGGAGAAGATTGTAGCAATGCTGCCGAAGGAGGAAGAGCTGGATAGACAGAATATAGATCGACATTGCGGGGAGGGAGAGAAGATCGCTGTACTGCCAGAGAAGCAGCGAGGTTCGAAAGAGCGGATGGAGGGAGGAGAAGAGGAGAAGAAAGAAGCACCAACGCTCAAAGAAAAAGAGAAACGTTTCACGAAACCTAAACACCGAGACCTGGAAAAGCATTTGCCCGGAGCCCCTCCCTGCGAACCAGAGAAGAAGTGGCCCGGACCGCAACAACATCAGCCTCTACAATGGTCAATCAAGTCTCAAGCCCAGAAACCTCAAACTCAGACTCAGCCTCGGCGAGCTCAAGTACAAAAGCGCTTTTCGCAACAGCAGCTATCACAGTCACAGCTGGAGCCACAGAAGCAACCCCAGAAACAACATCGCCATTGGAGCCTTCTCTCTCCGCGGCCGTCCCTGATCGCTAGTTTCCGACATTCCTCGACGCCTGCTCCTGCCCCGGCTCCCTCTCCATCACCAGAACCGAAACCCCAGATCGCAACGACAGTCCAGCTATCCAAGCAAATAGCAAATGCCCATTGCTCTCCAACCTCTCCAAAACGTCACCCGACCACTTCTCCGTCACCGTCTCCGCCAACCCCCGCCACGGAGCAAGGTAAGGCGCCCAAAGGGCCGCGCGTGGACAGCGGACTCGGGGTTGTTGGTCTTCAGGGAAAGACAGAAAAACCATTGCCATCGCTTGACAGGAACAAGACAACCCTTAGCAAATTGAGTCAAGGGAGTGATGACGATGCCGAAGATACTACCCTCGTGGAACAGGACGAGTTTGTGGGGTGGTTGGCCGTTGATAGGATGTTGGCGTCGTTGTAGAACCATGGTCGCTCTCTTTACAAGCACCCCTCTCGTTTTACTTTCCTTGGATCGATATACTCGTCTTAGTTAGACACATGTCATTTTTCTTTCTGGGATTTACGCAAGCAAACCAGCACTGCACTTGCTGTTCAAGGATTTCTTTATCTAGTACCACGCATGATTTTTGGGTTTCATACAACCAAACACTTTCTTTTTTTTTTTTGGCCTCGAACTCTCTCGCGCGCGCAATACTTCTTAGTATATAACTGTCGTTACAACACGTTCTCGTACTTACTTCACGCCTTTTTCATGTCATACCAGTTCACATTATTCAGCCACGCACACCCATACCCATTTCTATCCTATTATAATTTCTAAGAAGGGAAGGAGGGGAAATGAGGTTTTCCTTTTCTTGGCATGTACACTCGGCCTTGATAGTCCTGCATGCAGGCATTGTAGACTTGCATTGTTCTTTATCTTTCTGGCTGTTTGTATCGAAAATATAAGGTTTGGTTTGAATAGCAATGTATATCGAATAGAGCTGGGGGGTTTGTTTATTTAGTTAATATATGGACTTAACTGGTATCGCTAAACTTGCTGTCTTTTTCTTGATGCACAAGTGTTCGTGTGATTGAGTGAGTGTGTGTGTTTTCATCTCCGAACCCGACCCATGTGTGGACAAGGTGTGTATCCAATAAAAGCTACACCTAGATAAACTGAGACTTACTAAACATATCGGCACTATCCTTATTGTCAACTCCCATCTAGAATCAAAATCAACATATCATCGCACAACAAACCCAGGTCCCGCAATAAGTGCCCAACCACGGAAGGATTGGACCGAACAACGAGCTCCCCACCTCTCCATCCGGATTGGGGTCGGCCATGGATCTCCCGCTTTCGACGTCCTGGACGGCAATTTCCGGCAGGAGGCGAGATTGAAGGGCCGTAGTTGTGCCGTATGTAGATTGTGCTGTGCCGTACAGGAGAACAGGATTCGAACAGATACTTACAAGAAGAAGAGGGCAGGATGGACGTGATTTTAAAGCTCTAGGTAGGGTCCTTGCGACTGTTATTAGGCTCCGCTTCAATGCTATGTGTTACGTGCGATTCAGTGGAAAACACATGAAAATAGGAGATGCAAGAGGGAGAAAGAGTGGGGTTAAGTCTCGCTCAAACTAGGGGATGCTGAGTTGTTGTAGGTGTTGGGAAGAATGATTGTGGCTCCGAAAGGAAGGTATGACGAAGCGGCGTCTATGGAAATGTTGGGGAAGGATTAAGGGGTAGAGGTTGGTAAAGCTGGGATTAGGCTGTGGGAGTGAAGCTGTTGGGATGGTAGACGTTGTTAATCGCGCGCTAGCTATGGTGACGTGCTCCACGGCGGCGAGAAAAATTGGAGGGCAGTGATTAGATTGTTTTGAGGGGTAGAGAAATGCTAGGCAGTGACTTGAGGTATTCAACGGATAGGTCTGACGTGAAAGAAGGACCACAAGCAGCGTTTCCAACAGGAAGTAGTACGATTGATACTTTTGCTCCACCTACAATCACGTGAGGCAAACAAACGTAACTACATTTTTAACTGTTACAATTTAATTAATAAGGCTTAATAGTAAGCAGTATATAATTAAGGTAGACTTTTTTGAGCTTGCAGTCTCTAACGCGCGTGAGGGCTGGGGGAGCGTGTTTGTGCCACTATTTACGTGTTAGTGTAGCCTTAGAGCTTGCCCTGTACTACAACAACCTTAGACGACCTTATTATAGCAAAAGATGACAGTCCCTTGTATAGGGAGATAGCACAGAGCCTTTAGTAGGGGGAAAAGGACAGTTACTTGTGACTGTAATTATCTCTTAGGCTCTATAATTAAAGCTTTAAAACTCTAGAAGAACTAGCTACGTTATAAGGTTATTTTTAGTAAATTAAATAACTTTATGTGCTATATTAAGAGTAAGGGGGACCCTGCTACTCTAAAAGCTTTAACAGTTACGTTGTAACTTTTAGTAAAAAGTTAAGAAGTATAAGCAGCTTTAATTAAACTGTAACTTAATTGTATTAACCCCTGCTGTCAGGTGAAGCAAACAAAAGTATATAATAAGTGAGACGTAACTTGTCTAGAAAGCCTGAGTCGAATCGTACTACTTCCTGATGGAAACGCTGACCACAAGGCATTTTGAACCGATGGTATTAGATCACGTCAGAGCCTATATCGTGAGTTTGAAATCCGGTAAAACACTTGCTGTGCTGCTGACATGCAGCTACTTCATGCCGAGAGGGACATGGAATCGAAAAGGTTTTATAAGATAGATAATTAAAATCCTTTGGAGAGAGGTGTTCGCCTGAATGGAAAGAGTGCCCGATATGATTGCTCCAACTTGAGAAAAACAAGATCGTAGGGAGATTTGATATCACATATGACAAGCAAGTGACAGGAACTCATGCAATGGAATCCTGTCCTCACCGCAGTAGCTTGGACGCGAAGTTAAACAAGATATGCACCTTGTTCCTTCTCGGTCAAGAACACCTACGCGACTACGTCACCTTACATAGCAGCTTGAATTGGCCTGTGCTAATTCTCTGATTCCTCCGCACTTAGTACGAAATACGATTATGAATCAACGCTATCTTTCCTCTAGCTAGCGCTATCTACCCTCGAGCTTTACGGAGGATAAACACATACGGTCTGATGCTATTGGTGGACAACTCAGATAACTGTTTCCTTTTGTTAAAGTATCCATGCTTGGCCAAAACCGAGAAGAGCTCAAGAGTCTTCTTTTAGAGCCTTCAGGTGGAGTTTCGTGCAACGGTCGCCGTATTGGGGGCCGAATGCGGCTGTCCGTGGTGAACTTATCCTGAAGTTACGGATTGTCCATTCTCCGGAAGGATCGTCGCAGAGCAGAAAGGCGGTGACCTCCCCCAATTATATCCAGATCTTCATATTTGGACCCTGCGGCACCTGCGCCTGTAGCCAATTCTTCTTGAGTCACATGGATGTGAAGGGCCCGACACTCTACGTTATTTCTCCAGTCTAACGCCGCCGACCGGTATTTGCTATCTCAAACCCTAGCCTCTGTCCTGAAGAATCTCTCATCTTGGGCACCCCACAGAACCCTTCTGTGAGATGCAGAGCCCAATGAAACGCAGGTCTAGTTTCATCGTCCGTCAAGCCTGTACGTTAAGCCACCACTGCCCGCAGAGTGGGCACGTTGACTCGTTGGGAGGGATGCGATAGTCGTTGAGGCTAGGGTAAATTCTCCGCTGAGCTCAGAGATCCCCCATCTGATTCATTGGACTGAGTCGGAAGGTGTCGCAATCGGCACCTTACCTTCCCAAAACCGTTCTCTTCTACGTTTTGAAAACGACGATCATAATCCTCCCATAAGAGAATGACGTCCGGCTTCATGCACAGTGGGCAACATTCCCTTGGGATGACACTGCTTTGATCATAAATTCCACAGTTCGCAATTTCGCGTTTCAGGCTTCTCTTATTTCCAGTGGCGATTCTCAAAATATCTTTTAAGGATTTTAATCGCCATGTTTGTGAATAAAAGGATCAAGACGGCACCTCCCGAGCTTGAGGATGTGCTAAGCCAAGTGATTCTTAGAAAGAGAACAGGGGATATTGGGACCGAGCCTGATGAGACTTGACGAAAGAGGAGGGAGGTGTTGCGCGGTGTGCCGCGCGAGAAAGGGATCAGCATCCAAGACCGAATCACACGAAAGCAAGGCGAACATTGTAATTATAGAAGGGCGAGCGGATGTGAGAATCCGTGCAACGTTGTAATGGTGCTGGAGGGTAACGATCATTACCGTGCTTGAAAAGGGGTACTCTGGCTGTTTGTTGAGTCAAAGAGCGCAGTTGGAAGGGGCTGGTGTCGTTGCTAGCGACGGGATGAGTTGGTAGTTCGAGCATGGCCATCTTACAAGGGCAGCTGTAGGGAGCAGAGCCCCGGCAAGGACGGCGATGTATCAGTAAGGGGAGGAGGCGGTGGAACTGGGTGATGGCGTCACGGGAGGAGGGAGCGGAGGCGTGGGTGGACTGCCAAGCTTCCTAGACGATACCCGATCCGGAGAGATTGGCGAAGACAAGAAGGCACGCAGTTGGGGGAGGTGGTTTACCCTGCATTTGATTCCGTCAAAGACGTCATAGGCAAGGGAATTTGCTAGCGATCAGCAACGAGATGTCCTCAGCGAGTGTCTTCTCCGCCGCTCGGTGGCTGGCAACCGGCACACGCAGACGTCGCCTGAAATGTTCTGGAGGCATTGCTCATGAAGAAGCGCTCGCGTCGCGGGACTCGGGCTTTCTTCGACCAGATTGCTTCGGTTTGCGGTTGAACGACGTCTCGCCCTCAAAGCTCACGACGGCGGCACTTCTACGGGCCTGTGCGTCTGCAGCTCCTCAATTGACGGCGTGGGCGCCTACCCTTGCAGAGCTCAACTGCGGCCGATGAGCGAGGGCTATCATCGCAACGAGCAGTCACTGATCTGATACTCTTTCTGACCGAATGATCTGAAAATCCACGCCGCGCGCCACTACCATCACCACCACCACCACCCTCACACCACCCATTCGGCGCCTTCCTTCCCCACCGTCAATCCTGCCTTTAGCCCACGAGCGGCCTCTGATTTCCACCTTGCTGCATTACTCCCTCACACACCTTTTCCCTGCTGGCCACCATTCCAAGGTTCTGACCTGTACGAAGCGTCTTCCGAAAGCAGGGGCAGCCATTTCAGGGTCCGACGGCAAAAGCTTAGCGCGTCCTCAATTATTCCCTCCTTGGCCAGCTGTCCGCTTCCCATCTCTTGATCTAGCGGCAAGCCCGCTGCCGACTCCCTGCGTCGCGCGCCCACACCGAACCTCGAACCTCGCGCACAGAAGAGCCGCGACAGCTGCCCGCTCTCTGAATGCCATGTCGGAGGCCACTGTCACGACGCCCTTCCCTCTTGCGCCAGACGACCGCCCACAGTCCTACCCAGACGACATGAGCTCGACCTCGTCGGTGTCGTCGGTCAGCGACGCCGACCAGCCCAAGCCAGATCCTGCCAAGCTCGCGCGCCCGCGTCTGGGGAGCAGGAAATCGAGTGGTACCATCATAATACCCCGCGACAGCCCGCAGGTGGAGCTCAAGGAAGAGGAGTATGACGATGGCGATGCGAGAACCATGAGCCCGCGGCGGAGTAGCGAGGAGATTGAGAAGATGGGCCATGAAGCCCGGCAGGCATTGATAGAGTGAGTACTGTTTTGCATACTCATCTGTCGTTCCGTAACCTCAACTGCATCCCTCAAAGGAGCACACCAAACGCACATCAATGACATCAGCCAGCTATGGTTGTGTCACCGGCGGAACACGAGGCTCGGGCCTCGCACCGCACCCTATTGACCCCAATAGCACCAGCACCTGTTCCTACACCTTCCACGACGTGGCCAGCGAACACGACACTAACAATTTCATCAGGCAGGCCAAAGCTCTGCAAGCCAGTCTCCTAGAAATCGTCGACCGTGTCGAGATAGTGCGGTCGGAGCACGAAAAGCTCGAAGGCGGCAACAAGTTTCTTCAATCGTAGGTCTTCATTATGCAACTTTGACTTTAATGAAGTCGTCTAACACATTTAAGATACATCGGTGAGCTCATGCAGACAAGTAAAATCACCTCTTCCGGCGCTGGCAAGGGCGGAAAAGGCAAGGGCAAAAGCCGCAACATCAAGTAGCGACCGTGGACCTCCTTAGCCTCACCGCATCACTGAGACGAGCCGACTAACTAACTTACATTACGACATGATCACGGCCATTAACTGTCGCATACATCCGCCACCAGCCCAACTTACAGCACTACATATACCTGATCATCGTGTTTCCAAGCGTTGCATAGCGGCGTCGGGGGCTGGTTACACTGGCGTTTCCAACTTCTCTCCAGATTCGCTTCGACAACAAAGACTTTGACCCAGTATCCGTCCGACAGACCTGTTAACTTCTATTTTCATCCCCAATTAACTCCTGTTGATGCGATCAGATGGATGGCTCGGTTCATGGATCATGGATCATGGATTATGGATCATGGCACAACGCCATCCTGAGCTCCTCAACAACGAATTAGATTTTTCTTCGCTTCTCAAAAACCCCCTTTTTCTCTTTAGCACAACTTTACCATTCGATCCAGTATCACGACAGTCACCCTGTCCTCTATCGCATTACACCCCACGGGGCTTGGGCGTTCGCTTCTTTCTTGTCTGGTTTTTTTGCCACGTGGTGTCAGGTGAACTCTAGGCGCATTTTGGAGCTTCTCGTAGTCAATTTTTTTTCTTTTAATCTTTGTGTACGGCACTGCGGAATTCTGTGTCGCCACTGCGATTTTTACCAACTCGGGCTCGGACTCGGACTGAGGGCTAATGGCCAGGTTTGTTTCAATACACTCACTTTGACGAGAAAAGAGCTTCGTAAAATAAGTCTAATTTGGATCCGAATTGGGCTATTCGCAGTTGGATATGATGAATAGGATTGTTCTGGGTGGCATGATGACGGTAAATATATCCTAGAGCTTCGTAATGAGGCCGTGTTAAGATCAAAATTCATGCATGTAACTTCTACTATATTGGATTTCTTGCCTAGGTGCCTCAATGAGACAATGTCACGTTTGAAATATCGGTCTTATTCATCCGAAAAGAAGAGATCTGATCACAGCGAATGCATTATGACGGCGGAGAGCCTTGAGAGACTACGGTAAGGATGCTTGGACGTAAGATACAGGTGGTTGGAACGATGTGCTTGGCTGAATTAGGCATGAATAGTCAATCCTAGCACTCAAACTTGAACAGGGCAGAATATTCCTCTCTGCCAAAACCAGTAGCATGCGTTTTATCCTAGTGATTATTTACTGTTTAGTATTCACTCAAATTCCTTTACTAAATGTTACTTCCTATTTCTTACCACTCACTATCTTGCTACTCACTCACTCACTCACCATTCACCCTTCACCCCGCACACCTCACTCCCCAATCATCTCCTCTCCCTACCCTTCACCTCTTCCCCCCATTACTTACCCCTCCTAAATAATATCCCACACCCCTCTCCAGCCATACCATACCATACCATACCATAACCATCACCTACCACACCATGCCACGCCCACCCCTTCGGTCCCTCCTCTCTCTTTAGGCTTACTTGCAACTCATCCTATTCTCCCTATGAAGGAAGCGGACTGGGAGACACTAGATCCAGACCCAGAACTAAAATCCAGGAACCAAGTTCGCTTCGGGGTTGGCTTGGTTTATGGAGAGCATGTATGTAAGCAGGCAGATATACTAGTCCTATGTACAGAAACTACTAAAGTGTGGATTCCTGGAATGTTGGGGGGGGGGGGGGGGGGGGGGGGGGGGGGGGGGGGGGGTTTCGCTTGTTCGAATATGGATGCGATCGTAGACAAGGGAGGGAGTTCTTGCATATACACTTAATTGTCGCGACACACCTAAGTGGTGTGATTATGTTGTGGGGTGAGAAAAAGAAAGGGAAAGCCTTGAAGAGATGGAGAACCTATACCTTCTCCGAAGAGTAGTCCTGAACAGGTCTATCTCAGCATCATCATTAACAGGATCGACGAGAATCCTCATGCTCATATCGCAAAGAACCGGTGCATTCTCAAGCACAAGATCAGAAGCAAAAGAAATCTTTCTGTATCAACGATAAGTGTACATGTACACAAAATACAATTGCCTGTCCATGCTATCCATCCATCCATCCACCATCTATCACTCTCCTCTCCGACACTTTACCACCGAACCCTACCCCCAAAACTCTGGAGCTTTATGAGAGCATCCTGCTCATATCATTCCTCACACGATTATAATCTAGCAACCCCTCAATCTGCCCCACCGCCGAGATGGCAATATCCCGATCCCAGAGCTTCCGTTTCGCAAAGTCCATGACGTCTTTTTCTGTAATGGCGCCAACCACGCGCTCCACTTCCTCGGGACCTAACCTGCGACCCGTGGTGATGATCTGTCGACCGATGTCTTCGGCGACAGCCGTGGTGCCGTCGAGGGCAAGGAGAAGGGAGGCTTTAAGTTGGGCTTTTGCGCGTTCAGTTTCGGCGGAGGTGACGTTGAGGGAGAGGCGAGACCATTCGCGGAGGGTGAAGTGGACGAGGTCGTCGACGCGTGTAGGGGTTGAGGAGACGAGGTAGATTCCCCAGAGACTGTTGATAAATTAGCGTCAATTCGAATGCTCTCTTTTACGCCGGAGGGAACATTGGTGAAGGGAATTTTCAAGCTTACCCAGTGTCTGAGTAGCTCGTCGAGAAGCTCATAAAGCTGTTTGCCAGGTTGTTCTGAGAGACGAAGGTGCTTAGCTTGCTTCCTAGGTACGGCGAATTGCCCATGGCACGGTCCCAGTTGCCGACAATGGCCTGCGTAACCAAAGCCGTGAAGTAGTCCTCGTCCTTCCAGCTCACACCCTCAACAGCGATGGCGATGTTGGCGGTGGGCATTGTGTCGTCTCGGATACGGACCTCAGAGCCAATGAACTCAGGTTTCTGCTTCTGAGCAGCGGCAACAGCCTGGGAAGAGTAGTTCGGGGGTTCCGAGGGCAGTCCGGCAAAGTACTTCTCCGCAAGATCGACGAGCTGTTGGTGGGGGACGCCACCAGCTCCGACGAGCACCATGCGGTCAGCCGTATAGTTTGTCTTGATGTAATTCTCCAAGTCGGTGCGCGAGATGGTTTCAATGTTTTCCTTAGGCCCGAGGATTGTTCGCCCGAGGGGCTGGCCCTGGAAAGCGGTGGCGTGCAGATGATCGAAGACAACCTCTTCAAGCTGCTTGTCGACTTCTTCCTGTTCGCGGAGGATGACGTCGCGCTCACGCTCGATGGCCTGGGGCTCCAACTTCGAGTTCTGGAGGATGTCGGAGAGGATGTCGACGGTGGCGGGGACATCGGCGTTGAACGATTTGGCGTAGTAGACAGTGTTTTCGCGCTGGCATCTCCATTAGCATCCCGCGGCACGCACACCCAGACTCTCCGCAGAAAGCATACCGAGGTGTAAGCATTGAGGTGGCCGCCCATGTTCTCTATCTCAAGCTCCAACTGCTGCTGCGTGCGCTTCTGCGTTCCCTACACCCGGAAATTAGCTCCGCCGTCCCAATTCATCCCCAACAAGCTTCTCGCATACCTTGAAGGCAAGATGCTCCAAGAAATGCGCGGTTCCGTTGGTCTTGTCGGTCTCTGCCCGACTTCCAGCATCGATCCACACGCCGACGGTCGAGGTCTGAGCCCAGGGTGAATGTTCCGTGGCGATCTGTTCCGGGGGGTCAATTGCAGTCCTAAGAGCTTATTTCGGGGCCTACATACCGTGAAGCCATTGCTCAGAGTGGTAGATTCGGTGCTGGCGCCATGGGAGACAGGCGTCGCCAGGCCTCTGGTCAAGGGAGTCTGCCTCGCCTTGACGGCATTGATGGCGGCGCGACTGCGCAGGCTCTGCTGCAAGTTCAGGGCGAGCCGGCGGGAGGCCATTGGAGCAGCTCGCTGTGTACTTGGGTAGCGGAGGGGGATGGGAGATCGCGGGAGGTGGATGGGGGTGGTGAGGTATTTGCAAGAGCTGCACAATTGCTTGGCTCAGATGGTCGAAGTGGTGAGGTCCAAATCTGCGTCGGAACATCTCGGCAGCCGATGTAGGTGGCCAATCAGATGCATCACGATTTCACCTCGGGATTGTCATGCGAGCCTCATGCATCCGTCCCTCCAACCTCACCACCTCACTCACCACCTCACCCACTCCTCCTCTCCACTGCGCCCTCCGTTGCGTAGCCTGAAGCAGCTGCAATGGCATCCATCATGCGTCCCGGCCTTCTCAGGTCAGCCTGCCAGAACCCCGCCGCCTCACAACGCATGCTCTCGTCCTTCGCGCGCTCCGGTATCAAGCGATCCTCGCCATTAATCCACCAGCTCCGCCCGCAGTTCGTACACCCTACAATCCCAAAGTCGACAAGAATTGCCGCCTTTCATGTTACCCAGCGCCAGCAGATTATTCCTCCCCTACCGCAGAAGATCCACGGAACGCTGAACGATCCCGTCCCCGTCCCCAACCCAGAGCCTGTCCATGGCGCCTATCACTGGACTTTTGAGAGGTATGTCTATAGCTACACCTGTCTTTTCTTGCACTTGGATGCTCCAATTAGCATTGTCGAAGCTGGTTCGTTCAATTGACTCCCACAACTAACGGCATGGTATAGACTTGTCTCCGTCGGCCTGATCCCCCTGACTATTGTCCCCTTCGCTTCGGGTTCCCTTAACCCAGTCATGGATGCCACTCTCTGTGCTCTTCTTGTTATCCACTCCCACATTGGCTTTGAGTATGTCTCCTTCATATGCCCTCCTGTCCCGCAGCTTCCATACCCCACGTTACCCCGCCACCAATCAACGCTCCAGAAATACTAATAAACATCCAGGTCATGCATCATCGACTACATCCCCAAGAAGCGCCTTCCCATCTCCCGCATGGTCGCCATGTGGGCCCTACGCATTGGCACTGTCGCCCTTGGCGTTGCTCTCTATTCATTCGAGACCAATGACGTTGGAATCACTGAAGCCGCGAAGAGGCTTTGGCAGGCTTAGGGCTATTTAGCTGGTTGAATTTCTTTTGTATATACCACTACTGGCTAATTAGCTTGAAAATGGTTAGGATGGGCCGAAGCGGATGAGTCTGTTTGCTCATGTGAGAAATAAGTGTTGTACTAGGACGCAATATGAAATGTTAGGCTGGAATTCATCGGGCACTAAATTCACCATCCATCTTTGAACTGAAGCCCTGCTGAGCCTTATTCCTATCATGAAAGATGATGCCAAGGTTCCAAATCCGAAGCCGATACTCCTTTTACAGAATTGCACAACATGAAAGGAATCCTTTGGGAGCTGTGAATCACGAAAAGCCCCTCCCTTGTATATGCTAGGATAAATTGCTTAACAGTCTCGAAAAGGTCGTGCCGCCAGTGAACTAGAAATAAGCCATCCCCTTGGCCTTTACTCCGTGTATGAAAAGGTTCCAGAGAGACGCCGAGGGAGCAATGTTCCGGATTGGGTCCTGAAGTAATGCTTTTGGGTCGAAGAAGAAAAGTGAGAGCTGGGGAGTAGCTAGTGGAGGAAGAAGAACCGGGTGGGGGGAGAGGCTTCAGTATTATTCTTCCTCGTCAACAGGCCTTTGTACGCAGACTCGGCTCAAATCCTCCACCTCGTCCCCCGGAATCCATTACTCCCTGGGCTTATAAAAATCGGCTAATTCCAGAATACGCTTTTCGATGCGAGCTTTCCCGTCGAAATCGGTCTCCGCTTAACCCTCCGTAAAACCGCCTGCTTCTTCTCCCGATCATATACTAGTCCCTACTGTGCTTGAGGTCGCAGAACTTCCAGCCACTCGGCCCGAAAACAGTTCGTTGGTCGAAAGTCGCTGAGCGGATAGAAAGCGGTTGTGAAACTGACCTTGACGTAGTCCATTTTCTTTGGAAGAGGAAGGGTTGGTTGAGCTTCCGTTGCCATTTACTTGTCTGCGACCGTACTAAGCTGAGTGCGGCGAGCCTTCTCGAATCGTTCGGCCGGATCAAGCTCTTCGAAGGGAGCGTAGTTGATCATCACGTTATCCCACCGCCATTCGTTGTGTGCTCTAGTCTAGATTTGGGAAAGTCCCTGACCAACTCTAATGATGGTGTTCTTAACGTGAGACAGCCTAGCTGCGGAGAAGACATAGCGTTCGCTCAGAGATCAGCTGTCGAAGGAATTCTTGCTCGAATCTATAAAGGGTAGATAGGTATCATAATGAACCGGCAGAGCGAAGTAGTTCTGGGACAGGTAGACTGGCTCATCTTCAGCATGGGCCTACTTGCAAACACTCAGAGGCTGAAGATGGGGTAGAATAGATTTTGTCCCCAATAGCCCACGTCGTTACGGAGTTCGCCGTCGTCACGTAGGGTACTGCGTTAACCACCAAGGTCTCTTTGAATATCATGACTAGGATTTCCGCAGGCAATCAAGGAGGCGAAACTCGGAACATGATAGCCGGGATTCACAGCAATGGCAAACACAATATGGATCCGTACCTTAGTGATTTCGCATCCGCGATAGGATTTTGGTCGGCTTTGGAAAATGTTGAACCAATGCTTGCTGTAGGTGTAGCTGCAGTGTAAAGATAGAGAATTGGAGGTCGCCTTATAGAAAGGAAAGGAAAGGAAGGAAAGGAAAGGGAAGATGAAGCTCAAGGTAGATGCGAAGGCGAACATTATCGAGACTGGTGAGAAGTGAACGGCACTGGATGCAATCACTGAGATCAAGGGGCTAGATGTGGGCCTGACTTCAGCTCCGTTTAGATGATAAAGCAGCCAAGAGTCATGCGCTCCAGAGTGGTAGGTGGGAACATTTACTTACCAGTCGCAATCTTGGCTCATCGGCGGCTGCGGCTGAAGAGTCTCGAGGTCATAGAGCGCGATGGTAGGTAGTTAGTAAGAGGAAGGTGCCTTGTATGTTGCAGAAGGAGAGAGGACACTAAAAGGTAGATATGACACTTCAAGCAACTGTAGAGAAATTGGAAATATTTATCAGATGAAGAGACACCACTAATTCACTTCACACGTTCTCCGCTTCTTCCCCGAAAATTCACGAGGTCCGTTTAACTACCTGTTATCTGAAGTGTAGAATCCGAATGCAATATTGATTGTGTGTCAATTCTTACGATAGTCAAGAGTCCTTGATTCGTATGGCCTGGGTGATAATCGCGAAATTAAGGAAGATAATGTTTGAGAAATTAGTGGCAGTGAAGACAACCACGCCGAAGAAATGTGAAGATCGACTTTCACCTACTTTACTTTCAGATTTCTTTCTTCCCTTTTTTTTTCTTTTTTTTTTTTTCCAAACAAGGCTAAGAGCAACTCTAAGACCTATTTTTCAGCTCTCGCGAGCTTCTGAAATCTTGTATATTTTTGTGCTGGGCATTGAGTCTTGACCTATCGAAAGGCCCGAAACCTCGTGTGCTGTGAGCAGGCGAAGGGGAGCCGTGGTGAAGAAGAAAAAGAAAGAATAAAACGAACACCACCAAAAAAGCCCAGAGAGAGATCGAATCGTATGATAATCATAAGACTCGTCAAGCCATGCTTCAAGTAAAAAGGAGCCAAGCTACGGGTACCGCTCCCATCAAACCAAGAGCTATGAACCGACGCAACAAAGGCACATACAAGATCCATTGTGCTTTGTGATTTGTGATTTGTTTGTGTGTGTTTGCGTGTGGGGTTGAGTGTATTAAAAGGGAAGAGAATTTCGGGCAATCGTATCGAGGATAGATAAGATGTTTGACAGGTTGAGAATTTAAGGAAGTCTAATGGAGCATAACCCCTAGCAACCTAAAAACCCTTTCCTGAGGTCCGTTGAACAATGAAGCAAACGTGTCGTTGCCCATCCCAAATGCACCGAAACCATGAAACCCCCTTTCACTTTTACCACCTGATAGGATTAGGAATCTAAGCTTTTGCCTCCTCGGCGGCGGCAGGAGCCTCAGCCTCCTTAGTTTCAGTAGGTGCAGGCTCGGCGGCGGGCTCGGCAGCAGGCTCCGCGTCGGAACTCGTCCAGAGTGTCTAAGAAGAATCTTGTTATCATCTTTGCTCAAGCAGAAGAGGGTTACAAAAATGCAACTTACGAGGTTGTCCCTCAGGAGCTGCATGATAAGAGTGGAGTCCTTGTAGCTCTCCTCAGAAAGGGTATCCAACTCTGCACATGTGTTAGCCTTTGATATTCTCCTTAGGTGATGTTACATACCAGCAATCGCATCGTCGAACGCCTGCTTGGCAAGTTGGCAGGCCTGGTCTGGCGAGTTGAGGATCTCGTAGTAGAAAACGGAGAAGTTGAGGGCAAGACCAAGGCGGATTGGGTGTGTGGGGGCCAAACTAGTCGTAGCAACCTCGGTGGCGGCCTTGTAAGCCTCGAGGGACTTATCGGCCGATGTCTTGCGCTTGTCTCCCACGGCGAACTCGGCCAAGTAGCGGTGGTAGTCGCCCTTCCTGTATCGCGCAAAATGGTCAGCTATTGCCCGCGGTCATGGAGTTTGAAGGTGGGATATGTCTCACATCTTGTGGTAGAAGACTTTGGACTCGCCGCTCTCGGCGGAGGGAATCAGGTGTCCATCCAAGCACTCTAGAATGTCCTCGCAGATCTTAGCGAGTTCGGCCTCGATCTTCTGGCGGTATTCCTTGATGAGAGCGACTTGAGTCTCGTTGCCCTTGGACTCCTCCTTCTGCTCGATAGAAGTGACGATTCTCCAGGAAGCGCGGCGAGCACCGATGACGTTCTTGTACGCGACGGACAGGAGATTCCGCTCCTCGACGGAGAGCTCCTGGTCTGCAGAGGCAACGGCCTTCATGTTCTCGACCATCTCTGGGATGGAGAATTAGCTCGACGGGTTTACGGGACATTAGCGATGCACATACCCTCATAACGCTCGGCCTGCTCAGCCAGTTTGGCCAGGTAGACGGAGTCTTCGTAGCCCATTGTGAAGTGAGAATCTAATGTTTCCAATTATTAGCGTAACGAACAGATGGCCCGCGCACGGAAGCTGCGATAAAGCGATAAGTGATTGTTTGATGCCCCTCGGTTGTGCCCGGCGCTCAGTGAATTGCGCGCTGGTTGATTGTGGGAAAGCGCGGTTCGGCTGCCGTGACTCGGCGTGGGGCTGTTGACTGCGAGGCCCGTTGGACGGGACGAGCGATAGAGTGCCGTCTATTTGCGCGGACAAGCAGGCCGTGGAGGGGGGGAGGTAGCGCAGGCGCAAGAAGGGGCGGTGGGTTGCAGCAAGTCACCCTGAGACGCTCAGGCAGCCCCGGGACGATTGAATCTGGTGGATGGCGCAGTGGGGGCGCAGGGGGGAGGGGGGGAGGGGGACAGGCTGCTTCGACGGCGGTGGTGCGTTGATGGTGTCGCCGGACGACTGTCGAGGTCCGCCGAGGGAGCAAATTGGGGCGGGCGGATTGGGCGTCGAGGGAGATGACGAAAGAGCAGCGGTACTTACGAAGAAGAAATTGTGCGGGAGAGTGCAGCAGGAGTGGGTAGGAGAAGTGGCAGTGGTTCGTGTCTTGTTATCGGCACGAGAGGGCGTCGGTCTCTTATATAAAGGCGGTATGCTTGGAAATGGAAGAGGTGAGTGGGGAGGTTTGAAGGTTCGAGTGGGAAGGGTTGGATGGTGTCGACAGTCCGCCGCCAAGACAGCAGTCGATCAAGCCTGCCGCCTCGCCTTTCACAGCCCAGAACGGGTGAGCCTCTTTCTCGCACACCCCAGCTCCTTCACCCGGCGTCGACCATGATTGCTCGAGAGGGAATAATGATTGTTTATTCTGTTCGGCATCGGCTGGTAGCAAGCCGACAGTTGGCTCCGGCCCGGCTGGGTCGCTGAGGCGGCAGACTCTATTTGGACCTCAGAGCTAGCGTCGCCTACCATTGCTGCGCTCTACAATGCAAATGCTTAACATGATGCCAAGTCAATGATCTGAAACCGCAGCCTCTATCTAGATTGCGGGAGAGTGTCCTGCATCGCTGTCTGAGACAATGGCATGAACTGCGGTTCGCTGCTCAGGTGGTGGTGACCATGATACATCCCCAAGCCCACTTTGACCTCCCCGTGAACCTCAGGGAAGGCTTTCCCTGGATCTCCTCGTAGCATTTCCGAATCTCCACTCTTGAATCGGCTCACCTCCGGCGCATTTCGAGATATGCTTATCACGTGTGGCTGCCCGCGTCGAATGACGCACGGCCGTCCCGAACCTCATCTCACATTCAAACTTCACAAAGCCCATCACTCCACCTCCCCGTCCCCGTCCTATAAAACCCCGCCCATTTCCCCTAGACTTCCAATTCCTTCCGCAATACAACAATGCTCCGATCAACTATCATTAAGACCGCCCGACCTCTCGCGTCGCGACGCCTGCTCAGCACTTCTGCGAGACTTATGGGTAGTGGGGACACTGGATCAGGCTTCTCCAGGCCGTCTGGTGAGCGCGGCGGGTATGCATTCACTCTACAGCCCTATCTAGGCCACCGAAAAAGCTAATTGAATGGTTAGTGATGCCTTCACCAAGCGCGAAACCGCAGCCGAGGAGATGTACATCCGGCAGGAAGAGAAGGCCAAGTACGTCAACGAACCCCACCATCCCAGCATCTAAACTCCCCAACCCTCGATTCCAAGCTGTACCTTCTGTCAAGTCATATTTACGCACATACACTGACATAGAAACAGGCTGCGAGCCATCAAAGCCAAGCTCCAGGAACAAAAGAAGCACATCGAGGAGCTAGAGAAGCACATGTCGGACCTCCCGTCTCTCGCATCGTCGCAGACACAGAAGCACTGACTTGTACACAGCGACGAGGTTACCAAGGAGGCGGGAGGCGAACAGCACTAAACATTTCCGCACCAGACTGTGAAGAATTTGCATCCACGGACGGACGGATTACGACGGGTGGATAGCTATGGTTTCGGCAACACAAAGACAATGTCTTTCACGACACATGAATCATTTTTGGCATGCGAGTACTGGCTTTGTAGTCTGACTTTGTACAATCTGACCAAGCACTCTCAAATCTTGAATTAGCTGAGCGTTCAATGTACGTTTGCTCAGCACCCGATTCTTCCCGCTTCACGCAAATGATGCTTTGCTCCGCGCATCCCATCATAGCATAATTACCTCACAAGTGCAGCCGCCATGTACCCATTCAACCGGCGTAGGCCAAAATTTATCTGGTTATTCAGTATCCGGTGGACTTGTACCCCATCTCTCGACATGATCTTAGGATCCTGAGGCTTCAGGATATTGCATGATGCATGAATACCACGTACTATTGAAATCAGACCAACTCCATGTATGCATCTCAATAGACTACTCGCAGCATGCTCTACCTGCCATGCAGCACATATCACCATCTTCATCCTGCATATCTTACATGCCCGACCTCGGCAGTTTAGCAGGAGGCTAGCCAATCGTCGCCCGAGGTGGTTTTGCCTATTCTTCCATGAAGACTACAATCCTCCTCAAATCCATGACGTCTCATTCCCCAAGCTGTCCCCTTAGGACTTCCTTCACGAGACTCCTCCAAACCGCTCACCCCTTCCACCCCTAAAGCTCCGATAGAAGTCTTCAGTCGGATCTGTGCCAAGACCATTCCAACCATTAGCTCCAACACGGTGGCTCTCCTTCTGGGTGGCCTTGATCTTGTCTTGCAGCTGTGAAGCGCCGGAGTCAATGAGTTGGAGTTGAGCGAGCTGGCCATTGAGGACGCGGACGACTTTCGTTAACTATTTACCTTAGCATATATTCTTCTTCAAAGGTAGAGCCTGCGGGTAAAAAGCAAGGGAATGGGAGGTGTGTGTGTGTAAATACTTACAGGATCATCCGGCTTGCCCGTCTTACTGAGCGTCTGACTCGTGCTATTAATCTCCTCAATCATCTCTGTGAGATCCTTGTTTAGCTCATTAAGCCGATCTTGCAATTTCTCGGCAAGCTTGTACCTAGTAAACGGGTCAGAATCAGGATCAGAATTGTTTTTCTCAACTTTGGAGCTCAATAGAAAGCCAACATACGTCCTCTCGCGCTCCTGATCTGGGCCTCTCAGACCATCCGAACGCCCGCTTCCACTCATTCCATGGTTCTGCATCATGCCCTCGACTTCCTTCTCATATTTGTCTAAATAAGCTTCTAGCTCTTGCTGGTTTTCCTCCATCAGTCGTAGTTGCTTTTCTACTTCCGCAGCATCGCGTTCAGCTTGGAAAGTCTTGGAATAGAGTTTTGTGACTTTGTCTGAATTTTCGACAATGGCGCGGTCCCATAGCGCGACTTGGTCGGCTTGTGTCTGAAACTCTTTTTGGTATTTGGAAAGGTCTGCTGCCCAGCGCGTTATGATTTCGTCCATGGATTTGTTCTTGAGGCGGGATTGGGTGGAAGGCGTGGGCCCGGCGGTTGAACTACCAAGCCCGGTGGTTGTGGTTTTAGTTGCGTCGCCTCCAGTAGGGCCGCTGGTGGCAGGGGGTGGGTTTGCGGTGCCATTACCACTTGTTCCTCTAGCTGCAGCAGCAGCAGGTGCTGTGGTTGTAGTTGAGGTAGAAGGCTGCACGGATGTGGTTGTTGTTTTGCTTCCTAATCCGGAGAACATGGATGGGGCTGCAGTATTCGTGGACGCTGGAGCAGAGCTTGTTGTCGTGTTGTTTCCGAGGCCTGGGAAAAGAGTAGGAGTGGCTCCAGCAGAAGTAATAGGAGGTGCGCTAGAGGTTGCAGCTATTGAGCCTTGCGTAGGTCCATTGGGCTTGCCTAGATTGAAGAGATTGCCAGCGCTTCCGCCTCCGCTTGCACTGTTGCTGGCACTAAGCCCACTAAACATATTGCTTGGCGGAGCCCCTGTGGATGCTGGAGGATTTGCTGGGGTTGTGGCAGAGGTGGTGACTTGTTTAGCCAGACCTGGTTGGGTGGCTGCTGGAGTTGATCCCAAACTGAATGGTGTAGAGAGCGCAGGTGCTGTACCACTAACATTGAACAAAGATGGCTTTGGTGTTGCCTGAGTCCCTTGGGTGCTAGGGGCCCCAGACTGATTAGCTCCACCAAACAGGGTTGAAGAAGTGGACGTATTCGATTGTTGCGAAGGGCCACCCTGGTTAGCGTTCACTCCGAAAAGATTTGAACCGCCAGCCGTATTTCCTGCATTCTGGGTCAAGGTCCCAGAAACATTACTACTAGGCCCCCCAAATAGATTTGAGCTACCAGCTGGAGTGCCAGTGTTCTTATTTGCATCTGTGGAAGCATTCTTACTGGCAAAGTTAAAAGAATCTTGACTAGTTGGGGTACTTCCTAACGGCTTCGCAGGTGCGGAGCTAGAGCTTGCAGGTGCGAAGAGACCTGGCGAGTATGAAGCAGATGTAGTTGCCGGTTTCGATGCAAACAGAGATAATGGCTGTGAGCCTGCGCCTGTCTGGTTAGCTTGATTGCCAAACAGACTGTTGCCAGGAGGAGGACCAGCCGGCGTTGTCGAGGGGAGCGAGAAGGTCTTGTTGGTATTAGGAGTAGACGCTGGAATTCTATAGTTAACCTCCTAGTGCCTGTCTAAAGAAGATCAAGTTTGGGAAGAGGTGGGGTTCTACATACTCGGAGCTCCGCTGAAGGATATTGTTGGAGTAGAGCTAGCGGGCGCTGCACCTCCAGCGGTCTCAAAGAGAGGCGATTTCACAGCATTTGAGGTGGTCCCGCTAGTTGCTCCATTATTGCCAAAGGGGAAGGTGCCTGAGCTTGGCTGCGTTGCTCCCGAGGTTGGTTGAATCGCGCCGAAGAGACTTGGCTTGCTCGCAGCTGGAGTATTTGAGGATGAGCCACCACTGAAGAGGGTGGATGAGCCAGAATTTCCACCGATGAAGCTGTTCGAAGAGGCCGGGGTGTTGGAGCCTGCATTTGCATTGTTTGTCGTGCTTCCGAAGAGAGAGGGTGTGGAGCCTCCAGAGGTATTGGCAGCACCAAAGAGAAGCTTGTTAGGCGTAGAGCCTGTTCCAAAAGCGAACGACATTGTGCGAGTGGGTGTATGGGTCTCCTTGACTGTTGTCAGTCTTTCTGTGCAGATGAGGGTTATTGTTTGGGGAGGACGCATACCCGTAGGAAAGATGGGCAAGGGGAATGTTAGTGCGGTGGTGTCGTCACGTCTTCACGAGACGAGCTACAGCCAGAGCTTACGAGGCAGAGGAGGTGATGCAGCCAATGCGCACGAGGAAGTGCTCGCAGCGATGACTTTCACTGGCGCGTCGTTGGTAGCTCCAAATCGAAGCGCGCCAAGCCCCCCTCGGTAAAAGGTTTTACCGACCCCTCCGTAGCTCCTTCCAGACCGACCTCGATCCCCACCGCCAATGTTTCGCAGTCGTGCCTGCGTTTTGAGGTGACAACTCATACCTATACACGGGCACTTCCTCCCGCCTGACCCCCCGTGGTTTATTTGTACCTCTATTGCATTGCTACGAACATCTCAACCTTCCCTTGCATCTAACCTCATTCGTGCTCTCCACAACTTGCCCAAGATATCAGATCAAGAATAACTTACATTAGCTCCTATCAACCCTACCCTCTCCCTCTCCGCCATGTCTGACAAACTACCTCCGCCTCGCAAGAGTGTCGAGCTTGAGGATCCCGGTGCACACGACCTAGGTTCGACCACCCCCCTCATTTGCCATATAGCCCTGCCTAACAGCCTGCATATAGAATCCTCTTCCAGCGACGAGCACTTTTCTGATGCCTCGGAAGGCCGCAACGCGCTCCCAGGTCAGGCAGAGCGCTCCAATGCCACCTCTCCCATTCCAATCACCCGTGTGGAAAGAGTAGACGACGAGCCCGCCTACGGCGAAGTGCCTGGCACAGACGCATATAACAAGAGAATGCAAGATGCAGTTCCCGATGAGGTAGAAGTCGTTCCGGATGGCTCTAGAAGCCGCAGTGCTTCGAGAGTTAGTTTGCAGGATCGGCCGTATACACCTGGCGGTTCTCCCGTGCCCAGGACTGTTGTTGAGAAAATAGACCCGGATACGCCCAGCTATGGGGATGTCCCTGGCACACATGCGCACAAGGTTCGTGCTGCAGATGCTATCCCCGATGTGATTGTCAAGGTGCCCCAGCCTCCAGAGAGAAAGACTGAAGGTATGTAAGGCGATTTTTTTCTTCCCTGCTTCCTACGTCCCATTGACGGAACAAGGATCGCCAACTGCCTCGATGAACAGATCCCCCCAAATAAACGATTGCGAAAGCGACCATTCGGACGAACCAGGTACCTCTGCTGCTGAGTCACACGATCGAAAAGACAATGCACTCAGTGACGGTGGAGTGGAGGATGACGGCGAATTAGGCGATGACTTTGACGATTTCGAAGAGGGCGGCGAGGGAGATGATTTTGGGGACTTTGATGATGGGTTTCAACACGGCGAGGATCAAGCAGAAACTACATTTGAGAAACCCCGGGATCATCCTTTTGTACCTGTCCCCTCCCTAGGTCCTGTAAGTCGGAATTATTCAATCACATCAATTCTACTCTTAGGCATGTGTTTTGCTGTGACATGTATGGACTGACCCGTGCATTGCGCAGCCGGTCCTGGATTTCAAGGAGCTCACTTCGTTTGAAGACGTGGTTCGTGCAACGCAACCATACATTGACGAAATGTACCCCTCCATAAAAGAGATACCCAGCATTTCTACGGCAAATCAAGCGGCCGCCCGGTCTATATTCTTGTCCGATCGAAGTCTGTCATTATGGTCTCAGCTTGTCGCCCCACCGCCTCTACAACCTCCGAACTGGGTCCGGTCTCGGATACGGCGACTTTTTCTCGTATCTCTCGGTGTACCGGTCGATCTTGACGAAATCCTGCCGGCCTCCAAACAGAAAAAACTTATTCTGCCTTCTATACACGTACCGGGAGAGAAATCGCCGAGGCCATCAGCAGATGAGCGCAATGGTGCTCTTGCGCGGGTGAGGAAGGGAAATGCATCATCAGCATCGATAGACTCGTCGGCTTCGAAGTCAGAGAGGAGACGTAAAGGGCCCCCGCCCCCGCCGCAACTCGACATCAGCTCGACTACAATGCTGTGTTCTACAACGGAAGCAGCGCTCAGCAACTTCACTGATGAGGAGCTGCGATTTCATGTGAAGCGCCTCGCCGAACTAAAAGAGCGTGCAAAAGAAGTTTTTGAGTACTGGCAGAAGCGCATGGAGAGTGCACTGGGGGACAAGGAAGCATTCGAGTCCGTTATCGAGAATCTCGTGGCTCACGCGAAGAAGATACGATGATATAGCCCGGGGCTGTCACGTTGCACTGAACGCACGTCTGCGCAAGGCAGGGATGGACTGTCCAAGGCTCGCTTGTGCGACTCTGCAGAGTCTGCACCGCGAATTTCGCTGAGTCGGGAGATTTCTTGTGGAGATTGATAGGGCCAGTGTTACCGAACAGGCTTAAGGTCATAGTCTGCTGAAGGGGGCTGAACCCTTCACACTGTCTCTTGCAGCGCCATCGCTAGCCTACCTCCCTACATCGAATTTCTAAATGCCACTGCAGCCGTTCTGAGACGGCTCTTAGGGAGAGAACATGAGACAGAGATAAAATCCCCAACAACATGACGGCGACGATCAGATAGGGCCGTTCTACATACGTTTAGTACTCAAAATGAATGAATGCTGTGTGAACAACCGTAATTGAGGCGCTGGCTTCTAGAGGGGTTGCGCAGCAGAGCGTGCCCGAGAATGAATGTCGCCCCCCGCTTCACGGCCCCCCCTGGAGGCGGAATGGTCCAGCCGCATTGAGTGAAGATCAGCACCAATTGTCTTCACAGCTCACACAACGACGGAGTATCTCAGCAAATAAACGCGCAGCCAGAATGCCGATCCGCCACGAGATAGTCTCTGAGGCAAAGTAAGGGGCTAGCGGTGGTGTCGGCAGCAATATCATAGGGATCAGGACTTAATACATGCCAGGAAGTGTGTGCCATCCATACCATGGAGCATAGCAGGAGTATTTCAACACAGAAACCGCAATCCTGTTAAAGTTCTCCCGGATTCTGGTAAGAGGTTAAACGAAGATCAAATGCGCCCTGCCAATGTTCCACAATAAGTGCGCGAAAATGATGTAGTGTGAGCCCGGGCCAGGATGCAGTGCTATTGGAGTCAAAGAAGCCGTCTCCTAAAGCTCCTCCTGGCCGTTCCGCGATCGTGCCGAGCAGTCGACAGCGGAAGCCAATCCTGTCCGGCATGCTGTAGCTGCAGCAGCTGCTAAAAGGGGTCACACGGTGAAGACACCCCAGAGAAGGCAGCAATCGTAAGGTCGTTGGATTCGCTCACCCTCTGTGTGCCGTCAATTTTGATCCTGTTGATGACACGGGCCAGAAATGATGTCATCGCCCAAGCCCGCCAACGCCAAATTGCCTCACGGGTCGCGCAATGCCAAAGGGGATCGCTTTATTAGCAGCTTGCTACTAAGTGTCGCCCTGTCGCACCCCCAAGTGCAGCGGAATCTTGGGTAGGCGAGACGGACGGTAGGCTAGCCTCGAAAGCTCGCAGCGCGGGCGGGATGGGGTGCGTGGTTGTTCAGGGTGTGCTCGCTAAATTGGAAGCTCGGAAGCGCAATGGTCACTACCTCGAGGACGAGGGACTGGGGATGAGTCCCTCTTTGTCAAATAGAGATCCGCCGCCAACCCTGCTTTTGGAACCCGAACGGCTTAGCAAGGCCGTTATTGCTCCCATCGCCATTATTCACTCCTTCTCTACCACATCGCCGGCGTCTGCCTCGTGAAGCCTTCATTGCAACTTCCTTCTCGTGACCCCTGCCACCGCCCAAGTCCTCTGAGATCTTGATCCATCATTCTAACGTTGCAGGTGCCCGCCTTCAGTCCTCCCTCCGAGTCGGCCGAGGGGGTAACACTCCTCGCTCTAGGGCGGCCTTCAGACACCTCGCGGTACTTCACTCGTGCTCGCTGTCTAGTCACCCTGCCCCCCTTGGTTCTGCTGCTGTCCGCCCGCCACCCCATCCAAGGCTGCTCGCTTTGCGTCCCCAATGCGCATCTAGTGTACGCCGGCCATCTTTCGCAATAGCGATGTCCTCCGCCGAGACAAACGCGGCCCTCGCAGACTTTCTGTCGAATCTCGCGAAGCAGCACGACCCAGCTCTGGACGCCTCGTTCAGCGGCCAAATCGCTGCAAATGGCGCCAAAGCAAACGCCATCATCCTTCCTGGGTCTGACTCCCCAGACAAGGCCAGCCTCGAGCGAGAGCTGGCCGCGCTTGCTGCCCGCATACAGTATCTCGAATCCAAGGCGAACGTCGTCGACAACCGCACGCTCCCGATAACTCCTGGTGAGCCGGGCGTCAGCTCCCCGTTCATGTATAGCCCCGCCGCCGTCTCCATATCGCGCAACGGCAGCGCACCCGGGAGGCGAGGCTCGCACAAGGAGCAGAGGGCAACGTGGGTCAACAACTGGTTGGCCGCAAAGGAATCCAACAATGGAGAGGCCCAGCAGCCCACGGCCGCGCTCACTGAGGAGCAGCTGAACTACTTGCGCGACCATCTCAACAAGCAGGCTGATCAGATCAAGAATCAACGCGAACACATCGACAATCTCAGTGCCGAAGTGAACAAACAATTGCGGAATCAGGACATCGCCTTTGGACATGGCATTGAGGACATTGGGGCTCTCAAACGAGAGCTGGGCAAGCACCAGCAGGCCAACCTCGCTTTCCAGAAGGCGCTGCGTGAGATTGGGAACATTGTGACAGCCGTCGCCATGGGTGATCTCAGCAAAAAGGTTCTTATTCATGCCAAGGAGATGGATCCTGAAATCACAACGTTCAAGCGGACCATCAACAAGATGGTTGACCAGTTACAGGAATTTGCCAGTCAAGTCACATTTCTAGCTAAAGAAGTTGGCACTGAGGGCAGACTTGGTGGTCAGGCCAATCTCCCTGGTGTCGACGGCATTTGGGCCGAATTGACGGACAGCGGTAGGTCACTGGTCTCCAGAATCCTTCTATCGGCCCTTCCCTAACAAACGTGCAGTTAATGTCATGGCGAAGAACCTCACAGAGCAAGTGCGAGAAATCGCAACTGTAACTACAGCAGTAGCTCACGGTGACTTGAGCAGGAAGATTGAACGACCTGCTCGAGGTGAGATCTTGCAATTGCAGCAGACTATAAATACTATGGTAGAGCAACTACGGTCGTTTGCTACTGAAGTCACAAAAGTAGCCAGGGACGTCGGTACTGAAGGGAAACTGGGTGGCCAGGCTGAGATCGCAGGAGTCAAGGGCATGTGGAACGAACTTACAGTCAACGTCAACGCCATGGCACAAAACCTTACTACGCAGGTCAGAGACATCGCTCAGGTGACTACAGCTGTAGCACAAGGAAACCTCACGCGGAAAGTCGAGGCCGAATGCAAGGGCGAAATTCTCGAACTTAAGAATACGATCAACTTGATGGTGGACCAACTTCAACAATTCGCACACGAAGTCACAAAGATCGCTAGGGAGGTTGGATCCGAGGGTCGTCTTGGCGGGCAAGCTACAGTGCACGGCGTGGAAGGCACGTGGAAAGACTTGACCGAGAACGTGAACGGCATGGCCATGAACCTTACAACACAAGTGCGTGAGATCGCCGAGGTCACAACCGCAGTCGCCAGAGGAGATCTTAGCCGGAAAGTCAAAGCCGAAGTCCAGGGGGAGATCCTGTCCCTCAAAATTACTATTAACACTATGGTGGACCGTTTGAATACATTTGCACAAGAAGTTAGCAAGGTAGCTCGCGAGGTCGGCACTGATGGTATCCTTGGCGGCCAGGCGCAAGTGGATAACGTGGAGGGCAAATGGAAAGATTTAACTGACAACGTCAACACGATGGCCCAGAATCTCACGCTCCAAGTGCGAAGTATCTCGGAAGTCACGCAAGCCATCGCCAAGGGCGATATGAGCCGTAGAGTACACGTCGATGCCGAAGGAGAAATCCGGCTCCTCAAAGACACTATTAACGACATGGTTACCCGTTTGGACGATTGGTCACTAGCTGTGAAGCGCGTTGCTCGCGATGTGGGCGTGGACGGAAAGATGGGAGGCCAGGCTGACGTTCAAGACATTGATGGTCGCTGGAAGGAGATAACTACCGACGTTAACACCATGGCTCAAAATTTAACCTCTCAAGTACGAGCATTTGGAGACATCACCAATGCAGCCATGGAAGGCAAGTTCACCCAAATCACGGTTGAAGCCTCTGGCGAGATGGACGAGTTGAAGAGGAAGATTAATCAAATGGTTTCAAGTCTTAGAGAGAGTATCCAGAGGAACACGGCAGCGAGAGAGTCTGCCGAGTTGGCAAACAAGACGAAATCCGAGTTTTTGGCAAACATGTCTCATGAGATTCGGACACCCATGAACGGGATTATCGGAATGACCCAGCTCACCTTGGACACGGATCTTACCCACGCGCAGCGAGAAATGCTGACTATCGTTCACAACCTAGCTGGGCAGCTTTTGACCATTATCGATGACATTCTCGATATCAGCAAGATTGAAGCCAACCGCATGGTCATGGAAGAAATCCCTTTCTCGCTCCGCGGAACTATCTTCAATGCGCTCAAGTCGCTAGCATTGAGAGCTAATGAGCGAAAGTTGACGCTAGCATATGATGTCGACTGCTCTATTCCAGACTATGTTGTTGGGGATTCCTTCAGATTGCGACAGATTATCCTAAATCTCGTCGGGAATGCGATCAAATTCACAGAGGTCGGAGAAGTCAAGGTTGCAATATCGATGGCCCGAGACCAGAATTGCGGACCCGACCAATATGTCTACCAATTCGCTGTATCTGATACTGGCATCGGTATCCATGGTGATAAGCTCAACCTCATCTTTGATACATTTCAGCAAGCCGATGGGTCCACAACGAGAAAATTCGGTGGCACAGGTCTGGGATTATCAATCTCGAAACGCTTAGTCACTCTGATGGGTGGACAGATGTGGGTAACGTCCGATTACGGAAAGGGCAGCATATTCTACTTCACCTGCAGAGTGCGTCTCGGGAACCCAGATCTGACCGCTATTCAACCCCAACTGGCGCCTTACAGCAGACATACCGTTCTATTTGTTGACCAGGGTCATACTGGATGCGGAGAGCAAGTAGTCGACCATCTGAAGGCCCTTGATCTGGCGCCCATTGTGGTTAATTCCATCGACAAAGTAGCTGTCTCGGGTGACCGGACAGCAACTACAATGCCCTTCGACTGTGTCATCGTGGATAACGATAAGACAGCCAGGGAGCTCCGAATCGCAGAGCGGTTTAAGTACATCCCACTTGTCATGCTCACCCCGCGGGTGTGTATCAGTCTAAAGTCCGCCCTTGAGGACGGTATTTCGAGCTATATGACTACACCTTGCCTGCCGATTGACTTGGGCAATGCTTTGATCCCTGCTCTAGACGGTCGCGCTGCACCATTGGTGAATGACCACTCTAGATCCTTCAATATCCTCCTCGCAGAAGACAATGCAGTCAACCAGAAGCTCGCGGTCAAAATTTTACAGAAGTACAATCACACCGTCACCGTGGCAAACAACGGTCTGGAAGCTTTCGAGCACATCAAGAACAAGCGGTATGATGTCGTTCTTATGGACGTTCAAATGCCTGTTATGGTAGGTTTACTTTCAAAAGCTATTGTAGGCGAAACTTGACTGACGTGATTCATAGGGAGGATTCGAAGCTACAGCAAAGATTCGCGAATGGGAGCGCGAGAGTGGTCAGCCTTCAACACCAGTGATCGCATTGACCGCGCACGCTATGGTCGGCGACCGAGAGAAGTGTCTTGCGGCTCAAATGGATGTATGTTTTAGCACCTGCTCACCGCTATATATCACAATTACTCACTGAGTCAGGATTACCTATCGAAACCTCTCAGGCAAAATCAACTTATTCAAACTATTTTGCGCTGCGCTACTTTAGGCGGTATTCTTTCAGACCACGCAAACGAGCAACGGCATTCGATAGAACATATACAGACACCGGATATCCAGCTATCTCCAGACAGTCCCACGTTAACCCCTAAGAGTATGTCCAAATACCCTTCGCAGAGACCGCAGCTGGAAGCGAGAGGCTTCACCGAACGAGGCACCACGGCAGAGAGCCCTTCGCTTCTAGCGGCCGACCAATCCGATCCAGTGGAGAGAGTACGTTTTTCGTTCTGTCCTTCGACATACAAACGGAACCTATACTAACTAGGTGTGCAGCTTTTGCTTCGTTCGCACAGTAGTTGAAGAACAAGTTTGTTAGATAATACCCAGCGAGTTCCCGTATGTGCAGCTGTTCACCGATATTTGTGCCCCCGGCTGGTGTGTTTTAGCGGATACCCCAAGGTGCCACACCTCAAGACTTGAATTCTTGCAGCTAGAAAGATAGTTGGTCCACCATATCAGATTCTCATTTCCAGGCGTTTGTGTGGTTTTTCTCTCTGACGAAATGGATGCACTCAACGGGGTTTCCTTAGCGGAGGGCTGCATATGGAGAGTGGGAGGCATGGGCCGAGAATCTTGGTGTCTTTGTTTTCTTTTCCCCTGGCTTTTCCTTTTGGCTCCGCCTACTGGCATGTCTGGTGCCATCAGTCACTCAGTATGGCTTCTGCCTCACCTCTGTGGATCGACTGAGGAGTACCGTGTGCGCGCGTAGGTTTTGCGACATATTTTTGGGTTGTGATTGGAGCTTTTCGTACTACCCCAACCCACCTCGATCGCTTTGACACGGCTGTTTGGGTTAGAATATGAGAATGTGGGCTTTTGGGGAACATCTCTTCTGGGGCGCTTTTTGGCAGATGAGGTGTCAGGTAGCACTACGATGCATGAATGGCGATTTGATGGGTTTCAGATGCGTTTAGACTGCCTGCAGCTGAGGGCAACAAGTGAGGGTGGCTGTGGGTATGCTTCCTGACGAGTGGGAGCGCCGAGGAGGGTGTACAGCCTCGTAACGGCCAAGCACACTTAGGGTCTACAATTAGAAGAGGCATGTATTTGGCAAGTGCGAAACTACCCTTGCATGGAGGGCCGCTTCGAAAAACATGAGGCGGATGAATCGACGATATATGCTGTCTAAGTTCCACGGTTCATAAGATGGTTGAGAGACCTGTGCCTGCGAGGCGATGTTGATTGGCGCGTCAAGGTCACGTTCGGCCGCTGAACACGCCAATGCCAGCGCGAACAACCTTGGAAGTTTCGTTTGCTCTTGCATGCAGCACGACGCACGAAAGAACATGTTCAGCCTGACTGCACGCAAAGCCTTGCGGCGCGGCGAAACAGCTTGCAAGTCGTAGTTGAAGGGGTTATTCCAGCCTCAAGACATGAAGTTGATAAGCTCACTCCTTCACCGGAACATAGCAGCTCGACGTCATTGACTTTGCGCTGGGGTCATTTCACTCTCTATTTGCGCTGCTGTTGCAGAATCCCAGACTTTCACCTTTCAAACGTTCATTTTCACTCGTCTCGTCCTGTCAGCTATGTGGATTTTGCGGCTATAAAGGATCCTGCGCGTCCTGCGAGGCCTTCCAAGGCTATCTGCGAGCCTTTCTCTCGCAGTGCTGGCAGCCTCCTTCCCCGAGAGCGGTCGCACCTCTGCCTCACTTGCGCCCTTCCTTCGACATTTCAGCTTCCTTTCTGGTCTCTACTCTCACTTTTCTAGATACTCCGAACGTCGAACGTACCCCGCGACGTCCTCTCCGAACCAGACAGTAAACCTCACACCCGAACATACGCTGTCCTGATAACCCCCCCTTCCCCTCCCCGAACCGCGCGAAACCCACTCTGCATCCATATACCCACCTTTGACTTCCTTCCTCGATCCCTCCCGCTATCCTTGGCTGCATTGCAAGAACAATTACCGTGGCTGCTCTTTTGGGCGTCGGGAAAGAGGCACCATGGACGACGACCCCGTCTATACCAACTTCTTGCTATTCCCGTCGGAACTCTCTCGCAAACGCAGCCTGGGCGACTTCGATATTGACTATCCCGATTCAAAGCGTATCAGTCAAAACCCAAGCCCGACTTTCACCCCCGGAACACCAGCGTCATTTTCCTCCGGCGAGCCAGAATTTGGGAGCAATCACACATATGGCCTCAACAATACTGGCGGTGCAGCTCAACACTCCAACCGACTAGACACATTTCCAAACAGGAATCTCCGCCCTTCTGACTTCCCCCTAAATTTCAGCAATAGGCCAACGAGCTTCAATACGCCGCGTCCTACTCGTCCTTCAAATCCTGTAGCTGTCATCGGGTCTGAGCCTCAGAACGTCGCTCCAGCCGGGAATGTTCCCTCCAACCGCGAATTCATTGATCTGACTCTAGATGGCGATTCATCCGAGGATGAACCAGCTCGGCACACTCCAGCGTCGATGCCCCGTCCCTCTGCTCCCACTCCTTGGGCTACACATCGGGCTACCCATCCTGCCGCACATCCTGCCACAGACCCGTTTGCAGAACTTGAGTTTGCTTATCGTGACCGCAATTCCCGCTCCACTCCGCCGTTCAGGATGAACAACGGAACCCAACCCCCGACGCCCGCTGACGCATTCAACCAAGAATGGATGTCTCCAGAGGACCTCGCTGCCTTCCTCATACAGCCTTCTCAGCTGGGCGTCGGCTATCCTAGCCAATATCCTGTCCAGAACCGAGGAGCTCAGCTTGCCAACAGCAATAGATTTGTAGCACATCGCCCTTTCGATCCTCCAAACGCAGGCCTGGTACCACCATTCGATCTTGATCAGGAGCCATTTGGCAGGGATCTCTCGGGAACTGCTCCTAGCGCACACCCAGAAGCCATCACCAAGCTTCTTGAGAACATACAGCCTGACGAGGAGGTTCCGAAAGAGCTTCGCGAAAAGACGCCAAAGGCTATGTGTTCCGAGCTCATGGAACATCAGAAACTCGGTCTGGCTTGGTTGAAGAAAATGGAGGAGGGGACCGCGAAGGGCGGCATTCTCGCAGACGACATGGGGCTCGGAAAGACGGTTCAGGCTCTCGCACTCATCTTGTCTAGGCCTTCGGACGATCCAATATGTAAGACGACACTAATCATTGCACCCGTTGCTCTGATGAGGCAATGGGAGAAGGAGCTTCAGCGGCATGTTCACTCCCATCATCGACTCAAGGTCTATATCTATCACCAAAACGGCAAGAAGGCGGATTTCAATACCCTGCGCCAGTACGACGTTGTTCTAACCACCTTTGGATGTCTTTCGACTGAGGAGAAGCGGATTGAGTCATTGGAAGAGTCACTGAGAGATCTCACTGAGCAGCAATCAGGCATTCAACGCAAGGCTAAGGAGAGACTGTCCCTAGTCGGGCCAGAGTGCCTTTGGTATCGTGTAGGTTCATTCCACACCACATTCTATCGCATGGAGCTGACAGCCTCACAAAAGGTAATCCTAGATGAGGCACAGTGTATCAAGAATAAGGGAACACTCACATCCAAGGGCTCGAATCGCCTACGAGCGAAATATCGGCTCTGCATGACAGGTAAGGATAGCCCCCGCACAACGCCTCCGCCGTTCCAGGGTGCATTCCAAGAGCATATCTGATCTGTAATCCTCTTGCTTGAATTTCGAAGAGCGGACAAAAGGATCCCTTCATCTGTCCAAAGCCTGTGCTAACTGAGTGTGCTGAAAAGGTACCCCAATGATGAACTCAATCGATGAACTCTATCCACTTATCCGATTCCTTAGCATCAAACCGTACAACGACTGGGCCCGTTTCCGCACAGACATCTCCCAACAGATCAAAGCAGGTCAGGAGTACCGGAGGGAAAAGGGTGTAACGCGTGTCCATGCTCTTATCAAATCTATCATGCTTCGGCGCACAAAGCAGACAATCCTTGACGGAGAACCGATTTGCAACATCCCACCTAAACAAGTCGTGCCTGCGCCAGTGGAGTTTAGCGATGAGGAACATGAACTGTACAAAGCCATTGAGACCCAGTCACAGCTGCAGTTCAATAAGTATCTCAAAGCAGGAACGGTCATTAATAACTACGCGAACGTGCTCCTACTCCTTTTACGGCTCCGCCAGGCTTGCTGCCATCCCCACCTTATCAAGGATTTGGGAGTGCAAGTTTCGACTGAGCATATCGACGAGAGCGAGCTCTTATGTCGGGCTAGAAAGCTCACGCACGACGTAGTTGTCCGGTTGAAAGAGTCGCCAGGTTTTGATTGCCCCATTTGTCTCGACGCAACACAAAATCCAACAATATTTCTTCCTTGTGGTCACACCACCTGTGGCGAGTGTTTCCAGAAACTTGTTGATCCTACCATGGTTCAGGATGACCGTGAGGAAGGTAGCGCGCCAAAATGCCCTCACTGTCGAGGTTCTCTGCATCCGAGTAGAATCACCGATTACGAGCATTTCTGCAAAGTTTTCTGTCCAGAAAAGTTTCCAGACGGTAATCTCGACCGCCCTGAGTCTGAGCCGGAGCCTGACTCTGACTCTGAGGAGGATGAATCTGACGGTGATGATTTGAATGGATTCATCGTTCCAGACGATGCCGATGATGACTACCAGGCGCCAAGGTTAAAAGATGAGAACGGTGACGAGAACGAGACGAAGCACGTCAATGGCAAGGGTAAATCACGTGTCAAGGAAAAGAAAACTCTTGCACAACTCAAGAAGGAGTCCCTCCGCAACAAGGCTGCGAAGAAGAAATATCTTCGCCGGCTTCGCAAGGACTGGGTGACATCGGCGAAGATAAACAAGACCATCCAGCTCCTCAACGAAATTGAGAGCAATGACCCTGCTGAGAAGACCTTAATTTTCAGTCAGTTCACTTCACTTCTTGACCTCCTCGAAGTCCCGCTCCAGGATCGGAATATTAAGTACCAGCGTTACGATGGTAGCATGAAACCCGATGATAGAGCCACTGCCGTTAACGATTTCATGGACAAACCTGATGAGAAGATCATGCTCGTCTCTCTCAAAGCGGGCAATGCTGGACTCAATCTCAGCCAGGCTTCTCACGTTATTATCCTGGACCCCTTCTGGAACCCGTTCATTGAAGATCAAGCAGTCGATCGAGCTCATCGTATGCCCCAAAAGCGCGAGGTATTTGTACATCGTATACTCGTGCCTGAAACCGTCGAAGACAGGATCTGCAAGCTCCAGGAACAGAAGCGCGATATCATTAGTACTGCGTTAGATGAAGGGCTCGGCAAGAGTATCTCCCGACTAGGTGTCAATGAGTTGAAGTTTCTCTTCGGTTTGTCTCGATGATCGTGGACATTTACCACCAAGAGTAGGTCTTCTTCGACACAAGCATTCCTCTCTTTGCTCAACACTCCGTTTTAGGCCAGGAGTAAACGGTTTATTCAAATCCACCTTCGCTTCCCTCGTTATCGTCACGGCCCACAAGCTGAGCACCGTCTCGCATGCCACGAGTGAGCAGTCAAATTTTGTCACGCCATTCATGTATAGCATTGGCCACCCCAGCACATAATTCAATTTTTCTTCTGATTCAAATGTTTTCTTTCGCTCTGTTTCTCGGAGACATAACCGGAATCATCTCTCTTTCTCTCTCCTTTTACGTCAGACGTGGTCAGTGAGCGCGTAAAACAGATGTTCATTTTCGTTCGAACATAATGATACCCCTAAGCTATATGGAGCGGCACCCTCGATGGATAGACCAGGGTGTGGCGGATTGCAAGGGTCTTTATGAGCATTTTCTATGGCGTTCATGGCGATATGAGACGAAACGCCTTCATTGGCATGGATCAGGAAGATTTACTCAGACCGTGTAGCTCATTGAGATCTGCTATATCGGGACTGATGGACGAAACACAATGATGGGAGTTATATGGTCCGGTAGTAGACATAAAAATGGCATTTACGCTTCGTGCTTTAGTTTAAGATGTGATATAACTACATGGTGCTTGATATCTATTCAGCATGGCCCAAGGATACAGTTTCACATGAATGACAGCGCCTCAATATAAACGATTGAATTTACGTATGGAAGCTGAGAAGTCCAGATGTTCATTTTATCTTCACCTACAAGGCCACTACCAAACTGAAAGGCAATGCAATAAACTATGCCAAGAAAAATGGGTATACAAAATGCGCGCGCGACAAGAAATGCAAAAAAGAACGATGGCGGTAGAGATACGCAATCTTCATCCTTAACCCCACCAACCTGAACTGCTTAGGCCTCTTCGAAAAAATTTCCCTCCCCTCGATAACCAAAAAAGAAATGCGACCTGCTTTCAAAGCCGCCCATCCACATTCCCGTACTCAGCAACTTGTACCTCATTCAAATGACTCCGGACCCTCGGCCCCGTCCCCGTACTACTCCTCGTCATCACACTCTCTGGCCGCACGGCCTGCCGCATGAGCACGCTGCGTCGCGGATCCATCCGCTGGTCCCTTCGAACGCCCGTAGGATTACTGCTTGATTCAGGTGTTCCATGCGCAAAACCAGAGTACCCATTGCTGTATCCTGCGCCGGAACCGTAGACGGGGCGTTTTCCAGTTGTGGTGCGTGAGCCAGCGAAGATGGCAGGCGCAGAGGCAGTGGGGGTGGGTTGGTGGGAATGTGTGTCATAGTGGGAGTCGGAGTGTGAAGCGGAAGCTGGAACACCATGTGTTGAACGGGACCGCTGCTGCTGTTGCGGTGCCATTGGGAGATATGGATTGTAAGTCCTGAGTGGCCGCTCAACAGCCAACGGCACAAAATACCCTTCCTCGTAGGTAGATCGCGGATACCGCAGTGACGAGTCCGGAGTCACGGGACCCCAATCCTCGGGCTCTTCGTAAATGGAACTCCCAGTCGACGGACCTGTCTCGTCGATATAGACAGACGAGAAGGATGTCGTTGTACTGAGATGTTTCGTCATAGCGGGCCGTCGCGGATGTTGCATTTTCTCCAACTGCGGATCCAGCAGGCTGCTCGATGCCGTACTCCTGTTCCCCTGCTGCTCCTGTTGCTGAGGTACCTGGCTCGCTCTTTTTAGTTTTAAACTTAACATCCGTCCTGGATGCTTCGGTGGCGGCATCCGTTTCTCCAGTCCGAGCATTTCGTAGCACGCTTTTCCTACCCAGAGCATTTGCTCATGTTCGCGCAAGTACCGCTCGCCCCCAAACGACTTCTGCACAATCGACCGTGCCATCATGCCGAGTTTGCGCCGCTGGGTGGTCTTATCATACATCCTGCGCGTGATGATATCCACGTCCTTTTGCGTAGGCTTGTGTGGGAGGACTGGAGCGGGGGTATTGGGATCGTCTTCAGCGTAATGTGCCCATTCATCCAGCATGGCCAGAAGGTTGATCTGCGCGCGCGCAAGGCCGTACGCGTCATTTGGAGCCACGACCTCGGAGTACCGTTTCCCGTCATCTGGATCAGTCAGCACTCGTAAACTCGCGCCAACGTCCGTGCAAACAACGGGCGCGCCAGTGAGTGCAGCTTCTCCCAGCGCGAGAGGTAGACCCTCGGAGACGGAAGAGTTCAGGAACAGCCAAGTATTCGCAAGCACCATTGCCGGATCCGCAGTGCCACGTAACGTGACGCTAGACCCAAGACCTTTGCACGCAAGAATCTCCTGGCACTCAGATGAGTAGACGGGGGCTTTGTTCAGCGCGCCGTAGATGTCGAGTTTGTAGTCTTTGAATCCCCACTCGTTGCTAATGATATCTGCTGCCAACAACGCGGTCTTTATGTCCTTCGCAAACCAGACATGGGATAACATCGTTACCGTGGGCGTCTTCGTCTTGATTTCTGAAACTGGTGCGAATTTCTGCATATCCGTGATGCCATTGACAATGGGGTCGACCTTTCGACGGAAGATGTTGCGATGGGTAAGCATTCCCTTCGAACTCCCAATCTCGACTTCCCAACCTGGATTGAAGAAATCAGCGCACGGTAGAATCTGGTCCGCGTGGTGCAGGATGAGTGTCGAAGTCAGCTTCATCAGCCCTAGGAGCGCATTACGAATGAAAGGTGGGAGTGTGCACATGGCAGATGAGAGATACAGATTTGTTTCTCGCCATGAAATCGCATGGTCCCAGATCTGTAGTGTGCAATTGCGTTTGAGTTTGCACACAATTCCGTAAGAAGCGCTGACACTGTGATGCGAGGCTTGGAAGACGTTGGGGATTTTCTCGGGGATTGGAATGCTGAAGATGAACAGGTATCGGAACCAGAGCTCAAGTGCAGTGTCTAGGTGTCCCAGAGTCGGGAGCTCGGTGCGGAACCATTTTGATGGAGGCTGTGCATTCGGCATGTCGCCTGCTAACCATAATTTTCGCCAAGTGTCTTTCACCGTGTCGCTAGTCCAGACTTCTTTCCAGTGTCGCGAGTCTTGGAAATAGGTGTTCAAGTTGACGAGGGCGCGGGTTGCTTGCTTGACATCTGCAGATGTCATGTTGACAGCTCGGGCGCCGTGCACAAGTGCCGTGAGGGTAGGAATGAAGTTCGTTTTGATATCAGTAATCGTGGCTTCCTTGACGAGATGGTCGACTTCGCTGTCTAGCTTGTTAGTGAACATCCCGTGACATGGATGCATGAAGTCCAAGCCCCACAGGGGAATGATCTTGAGTGATTCGACGTTTTCTTCTGTCTGGTGTTTCGGAAGCCCGAAATCATTGGCGGACTCGACGACCATGTGCCATTTGATGGTGCGGAGGTTGTTGATCAGGTCACGACGACAAGCCGACACGCCACCGCCTTCGTTCGGCCATGTTCCTGTGTCTACAGCGACGACGTGTAGCGAGCGGTCTGTATCCCTTGCCAGAGTCTTGGTTCTGGTGTAGATAACCGCATCTCCACCTTGTCCGAAACTGAATAGATCGCTCATGCGAACAGCAAGTGGTGTCCATGCACTGATATCGCTGGTAAGATCAGAGCTGGCCATAATAGCATCGGCGTGTAAGGCAAGGTAGTCTTCGGCTTTGAGAAGACTTCCGCGATCCCTGCGACGCCAATACGGTCGAAGCATTGCTTCTTTTCGAAGAAGCTCCTCGTCAACCCACCGGATAACCACGCCATCAAGATCAAGCCTCTTCTTCCACGCTTTCCAGAGCTGTGATCTCGCTCTCGAGGTAGAAACCTCCTGTCTCTTGACGTTCATTCTGAAAAGGCGGCTTATGAAGCTCGACGTCGCAGTCTTGAACTCTAGCAGCGGATTCTCATCGGTGAAATTGCACCGGGTAGGTTTTTTTAACACACCCAACCAATCAAAACGAATCATGTCCGGAGTGTCGACAGATTCTCCATTAAGTTTTGTAGTAATCGTCGGGTGAAATTTGTGATCATAAAGCCAGGAGCACTCATATACATCCGCCCCATCGACAAACGTAGCCTCATGAACTCGCGGAGTCGGAATCCACCGTTCCATCTTCTCTGCGTGACGGATCGGAGGAGCACTCCAGCTGATATTAGCAGACATGTGGGGAAGCACGAATTCTGCTCTCAGCAGCTCGTCGTCATACTTCGCATTCTTGCGGTAGTGGTACTTGAAACGTACCAAGTTGCCGTGCTGGATGTAGCTTCCGGACTCGATATGACCCTTGTAGTTGTACTGAACTTTGGCTCCCTCATCAGTTCCACGCACGCAGTGTCTGTTAAGCGGTATCTTGGTGTTTTGGAACCTTGTGATTTTGCTGACGCGTTGAGTTCGCGTGGCCGGATAGTCGTACTTGTATTCATTCGTGACTTCACCGTTCTTGTACTCGACACGCGAAGCGACTCGCATGTCTCTACTGTACGTGGTTATACGCGTGTGGCCCCATTTTGGCTCTTCTTTTAGGACGCCTACGTAGAAGACTAGATTGAAGCCGCCTTCTTCTGTAGGATGGACGAAGGCGGTCTCAGTATCACCGTAGTTGCGAATGACGAGTCGGTCTTTCTTTTGTGAGATCAAGCTCCCTTTGACAGTGTTGGAAAGCGCGGCGATATCCTTTCGGCCATTAAAAAGGAAGAAGGGAAGACTGGCCGACATGACCCATCGCGAGTAGATCCACAGTCCAGTGAGCAGAAAAGCTGCTGGCTTAGCCAGGACCCTTGGAGTACTGCCGAGAGCGCAATTCAATTCCCTTTGGTATTCTGGATCCGCCATTGCAGCGAGAACGAAGAACTTGATCCAGGTTCCAACTGTGTGGTAGACGTAGGCTACGGGGACTCGGATATACATTCTAAAGACACTTAGTATCGAGGTAGCAGAACGGTTCAGAACGGGATGATGAGAGTGTTGAATGTCAGCCGTGTTTTGCCGATACTCTTTCTCGGTAATTGTCTCTTCGCCCCTATTCTTGAAGAAATTGTACTTCTGCACGGCAAGGTATGCGCCAAGATCGTAGCGCGCGATTCTGGACAGAATAGTACACGCATCTTCCGCAGGGACATTCGTATTGATCCATGCCATTTCAGTATTGGTATATGGACCGCGTGCCCCAAGACACCTTCTGATGAACAGCTTACGGATCTCGAGAGGAAGGATGTCCCACTGGGTTTCGCAATCGAAGCCAAGGCAAAGGCTTTGCAGCAATTCCTTCCGGCATGCGGTTTCAAATGCAGTTGTCTGTGGACCCGAAGCATTGAAGGGCATCGAGCGTTTACTGCACTCCGAGACATAGTAGAACTCGTCACTATTAGGTCGAAGGACTAACATCGACTCAGCAACTTGAGCTTGGTGATGCGGCATAGCAAACATCGTTTCTGAGCAAGCATGCATCAGCGTCTCTGCGATGACTTTGCAATTGCTGCTGACATTCATTTGAGCCGAGGTGGAGCCTTTCGAATCGGAAGCCATGAAAAGCGTCAAACGGCCACCAGAATAGTGGGAAATAGCGCGGAGGTCAGTGTCTGCGTCTACCACTGACTGCATAGGGACGATGAAAACTTTGATCAGACCATTCTGCCAAGCTAACACAATTCTTTGCACCAAGTACGGCATGGCGGGGAATGCCTGGAGGGCCAGTCGAGTCAAAGAATCGTGAGTGCATGATAGCAGAAGGGCTGTAATCTGATCTCCGGGATGGCCAAACGGCGAGACTCTGAACCGGTTTTCCTTTGGCCCTGACCGTAGCTTGTCATGGAATGCCTGGAGTTCGCTTTGGCTGAATTCTTGGTCCTGACCAGCCCCATTGTAGGCGTGAAAAACCTCCCCTGCAGACCAGTGGATCCTGTACTGCGAGGGCAGACCCCTGATATGAATGGAATCAGTGGAGTCAAACGGTTTTTTGGGCTTTCTAAATTTCGCAAGCGTTTCCGAGATATAAGTGCGAATCTCGAAAGCTTCGGGTAAACCAAGTTTAGCAGTATGGAATGAAAGAATAGCGGCAGTCCAAGTCGCCACCCCTAAGGCGATGACATTGTCATATTCAAACTTCGGACGTACTCTCTTGAGCACCATTCCTAAGACAAACCCAAGGATGACAGCCATCAGAAGGGGCATAAGAGCGTGAGGGCCGGAGAATATTTTGTTGTACTGGTAGAGAAGAAGGCCGCTGTATGCACCGACGTAGGCGAGAAACATGATCATTGCTTCTGATGAACCGTTGAAGATCCAAACAAGTGCAGCGCTCAGCGACAGTGCCCATACGTGGACGCCAATGAAGCGACATAACGTGTTCCAGTAAAGATGGCGTCGGAATTTTTGATCATTGGCTTTAGCCTTCCGTATTTCAGGAATTGATTCAATCGAAACCGGCGAGGACTGCTCAGAAAGTGTATGTAGATGTTGGGCTTTGTAGTCTAGAAGCACTGCCCCGACTAAGTAATATGCCAATCCGAATCCGACAGATAGCCGGAAAGTTTGGTTAAGGGCTGCCGATAGACCGACAAGGTGACCGCCATGAATCAAATCGAGCCAGCGGTCCAGAAGAGCTGTGAGAAAGTAGAGAATGCCACACCCGATCTCATCACCAGCATTGCGCCAGTGAATGAAAGAATTGTGTAATCTAATTCCCTTCTGGGATTGTTGCATACTCTCGAGTGCTACCTGCGTCTCCAGATTCCAAGTGGAGCTGTAGGGGATGGGGCGTTTCACATCGGTAAGTCGGCAATACCAATCTAGGAGGAAGAGTGTTGAATCCCAGCATTCAGCCAGTTCCTTGACAAACGAGTCCTCAGTTGGATGTTGCCAGAAACGGCGGGTCTTTTCCTTCATCACAGCTTCGTATAGTTCCTTGCGACAAAGGGTGAGAATAGCAGGCTCGCTAAGACCGTAGAACATGTCTGGTTCGGCAGGGGATAAGTCAGACGTTGTGAGGAGAGATGATGGCACAATCGAAATTCTTGGCCCCTTGCTTAAACGCTTCCCTATCTAATTGTCAATTTTCTGATAGAAATAGACCTCGCCTGATAACACTTACCTGTAGCACCGAGATGTGGCTCCAGCTTCAAGTTCGTTCGGATGTACCACTCTTTCACATCCTTATCGTTGAGCGTCTTGATATTGTGATACCAAGTAACCCATTGGGTGCTGACGTGTCGAGTTCCCAAGAGCAGTAGCATGACGAATATGAAAAGTACCGTGGGGTAGATGATAACATCATATCCGCGGATCCAAATAGTGAGGATTGGAGAGATGATTAGTGTCGGAATAAGGGTGATAATCACTCTTCGACCGTTTAGAAAAGCTGAACCAGGGATTTGATAGGTAGAAAGCACAGCCAGAACGGAGAGATATGATGTCAACCCAAATAAGTAAAAGAAGAAGATGGCGCCGGCTTGTACTCCGCGTACCGCTGTGATTACGATAAATCCCACAAGACTAGCAGCGGCTGTGAAGGCAAGACCACCAATTAGACGCGTAAGCACAAACATATTAGCAGCCGAGAATGCCATAGAAATGAGATAGTATGTGCCACCAATAGAGATCCAGGTTCCAATTGCACCTGACAAGAGCAAGGAGGTCATTAAAGCTAATGTCGCGTACTTTTGCTCAGAATATGTCATGAACGCGCTAAGGTAGAGGCCATGACCAGTTGTAGTCAGAAGCACAATATCTACCAATCATAAGCATTCGTATTATGAATTCATTCGGGGGCTCAGACGTACCGACAAGCGCGGGAATTGCAAAAACACTGAGGAAGGTGAAACGGCGGAAGCCAGGCATTACCGATGCCTGTTGGTCCGGGTCAATATCCGTCTGCGCGGCAGCATACGCGGAAGCGAAGGAAGGTGCATTAAAAATCCACATCGGCGGTTGGTGTTCGTCCTCGTTGTAGTAGTCTCGATGCTTCTTGGAAAGTAGAATTCCAATATCGCTCGGCTTAATGTCAAAGTAAGCCTCGCAACGGGAGCCTAAAGCGAAAAGCTCTGCAAAAGCGGCACTCTGGTCTGAGTACTGGTTGAAGAGCGGATTTCGATCTGACACCTCGATGTAAACCTCATCAAATCCAGCCTTTCTCGCGGCACAGAAAATGCAAAATAGGACGAAGTCGGTGACGGAGTCAATATTGTCTCTGCTTGTGAGCCTCTCTAGGGCCGAAGTAATCACATCTAGACTTTGGTAGTCACGGTTCCACAGCAGGTTTCGGAAAATATTATCGATGTGCCGGAAAAGTTCAATGGCGTCGTGTTTCTCGAGGCTTGTAAGGTGACAGAGGCGATACCATTTAATCCGTGCACTAACCAAATGCTCGTCTGTGATAGCTCCGCTTAGATAGTCCATATTACTTAGCTTCTTGAGCTGCTGGTACGTCGGAACATCGATTAGTAACTCTTCGCATGTCAAGCAGATGGCAGATAGCAACGGGCAGCCCTCGTCCCATTCGGAATATTGCAGATGCTGGAGGTAGAGTAGGAGGTCTGTGGGAGAAAGAAGATCGAGATCTTGCCTTAATCGTTGGGGTAGTCGCCGTAATGTGCTCAATCCAGTTTGCAACTCAGCAAGACCATACTCAAGGAGGAAACACTGGTACCTTGAGAAGCTTGATTTGCTGAGGTATGTATGAAGAAGAAGCGCCGGGAGATCTTGTACTGTTTTGGACACATAGAAGATGAGGGATGATGTCCTCGTATCCATTTCGTACACTGACCAGAACTGTCCCCCAGAAGGCGTGTGAAAGCCAGAATCAAGTCCAATGTAGACTTGGAATTGGTAGGGGTCATCCACTTCATCGGTCGTTCTTGCAAGAGCGTTTGCCAGGTTTGATATCACCTCACGCGATGTCGGCACAAGGTCCGGGAGACGACTGTCCGACATGCCGTAGTTGCTGAGGATGGAGGAGGCATCATGTAATTGCTTCGCGGGCACCCGGCTTAAAAGGCCGAGATTCCTCAGCCGCTGCTGTGATTTTAAGACTTGGTCGAAGTCTTGTTGAGAAGCATTAAAGCCGATTGGAAAGCATCCGAACGGTCCGTAAAAGGTTCCAGCGAAAGAACAAGATAGGGGGTTGGCGGCTTGTTTGCTCATACACGCACCCCAATCTAGGCTGAGAAGCGGTGAAAGCGAGTCGAAAACTGGAGGTAACAGAGCTCCATTTTCATCTATCTCTGGATAATGCACCGTGAGGGTAGATGCATTAGATTGTGCATCTGAGTCGGAATCATAGTCGCCTAAGCCCGCTATCGTATCTTCGAGAAGCGGAAATATGGTTTGAAGGGGAAGGTAGTCGTCAATGATGCTGGAATATTCTGGAGACAGCTGTGCAGAATTTCTAGTTAGCAAGAAGCTCAGAATCTTTCAAGCAGAGGGCTGGTACTTACAACTCGTGTTGTTCGAAATTTCTCATGCACACCCATGACTTTACGATCTTTGAGCCATTGAAAAGCGGCAAGTGGCTCTTCACATGACCGAACTTGAGAAATATCTGTAATAGCTCCTTGTCTCGCGAGATACGGGATCGCGCCGTGGTAGCTGCACCACATGTGCGCTCTCCTTGCCACAGCATGGGACAAATATGCATCATCTTCCACAGTATCCCACATCATTACAATAAATGGCCGCAGGCATGACTGTGATACAAATGCTTTTGTAGTGGTTTTCATTTTGTCCATGGCAAAGAAATCTCGGCGTTCCCCATTTCGCAGAATTGTTCCATTTCTCACTACCACCCCAGCGAAAAGCTTGAGATTAAGCTTTTCAACTTTGTCCAGGAAGTCTGGGGGTTCGATTTCCAAGAATACATCTAAGCCATGGGCAGCACAAAGCTTTGCGATGCCATTGAGGAGAGGTATCGAAATTCGTTCTCTCCAGCCGGCAACTAGAACTCCAGTGAAGTATCTGTGGCGGTCTGGCTGCCGCAGAGTTTGCCGAATTGTTTTGGAGATGAGATATACTGCTCGAAGCATGTCAACTTCATTGTCCATAGCAGCGAAATTGAGGATCTGGAGAAGATCTAGCCGGGCAATGATGTGGGGGCCTAGTGGTAGACTATCATCATTGACCGCCTCCAGCACCCCTGGCTCGCAGTGATCCAGCACGATAGCCTCCCATTGAGATATGATTTGTTTCTCTTCTTCCGCTAAAGGCGTATTTAGAATACCGAGATATACACCAAAAGATGAGGGCTTCGATGGAAGAGGTTGCTTTGAACGGACGGGTTTGGCGGTCTGAGAGAGAAGATGGATCCGTTCTTGAACAGAACGAGGAAAGGCGGGGTTATCCACACTCGCCTACAGGTGTCTTGGTAAGCCACGAAGCACGAAACCATTGACATTCATTGTAATCTTACTCTAAATACCCTCCGGATGGATTGGTATGAGCCCCAGAGAAAAGTGATGACACCGATTAGCCCACTGGCACCGATGATAGCAACAAGCGTCCACTCCCACCAGTGTTTGAGAAGAGCCTCAGAGCTGAAAGCGCTGATTCCCAGGATATTGGCCATGGTGTCACAAGCTCTCAGCTAAGGGGGGAGGAGGGTTTTTGAAGTTTGGGACAGCAACGACCGACACCCCAGAGGGTGAGATCAGAAATGTGGGGAACCGTTGGAATAGCAGAGGGACTTATTAACTAAATGAGAGATAACGAAACTAGGGACAAAACAAGGCTACAGAAATTCATGATGAAGAATTAAAATGAACTGGCTGAGCGAAGAGCGTATCAAACAAAAACAGCTAGGAAAAATTTGATACTATAAGGTCTTCCGGGCACTATGGAGAGGAAGAGCCGGCACATGGATATGCTAGTCGATGGACCGGACATACTTACGCAGACAGCCTGTGTATAAGATCGTCATGTGTCTCACTGTTGATCCGCCGTCTCCGTTAGCAAGTCGCACGGCAGCTGGGGTGGAGTGCTCCACAGCTGCGAGGGCATTGGCAGCTAGGGAGACAGAGTCATCCTTCGAGAAGCCGACATACTGCTCTTGGCAACCTCGATTGGGCAATGAGAGGCGGCCATTGAGAGCGCCTAGCAGGTGGAAGCCCTTCGACCGGGCCATGGGTGGATGGGTGATGCCCGGCTAGCATCAATCTATCGCCGGCAGCGGACAGGGGCTGCGTAACGACAGGGGTCAGCGCTATGGACATACATATGAGGGATGAGGTGAGGTTGGGGATGGTAGCTGAAGCGTGACGAGAGTGGTGGAGAAGCGTGGAGCGCCGCTGGAGAAAGAGGCTGAAAATCGGCGCTATGATCCGCCGATGTGATGGCCCGTGCGCAGTGCCGTTTTAACGGACACTCACCAGCATCGCTCTTTAGCCTAACCTTCACATCACAACTTTAATATCAGAGTTCATCAATCCCGGCCTCACGTACAGCACCCCACTCCGTTGACCGAGTAAAACTACCCACCGCCTGTCGATGAAGCCCGGGCGCGTATATGACGCTTCATTTGTCAAAAGTGCGAGCGGAGTTGAGCTTGCGTGGAAGCAGGCCAGAAGACTCCATTTGGCCATGGGACGCGTCGACTTCAATATCCCCAGAGAACCTGCTAGAGATCATTTACACGGCCTGGTAGCCGCAATGGAACATCGGAGTGCGCCCGCTCTGGCCCAGGAGTCTATAGGGGCTCCACGAACCTTCCCAGATGGTGCGATTTATACCTGGGTCGCTCTGGCTGCAGGCTCCTGCGGCCTGCATACTCCCGACTGGAGTAGTTTTGGTCACGTTTTCTCTCTAACTCAATGCTACATTGTCCCCACGTGGCGCAAGGCTATTCTCCCCTCTGCCTCAAAGAGATGGAATGCCGCCAAGCTCCCTGTTCACTCAATTCCCCGAACGTCACCTGAATTTCATTGCGCAGCGGGCAACATGGCAAAGGTAGCTTTAGGGTTGCAATGTTGACTGCCAAAGGTTCTCAAAAGATACCTGTGCCGCGTCATAGTTCAACCCAACCAAGATTCGTGTCTCTTTGTCAATTCGTGCAAGCGAAGCAGTAATAGCGAAAATCGATAGTCAGTCCGCTGTCGTATACGTTGCGCTTGGGTCAATACTTCGCCGATAGCTAACGTGGTACTATTGCCGAGAGCTTCTTTATTAATAGGGACCTGATTCCCCAAAACTTTTGGACGTTCACTCAGTCATTCAACTCAAATTTGTGCAATGGCTCCGTATTTCTTATCGTCGCTTCGTGCGTGCGCTCTCACAATTATTGTCGCTCTCTCTGGAAGCGTTCTATCCGCAGATGCAACGACCGCATATATCGGCGGAGCCACCGTCTCCAGCACAGTTCTCGTCCTTGCGCGTGACCAAACATCCGCTCAGAATAGCGCCTTTTTGGGATTGCAAGGCTACGGAATTCCCTACGAAGTTGTAACCGTTCCCCAGAGCGGTGTCAGCTCTCTACCACCCCTCAATTCCTCAGTTGATCATGGAAACTACGGAGGTATTGTCATCGTGAGCGAGGTTGGCTACGATTACAATGGGTCATACTATAGCGCGCTCACTAGGAAGCAATGGAACACGCTCTGGGACTACCAAACCCAGTTTGGTGTGCGTATGGTTCGTCTGGATGTTTTCCCCACCAGCGACTTTGGTGTTGTTAGCAAAGGCGGCAATGCGAAAGATGAGCCCGTTAGTTTTACCAACACGACTGGCTTTTCGACTGCGAGTCTTAAGACGTACGTTGCCTGATATTTTTTTTTTCCCTTCTGGCTAAATAATATCTGTCTCTGCACGGACTCGGTCGAATTGTGGTGCAGGTAATATTACTAGATGAGCCCGATGACTAACATACCCCAGGAACGCAAACGTCAGTATCGCGAACATCTGGCACACTCCAGCAACGATCACAAACTCATCCATTGCCTGGGAGGTTGCAAAATTCGGCTCTGCTGGAACCGCCGCTGTGATTAATCAAATCGGTGCCCGCCAGCAAATGGTATGGTTTATGCCATTCGCGCTTGATTGGTCCGGTCCTAGCAACTACCTCCAGCATTCATGGATCCACTGGTTAACCAGGGGTTTATACGTCGGCTTCCGAAGACTGTACTTCAGCACTCAAGTTGATGACATGTTCCTGGAGACTCCAATGTACAGACCGCAAGGGCAGTCCTATCGGTGCAAGCCCGATGATCTCTCATTACACGTTGATTGGCAGACTACAGTCAATGCAAAGCTGCCAAAGGGATCAGAATACTTCATCGAGATTGGCCATAACGGAAATGGCGATATCGAGACCGCTACTGACACTACTGAGGGGGCTACTGTATGCAGTCCGGCATCTGGAATTGAGTATCCGGATCAGATTGATGGACCTCCAGACTACACAAAGAAACCAGGGAGCGGGGTTGACATATGGCCCGCCACGCCTACTAAGTATGGTTGGAGTCAGGAATGTGTGGAGATTGATGAGCTCGAGAATTGGTTCGCAGACGAGAACAACCGTGATGCGTTTGCTCACATCTCTCATACTTTGTACGTGTCTTCCTATTTTCGACTACGCCTAGCTAATTTCTGAAGTACCCATGAGGATCTAACGAACGCTACTTACTCTGATACCTCTAAAGAAATTTCATGGAACCAAGCCTGGCTTAAGCAAGTGGGCCTCTCTAGCGCTTCTCGCTTTAGTTCAAAGGGTATAATTCCTCCTGCCATTACAGGTCTGCATAACGCAGATGCTCTCAAAGCCTGGGTAGACAATGGGATCGTGAACGTCGTTGGCGACAATACACGACCTCTACTATTGAACACGCAGAACCGATTCTGGCCACTCAATACAACCGTAGCAGGCAACGGATACGCTGGAGTCAATGTCATGCCCCGGTGGGCTACAACGATTTACTACAACTGCGATCTTCCGGCATGTACTCTCCAAGAGTGGATTGATACTTCAGGTGGGAAAGGTACCTTCGATGATCTTATCAAGGATGCCAAAAATACGGCTGTTCGAAATCTGATGGGGTTGCATTGGGATCCGTATGTTAAGCGAGTCTTTTGATACTACCTCTATTGCTAACTAGTGCAGGTATATGTTCCATCAAGCTAACCTTCGGGTCAATGATGTTCCAAGCACCACGGTGAATGGCAAGAAGGGACAATACTCGCTTCTCATGACATGGGTTGAAGTAATCACTACCGAGATTTCACGACTGTGAGTTTGGCCGGCTAGAATATACGAAGTGCGCTAACATATGTGCAGTACTACTTGGCCCTTCAAGACTCTCAAACACGACGACCTTGCACAGGCTTTCTTGAATCGCCAGGCCCGAGACCTGTGCAGACCGAGCATGCAGTGGAATGCTTCCAAGGATGGCAAGAACATCGAGAGCGTGACTGTATTCACTGCCAATGGCAACAAGTGCAGCACCACAATTCCCATCACTGTTCCCAGCGCCGTTTCTTCTAACACTGGCGCCACCAAGGAGCAGCTCGGCACCGACCCACTTACCCTATGGGTGACGATGAGCGGATCATCTCGCACATACACTTTCTCTAAGGCCATTCCTCTTTAGACGTATCTTTGTACATATGTATGTCACGACGACTATTCATGGAGAAGGTATATCATGGATATCGCAGGAGAGCATGAATATTTCAAAAGGGTGGCTTATCCAGAGACTGCTAATGTATTGGTCATTCACTCTAATTCGCTTCGTTATATCATATTTGGGCATGGCACTGTTGCAGTTGCATCAAGGTTGCGACAGGTTTCTTAGAGAGCACATATGAATTCTTAGGTTCTGTGTTTTACTGTAAATTTTTTTTGTCCCACTCGTGCGCAATGTCTATAGATGGGTTGTCGCTCTTGGCTTCAAGACTGTAAACGATCGCGTTGTAGCTGGGCACTTTATAAACTATTGGATAGCTGCAACCATGACCTGAAATTCTTTCGCATTTCTCTTGGGTGCCATGCTTTTGTATGAAGAAATTGCCAATACTTGTTGGGGATATGCAGTGGGGTGGCATTGCTTCAAGGTGTCACCTCGAACAGCTTCAGTTGCATGCAAGACTCATCGCTGCCCTAAAGCTTGACGACCATCTGAAACTCCTCCGAACACCCTCCACATGGCAGCCACGGTGAAGAGCTCGGGAACATTTCGTGTTCACATCGACGCGGCTTTTAGCCAATGCTATTCTATTTCTAGTTAGCGCAATACTCTCCAAACAGCCGGCCTCGGCCCGGTCTCGCCAGAATGTCCGATGAACGACGGCCCATCCGTAGATCGTATCACCGCCGAGAGGATCACCGGACCTTCGCACGATTCAGGATCTTCGTATCTGCGCGGCATCGCGTTATTCTCGCAACGTGGGCCTTGCCGAAAAAGAAGCTTATTTGAACATTCAGTGTTTGTTGAAAAGGGGGCAAAGAGGCACAGCCTGAAGCCCTGTTGGGGCTTGTTTTGACCTCAAGTCCGATCATAATAATGCTCACGCCGCACAGCCACGATTTAGATGAAGAGGGAGGAGAACGGACATGGGGTGCTGCCGGTTGGTGGCTTTGTTAATGCAGGCACAAGTGAATTTTATTTTCATTTATTTCGTTTGGAGGTGCCATCCGCCCTTCTTCTCCACAGACGCTCTCTCCTTTCATTCTCGTCAGCGCTCCTTGCGTGACCTGAGTTTCAGCTTCTGATTCACTGCTTGATACGTCTAACTATCATGTTCTTCGCGGTCTGCTGCACCTCTGTACACAGTCCAGATCCTCAGCCCTTCTCTCGGCCCTTTTGAAATCCTAAATTTCAGTTCTCACACCATACATCCTACAGAAAATTTCCCGGCATATTAACCAGCCTCATCTTCATTACGTTTATGTGCTCGCCGAGCCACAAACGCAATCAATCCCCAGAATCGCATGCTTCTTTTGTACCAGGCTTCGCCTTAAACAACCCATTCCATAGTAACCACGGCGGCCCCGTTTCCCAATCCATCGATTCCGCAAAACACGTTACCGCTTCTAGACCTTTACACTCCACCAAAATAATTTTACAATTGCACGTCATCTGGAAGTTTCCGCATCTGAGTCTCAACCACAGCTCAACATAATACTTCCACGACTTGCGGATTAGCAGGAACTATATGGTTCCCAATTTTGTAGTAACTATTGCTAAGATCCTAACCATTGTTTCCTGTTTGAGCTTTCCTTCCGCCGTTTGAGCTCCGCTGGCAATATTTTTTCCGATCGGAGAGATCGAGAAAAAGGAAGTCACATCATCTAAGTCTTTCGACGCGAGACTACAAATACACAATGGGTTCCAAAGCAGCCACAAAGACCCGGACACCATGGTCACTCCGGCGGAAACTCATACTCGGAACCCTCATTGTTATCGTCATCCTTGGGCTCGCCCTCGGTTTAGGATTAGGTCTGACTTTAGGAAGAGACAATGGCAATGACGGAGGAAACGACAATGGCCCCGAAACCACACCGACCTCGTCCCCGCTCCCAACGCCCACAAACACCCTCCCGTGGAGACCGTCCGTGAACGAGTCGTGGCAAATCATCCTGTTGAATAACATCGAGCTTGATACCAATGCTACCTCCGTAACTCCTAATGTCTCTATCTATGACATCGATCTCTTCACCACTCCTAAATCGACAATGGATACCTTACATCGGCTGGGTAAGAAAGTGATATGCTACTTCAGCGGAGGAAGCTATGAGCCCAATAGGCCGGATAGTGGAGATTTCAAGCCTGATGATATTGGGGCGGATTTAGAGGGCTGGCCGGGAGAGAAGTGGTTGAGGCTGGGAAGTGAGAATGTGCGAAATATTATGAAGAAGAGGGTAGAGATTGCGGCGGAGAAGGGATGCGATGGTGTGGATGTGGACAATGTGGACGGTTATGTGAGTATTCTCCCTCTGCTTGTTTGTGCTCTGATACGGCTTTTGTCTTTGGAAGAGTAGGGAGGCCTAAGCTCAATGGCACTAGATATTCAACAGATATCAGTTGGATTATTGCATATCCAAGTGAAGCATGGCAGCTTAAACCATCAAAGACGCAAGCTAACAGCTTCATCAGCAAAACAAAAACGGCCTAGATCTCTCAGCCGAGGATTCGATTTCATTCATGTCATACCTCTCCAACATCACACTCCCCTACAACCTCACCCTCGGACTTAAAAACGCCGGAGATATTATCGCCCAAGTTCTCCCCATCACGCACTTCTCCGTCAACGAACAATGTGTTGAGAACTCTGAATGCGACACCTTCCACGCTTTTATCGATGCCGGAAAGCCCGTATTCCACATCGAGTACCCGGATGGCGCGGGATCCGATTTAAAAGCCGACACGGTGAAGCATTTTTGCGAGAACAGTGGTGCTGCACAGGGGAGCGATGGATTTAGCACTGTGCTGAAGAAGATGAACTTGGATGGTTGGGTTGAGTATTGTGATCAGAAGGTTGAAACAACAGCCATGAATCAAACAGATCCCGGCAATTGAAGCAACGGGGGAAGCAGGGAACACAGGGGACAAGGTTTTCAACAAAGTTTTGCATTTCTGCACCACCATTTCCACATTCCCCGCACAGCCTTCTCCACCACAATCTCATGCGGTAGTGTCCTTCCACCAAAAAAACCCCAGTGCTTGGTAATGGAAGGAATTCAGTCTTTCGTGACGCAATCCTTCATCTAACCCTCATTGAGCCGATAGCTTAACCGCCCACGCAGGAACATTCCCTGAGGAACCCAGAACCTTTTTGAAAAGCCTTTATGCCAAGCCTCTGTCCCCAAAAACTGTGGGGTGCAGATTGTGGGGTACATGCTTGGGAGCTTCAAGATTTCTGGAAGAGCTTCGTAAGCTCAATTAAGCTTTAGGGAAGAAGTCTTGGACCAAAGCTCTAGTGTAAAGCCTGGGAAAAGCTGGAGAAGAGTTTTTAAGATCTTTTGCCTACGAATCATTCCTGCAAGATATTACAAGTTTGCCACCTGCCAAGAATCTCATCAGTTCGAGGGTCGGGATTTAGTCTCCAATGTTCGCCGATCAGTGCTGGAATCATGATTTGAGTCTTTTGTGACGACAATAGCGTCCTCAGCCGGTGTGCCGAAGCCTAACCTTGGAACTTCCGCGCGACCGTAGGCTCGAGGCAGGGCCCCTGTTACATATCACAGTAATCATTTCCGCTTACTCTCCTGCATGATATTTAGCAATGCTTGCAAACAGCCGGAAAGGCGACTCTTGTGAAGCCATCTACTGCCGAACCTAGAGCGATGAGATGCAATGAATGGACAACGGACATCGGTGGCGTTGGGATCGAGCGGAGCGGAGATGTAATCGAATGGCGTAAGTCTTTCGACAGAAAAGAACTGTTATGCATATTAGCCGTTGGATCGCGTCAGTAACACTAGAGGAACCAAGTTTTCGCCGTCGGTTGAATGCGGATTAACCCTCCTAGATCTTACACTACAAGGGTAAGTGAGATCTTTCGGCGGCGCTTGTAGGGGTTAAAGAGCAAAATTCTTTTCCCTTCATGCATTGGAGGACACAGTTATACCGAGTTGCCCGGCTGGTTCATATCCGATGGCCCCGAACCAAACTCAAGTAGCAGGGTGTACGCGTCCTCACTTCAAAATGGTGTCTTTGTGCGCAAGGTCAATCTGAAAAGAAAAGAGACCTTACGTGAACCAATTTAGCGTAGCGGACGATCATCTGTTACCGAATGCAGCGTGGAGGTAGATCCTTGAGACGTCTCGACTTTTCAGTCAATTCTATTCCTTTCGCGTCACTCCACTCAAGGTCCTAATGATGAATCTACCTCAGGCCCTCATGCAGTTTTAGGCGATCCCAACTGGAACCGAAGGTCTAGTCGAGCATGTGGCAACGCATATACTCCCATGAATTTGAATATCCTTAAGGCAACTACACACTGGACCTCGGGACGATACTAAGTCACCTTGATTTACCCTATTCTCCGAACTTTCAGTGTCCTGGAAGAAGTAGTGAACGCACCTGGTACACATTCTTCTCAAATTCTTGCCTGCCGTGGAATGTTCTGGGCCAACGCCGGGACGTGCTACCGGGACCGCCCAGTCCTCCGGATACGCCTTTCGATGCGCAGCGAGAGTGAGCATATCATGTGGACCAGGAAAACTTGGTCAGGTGAAGCACTCTGATTTGACGGCTTCGTCAGCGTTCTCTCTGCAGACGGTTGTTTTCTCAACGTTCGAATCCGTTCAATTGCAGAGCTCTTGCATAACTGCAACGTGCTACGGGAATCTGGAGTGCAGCTGCATAGGCGCCGAGGTCAGCATGATTGAAGCCCAAGATGATCTGATGCCGCCGAGTCCGCAGGCTTGTGCTTGAATCATCGGTCCACATGGCTTTGATCATACCCTCGATTGCCTTTCCAGCCGCCATAAGTATGAGTAATTTGCGCACGTCGTGTTAGTTTTTTGATGAAGTCCGTAGCTGAAGTAATTGTCAGAATCAAAATTTGAGTTCGAGACGCAAGAAGCACCTTTTCTTCGTAACCCGGAGCGAAATGCAGTCGACAGGAAAAGAAAATATTTGCATATGCACAGGATAAGCAGCGGATATTCATACGATACGATCATCTCAGCTGCTTCAGTGTGCATACGAAGGCCATGCTGCCGACAGCTCTGTAGACGGAAAGCAGGTCCAACGCCACTGGTGGAAAAAAAGAGATTGAGGGTTTGGATTATGTGGGAATCGAAAGAGGAAGCGAAAGAGCATGGCCCGTCTTCTTTTGTCATCAGTTAGCAATAGAGAGGGGCAGTATGCGACTTCGATTGCTCGGGAACGCCAAAGTCCAAGCCTTGCTCGTGCATCTGCACTGTGGGGCAGGCAAGTGGTAGCACCGGCAGTAGGGAGAGTGTGTAAGGTCCCATGGAATTCTAGTTACTAGATGGAGAGGACGGAAGGGAGTTTTGGCCACGTTCGTAGGCGAAGTTACCGATTTGGGTATCTAGTTCATTGTCTCTTCTGCACTCGGCTAGGTGAGCTGTCGGTCAGTGAAGCGTGAGAACGGTGTATAGAGGGCGCCGCAGGTAAATTGTTATGTCACAAAGCCGTGCATGTTGTTGCCTACTATTGCGGCTGACGCTCCAATGGAATGGATAACCAGGGCTGCTCCCCAGGAAGCTGGACACCCTGTCCCAGTAACGGATAAGCTCACGCTGCCTTGACCCCGGTGAAGCGTCAATTCGAAGGAGCTGGGCAGCCCTGTCAAGCCAAGAAGATGCGGCGAAGCGAATGCCGAAGCAGGAGCAGAGATCGTGATGAGACGAAATGAGTGACTTGATTTGGGAAAGGAGAGTAGCCGGTAGTGTTCGCCACGTCAACCAGCGCAAGGCCACAAGACATTACCTGGGCATGATTGCGGGGGTCATATTGGGCCGATTCAATACATCACGAAATCTATATGGAGAGTGAGACCCGCTGGGGACAGAGAGGAGTGTGCAGGAGTAGTGGCACAGAGAGATGAAGAGGGAGGGTTGAAATAAAGTGATCACGCGAATTTAGCGCGCCAGCAAGGGACTAGTGCAAAGACCCCTGTTCGACACCACCAGATCTTGCAGCACAAAAGCGGCGAGCGTTCGGCCCCGTCAGACTGAGAGGGACTGAAGCCTCTTTGCTTTCGCGGGGAAAAGGCAGGGTCGTTGGCGATCGTTGCTTGTTTTACCTTTGCTGGGACTCATTCGCCAACCACACCCGTTCCTGAAACATCGACGAGCTTTCTTCCGGCGGGCTCACGGTCCGGATATTCACTCTTGATCAGCACCTCGCCTCTCACAACTCACAGCTGCACAGCCATCCTCACGCCTTTTCCCAACATTCAGCCCCGATCTCACCTTTCTAACAGGACCCGCCGCCTAACGGCGGAGCTCACTCCGCTGCAGTCTTGCAATCTCCGCTTCGTAGATGCACATCGCACCCATCCAGAAGGGAAGCTCGAAGTGATTGTCAGGAACATGACGTCTAACTTCAATCACCGTTAGGCCCGTCAGAATAACAGAAGCTCGTAGACATGCACCAGGTTGTTCGCATGCGCAGATGCCTGGCGTGACCCAGGTCACGTCAACATTGGGGCATGCCAGTGAGTCAATTTTCATGCATTTCATATTCATGTGCGACATCCGCAGTACCGGACCACACGATTTTTTATATACAATGCGCCTCAGATCGGAAATCCCCTTAGCTGAGCAGCCCGTTCAAGCAATCAATGAACACGGGGAAGTACGAGTCGATCAGGGTGTAGTTGTTTGTTCCGGTGAGGTAGAGACCTCGTCCGACTGCCAGGAGCTTCTGAAGTGTTGTCTCAGTGTCGCGATTGCTAAGATTTGGCATGGAATGTAGCATGCAGGCAAGTCTAGCGTGATCATATGAATTCGTGGCTCGGGTGAGGATATCTCCTTTGATAGTCCAGTTGCCGTAAGTATCCTCGAAGATGACGGTAAGGTTGGCGGCTCCGACTAAGTTTGGATCACTAAAGTATTGTGCCTCAGGGAGAGCGCCCGGATTGTGGACTGCGACGCACCGTCAGCCTTGACGCTTGCAACTGCCGATATCAGGTGCCCCAGTTTCTGGATTCACCAGCAGCGGACATGCAGTACTCTGGAAAAACGGTGGGCGATATAGTGAGGGGAGCCATATATCGGGACCCACCGACTTCGGGCTTTGGTTCAGAAGCTACACGGTACGCCCAATGCCGAAATGAGGGAGCTTCTCTTACCTACGTAGCCATCCTTTAAGCCGCGGTTGTTGTGGACGGCTTGTGAAATAGTTTGTAAATATGAAGCGTATTCGGGAGTGTAATGTGTGGGAGTCTCATCGAAGAAGATACCACTCATGGCTAATTGAGGGTCTTGGGCTCCCCATCCGGCGTACACTGCTACTTCATCCAGTACCGAGCTCGCATTCTTTGTGCACCACGTGGTAGCCACATAACCGATAGTACGGACATTGCCCAACGCATTTAATGTATGAATGGCTTGCGTGTAGTTCTCGTTCGGCAGCGCGCTGTCACCCGGCCCGCTGTAGGGATTGACGATTGCCGTGAACTGCACGCGTGGGTAGGATGATGCCCTGTGATGATCAGAGGCTAATGCTCGGTTGAAAGTCGCGGACATTGGGAAATCGAACGTACATTTGATACAATGGATCCCACGCACCCGTGGAGGGATAGACATAGAGGGGAAGTAATACCGAGGCGATCATGCTTCTAGTCGCCGACGGCAGCGAGCGCCAACAGGATGTGAAATTACCAGCAAGATCAGAACAAACAGCGTTCTGACTAGCATCAGATGAAAAGTTAAAGATTTGCTGAAGGTAATTGGCTAGAATTATTCCATCGAAGGAGGCCCTGTTCAAACAAATATTTGGGCGGCAACAGACAAATCGCGAAATCCGGGTTTCAGGCGGCGAAACTGCGCTGGTAGACTGTAGAGAACGGTCAGCTTGCATCCTTCATAAGGATATTGAAAGATTCTGAAGGCCGCGCCATCACGCCCCATAATTGTACGTAGCAGAGCGTGATGCCATAGAAATTGTACAGGGATTAACCGATTAAGCAGTATATTCGAAAGTGCTAGACCAAAGGACCAGCTTTCCGACCAAATAATTCGGGATGAAGAGGCCGGAGCATGCCAAGCGCGGCCCAGGCATAAACGATATTGAGCTGTACGGGGGAAAAACTTGCATCGAATTTGTTCTGCCTAATTGGGTCAGATACTCCAAAGCTCTGACATATATAAGACATTTCCACGTACCTTTCTAGGGTTGCACTAGACAGCCACGTTGCTTCCTTGTTTCTGCACCGCTCGTACTTGCTGTCCTCGCCATGGAGTATCTTTCAGATTCAGGATCAGCGTCACCGTCGCCGTCGACCTTCTCGTTGTCGGCGTCTGGCTCCGTCGAGGCGATTAGTACCCCAGATACCCAGAGGTCACTCATTTTCGACGACGATGTGGCTGCAGATCCTCTTGACATCGCGGCCGGGAATTCTCGATTTATCATGGTTGTCGGCGGACTCGGTTACATCGGCTCTCACACCGTTCTAGAGCTGCTCAAGGAGAATTACAACGTTCTCGTTGTCGACGACTTGAGCAACTCGTACGAGAGTGTTCTTCATCGCATTAAAGCACTGGCCACCGAGCATTTCGCAGCGCAAGATAGGCCCATGCCCGCTCTCCACTTCCGACAACTCGACTACCGTAGCCCGTGTATGAGATCAATCCTCGCCAGTTACTCATCCTACTCGATCCGCAGCAAAGCAGGAGCTTCAACTCCAGCGGGAGATCTCATGGGTGTGCTCCCTAGAGGGTTCCCGTTTTCGGCTCTTCACCGAACCGATTCGGGTATTGATATGGGCACTGAAGATGCGCAGGAAACCATACTCAGACGGGAATCTAGGATATCGGGTGTCATCCATTTCGCGGCGTATAAGTCCGTAGAGGAGAGCATTCGAATGCCCTTGAAGTATTACAGCAACAACGTCTGCGGGATGGTAGACTTCCTTAGTCTGCTCGAAGAATTTGGAATCAAGAACTTCGTCTTCTCATCGTCGGCGACTGTCTACGGAGAGGGTGCAAATTGCGGCGTTCCTCTGCGTGAAGAGCTCTGCGTTCACCACCACGAAACCTTTCATGATGACGATGGCTTTGAGCACCAGGTAGTCCCGGGCGTTATGGGGCTTACCTCACCATATGGACGATCCAAATACATGTGCGAATCTATCCTCGCTGACATTGCACGGTCGGACCCGTCGTGGTCCATCACTGCGTTACGATATTTCAATCCCGTAAGTGTTCATCTTCCCAGAGAGGCTAAATTTGACTGACTTGGACGAACTAGGTTGGATGCCACGAGTCCGGAATGCTTGGCGAAGATCCTCGGCAGAAACCGAGCAACCTAATTCCAGTTATTGCCACAGTGCTCACAGGCATTAAGCCAGTCCTGGACATTTTCGGTACGGATTGGAGCACTCCAGATGGAACGGCCGTCCGGGATTTCATCCATGTGGTTGATCTTGCTCGAGGGCATATCGCTGCTCTAGCAGCATCCGCCGCAGGCAAAGTCAAAGTCCCATTCCGAGCGTACAATCTCGGTAAGTGCTTTAACCCGTCACTGGGATATTCCATTTACACTCCCAACGATAACAAGTTCCTTAATGTTCCTGTTTCTAACACGGCACAGGAACTGGAAGAGGACACACCGTTCGCGAAGTTCTTCAGAGTTTAGAAGAGACATCAAACCGGAAAATTCCCGTCCGGGAGGCCGGCCGACGAGCTGGCGATGTTGGTTTCTGTGTCGCTGAAGTCCGGCGAGCCGAAACCGAGCTAGAGTGGCGAGCCCAGAAGACTCTCAGAGACTGCTCCGTAGACGTGTGGAATTTCACAAAAGGCCGGTGTGAACCGCAGATTTCCGACGACATGATCTGCTAGCAAAGAAGATAACGAGGCGACGAGTAAGATCGAGAGGCTCCGGAGGCTGGTCTCCACATCTCGGAATCGTTGTACAGTTTGCGTGATTCTGACCATATCTTGCATCGGCGTTTAGGTGTTCGATGTTCTTTTCAATCCTCATCAGGAGGAAAATCGCATACTCCTGCTCGAGCTTTATAGACCGTTATCTTCAGCGTAATACCAGAGCCAACGGAATTGTAATATATCATATCTCATTAAAATGCATTTGCATGCGCTATGGCAATCATGCCGACGACTGTCATGCTCCATAGGTGCCTGGGTTGTGGGTCTGAGGTGGAGTGCAGGTTTGTGATAACGTTCGCCGAGAGATGCTATGGTGCATATGCCCAATACCCTGGCATGCCCCGCAAGGTGGCAAGGCGTGAGGAGGGTGATCATATCTGTGATCAAGACGATCGAGCGAATCCGAAGCAAAGAGTCAAGCAACAACGCGCCACTTGACAAGAGTATCCTTGCTTATGCGGTCTTAGCTCTACTACCACACCACAGGCTTCGTTAGTCCTGTCGTAAGTCTAAACACGTGAGCAAGTCATACCAGAGGGTAATGGTGAGTAGAACTAAGGTTCCTGTGGACCTAGGAGGCTGTTGTAGCTTGAGGGACAGCGGATTTTGGAACCGGATTCGGGTAAAGCTGTAAAGTCGTAGTGCGTATGATGAGCTCCCGGGGGCTACACTTTGGGATCTTGGGGTACGGACTGAACGAAATTGAGCCAAGATCATGATGACTGAAGCCTTCCGTAGAAGGAGGAGACGATAGATATAGGAGGACCATTCCGCTAAATTGTCTCAAGATTCATCCAGACTTTGTCTTACAATCATGCGACTTTGTGGATACGGATAGCATACGCGGCATGATATTCGTCAGCGCCTGAGGACAATCAGATAAGAAATGGCCAGTTGGTTAAGCCAAGGCTTTTGAGTGCTGGATAAGGCAGCTCTGCACGCAATCCTAGCTTGATTCTCCCAGATATACCAACCCATGGCCAGTGTTCTCGATATAATTAGACATACACTAGGCGGAAACCAGAACTTGGAATTGACCTCCCAGTAGTGAATAGCTCAAGAAAGCTTGTTCTTCGTAAAAAGTCTTCTCCCAGGGTTTGATGTGGTACGAGGCAACGTCATCGACTGTCACGCGGTGGGATGCAAAGATGAGAAACGCGTATGCTCTCAAAAAGCCATGTTGTTGACCAGTGAGGCCGGGGGTGTAATTTGAATCGGCTAGCACGGGATGAAAGATACGAAGGGGGCGGTGGCAGCGGATGTAGCTCTGCCCTTGCTCAGGAAGAGTATATTGATAGGGAAGACCAGTCACTTCGGTGGGAGACATAGAGCAACTGATATGACCATGAAACAGAAAAAGAGAAGGAATCAAAGGAAGGAGGTGCCTCAACAGACCTCTTCGACACGCTGGGTAACGACCATTCCGTAATTCTCGGATCGGCAACACGTCCCGATCGTTGGGTATTGGATGCCAGGATCGAAGTAGCAAAAAGTAGAACAAGGAGAAAGACAAGAAAGAAGTTCGTGTCAGGGGTACTCCGTCTTCGATGCTTGCGACCAGGGCTGAGTTCTCGTCGTTCGGTTACATTCCGCCATTTCGGCTTAGATCGGCGCGCTAGATTCTTTCACGTGATAATATTTCTAGCTCTTCCAGCGACTGTTGAACCGCACTTCAGCCCTCAACACTCTCTTCCTCGCCAATAGCAGACTTCATAGAACCGTTAAAGCCCTCGGAGAATTGAGTGCATTGCACCCAGAACACTTTGGGCTCCTCTTCATGGCATCGCACGCCTCTTCCGCCTCCAGTCTCCCCGTCTCGGCTGCCGCAGATCCCGCATTTTGGACCCAGGACTTCTCGGATACGTCTTCACTGGCCCTGCACCTCTCTCCAGGAGGGAGTTCTACGACTCACACCTCGAGTCCAACTCCTCCGGCGCAGACTCCAAAGTCGGACAGTGCTCACGGGCCCGCCGCCGCTAGGGCGTCAGTCGCCGTCGCCTGCGTACCGTGTCGCAGCCGGCACCTTAAATGCGACGGTGGTGTGCGCTGCTCTAGATGTAAGGCCGATGGAGTTGAGTGCACTTACATCAAGTCCCGTCGCGGCTGGAAAGGAAAAAGGAAGAATAAGGGAGAGAACGGAGCACCAACAGGCTCGGGTTCGTTATCACCTTCGTACTCATCCTGGTGAAACCATTTTCAATCTAATCTCTCGACAGGACCAGAAAATGAAACGGTCTTACATGGGCCGTTGAGCAACTCTCTTGCAACAACAACAATTGCTTTGCCATCTCCTGGATATGACTTTGGCTCAGAACTTTCTCTTGTCGATCAGCTGAGCAGCGCCCCAAACAGTCTTAGCCTCTTGGCCTCAGCACCCCCAGTTGGCCAATTTAACCTCAATGGAACCCAAAGGACAAACCAATTTGGTACCACAGGCCCTCCAAATGCGATAGGAGCTTTCTTTCACTTCTTCTATGGCTCTCACCCGTTTTGCCTGCCTCGACCGAGACTGGTGGAGTTTCTTAAAGAGAGGAGGGCCCCGCTGTTGGAGCTCGCCGTTCAGTACATAGGATCTAGCTTCCTCCCGTCGGTACCTACGGACATTTATAAGGAAGCTTTAAACCGGACGATAGCAAGCCAGAACTATCCAAAGGATGGCTACACTGTCCAAGCCTTGCTACTTTTCTCCATTGGGCTGCATGCCAACAACGACGTTCCAAGAGCAGCTCAGATTTTTGGAATGGCTCAGGCTATGACGGTTGAAATAGGTCTGCACCGGTCTGACTACGCTATTATCAATGGGAACAATGATAGGGTTCTAGAGGAGAGCTGGAGACGAACATGGTGGTCCATGTATACCGTCAACGGAATGATGGCTGCTGTGAACCCAGGCGTTCAATTTCGACTTAAAGATATAGCAACCGATGTACCCTTACCGTGTGAGAATGATGAATACTTCTCAGGGGTGAGTGCTCTTTTCCCGCCCCGTTTCCGTCTGTCAGATTCCTTTGTTCCAGTCCCCAATTCTACCATCTGTTACTCTTTTCTTCTTTGGCATTATCGCCTCTTTCCCTTGGGCATGTAGTATCTAGTACTCTCTTCTGTCTCTGCGCTTCCTTTCATCTCGACAGTGTCTCACTGCCCACCCCCACTCCCCACTACTCCTGAACCCGCTTCATCGCCACTCATTCGTTCACGAGCGCCACTAATCCACCCCAGCAAATTCCCTACGCCCGCACGATCCAAGAGTACGACGACAGCGCCTTCGCGCCTGAAGAAATGGTCTTCTCCTCCTTCGCCTACCTAATCGACGCAATCCGAATCCTAGGCAAAGTCTTCGAAGTATCGCGCCTGGACAGCACGTTCGAATATCACATCGTCGACGTCGTGGACCAATATCTCATAAACTGGAAGCTACACCTCCCCGTCTCTAAAACCGAGATCATCAACGACCACGGGCAAATCGATGAACTGCTTTTCCAAGCCCACATGGTGCATTCCGGTAGCACGATTATGCTGCATCGACCGCGCTCCAGCCTTGGATTTGGCCGCGTTGAGAACGTGAATATCTGTGTTCAACCCGGGCAGGTTTTGCTTCCCACACAAACGCGTGAAGTGCATACCTCAAAATGTCTGTTTTCGGCTGAAAATATCTCTACTTTAATTAAGCTCCCCGGCCCGTTGATCCATCACACGCCTTTCTTCACCTGCGTCGTAGTCATGGCATCTGTTGTCCACCTATCCTATTGGTCATTTCTCGTCCCGGACGGCCAAGACGACGTTATCAAGCAATCTATCCGACTAGACGTGGGAACACTGCAACAGTATAGCCATACATGGCCGATCGCAGCGGTAGTATTAGGACAAGTCAGAGGCGTTGCGCATACCCTATTCAACAGCAAAAAGGCAATGAGCATTCATCTGTGGAGTAGCATCGCGCAGGACGATATTATTAGAGGAGTGATTGAAGACGGCGGGAGTGAGCCTTTGGAGAATTATAGTCAGCTTTTAACACCGTAAGTGTTTACCCCCACACCCTCCAACCCTCCGTACATCTCATCCGTTCGAGAACCAAGAAGACTAGCAGAGATGCTGACCTCTGCACTACAGGATGTTGAAATCGTAGTTAGGATTTTATCTCCACTCCCTACTTCATCATACCTGTCAATTATTCCTCGCATTTTGTCTATCCCATCTTTCCATTGCTTGCCCCTTTCCATTAGCCTAAGACCACATGACGCAATGATTTCCTCCTTTCACCCTTCCTTCCTTCATCCTTGTATTTGTATGTACTAAATTCATGCTGGTGTTGGTGCTGGTATTGGCGTTGGCGTCTGCCCTGTTTCTGTTTTGCCACGATCTCCGCAGCGTTGGCTTCTCTTGTCGCTTTCTCTCTATGTTCTCTTTCTCTTTCCTAGTTGTTTTGCCTTATCGTTCAATGATTGTTTGGTTGGCGCGATTGCTTCGAGGTTTGCAAGAGTAATGAATGGCACAGTTAGTACATTGTGGAGGGCTAGCTAACTACGAGTGACGTTATTATATATCGTGGCTGAGTGTTTTGGTCTCCTGGGAGGGAGAGTCACTACTCTGAGAGCCTTTTGGATAGATAAGTGAGATGTTGTCGAGAATAGATTTCTTTGTTGTTCCTCTGTTTTACCTAGTCTAGATATCCGTGTAGATGGGCGTGGATATGTGAAGATATGGGGACGTAGCCCTACTAAATACCAAGCATGACGTCAAGGCCACACAATTTTCTTTTCTTTACTTCGTTTGCCAAGTATCACGAGCAGTGCGGGGTACCTTGCGAATCTACCTGCTTCCCGATCAATAATGCTTCTACGTCTGCAAAAGTTAACATCACGCGGCATTGACTAACACCTACAGATCAGTGGGAGAGGGCCGAAATCGAATCACCTGGAATACCAAGTAAACCATATGAAGCCATCTAAAGCTATTTAAGAAAATACCAGCTAGTCCGGCATTCCCTCCACCAATGAAAAATCACCAATGGTTCCTCCCTGTATCATGTATCCCCCAAAGTTCCCCCCATAAGCTCAGTCACCCAGCTTGTGACGCACACACACACACACACACTCTCTCTCTCTCTCTGCTCCCAGTGGACGTTGCCAAGTTCCATAACCGTGCCATACTATTCGTGACGTCCTCGCAGCCGCGGGAATGGCTGGAAGGGTTTCACGCGACTATATCTACAAGTCTGCGTCGTCCTCGTCGGGCAGAGGCATTTGGGCGGCGTCCGCCATCTCCTTTTGGTATTGTTCGAGAACAGCCTGGTCGACCTGGACTTCTGGGGGGGCCAAGGCGGGCGCAGCGACAAATTCCTGTAGAAATTGAACTATTAGTTGATCATCGTAGACAATATGAAGGAAGGTGAGACATACCAAAGTCTGGTTACCAACAAGTTTCCGGGCGAGCCAGAGGAAGGGCTTCTCGAAGTTGTAATTCGACTTGGCCGAAATATCGTAGTACTGCAAGTTCTTCTTGCGGTGGAAAGTGATGGACTTTGCCTTGACCTTGCGCTCCTTGACGTCGACCTTGTTGCCAGTGAGCACGATAGGAATGTTCTCGCAGACGCGGACAAGGTCACCTGAATTTTCAGGTTAGTGAACGAACCAATGCAGAGAATTGTGAGACGTACGGTGCCAGTTCGGTACATTCTTGTATGTGATACGGGACGTCACGTCGAACATAACGATGCCACACTGCCCGTTGATGTAATATCCATCACGAAGACCACCAAACTTCTCCTGGCCGGCGGTGTCCCAGACATCGAATTGGATAGGGCCCAGGTTCTGCTAGTGTCAGTATTGATTTTTGAGTGGGGATGCGACCAAGGTGAGCATACAGTTGTGAAGCCGAGTGGGTGGACCTCGACACCTAGAGTTGCGATGTATTTCTTTTCGAACTCGCCAGTAAGATGACGCTTCACGAAGGTCGTCTAGATCAGGGCAGTGGTTAGCACGTATTTCGATACTGTTGGGACGCGGCTGCTGTGTTTATCGCGAATTTTATCGCGAATAAAGGCTTGACACCTGGTCCCGGACAGAGCGTCGCAAGAGATGCCTACCTTTCCAGTACCACCATCTCCGACCAGGACGAGCTTGAATGTGGCTACGTTCGGCGCGGCAGCTGCGGCTTCAGCCATGGTTGCGGGGGTTATTGCGGGGTGGTGTGTTTGCGCAATAAACTGTGGTGGCTGGTTGTTAGCAGGAGCTAGATAAGGATGAGAAATTGAGGGAGGATGTAGCGGGTCGCAGGAGTGAGGGTGTACCTTTTATGGGGGTGGCGTGTAAAGGAGAGGCGGTTTGGCGGTTGCGGTATCGTGGGGCAAAATGAAGTTGATGTTTTTATGACTTGTTGGTCGGCGGTGAGGATTTATGTCTATGTAATCAACGTCACGTGACTATATTGCACAGGCAGCAACGCAGGCAGGAGGCTTCCAGCGTCAAGGCTGAACAACGTGGAACAGTCTTATAAATCACGAAATCAGGGTTCTCAGCTTTGCATTCTAATAGTATTTGAACGCCGAGGTATCATGCTATTGGTGACCAAACCGAGTGCTCCATTCCATGCATGCCACGCAGCAAACGGCTGCTTTTCATCAACCAGCCCAACAAAGACTACAGTGGAAGCAAATGGCAGCCCAGCATACCTCTACCTCCCCAATTCTGCCTTGGTGTGAGCTGCATCTGGATAGATTCCGACGGACCGCCTAAGGCGCTAAGACGCAGCGCTTTGACAGTGATTGGCAGCTGTAACATAGTTAGCTGCTCTCCGTAAAGATGTTTTCACCTGATGATAGCATGTCTTGTAGCACAATCACTTCAGAAACAATACATGCATGCCAACAGAGCGTTGTGGGGCCAACTCACTCCTTCGTTCTGTGAGACAGCTTCAGCCACCCGACTTAATTTTTCGTGATTCGTCCAGTCGACCCAACCGAACTTAGTGATGCTGTCTCCCACTTTCAGTCCTGCAAAGTCAGCCGGACTTCCAGAAACAACACTGTTGACTTTAGCGAAAGGTGCTTCAAGGGCTGTCGCGGCGGAGCCGCTTGCAAGAGAAGCTTGACTAGGAACAGCGGTGTTCTGAGCTCTTTCGGCGAGTCGTGCATGGTGCTCGTGAAGACCCTTTTCAATTCGAGCCATGAGATCTTTATAGTCATTCTTCAGTCGTATTATTCGCGCTCTCGTAGTCCGGACTGCCCAACAGCGTCAACTCTAGCCTCAGGGTGGTTGAGGTCATTCGTACTTTGGGGAACATCGATATCACTTCGGGGAAAGCCGTCAAAGGTCGTCAGGGTAGTGTTCATATTGACTCCATGCTAGATAGTAAACTTCAGTACGTGACGTAGATCTGGGATTGAGGGTCCTTACAGAATCCAGCACCTGTCCCAACGCCTTGAGCTCTGCCTCCACCCTGTCCTTCTCCGCAATAAGCTCGATCAGCGTCAACTGCTGCTTCGGGACGCCATTTGAGTAGCCTGAAGAGGCCGGGCCTGAAGCCACCGTCGGCGCATGAATATCATCCATATGTAATCCCATCGGGAGACGCAGATAAGTTTGCGAATCGGAGGGGTGGGTCGAGGCAGAACTTCAAATGTGGGGTTGTTGGCCGTAGGTTAGTCAGGTGCAATTTAACAGCCTCCCGGTCTTCCACGCCGAGGCTTGTTAAATCGCGTAAAGCTCACCTCGGCCCGTGCTCGCCATAATCAGTGATGGTCCCCGAACATCGTCATCTCTCCTTCGCATCCACGGAACAAAAAAGTTGCCATAGGGCCCGGCCATTGGTCCTCATCTTATTGTGTTCTCCACATAGAACACTCTTGCTGGACATTCATTGAGAGGTGGTTGCGTGGCGCACTCCCTTACAAAAAGATGCCGCAGGACCTTGATCCAGGCTCTGATCATGGATTCGTTATTTCTACTGTAGAATACGACTTCTCCAGATTATTCTGTGATACTCGCACGCACGCTTCTTTGGTATTAGCAGGGTCGATGCCAAAGAAAAGCCTTGCGCTTGTGCTATGACACGCACTAGTCCTTGCCTACAACAGCTACATGCACAACTGCCATCGTTCCCAGCATTAGCTCTCTCTTTGCGCTTTCCTTTGCATTCAACTCTTTCTTTCTTTGCATTGGCATTTTGAGAGTTTTCTTTCATCATCGGGGCCTTCTCCGGAGCTCCTCGTCCTCACTTGTCTTTCCTTAACTCGTCGCCCCAGTGCTCGGAAATAATATTTATCTTCCATGCCGCCAGATACTCCCATACCCAACCTATGCATTAGTGCCTAGGGCTCTACCGAAAGTCGAAATGGCCTACGTGCTGTCTCTCCGTCCGCATAGTCCCCTGAAGCGCTCCTTCAGCGACAATCCCTATCTCCGTTCATGTTCGCCTCTTAAAGACAACACTGCTGCTACGCTTCGAGATATCACGACTCGGAACGCATCTGCTTCCTCACTCTACTCCATATGTTCAGATAGGACTGGAGCTTGGCTCCGTGGAACTGAAAATACTCCGCCGCCTTTGACATCCCGCTCACTTCTGGATCTCAAACAAAGGGGTCAGCGAGATGGCGCTGATGTTGGGCCATTGAATCATGCACCTGGCAAGAGGAGCTGTGGGATGAACCGACCTCCCCCATCTTTCATGCATTTCCTCGCAGCTCCTGGGATTCGCTTGGACGAAGTCGACGACATGGAGTTGTCCACAGGCTCTACATCTGACGACCAGTACGCTGGGGAGCTAGTGATCATCGATGGCAGCGGCAGCGGTGGTGGTGACCAAGGCCACGAAATCTTCGACCTCTACGATGCTATCCATATTCCTCTTCCCAGGTGCCGGTTCTCAGATAACACTGGCAGCGAGCCGAGTGATGTGCCAGCACTGCCCCCCGTAACGATTGAAGTCAGCCCGCCACCTTTTCGGCGCTGGATGAGTACTCTGAGACGCCGGCATGTTCAACGCCGAAAAGAGCAGCTATCAGCGACGCAGGGCTGGCCAGTTGATGTTGGGAACGGGGACTCGGCCATGCTGGCGCCGCTTCCCCATGTTCCTGAATCAATACGCAGAAAATCTGAGTCTGTGTCATCCTCAATGGGTTGTGTCACGGCCGTAAAGTCTGCCTCAATCACTTTAGCCAGCGCAAGCATTGCTCCCCGCTCAGATGGAGGTGCGTTTCCAAACAAGATTCGGGTCGAGAACAGAAGCAGCAACTTCTCCGATGCTCGCAGGTCTACAGATAGCAATGTAGGCCCTCTCGGTCCAGTCATTGATGAGGGTGCTTGGTTGCGTTCCGTGCAGCGCCGCAAAATTGTTGAAGAGCTGCTCTCCTCCGAGGAGAGCTACGTTGGAGACTTGAAGGTTCTGATCAACGTAGGCACCCTTTATTCCTTTTTGGTGAAGCTGAATCTTACTAAAGCACTTTCAGGATTACTTCATGTTATTGACATCAGTTCCCACTCTGGCGGGCCAAATGCGAGCATTGATTCAACAGAATCTTTCTCAAATACTGCAATTACACCAGGATCTCCTCGCCGAGCTTCATCATGCTGTCCCCCATGCAGATTTTACGCAGAGTGCCTACCAGGAGACATATCCTGTAACAAAGGCTAAACATATCCGCTTTCACAGCGCAGATATGGTGCCTGGTCGATTCGCTGAACATAAAGTAACTCGACGGCTCCGACACTCCCTCGAGATTGGCCGATCGCCTGATCGCCGCCCCCGGGCATTGGTGGCAGACACCAAGACAGTAGGCAACGTAGCAAAGATATTCAATAAATATGTACAATCCCGATACAGGTATTTAGCTTAAATACTATGCTAATACGTCAATAGATGAGGCGTTTCTTTGCTTATGAAGAATATGGAGCGCATTGGACGACAATGTCGCAGGATCTAACCTCTCTGTGTAAAGGCCTCCAAGGATGGAGCGAGTACGAAAGGGGAGTAGAGGCGTTGTCGAAACTTGTGGCTTCCGATAACAACAGAGAGTTAAGCAGTCGGAAGGCCTTAAGTTTCTCAGACCTTCTCATCAAGGTGTGTACATCGAGTAGCAGGTTGCAACACTTGTTAACATTTGATCGCTTCAGCCCATTCAGAGAGTCTGCAAATACCCGCTCCTTTTCGATGATCTTTGTCGCCACACGCCCGTATACGACGACCCAGAGGCTCACGGAGAACTTGAGAAAGCTCTTTTCCGTCTCCAAGAAACCATTCGCGAAGTGAACAAGGCGAAAGACGACCCAAAAACCCGAAGGTTGATTGAAATATCCTGGCTCCTGCAAGATCGCTTGGCATTTCAAGAACAAGTATGTTTGGGTTCTCAGTATCCGGTTTGTACATCCATTCACTAAACCCGCTAGACCCTATCCCGAGCTCTTGTCTTCAGGTTGCTTGGTCATATCCGTCTCTGCGGTGTACTCCACGTCGCCTTTCAGGGCCAAGAGCGAGTTAAAGGCCAGTACATGATGTGCGCGCTGTACAAATCCTGCCTCATGCTAGCAACAACCAACCGCCTTTTTATTCCTTATAACGTTGTCGCCTCTATCTCTCTTGCGAATGGGAGCATTGAAGAACCAGACAACGGGCGAGGTAGAAACATCCGCTATACACCCAATCAACACTAACAGTGTGAAGGTTTACAATGCCATACTGCCCCTTACACTTGGAAACTAGTGTTCGAGCACAGCCATCGATTACACGAAATCATTTTAAGCGCCTGTTCATCGCAAGAAGAGGAGGTCTGGAAGGCGCAGCTGCGCGAACGTATTGTATGCGAAACGCATGATTTTGTCGAGGGCCAGTCTACTATGCAAGACATGTTCTCATCTCTATCCTTGGATATTAGATCTATCGGACCTGTCTTTGGCCACGCAGACAGTCTAGTCCGACGAATGTCAGTCCATCGCGCGAAGACGCTGGGCGCGAAGACACACATGACTCAGGTCATCATTAAGAATACGCAGGCGCAAAAGTCTCCAGATCCGCCGCCGGCGATTGCTCCGAATTCGGTGTCAAGGTCGCAGTCGCATATGAGCACGAACCATGTTCCAACTCTAGCTCCACGGAGGGCCGAGAGAATCCGATTGGAGACTGCACTGGAGGATGTGTGGACAAAAGACATACTACCGTTCCCTGGTATGGGGAATCGAAGGGTCGAAAATCCGATTCGAGCCTCAGCCAATTCGGTCATGAGAAAACTCTCCATGGCAAGCATTGCAAGCAACTTCTCACGGCGCTCACCTAGCTTCTCGAGCCTGAGCAACACACGCTCAGAAGAGTCTTTCGGGAGTAAGGTGCATAAGATCTCACAGGGGAACCTCCGGGCACGTTCAGCCGCAGACCGTCGTCCAGCACCAGCTGTTGTCGACTTCCATAATGCTCCTGCCGCTTTCCTCCCAACAGACTTTGAACTCCAAGATGTCCGCCCTACCAGCCGTCGACGTCGACTAGCAAATCGCGCCACGGGAACAGAGCGCTCAAGCGAGGTGTCAACGCCTGGGAAACCGAAGCGATCCCGACGTCTCTCAACACACATCAGCCTCCCACGAACCGATCTCAGCAGCCGGCTCGAGGCTCGGACCCTGTCGGGCGGATCTGGCACCGCCGTCCTGCACAGCCCTGACACAACCGTCGAACTCGACAAGCACCGTGAGAACGAAAAGCAAAGACGAAAAGAGAAGGGAGAGTTGACACCACCTCCACGGGCTACATCCACAGGCACGCCCCATGCGAAGCGTTTCTTGAAAAGCAAGAGTAGGATTTTCAAGTTCTGGATTTGAATAACCTTTTTGAATTGGATTGAATTGGACTAGGTGGGATTGGATTGAGGCAATTCACTCAACGATTGGATTACACTACCTTCTTTGTTCGTTTTGAATGCTCTCACATGTTGGAGGGAGGGAAAGCTCCAATGGTCTTGGCGTAATGGTTGCAATGGATGGATGCAGCGAAGGTCCGAACGTTGGATGTTATTTTTGCGCATGGCAGACAGACAACATGTATATTCAAACCAGGGACTACGGTGGAAGCGTATACGCATATCATGGGGGCTTGCTACAAGGCACACCCGTGCCGTTGTTATGTGGGTTGGGACGGCTACTCCCACGGCCATGACGTCATTGCGGCTCAGGCGACATGGAAGACGTGTAGTGGATAGTGTCAAGCAATACAGCAATAGCGTCACCTTGCTTTATTCACTCGTGATGAAACTGGGCACTAGGCTCCCGGTATGAGAGATGGGACAGAGGCTAAATCTCGACGAGGCTCGGGCTTGGTGGAGTGAGAGCTCACGGGTGAAGGTGCGAGGCTTGGCATGACGTACCGCGTGAGCTACAAAAGCTGCCCACACCTCCAGCTTCTCACACCACACTGCAACAATACCTCCAACTCCCCCCCCCGCATAGAATCTACGACTGACTCTACTCAACCACCAGCCAACCAGCCTTTTTGAGCCCTTCCCATAGAACCGAAGTAAGATGACTCGTGGAAACGCAGAACAGACAAAAGTGCACTTCAAAGGCAAAGAGGACGACTTCGTCATTTTTGTTGATAGCTCTAAGGCGGTGCAAGACTGGAAGGCAGATTCGTCGATTCCATTGGCACAGGTAGTGAGCGGGTGGAAGGTGTTTGTTACGCATAAGTGAGTTCTCCAGAGTCCCTCCTCCCACTTATGATGTTCCCTAGCCAGCTTAGGTTAGCAAGTTGGGGCCTACGTGGATGCAAATCATGGGATAGCTGATTGACATGTGAGTATAGGCAAGGCACACAAGGCATCCTCGATGCGGCGAGCAATGGATCGCTAGACTCAGAGTTCGGAACGCACAATGAGGATGAGGTTGTTAAGGCGATTCTAGAGAAGGGATCCGTGCAGGAGGTTGAGGTATGATGATTCACTCCATCCCCACTTATCCCACCTCTCTCTAATACAATCTATTGGCTTCTCATTAACACCTCAAACAGAACAAGGAACGCCAAGGCGACCGCAACATTATGAACGGTCCGACAGTCTCACACTAGGCCAGTCTAGGCACTACCTCTGGACATATCAAGTCGGTCTCACGACTTACGGATAGCATGAGGGGAAAGGCGTCGGAACAATCCTTCGCTACTGGCCTAAGATGGCGGCATGAATACGTATTCATACATGGATTGATTGAATCAATTTGACTACCTTTGCTGGAATGAAAAGCGAGGTTAAGTGGAATTGTCTATCCGGCTCCGTATTTGAAAGAGGAGAATAAATGAAAGGATTTGATACCTGTTATTCTGGGTTTGGATGTGTCTTGATATGTGTGGTAGGTGAAGGATGTCATGATAGCTCTGCTTGTTTCACTGTATACTTCGGACCCATGCATTGCCGCCCTTGATTACACCATACGGCCCCAGCCATTCAGGCTTTCCAAAAAACTTTCAAAATATTGGAACAGTCCCTCTTATCCTACAATTTCACAGATCTCCAACCTCTAATCAGTTTTCCTAAAATTATCCATACTATAAATACCTCACGTTTTGAAGACGATATCACTGTCAGATGCATAGACATACCATCATCGAAGGCAAGCATAGATATTTATATTAACGTGACATAAAATATAGATGTATGCATTTCTCTTTGTCTTCATATAAGACCCGTAGGTACCTGGCTCGCCATCGGCGTGAATGCTCTCTAAATCCATTCCAAGGAAGTCCAAGGTCCAGCCCATCCATCCATTAGTATCCAAACCTTCGATATGTGGAGAGTAAAGCTCCTGCCTTAGACAAACTCCACTTCGAATCTGAAATCATTTCATACCGTATTTCCTGAGCATGTTAAGTTTCCTCTCCCTGTTACTCCTCTCGACACTGACTCCCCAGTTGAGGGTGGTGTCTGGACTGACACGTTCTGTCATCTCCTGTCATATCATCCCGCAGGCGGCGTCTTCGCAGCATTCAACTCCGCCAACTCTGGTAAATCGTGCAAATGCTGTCCCTGCTGTTGGTGGTGATGTAGAGGTCGATACGGAATATACCTTCCACCCTCCGTCGCCACTTCCCCTACACCGGTACCAACGCCAACACCATCTCCCATCCCTAGCCCATGTCCCGCCACCGCGCCTTGCGCTCCCGGCCCCCAGGCCTGTGAATTCATCCCTGGCGAATATCCTGGCGGCGCACTCCCCCAACTACTCTGTGGCGTTTGCGGATACCCGCCTCCTCCATTCCCTCCCCCCACGCCTACCAAATGTGGCGCATGCGGCACCACGCCTGGCGCAAATCCACCTCCACTCTCCAACTCCGCGCGTCCTTTAATTGTCGAAATCGGCCGTCCAGGTCCAACGCTCTGGCCCGCGAGTTCAGGCACATTCGTCACATCGGCGTCGTGTTTATACGTCCCGGGTTTGTGCAATTTCGCACCGCCTTGGAATTCTGGGGTCAACACGCCGTTGGCGTAAGGGTCTTGTGTGTTGGAATGTGGATTGGATTTCTGCTGCTGGTGGCGTTTGCGGAATAGCCATAATAGAATTCCAAGGAGGATGAGACCGAGAGGGATACCGACGGTGCAGCCAACGATGATAGGGAGTTTGGAGGATGAGGAGGGAGGGTTGGGTGTGCTAGGTGTAGTGATGGATGTTGTGGCGGGGAGGAGGATGGAAGTTATGATGATTGTGAAGACACCTGCAGAGCCGCTAGACAGGGATGTGAGGAGTGAGGTTACAGGAGTGGAGGCTGAGTTGACGGTTGTTGATGTGGAGTCCTTAGTAACGGTCTTGGTACTCTTGGCTTTGGAAGAGCTCGCCGCGTGGCTAGAGTTTGCGTCCCTGGATGCTGAAGATGGGGAAGAGGATGATTTTGCGCCTCCTCCACCGCCAGTTTCTGATGCGAGCGCGTGGCCGGTTATGGTTGCAAGGGTAGGCGCATTTGAGGCTGTTGAGCCTCCACCGATTGACGCATATGCCTGGCCTTGATGGAGCTCGAAGAATGGGCGTGGTTCAGGGGATTCATTACAGCAGTCTACATCTACCCGGTTGGCATCACAGCACCACTGGTTGTTGTGGTCGGAACATTGGGTGAGTGCTTCTGCACCCGTAGCCAACATGCCTACTGTTTGTCAGCGGGACGAATATTTATTACAGCCTTTAAACACAAAGACAAGGGGCACAATGGGAGGAATGGATGTAGTATTCTTTGGTGGTGTAAGAAGATTAGACATGGCGAATTAGAAGGGCCGAAAGGACAGCAAAGACATACTGTAAGTGCACAAATTTGACGGGCAAAAAGGACTCTTCCAGCTCTTATCTGTGCAGCTATATCGACCATAGATCTTCGCTGCAGGGTTATAGCATAAGCCATTGTCCTGACATTCCCATTTATCGGGACAGCAGGCCGCACCCTCTTTGGTGCTGCATGGACGTTCAGACGTGTCTGCTGTGTTGCCACTGGGGTAGTCTGTTCTTGTCAGTATAGGAGATAGAAACGAGGCGGATAGGGGAAAAAGAAGTTGGAGATTGACTAGCGAATTAGTCCTTAAAAAGAGGAACTTACAGCATGTCTGTTCCGCGAACGTAGGCGAAAGTAACAAAGCAAGCCCCAGCATCTGCCAACCCATCTGGGCATAACGTCGTGATATTCTCATCCTGCAAGCATCCGTACCCTCGAATATCTTTTCCAAGTCCCGAATTGCTGCGCTGTGCTTTGTTCAAGATCGATGAACTGTCATGAGAATAGCTGAGCTAGCTGCGTGCGACTGAAGTTGCCTGTAGATGAAGTGAGGTGAGAGAAATAGTGATGCAAGCTTGTTCGCTCGCACAACAAGTTTGCGTTGCACTGCGCCCCGTATCGAAATACCAGCCTGACAATTACAGTACCCTCCAATCCAATCCAATCCAAAGTCCCCGGCTTGTTAGCACTAGCTTGCTTGTGCGAGCGTGACGGCAACGGTGCGAATTACGAAAGTAACAGTGACGCCATATAGCAAACCCTTGCAAATCGGTCTTGCAGGTGGCAATGATGGATAGGAGTAGCTGTTTTTGGTGTGTGCTTCTGGTACGAGGGTGGGGTGGATGTTGCACAAATGTAAGGCGGGACGGGCGCGCTTCGGTTTTTGAAACGGTGATATTGTGTGGAAGAATGGGAGGAACGAAGTTTGACAAAGAGCCAAATGGTGGATGACGCTGAACAACAGGAGAAAAAGAAGGTAGGGATTTTAGCATTGGGGCAAACTTGCTTGCTTTCTCGCTCACCGTCTCATATCAGCTCAGATCATATGCACATGCACATGCACATCTCCACATTCGCATCATTCACATCGTAAATCTGAAGTCCCCGTATCCTAACGCGCCGTTTTCTCTTCTCTCCTCTCCCTTCAGAACAGGGCATAAAAAAACCGGCTTTCACATTCCCGGGCTCCCATGTAGCGAAGCGAAGGGTAGCAGTGTCCCGAACCAATCGCGCCATGTCTCCCAGACAAGCTGCACTATGAGTGGTTTGACGAGGCGGGAAGACGGCGTGGCGTGGCCGATATGTTGATCCAAATAAGCTTGCATGACGGCAAGCTTCAATCAGATTCTTCATTAATAGCGAGCGATTGCCGCGGAACGCCGATGGTCTCAGGATTGCGGTGCTGGGAATGAGAGACGAGAAGTGACGTTCGAGGTTGCACAAACCGGCTGTTTTGAAACGGGGATGGTGCTTTCTTGGTCATATTGAGCTTGGATGTTCATTTGCGGAGGGGTAAATTGAGTGTGGCGTATTGTGGCTGTGAGAGTTAATGTAGCGTTGGGGTATTGTCGTGGTGAGTGGTGTCGGACAAGGAGTTGAAAGGACATTTATATGGTTATTGAAAGTAGGGGTGGAGTATCAGAAAGGATCATTTTGAATCATTTAGGTATAGATATGTATGTTATTCTGAAGAGGAGGTGTTGTAGCCTTGCAGGGGGCACGAGTGTACACTTGGGCGGAAAAGAACGTCAGAGACAGCCCTACCATGGAACAAAGCCAGCATTTTCAATAGCGATTTCTGTTTGAAACAAATTTTTAAGGTACCACAGTGGCACGCTCATGCACTACACTGAATCCTTGATGATGGCGCTCAGCAGCGTCTACGCCTCATCTGCATCATCATCATCCGAGCTCTTGCCTCTGCAGCATCGCCCTCGCCACCCATCGTCTTCCTACCAGACGGCCATTGCTCCTCTTCCGTATTATCCATCTCGGAGTGTAGGATCCGAATCTGGTGTTTAATGACCCTTAATAGAAGATTATCGACAAGATGGTCCGGGATGTCGATGGTTGGCATCACTGTCCTGGCCTTCCTAACTTCCTCTTTCTTTTCAACCTCTTCTTCCTGTTTCCTGGCTTCTTGTTCCTTGAGCAGTCCACACTTTTCGCACTTCTTGCTGCATTGACACGTTTCGGACTCAACTTTGGCTTTCTCACTGTCGCCACAGCAGTCGGAGGCTGCCTTAGTGTTTGCTTCCTCTTTCTTCTCTTCCGATTCCGTATCTTTGTCAATGATCTCGAAGTCATCGAATTTGTGTCCCCGAACAAGACTCAACAATGCCATAACGAAGAGCTCCTTCAAGTACGCGAAGCTGAAGCCTTCCGTCAGCTGGGCAACTATTGGACAGAGTTCCTCGGGGAACACCACAGTGTCATTCTTGAGGAGCTTCTTCCTCCAGTACGCAGTGTAAGCGCTGCGCTCTTCCTCACCGGGTAGCTTGAAGTGGTACTTTCGGTCGAAACGACTTGGGCGTTTCGCGATAGCAGGATCGAGTCTGTCGAGATGGTTCGTAGAGCCGATCATGAGAATGCCGTCGTTAGACTCAAGACCATCTACCTCATTGAGGAAATAGCTTCGTACATCGTCTCCTACCAAACTGTCCAAATCCTCGAAGATGAGTAGACACGGCGCCGAGCTACGAGCCTGCTGGAAGATGCGTCGAATAGAGTACTCTTCGCCATTGCACTTGTCCGCAAATGACTTGACATACAGCGACGGGATATGATCTCCGCGCCCATATAAAGATGACATGAGAGCTTTGATAGAGACAGTCTTTCCGTTGCCTGGAACGCCATGGAGAATGATCCCTCGCTTCCAAGGGACTGCGAAATCCGCGTAGAGTTTCTGGTTATCAAAGAAGCCTTGCACATCTTCGATGAGACTCTTCTTCATTTCAGGGTCGAGAATGACATCTTCCCAAGACGAGCCCTCGACGGCTTTCCACAAGTCCTTGCTCTTTTCCCAGTATCCGTTGTCGAACACAAAGATCTCCTCGTGTAGTTGTGAAGTCCATTTGCCAGCAGCGAGCACTAGCTCGTCGCTGTCGACACAGTGCCCCTCGACAATATTACCTTCGTTTCGCGGAGAGAGAATGTAGAATATACGATTTTGGGACTCGAGCATGTCCTTCCAAACGACGAAATAGAGGAGGAACTCTTTGCCCCCCCAAATGTATTGAAAGCGGGCGAAGCGGTAGTCGTCACTAAGTTTGCCAGGGTGAAGTTTCTTCTCGAGACGCTCGCCGACAGAGCGCCATTTGCGCGTTGCGTTGAAGGACTCCTCGTCAGAATCGAGGATGTACATAGCATGGCCGGCATCAGCGAACTCGAGGAGAGAAATTCGGCCCTCTTCTGCTTCGGTAATGTGGTGTTCAGGATAGTTCTTGCGAAGAAGATTCAAGACAGTGTTCTTGGTGTCAATTCTGACACCATTGCAATGTTCTTTGAAGGTATCCAAGAAGGACTTGCCATTCTCTTGGGTAGCAGTCAGGATATCCTTTGCAGCAGGCATATTGGGGGTGATTCTCTTAAGAAGTGGACAAGGAAATTTGATGGAATAATAATGAAGGATGCTTGAGAGGAAGGTGAGCAATTGCTGGACTGATGGGCGATGAAGAAATTAATGTAAGAGAGTGCAGCCGTATTTATACCTACTGGTACCATGTGTGCGGCCTCAAGCCACCAACTCAATAAGCTTTATCAGAGCAAACATATCTCGTGCTAGGCAGCAGAGTCGTCGGAATGTGACAAGCTTGCTACCTGGGATCTGTAGGTCTACTGTGGAGCCCCACCGCGGCGCTCTTGCGCATGAGATAAGGCCAAATGATCACCTTACAGTTCTTTGATAGGCCAAAACCGTGCTTTCTGAGGATCATGAGACTTAGGATGAATAGCCATCTACTGGGCACCACTCTCTAACATAGTGCCGCGTTTGTACTTCAAGCTTGCAGTAAGAGATTCTGTTAGTGGGGTAATTGGCTCGAGGTGATTGCGCCTCAGTTCTGGATTGGCCGGCGGTGTAAAAGCGGGGTGGTGAAGGAATAGTGGAGCAAGGCTGAAGTCGAAAGAACTCTGCGCTAGTCTGAAAGCGTCGCAACGCAGGGATTGCGGCTTAAAAATCAACCTCAACGCAACCTCGCGCTTGCAACATCGTACTAGGTAAGGTTTCTTTTGCCAAACTGAAACAAGCAGGGCCGCATTTCACTGGGAAAATGTGTTCTTGGCTGTTATGAGGCCTGCTTTACCCCACCATGAATGCGGAACCTTGCGAATCCTAATGGGAGGCGTCCTGACAATGCTTGACATATATCCTTCTATCTAATGAGACTCAAAAGGGAAACACATTGGCAGGGTTGTTAATTTGAGCCATATGCCAGTAATCAAACTCTGCCTGTGAAGCTTAAGCAGGAATAAGTCTTAGCTAAGGCTACCTGGAGGCTTGTGGTGTTCTCTGTAGCCTCCTGCTCTTGGCCGAAGTTGACAAACGGAGATCACACACCAACTCATCACGACGATGAAAGATGAACATAAAAATAAAATAAATAAAAAACCTTCTCCAACTCACCAGCTCATCAGCTTATCCATCCCCATCACCCCTTTTATATAAGCCAGAGCCCCCAACAGGAACCATCGAACGCTAACATATATTCATGGCTAAATCAATGAAGAAAAGCTCTCTAGAAGAAACTGGGGAAATAAACCGGAATTAAAAATGTCTTCATTCTGCGCCGGCAAATTGAAGAAACAAGCAGAAAGAAGCAAAAATGGCATAAAAGAGTCAAGGATATGGTATTGGGAATAGAAAGAGAAGCATAAGATATTCGCACCCGCATAGCCTTGGAAAGCATGAATTGCCAACAAAGCACAAAAATCTCAGTAGATAGAGCAAGTAGAGGAACACTGACATCGGACACAAAAGACAAACATACAGGACATCCACCGCCCGATATTTATCAGATCCACACACCTCATCAACATCGCGAGCAGAGTGAGAAATCAAAGACAAGATTAGATCATCCCTACTTCTCAGAAACCAATTAGATAAGAATGAGCAAAGGGAAGTAAATATGGTATAACAACCTCATATCTTTCTGCTCACTCACCCAAGAAGATCAAGACACCTGACAATCGAACCCAGAAGCCGGTTTCCAATATCAATGAACCAAGTGAGAGGAAAAGTAAGTGTTTCCAATAATCAACGTCGTGTAGCCCAACGAAAGATTAGCCAGCAGAAAACGCCGGGACGCCCATATCCAGCCACTGCCCAATCCCTATGCTCCGAAGAATATCTCTCGGTCGAAAGACGGGTATAAGACGTTTTGGCCTCTTCTAATGTAGGTCTGATGTGGTCGGTGAAGACCCCCTCTCCGGCGAATCAAAGGGTATATATCGTCGGGGACTTGGGAGTGCACTCTAACACACTTCAATGGTAGGGGCTAAGCTTCAGACTACAGCTCACCACCAGCTTCTACACCGTCACCAAAGCCAAAGTCACCCCCTAACGAGCTAAAGGCCCCATTGTCATCTCCAACATGCAGGAAGGAATCAAAGTCGAAGTTTTCTAGGGCGTCAGAGCCATCAAAACCATTGAGAATGCCGAAGTCATCAGGCTGGTATTGCTGTTAGTAAAATGTCCTTGTGACAAGGGAGGGGAGTACTCACTTCGCCGCTAATGTTCCCAAAAGGCTCCACGGGCTGTTGTTGCTGTGGTGCCGGAGCTGCGGGGGGTGGTTGTGCTTGAGGCTGAGCGGGTGGCTGGCCGTTCTGACCAGTGAATGATTTCGGATGCATAGGCGTGATCGGAGTCGATGGAGTTGGAGTTGGCGGAGGCTCTTCACCCGACGCCGCTGGAGTTGCACCTGTATTTGCCGCTTTCGATTTTGCGGGCTTCTAAAATCAACATCAACGTTGCTCACGAGTAAATAGGGAGCGAACTACTATACCTTATTATCCTTTGTAGGCTTTTTCTTTGGATTGGCCTTATTTGTCTGGGATGGTGTAGGCGGTGCTTGGGCGGGTTGTGAAGGGGATGGCTCCTGAGCTCGAGGCTGCTCACCAGCAGGTGGCGCTGGGGGTGGCGGCATTGGGTTCCTCTGCTGCTGGGGAGTGTTCATCGGGCCAAGTTGTTGTCCCTGATTTTGCATCATCCCTTGAGGTGGCCCGCGCCAGGCGCCGTTCTGCATAGCACCGTTATGGCGCATTTGCTCCATCTGCTGGGTCAATTGCTGTCCATTAAAGTTGCCACCAGGATGTGAGCTTGGCGGCCTCATCATAGGATTCTGCGGCATCTGGGGGTTGTAGAACTGCGGAGGCATGCCAGGAGGCATCTGCTCGAAGTTCATGTTCGGCGCCGGAGAGTTGCGATTTTGCTGCATGGACGCGTCCCCCATTGGTGATCCCGGCAAGCCTGGCTGGTTCATCTTCGGCGTCCCTCGTTTGATTTGGTCGTTAGGGTTAGGCGACGGCCCGGCTCTGCTCCCTTGCGGTGACATTGAGGGAGGGAATCCAGGAGCTCCGACAGGTGGCTGCCCATGAGGACCGGCAGACATGTTGTCCTGCTCCTGTCGGGCCATTAATAGTCGCTTCTTGTTTTGTTGTTCGAGCAGCATGAGCTGCATCTGATAGTCTTGTAAAGCATGGTTGCCTTGGCCTGGCTGACCCGGGGCTCCTGCTGGCATTCCTGGACGAACCATGTTGCCAGCGAAGATTTCTTGCTGGCCATCTAGGCCAGGCTGGGTCATGGGAGACCCTTGGACGCCAGAATTCATACCCTGAGCCATCGCACGGTTATTCAAAGCAATTCTTTGTTGTTGGACCAGGCTATGGGTATATACCTCTATCGACTTCTGCTGCACATTCTGCGCCTGCGGTGCAAATTCGTTGAACCCTGAGTTCATCCCTCCTGCGAGTAGCATCTGGTTAGCCTGCGCTGCGGAGGTGGCTCCCATCGGCTGCTGCTGCATGCCTTGACTACGAGCCACACCCATCTGCTGACCGTTGAAATTGTTACCTTCAACTCGTGGCCGCTTATTGGGAGACGGCGCATTTTCAGTCGAGCCGGGCGACTGAGGGCGTTGTCCGTTCATGTCCATACCCGAACCATCTCGTTGCATCTGTGCAGACATCATTTGAGACTTCATCTGGTTCATATTTGCCATCTGGTTGGGGTTGCTACTGTCACGGGGAAGGTTGGGTTAGTGTGGCGGACGAGGAAGGTGGGGCAGGACGTACGGGTTGCGATTGTTCATCGCCGCTGCTCTCTTCAGATCATTGACTGGCACGCCGTTCGGGATGCCCGCCCGCATCATGTTTTGGTAGCCGTTCATCTGCATGCGTTGGTCTCGCTGCTGGTTCTGGATATGGGCGAGTTGCTTGCGGCGTAGTCAGCATTCTGTGGCGACAAAGTTATCTAGGAGCTGTCTTACCCTGGTGTGCCCAATGTACTGGTGCTGAGCCTTGCTGCCGTTCTTGTCGCGGGCAGCGCGATATATGTCCCAAAACTGGCACCACCAATCCAGCAGGAACGAGTTGTCGGCGGACTGGCCATCAGGGATCTTGGGCTGGGGGAGGTCGTCCTTGACGTCAGGGTCCATGGAATCCATGCCGTTCATATTCCGCCCGCTGGGACTTGGCTTTGTGTGCGGGGCGAGGTTCATCTTTAGATCACATTCGAGCATTGCTTTCGCGAGCCGGCCGTAGTTGTTCCGCATGAAGTAGTCGTAGATGTATGTGTTGAGGTTGGTGCGCGGATCGTCGGGTCGACCACCTGGACGCTGCATGCTGCTCATGACGGGCGTGCCGTCGACGGGGCCCATGGCTGCATTCATGCCGGCCATGGCGGCCATCTGCTGGCTCTGCATGGCGACGGGCTGGGTGCGCAGACGACGGCGGTGTCAGACGCAAGGGATGGGTACTGGCAATGTGAGCGCGCTCGGGCAACACGGGATCGGAGGTGGGTGGTGTCGTGGTGCGCACCTCGGTGCTTGAGCTGTGTGGGTTATAGTAGCATGGACACGCCGTGGCGAAGACGGGGCTCGGTTTCGGGACGGGAGGCGGTTCGCCGAGTCGTTTGCTGGCCGGGCTGGCGGGCGGTAGTGGAGCGCGCTCGGGGGTGTCGAGCGATGGCTGCTGCGTGCGCAAGGCGGGTGTTGCGAAAGAGGACGCAGGATGCTGAGGTGCTGGGTGGATGAGGTGTTGCGCGGAACGCAGGGTCTAGCGACGGGATGGCGTGGTGAGAAGGCTTTACGAGGATCGTGATCACCGCCGTCGCAACTCTCGACTCCTAACGAAAGCGTGAGACACACCACAACCCACGACAACGCTGGACGCGCGATGCGATGCGGGCAGATTCAGGGCCGCCGGGGGATGGGCGCGATGGGCAGAGGGGAGGCCGGCGAAGGCTGGGGACAGTAATAGAGTCAGGAGGGAAATGGGAAAAGGCTTCTGGAAGGCCATTCCCCTCCTTATTTGGCGCTAGCATGTCAGCCACGTGATTTATCGCAGGCCGCCCAACCACACCGCCAGGCAGCGCAACGCAGGTGAAAAACTCCTGCGACGAGTGCAGTTTGCTTGTGCACTTTCTGCCTGTGCGTAAACTTCTGTTTTGCACGCACTTGAGACACAAACCAACGACGTCGCGGGCGAGTCAGCTGATTGTTGCTGCCCTTGGACCCTCAGGTTAGGGACCTAGCCCCAGGGCCGCTGAAACACAGATTATCAAGACCACGTCGACATCCACGTAAAGCGTATTCTGTCCCCACACACGGCCGATTTGTTCAATATTCGAATGCAGGTAGAGCCGAACCCGCACGTCATCGAGTGCTCTAGCATCGCTCTGCATTGAATGGCCAGCGAGGTTTGCGAGAGGGTTCCGCGCATTATCTAGATAGACACCGGGAGAGGCCTCAGGCTTGCTCAAGCGCACTCAACTCCAAGGCAACACCAATTCCTCAAGGCTGTCTCCGGTCAGATATTTCAAGTATTTGCCATTGTATCATGTACCCCTCGACGCCGTCCTATGCATTGTCCAGACCCGGAAGATTGGGTATCTATCCTCATGATTCATAAGTGCTCCCCCGCAATTATCTCTCACTCGTCGTCCGGTGGCATTTCGTCGTCGATGTATCGGGTCAGAGATATTCTCATCTCTGTGGTGTCGTTGCCTCGAAGAATGTCACTGATGAAGTGAGCTTCTACTTGCATGTGTACCTATACGGCAACAAGATCAGCCAAAACTTTTGGGCTCCGGGGCAGCAGACAGTGCTCAGAGGCGCAGTGCGACTCCACCAGCACTGCCAATCAGGAGTATTACCATCTCGAGCGCTCCTCGTAGCACTCCAACAAGTATATTCGAGAACCACAGCTCGTCCTGCGCTCGGCCGTCGTCTGGGAGCTCTACAAAGTCGGCAAGGGGATTCTCGTCGAGGATCAGGGAGAATTGCTTGTTGTCGCTAGACCAGTTCGTAATCGTAGGCGTGATATTCAGGAATATCTTGAAGCCGACCTAACGTTCGCCGGTGAGTCTTGACTAGATGTGTGGACACGCGCGCCCGAGTGTCTACCTTAGAGATCATATCTGCAACCTCACGGAAGTTGGAGCAGGTGGGAGCGCTGGTCTTGGCCAGAAAATCCTCAATTAGGCGCAGCCCGATGTTGTATCCCATCCTATCGAGTTGCCTGTTGACCTCGGGGTAATCGTTGTCATAATCTTTGCAAAGCTGGGCCACAATTGTGCCGTAAGTCAACGTTACAAGCTCTGCGCTAACCTTGTCCACCCGCGTCCTTTGTGCAGTCAGAGGCTGTGTCTCGTGGTGGAGTCTCGCGTGGCGGAGAAACTTACTTCCACACTCTGGCAAGCATTAGCACATCCGGAACTGCAGCTGGGTGGTCGGCTCACTCCTCGCCCAGTCGGGCCGCTTTTGTTGAGGACATGTTGGCTAGAGAACTTCGTGGTAATTCCGCCCTGGTGGGGATGCGGAAATCGTGGAGTTAGATTGTGCAAGTGTGGGGTGGTGTTGGGGTCGTCGATATAAAGTTGGGGTCCCAGGCGATGAAAGCAACTAGAGTGTGAGAGAAGCTGGCGTTGCCTTTTCGGGCTAGCTCAATATGCGCGGAAAGAGCCGCTCGAGAAAGTCTGGGAGACCAACAGGCTTTGGACTCCCACCCCATGCCTCCAACACTACGCACTCACGTTATAGCGTACTTCGCTCGTTCAATAACGCAGTCTTCGCTATGTCTGCCGGAAAGCGTCCTGCCGCTGACTCTTTCGGCTCAACGCAATTAGTCAAACGCGCCAAGTCGGACGCAAATATTGGGGGAAACTCTCAGGTGGCAGTGGTGAACGGCCCGGTGCAAAATGGCGAGCTCATACAGGCTGTCCCGCGCCTCTCCTCTCTTCAGTCGCCGGTCATGGAATTGGCTGGCCACACTGGAGAGGTGTTCGCTGCTCGATTCGACCCGACGGGCCAATACATCGCCTCAGGCTCTATGGACCGATCCATATGTCAGTTCTCCTTCCTGATCCACCTGTCTCTCGCCCTGACTGGGGGTTAGTGCTATGGCGAACATCTGGCGCCTGCGATAACTTCGGCGTCTTGAGTGGGCACAAACAAGCCGTGCTGGACCTACATTGGTCGCGTGATTCAAGGGTGCTGTACTCAGCTTCGGCCGACATGCAGTTAGCGAGTTGGGATACCGAAACTGGCCAGAGGATACGTCGGCATCCTGGTCATGAAGAAGTCATCAACTGCATGGATGTTCGAAAGCGCGGCGAAGAGTTACTTGTCAGCGGCTCGGATGATGGGTCTATCGGAGTAGGTCCCCCCTTCCCAACAGAGACGGAATCGCGCTGACAGCAATGGTAGATCTGGGATCCGCGAATGAAAGAAGCCATAGACTACATCGCGACCGAGTTTCCCATCACAGCAATTGCGTTGAACTCCGACACCAACGAACTATTCACGGGCAGCATCGACAACGACATCAAAGTCTGGGATCTCCGTAAAAAGGCCGTTACATATGCACTGCTTGGACATACAGATACCGTTACTTCATTGGCAATCTCTCCGGACGGCCAGTCGCTACTTTCGAACTCACATGACTCCACGGTTCGCACTTGGGACATCAGACCTTTCGCTCCAGCCGATCGACGCATACTCACTTATGACGGCGCACAGCGAGGGATGGAACCTAATCTACTCAGGGCGTGCTGGGACATCAAAGGTGAAAGGATAGCCGCGGGAAGTGGTGATGGGAGCGTAGCCATCTGGGACGCACGTACCAAGAAACTCTTGAACAAACTTCCAGGTCATCGCGGAGCAGTGAACGATGTCCGCTTCTCGCCTCGGGACGAGCCCATAAGTAGGTTGAAATTTCTTCCCCCTTCTGGCCAGCCAGTCGTGCCAGTCTATGGTCTTGTTTCCACACCATTCTTGGCCCCAAGACGCCACAGTCCCAGCCTTTTGAAGTTAAAGCTGTCGAGATGTACCAAGATAACCGGATGAACCGGTTCGATGGTAAAGAAGGCTGCCGTCTCAGGTAGCAGGACTTTCCATGAGGCTGTTTCAATACACGACGTGCGCAAAACGATCAAGGATTAGGCTGACTTGGCTTGTTGTAGTACTTTCTGCGTCTTCGGATCGCACGCTCATGCTCGGGGAACTAGGCAAGTGAGGAGGTTATTGAGAAACATGGCTTCAGAGCGGTGGTTGAGAATAGATCTTTTGGTTACTCCACAGTGGATGCAGTCGCAAAGCGCGGGGGGATCGTTCGGCGGACGCCATGCATGTCACAGGGGCCGCACCTACAGGCTGGACACATCGGTGCGACGTGAAGTGCTCAGAGACAGGGTCCTAGTGTTGGCGAGTTCTGAACAACGAAAATGCGCCAGGGGACACGAACTTGTGTATACTTGTCGTACAACGACACGCAAATCCAAGCTGTCGACCGAAATATCAGATACTTGGAGATTTAGTCACTATCGAGGTTCATGCCGCCTTGATCATGGAGGGTTGGACAGTGACTTTATCGATGGCTGCAGGCCTGTTGTCGAGGACTGGGACGGTCGTCCCAGTATCATTGGCAGCGCTTGCGTGAAGTCTGGAATAGATTCCAGCACGCCAAGCGCCAATCAAAACGCGCACCCTGTTGTTTCACGTCGCATCTCAACCCTCACGATGCTGACATCTGCACCTTTTCTGAACGAACGCGTCCTGAAACGGCAATTCGTACGCAGCGCTGGTCGCCAGATGAGCCGTGAGGTGCAGGAAGGGCTGGCTCACGCCTGAACACTCGCTGGTTTCATGTGCTCCCAGCCGACTGCTGATACGCCGCTTGTAGCAGAGTTGGCCCTGGCGCGCAATGCTGGCTGCTATCGCGAGCTCCAGTCACGACCGTCCTTGCAGCCCTTCGTGCGACTTCCTCTCCTTCTCCCATGTCTTTTTTCTTTAAGTCCTATCTATTGGAAGCTGTGCTGTTGACCACCAGTTTCGACTCTCTTTAACCATTGTCTTTCGTTTGGCCGCCAGCTGCTGGACGACTTCTTTTCGGCCCAGAGCTCTTCCCCACGGCGGTGGAGGGTTGTATCTGCTAACTCACACCACGCCCACCACAGGGTCGTGCTACAGGTCTACGCCTTTCTTTCGATTCGAGTATACGTGCTATTCTTCGACACTAGCCAACGGTCGACATGCACTCTTTTTCGTGACATTGAGCGGGCTCCAGTCAATCTACTTCTTTGGACGACAAACATACCTGACAGCTGTTCGCGGCTTCCTGGAGAGCATGCGCATGGCTGGCAGTTCTACGCATTCATTCGCCAATAATTGCAGTTGAGCAAGACATCAACACACTGCTGTCTAGGCAGGGACGGCGAGGAATTAATATAAGGGAACACAATACTCTTCAACAGTTGGGGCACTAGGCCCTACATATTCTGACAACCAGAACGGCCTGACGCAAGAGCCTGGTAGACTTCAAACCTACCTTACTTTTGCAATGCCTCTCCCTTCGCTACCTTCGTTCCATCGGTCACCGCGACCTGACCAGCCCCACGACTCTCCAGCATCTATATCCTCTTTTCAATTCAGTACACTTCATACCAATGTGCGCTCGATGATCAATGGCTCCTCAGTGTACTCGAACTCGCCTCCTCCATCGAACAACAATACTCCAAAAATTCCCTTTCTCGGCTTCCTGCGTCGACCGCAATCTCCTCCCAACCCCATTGTCGTACCGGACAACGATGCACCCCGCGACTCCAGCGACTCGAGATCCCCTCTTCGCTCACACCACACAGCAGGGTCATATATTGCTGCCATTGCGCCATTGGACACGCACCCGCGAGAACCTGAAGCCGTGTACAGTAGCAGGCACCCAGCAGACGTACCACTCGAGTACGGCAGAAGCGTAGACCCCGAAACAGAACAACTCCAAGAGGAGGTGCATGGCCGGCGACGACGACGACATCGCCGAAGAAGAAAGCACAGAGAGCCAAGAGCCACACATTGGGTGCGCAGACGAAAAGAACGAGGTGTTTGTTTCTCTTTCATGAGAAGCCGTGCCACTCGAGGGAAATGTTACGCGTGTCTGATATCCGGCCTTTTCCTCATAACCGTGTTGACAATCTGTAAGCCAACCCCCTCTCTCCTCTTTCCATGCAGTTTACTGATCCCCCTTCCAGATCTCTCACTCGCCCTCACAAGGAAATCGCTCGGTCAAGAGGTCCATGTCCTGTTCATCATGGTAGTCCTCGGCACCACAATCTTCTTCTGCCACTCATTAATCCGTCTCTGTATGCTCGCACTCCATCCAGAAGAAGAAGGACCCCGTATTCCCAGCATGACTGGGCCGGAAGGTTTCAAACCCATCCGTCCCATCCGCGTGCATCTTGCTCGCGACGAAGAACTCGGCGACGCTGATGCCGACGCCTCCGCTGACGAACCCCAAGACGAGGAGAAAGTCAAAGTCCTGCATCCCCCACCTGCATACGGACTCTGGCGCTCGAGCGTGCGCGTCGATCCAAATCTCCTGCACTGGCAACGCGTTGAAAACACTACCAACCCGAATCCAATCTCAAGCCACACTGCCCCTTCCTCCTCCCACCCCAACTCCCGAAACGGTTCTGTGTCCGAGCCTGCAGAGCCAGAGCATCAAACCCAAGGTCCTCGACCCCCAAGCTATGTCTCCGATGACGGGGTGTCCTACGTCGTAGAAGCAGCGCCGAGGTCCACAGCTCCGAGCCACACAGGTGTAAGCGATATCCATCCAGCCTGGCGACCCGGTTTCGCTGTCTCGGAAGTTCAAATGGCGGAGAGGCTGGAGCCGAGGCGGCTGTAGATAGACGCTTTGGTCGTCTGGAGGACGGGGGTAATTGGTCGAATTATGGGATATATGGCAGGCAGTGCTCTCGTATTCAATTTCTTTTGATATTATTGCATTTGGGAGGGACGGATGGAAGGTTACTTGTAATATGGTCTGGTGTGGCACGGCGTTTGGTGGCATTGTCTCTCTGTCCACTTCCAGCGAGGGCATTTCTGGTCTGAAGGCTCTTGCTGTTTACCTTTCCTGTTCGCTATGTGTAGGATAAGTGTGGTGTGGTATGCTGTCCATGTTTGAAAACTCCCCATCAAGACATTGGGAGAAAAGTGGTGTGTAGGTATGTGTGGACTAGTCAAAGTACATTGAGCTTGTGCTCTAGCCTCCTCGGGCACGGAAGTGAAAATATGTATCATCCAAGGCTTTTCAGATCTTCTCTTAACCCTGAGTCTCGCTTTACATCTGCATCTCTAGGAAACTTAGGAACCTCAAGCTGTCGACAGATGGTCAGCCACGCAGGTAAGGAGGGGCCGACGGATCCACATCTTGGAAGGGTCTTGATTTGTAAAATTCCAGCATTCTATCAATTCTATTATGGACCCACGACAACAAGTGAGGTCAAGACAAACCTCCGATGGTTTAGAATCCAGGTCACAGTGCAACACCAATATACACACATATATATATTGTAGCCTGTTTTCAACCCGACCAATCCTGTCGGAAGCTGCACACAGAAACCGATGATAAAACAACGCTGAACTTCAGCTTCACTAGCTTAAGCTCGTGGATAGCGCCACAGATTGCAGGGGTGGACTCGACCCTAGCCCCCTTCCAGCGTTTGTTCGTTTGCAGCATGAGGATACCTGATTCGGAAATGCGTCCTACTCTCCCTCCATCTTCTCTTGTGGCCCCCACAAACAGGACACCCCTTTTACTGACTTTTGAGATCCACCCTGCTTACGATTGGGACACTCCCTAACTAGACTTAGCGCCGATCGGAACAATCTATCTCCGACGCATAACTGTGAGCATCACACCTCTGCGCTATCATTTACCTCCAACCGTCCTTTCTAGAAGTCTCTGTGACACGGCTTGTTCAGCTTTCGCTAGGCGGCTCACGAGCCGGGATTTTGTAACTGGTACCGTTTCACTCTCATTTTGCCGCCACGGGTACCTTCCAAACGCCTCCCAAATAATGTTCTTGATCCAAACGTATTTCGCTCCAGGAGAGTAAAGCTGAGCTTAATAATATTAATGGGAATGGAGAAGACGATGATAGGGAGTAACTTGTGGTAGGGCTCGGCGAGCACGATATGACAGGAAATTAAGAGTAGTGATATAATATAATAGGCTCACATAGAGATTCAACGCGGGTGGGACACAATTATGAAGGAAAGAAGGAAAAGCCGCGGCACGAAACCTGTGCTAGAGCAAGCACAAACCCCTTCTATATCAGAACAACCTAACTCCAGACTCCAAAACAACCCGCAAGAAATGCTAGTCAAAGCGTCCAGACATCATCACTCCAAGATCCCTTCACCCATCCATAGTCCTATAACACTCCGCCCAATTCCAACCCCTCTAATCTTGAGGCGACTGCGAATTTCTCTCCACAATCAAACTCAACGGTCTCTTCCCACTACTCGCTCCACTCCCAGTCCCGCTTCCCTCGCCTGCACTCCCCCTCCTCGTCCCAACCCCAACATTCAGCGGCGGTATCTGCAAACCCCCACTCGACTTTATTGGTGGTAACTGCGAGCTCTCATTCCCCACAGCCGAACCCCTCGAACTCGGTTCTGCACCTATCCCACTGGCAGGCGTAAGACTAAGAGGTAGCATCGGCGTCCCAGGGCCACTTCCACTGCCAGATCTTTGTCTCGTATGCTTGACCGTCCCTCCACCTTCCGGTCCACCAAACCACTTCCTCGTGCTGACACCAAGACTATGTTCAAAGGAGGCGGAGCTGCTGCCTGATCCACCATGGCTGACACTGCTCATTCCACGCCAGTGACCCCTCACATTTCCGAAACTATGTCGATTAGGAGACTCACCTTCAAGCTCACGAAGACTATTTCTGAAACTCCCTTCTGTATCTCCACTTGTTCTCCCTCCCATTCTCCCTCGTACAGTTGGTACCGTTCCGCCTTCCCAACGGCCCGACGCGTATACCGTGCCATTCCAGACCAATTCGTCACCATCGTGTGCGACGCGTTCGTTACCAATCTCATCAATGATGGCTTTTGATTCTTTCTCCGGACCTGCGGAGAGGAGAATAGGGGCGCCAAATGCCCTGCCAGTTTCAAGAGATGAAAGCGAAACGTATCGGTCGAGATCCCACCACCCCCAAAGTAGTGACATGGCTGCTGCATTCCCCAAGACCATGGTGACTACCGTGGCAGCAAGCCAGCCATAATCAGTCGAGAACCAGAGCTCTGAGCTCCTGAAGATTGCCGTGAAGTTCTGGTAGTGTTCATCGGCGTTACCACCTAAGTCATACGCGCTTCGAAACGAGAACTCAAAGAAGGACTGGATAATGGAATCCCTTGGCGAAAACCATCTAAGGGGACAATTTTCACGAACATACGCCGGAGATGTGGAGTCATTTGCGTTGATGGTGGTGTCGAAGAACAGGTCTGGCCATTGTGCCGATCGGAGTGGTTTCAGACTCGGAGTGTAGGCCGACATGCCGTCGGACTTGTTGAGGAACGCTTCAGCTTTGAGGATTGTCCCGAGACCTAAGTAAAGGCCTTGAAGTGGCCCAGTAGGAGCTGTGAGATTGTTCGTGTGCTTGTCGGCTTCCGTTGTGTAATTGGATACTACGGCACGCTCACTGAGTAGGTCGTTGTGGTTCAGGGTAAGAGTAGAGTTTTGTATGGTGATTGGGTACCAAATTGTTGCCGGAATTATGCTGCAGCTATCCGTTGTTAAAGTTCCTAAGCACGATCCGTCTACAGAGGAGAGATACTTCATGGTCAGGAACAACATCGGTTGCCCGAACTCCTCGCTCATATTCATATCGATACTAAACAAAGTTGAATTTACACTTTTATCATCGAGCAGATTTAAAGTTTCGGAAACAGAAGTGCAACCGTAGTTTAGTCCTGCGGCGGGTATACGCGTTTCGCAAGTTCCTTTGGACGGGCAATCGTAGTCTTTCCTGGGCTCGGTCCGCATTGTGAGGTTAAGGAACATTCCTTGCACTATATCAACTCTGTTAAACCCTCCCCATGTTCCATAATAGCCATCTGAAATTTGTTTGGCGATGTGAATGTTCATATCGATGTTCCTCGCAACTGACTGGGTCCTTGTTCTTGTCGCACGTTGACTGATGGGACCAACTGCTAACTTGACGACAAAGACAATAAATGCGGCCGAAGCAACCTTGCGCGCGCTACTGCCGGCCGCAAAACCACCCCAGAAATCTTTTGGACTTGCTGCGGCCTGGATATAATGAAGTCGTTTGAGTGTGGTCCCATGTTGGATACTTCTCCACCACGTAACAGCAACACCAACACCGAAAAGACCTCCGAGGATAATACTGTAAAGTCCTGAAATAAATGCCAATATAATGGAGGGCCGAATCCTCCACGAAGGAACAGTATCCTGATCAGAAGTAATGAGCGTGATGACGGTTAGGAGGATGCAGCCGATCAAGAGCGCGAGGAATAAGAAAACCAGCAGTGGGGTTTTCTGAGTACTTCTTTTGCCTGTTGGAGGGCCTCGGGTTTTCGAGTTACCACCTTGAGGCGGTAATAGCGATCGGGAGAGTGCGTCCGCCATCTACTCTGTGGTCTTGGTCCTCATCCAGCACCCGAAAGAGACGTTGACGAGAAGTTTCGTCTTTAGAGGAGAGGCGAGAAGCCGGAATGCAGCCACGGTCCACGCCGAGGTCCATATCTACTGCTACGCTGCGACCCAAGACGTGGCCAGGACCTCCTAGGCAGACGCGAGAATGTGGAGGCGCAAGCTGCAGCCACGAAGAAAGTGATGGTGCCCGCACAACAACGGGATCACGATCGAACTTTTGGCGGGATGGCGGCTGATGGTTGTATGTTTAAGGAAAACGCCTAGACAAAATATGAAAATGGCTGGATAGGAGGCCACGACAGACGGGCCCCTGTCCAAGGCAAGAAAGGCAGAGAGAAAACAAAGTCGCGAACTCTCTGAGGAGATCTTGTTCAGCTCGGCTGTGGAAGCTTCTCCATTGGACGCTGTGGACTCAGCTTGTGTAGCTCAGCCACTTCTACACGAGAAACGTGGAGCATATTTGGAGCACATGCTAGTGGTAAGAGACTGTCAAAAACATAACAAATCGGGCCCTGAGCCAACAAAGAGGAAGGAGTGTGAATGTTTCGTTCCGATTGAAGGCGACTGCTGACAGCAGGGTTTCTGCGATGACACTTGAAAGAGAGACCGATTCCATGTTGTTTTCTTGTTGAGCTGAATCTGTTGCAAAATACGAGCTGTGTTGGAGTCAGTTATTTAGACGAGAAAAGAATCTGCCGTTCGTTACTCAAAAGGTTTGATCACTGTGAGAAGCTTGGGGCGAATTGGAGAAGTAGCGAAAGTGCTCATTTGGGAGCGCGAAGAAAGTATCTGAGCCATGCTCACACGACAATGCCTTTCAAAAAGCCGCTGATATTGTCGCTTATTGAATGGATTAGAAAATTTGTGGCGGGAGGAAGTGAAGTTAAAGTAAACGTTTTAGGATCTACACGCAATTTAGCGCTAAGCCTACCTTTTTGGAAAGTGCTCTTCTCAGCAAGTGGAAGGTCCACATAACCCAGAACATGCATAGAGGGAGAACAAACACCATGATTTAAACGCGTGATATCTCTATATTGACTGGCTTACAAGGAGGAACATGGAATGATTGCGGATATTAATCCTTGATCCATTCGGGTATCGATATATGCTAGCCTTCAGGGACTGTCTCTATACATTCTTTCATGTCATTCCGTCCCATATAGCTTCAGGAAAGCGCCAGGCTCGCCAATACACAAGGCAACAAGCAGTCAGGCGGAAACAGATTCCCCATGGTCCGTAACATTCACGAACCTAGCTTGACGTAGTGAAACTAGGAAGTGGACGAACCCGCGGTAGAAACGCTCTCAGAAAGGGCATTTGAGCTAATGCTTCTTTTATCTCATCTCTCGCCATTGTTTGTGGATGCTTCTCCGACCTCTTCTCGACCGTGCTAATAACAAGCTCCAAGATGGTCGTTGCCATCGTCTTGTCTTCTCTCATTCCAGGATCACAAAACCATGTCTTTTGATCCTCCTCAATTTTAACATGTTCGCTATTCAACTGTATACAGCTCGACCCGAAATTCAGGCAAGTGCGATCGGGACACTTGAAATGCTCGCTCAGTTCCAAAGCCATGTGCTGTTTCATCTTCGGCTCCAATATCTCCGTTCTCGGCGGCTTGAACGATCGCCCGAACTTGGAGGATAGATTGAGCCGCATTGACGGGGGGCTTACACGCGCCGCATAATTCCGGACGAATTCAGCCATGGCCTCGATGGCGTCGAGATCGATGACCTTAGGCCCGATTGTCGTGTCATTGACGAATTGGAAGGTGGCAATCGTTCGCTCCATATCATATTGGCCGTCTCCGACAATGACTTCCGCTTTTATCTCCCGGATAAGGTTGGGAAGGCGGCGTTGCTCGGCGACGGCTTCCGCCTTCTGCAAACTCTTGGGTATCATCTCTGTTATGTTGTATGTCATGTTCTTATCAAGTTTGAGGTTCGTCGGCGATGCACCCTGCACTAGAGTGCCCTCGAACGTCACCAAGTGGTTGACCTTGACGATGTATTCGTCAGGTGAACCCTCCTCAATATTCAACTCGTCTGCTGACGGTGCAGACGGTTCTGAATTGACGGAGTGAGGCGGACTGCGGACGTGTACCGTGGGATCGGGGGATTTTTGCTGGCGGCCACGGTGGCGATTGCGACTAGGGAGAGAGGGAGGCGGCGGCGAGGCTGCTCGACGCGCCCTTTTGTTTGGACGCTCTGGCTCCTTGTTGCGGGTGCGACGAGCTGGACCCGCTTCGACAGCATCGTGCGTATTGCGGGTACGTTTGAGTCCCATTGTGGTGTCGATGTGTGATGGATGGAATTACTTTGGAGAGAGCGTTCCACTGCTTCCAGCACAGGACGCGAGGATCACGCGTCACGTTTGCGCTAACCAAACATGGACTAGCGGTGATGTACTTCGAGGAGCGCCACCATCTCATATTACCGAGATTCATACACAGATGATGTGACAATAAGTAATGGATTCTAGTACAAGAAGCCTCGAGCAAGTGCATCACAAACCATATCCCCTCATCCACCTCAACTCCCTCGCCTGATGCTCAAGTGCCCTCCGCATTTCAGCCCCGTACGCCCTCTCCTTGGCTCTCGTCTCCTTAACCTGTTCTTCCTTCGCTGCATCATCCAGATCATCAATACTGAACTCTGGCGAGCAACCAAAGCTAACCATGCCCAGCTTTCCATCTCCAGTCCATATGATCAGATTGTCTTGTCCCGGCGGCACCTGACAAGTAGGACCAATTGGAGAAGTCGATACAGTAGGTAGGATCTTCTGCACGATGTCGCCCCAGCCAGACTCTACACCTATTTGTATGGGTGACTGGGTCGACTTCCGATTATCATTGTTGATATTAAATTGCCTAACCGGCGTGGAGCCGTCCCGTTCAACCCATTTCAGGTTGCCATCCCCGTCAGAGAAGACCAGTCTAGTGCCATGCGGAGCTACGGACAGCAGTTTCGAGCTCGATGCTGTCTGGCGATTTTGATAGCACGCATGCTGATTTCGCGCCATTTTACTGTCCGAGGAGATAATCGACCGAGCAGGTTCAGAGGACAGGCTGTACAGCTCGAGACTGCCCTTGCCCTTGTACTCTCCAGCCGCAATAAGTGTATAGCCTGGGATCGACTTCACTTCGCGGAGCAAGCTAAGCGATGAGTAAGGCCAACCAAGCCGTAAGTCGTGAGGCACGAATGGATGAGGTATGGCAGTGAGGCAGGACAGCCGAGCGCCGGAGTGAACAGTACCTCGGAGTCGAGGGAAGAACCGGCGGTCGAAGTTCAAAAAGCTGGTGAACCTGCCGCCGACCCAAATGTCCCCATTGCCGTCCCAGTCACGGGTAGTCGGAAGGTGTAAGATAGACAGTGCGCCGGGCTGTGAGAGAGACACATGGCCGCCGAAGTCACCCGTCTGGAGGTGTGCACTAAAATTCTTCGTTACCCCGCCTATCAATTCGGTCTGTGATACTGCCGGGAAGGATGTCTTCTTGCGAGTATCGTGAAGATGTAGTGTCCAATTCGTACCAACTGTCAAAGGAGTTGGGTGGTGTGCCTCGGACAAAGCTGTTATCGGGAAGGGATACGGCGTCCGGTCAATTACCTGAAGCGTCCGAAGATCAACCTCGTTCAATATGTTTTGAACAGCAAAGAAGCCCTTCTGCTGCCTGCTGTCGATGCTGACGCATTCAACTGCGCCGGTTTCGGTCATGATAGCTTGACATTGCCTCAATCTTGTGTCCAAATCCAGATCCGGGCCTCTGTTTGGAAGTAACCCCACTGCACTTCGAGCAATGATGCTACCTTGGCGCCTTTGGCTCCCGCTTGCATCCCAGATGCTTACGCTCCCGTCCTCCAATGGCGCGATAAGTTTATCGGCCATACCGGCTGCGTCGAACAGAATACCAGCACCGGTGGCCTCATGGTGGGGATTATCATCGTGGTGCCCATGGCGCGCGTTCTGGAACCAATTGATCGAATGTGGTGCATGTCTTTGTATAAAGTCCTGGTAGAAATTGACCTTCTCTCCAGCATATGTCGGATCCCAATTGGCCAGCAATGTAGCTCTCTTCTTGGGTGCGTTCCGGTGTGCTTGCAGCTCGGCACCTGGAGCATTAGGATCATGGACGGCGGTGAAAGCTCCAGTAATGGTATCTGCAGCTCTAATAAGCTCCTCTAATCTTGGGTCGACGTCTGTCGAAAACGCGAGATGTCGTCGGCGGCGTTTCTCGGGTATAGAGTGTTCGAAGCATAGCTGTTTCCATAGGTTGTTGTCTCGAGAGAGGGTGAGGAACTGACGCGAAACATGCTGGAGCTTCACTAGCTGGGGAGGATCGAGGACTGCAGCGGTGTGAGGGCGCAGTTTCAGTGTTGTCTGTGACATGGGAAACTTACAGGAGACAATGTGGAGGATAATCTCATCGGGCAGGGTGTTCATAGCTAAAAAAGGAGCTGAAAGCTTCAATGGCAAAGAGATGCTACGTGAGAGGAGAAACTGGGCATTTATTAAGAAGAATGGGTGCTGAGCCCGCGAATATGTTTATCTCGAGAAAGGGCGCTGTCGGCGGAACTTCGGTCAAAGGGCGGGTGTGAGGGCTGACGTCGATGACTCGGGCATCTTGCCTGATTTGGTGTGCACGTGCTGACGTGCTGTGCGACGCTTTTGATAGAGTTCAATCTCAATATGTACAAAGAAGAGTATATTTTAAAGCTATATATTTATGGGCAGCTATTAAGGATTAAGAAGACTAATCCCCTGGTCATTACAAAGGAAACAAGGAATACTATAGGAGATGAGCGACAACGGCAATACCCACAGCGACCATGCCTCCCAGCGTTTCAACTTTAACAGCCGATGCAGCCCCGGTAAACTGGTAGGGGGTGGTCGTGGTCGGTGTAGGTTTCTTGCCTGTTCCACTAGCAGCGCCGAGGCTATAACTAACACCAGTGCCATGGGCAGCTGGCACCCCTGTTCCAGATGGAACTGTGTAGCTGCTGCTTGCAATGGGCTTGACTACAACCGTTGAATAGACCACCACGACAGATGACGCAATAGGGTAGTTGGATGGTGCGGCTGCTGAAGGATAAGCTGGGGCCGCAGGGTCATAAGGAGAGGCTGAAGCTGAAGGATAGGAGGGGTCGCTCGGGTGGCTTGCAGAAAACTCCTTGGCCTGGACGCTTGAGTATGCGTTTGTGGGAGCATGTTCACGAGAGTAAGCTGGAGCCGACGTCTCATAAGCATGCACGGGTTTGGTCAGAGTAACTGTGGTCGGGGTAGCGTAACAGTGAGTACACACTGTCACGGTTGTGGTCCAGCCTTCGAGAATCTTGTATGCAGCAGTGCTAGATGAGGGGTAGAGAGTCGTACTGTATGTGACTTTGACAGTAGTAAAGCCCTTTGTACAGATATCGACGTACGAGGTAGTAATAACCGTCGGGTAACCCTGAGCACTTGCGGATGAAGCGACCCCGTACGGAGCGGCGCTAGACGATGCACCATAAAGATGAGGACTGTAGCCGACAGGCAACGAATTATGTCTTGCTGAGGTTGGGTGAGGATCGTACGCTGCAGTTGAAAAGCCATGGGAGCTCTTGGACTTCGTGCAGGAAGTGGTGCTGGATGACCTGTCCCCATAAGGAGATGGGGAGCTATATCCTATGGGGGTGAAGTAGGGGTCGTATGCAGGAGTAGAAGAGCTGGAGATCTTGGACTTTGTGCAGGAAGTGGTGCTGGATGAGCCATGAGCATACGCGGAACCCGAAGCATTGTAGGCGGCAACCGTGGAGTAGGATGCAGGCGTTGATGAGCTCTTTGATTTGGTGCATGTGGTCGACGTTGCGTTTTGTCCGTAAGGAAGGACGGTGGAGGAACTGGAGGACACCGTAGCGTAGGAACTGCTACTAGATTTCGTACAAGAGCTTGTCGATGATGCCGAACTATACGGGTACAGGCCAGTGCTTGAAGTGTTGTAGAGGCCTGAAGAATATCCTGAGGAAGCAGTTGGATAAGGGTATCCATGAGTGCTTGTTGGGTAAGAGCTATTGGAATAAGAATCCGACGTTCCAGAGTAGAGCGTTGAGATTGGAGTTGAGGTGTTCGCATACACTGAGGTAGAGTTATAAGATGTGGTGGTGGTGGTTGGGTAAACCGGTGAAGAAGTTGAGTTGTAAGATGGGGTTGTGGTTGAGTAAACCGACGAAGTAGAGTTGTAAGATGGAGTTGTGGTTGAGTAAACCGACGAAGTAGAGTTGTAAGATGGAGTTGTGGTTGAGTAAACCGACGAAGTAGAGTTGTAAGATAGGGTTGTGGTTGAGTAAACCGATGAAGAAGTGGAGTTGTAAGATGGGGTTGTGGTTGGATAAACCGATGAGGTATTGGAGTAGATGACACTACTGGTCGAGTTGAATGGAATGCTGGTAGACGCGCTCACGAACGAACTTGACGAGGTGGTAATGAGAGAACTTGAAGTAGAGCTGGCCGAAGAGGTCGAAGTGGAGCTCATGACAGAGCTTGAAGAAGAGCTCTTTACGGAACAGACATCAGCTTTCTTTGGGACGCGCGTCTTCTTTGTTGGAAGAGTGTATGAGCACTCCTGAAGGTCGTTGATGTTGTTCACACCAAGCAAAGAAAGACGAAGATAGGCCTTCGCATAATCCTGAGAGTCGTTAGAGAATCCTCACAGAGAGAAGAGGAGCATACCTCATTCCAATGTTCTTGCTTTCCAGCAAACATCATCCACTCGTCTGACACTGCAGGATGTGCAGCGAGAGCAACATCAGACGGGAATTTGAAGACGCAGTCCTCACCGATATCTTGTACAGTCTCATTGTAGAAGCTCACATCCTATAGGTTGTCAGATTCCGAAGAAAACAAAATTTATGCCTCGTTCTTACCCACACACCAGGAGTAGAATCCTGGGGCATACCGGATTTGGACTTATCCACACCAAATTGCTTCGAAGTCGAGTGCGCACCAAGAAGCGCAGCAAGATCATGGGCACTGATAGTCTTATCTGCAAAAAGTGCGAGCAGGTCGTCAGCCGGAGCATGCACATCTGGTAGAAGATTGTCAGGGGCTGGTTGAACAGCATCCTGAGAAGGTCAGCGCTTAGTCTCGCAGACATCGTAGAGTGAACTAGACCTACAATTCGACCAACATAAGCGCGAACGCGAGGACCTAGAGGGCAGGTCACAGTGGCATGGACTGCCATGTACTGGATTAAGTCTCCCATGCCGACATCATACCTAGCGTAGAGCTCCCTGGCATAGTCAGTGATCTCTTGAAGACCACCGTTCTCCGCCCGACCTTCTTCAAAGAACAAGGCGAGCGACCCATCAGCCCCACCGAAGTCTTGACCCTTGTTGGCTAAGGACTGTGACCAGGTACCAGCATCATGGAATCCCAAACGAATCGCGGCCCTGGCCAGATCACTACACTGACCATCTGTCTCCTCGAACTTTGCCGTCAGCTCGTCCGCAATAAAGAACCATTGACAGCATGCGTCGTTAGGATCGCATTCGAGAACGTCCAGAACTGGTTTCGCCTTGACGTCGAAGGATTCTTCCTTCACTCTCTTATCGCTGAGAAGAATGCTGACAATGTCTTGGGCAGATTGCGAGACTACCTTAAACCTCAAATCACCAATGAGAACTGGGTCTTGGGAGCCATCGGAACCTGAAGTTCCTGGTGTTCCTCCCTTTCGTTTCTCAAGAAGTGACTTCGTGAATTCTTTATTGGAGTAGTGAGCGTAGGAATAAACGCTCTCGAAAAGAGTGGCAAGAGCGAGAAACTGAGAGACAAGCATCTTGATTTCAAGAAAGAAACATTAACTATTAGATTAAAGAGAGACTGTAGAGAGCGGCAGAATACAAACGAGAGAATGCAACAACTCTAAGGAATCAAATCGAGAGCAAAGAAGGTGTGCGCGAAGGTTATGAGGGAGCAGATATGTTCGCTGTCACTCAATTCAGCCACAACGACGCAGGTACCGTAACTTGCGCTTGGCAACTTCTCCCTTACAACGCTCCCACATTTTGAGAGGCGCGATATGCTTTTCCCGTGTTGATTGACCCCTAGTGAATCTTCGGTCGGCTCCCGAACCATCCTAAATGACTCGGCGTCTTTCACGGGGTGGTAGTTCAGCACAACGCGAGTGGCACAGCGCCTCTTAAGGGGTTTTTTTGAGACCCCGAAGTGACAGGATCTCGAGAGGCTCTTAGGCGGACATAAACAAAGCATCCCAATATTCAAAGGAGGAAAGGGAGGAGAGATTATGAAATCTGTGCAGGCGTTGTAACAAGCAGGTTACCACATTGGTGTAGATAGGTAAGTTCTGGGGCTGAAGGCTTATCCGGTCATCTGTCAGGATGATGACAGTTTGTGACAAGAAAGCATATCGAGGCTTGAAGTGTGAATTGTGCTGACGCTCATCTAGAGCTAGTGCTCACCCCTGCATAAACCCTGCCTTTTGTCCACTGACAGGCCAAGCAAAGTCAGCAAGCGAGTGGCGTCTCAGCTGTGGCGTCTATCAGATCAGCCACACGGGGCCCAGACTGCTTGCCTCCTCGCTCCAACGGAGCCAAAAAGACCTAAAGCGAGGCCCGTTCACCAAGCATGATCAATCAAATTATCTTTTTCAAGCCCTGTTGCATCTGCGCCTCCCTCTTCCCCATGTAATGGCAATTCCCGCGAGAGGAAATCTTAAAGCACGTCCACCCCACGAGGTAAGGAGAGGAAAGCATCGTGTATGCAATATTGGCGCAAGCCAAGGGGTGGAAGACAATTAACGCTTTTGCTTTGCGTGCTTGGCTGTGATAGTCGCTAGATACAGTAGCCATGCGCACATATCATACTAACACTCTGTTCACCCGCTGTTGTCGCCGAGCTCCATCCACTCCTTCTGCGTAACGCACACACTCTTTTTTCCTCTCTTCAGCGTCCATCTCCAATTCAGCGGACAACGCGCTGTCTTGACGTCACTCTTTGATTTCCTTGTCGCCCTTTTTCTATCTGTCCCTAATCCTTAATATTCTAATATCGACCATGTTGTTCACTAATTTCGTCAGTGCCCTATTGGGCCTTTTAATGCTCTTGCTTCCAGCTTATGCTCAAGTTACCACAGCACCCTATGACCCGAGCCAAATTACAGCCATTGGTGGTGTCACTGGGTATGCCATTCCAAGCTTCCATGTAAAATCTGTCGAAGCTAAATAAGCTATAGAATGACCCTAGATCCGGGTACCGATCCACTGCGGGGCGGCACCATAACTGTTGACGGCATTACCTTTATTGTCCCCAAGAATACATTGGTGACTCTCCCGGCGGCTGTTGCTGCATGGCCGGAGCTTTTCAATGGTGAAACACCTATCATGCCCGGAACCCAAACATACCAGGCGATTGTATGGTTGCTCAATCATTTAAAGGAAGCAACGCACTAACTTCTCCAGGTCCAAGGAAATCATGCAGCGGATAAAAACATTGCAGGACTCGTCTATCTCCATCAGAACTTCTTGCGAGCGCTCCAGGGGTTCATCACCGAGATCAACCCTGTAAATGGTCATTTCAAGGTTGCAGGAGCGTTTAGCCCAGCCGGCCAGCTGGAGTGTGTGATTAACGATCCACTTGGCATATATGGCCCTAAATACACTGCCAATCCTTTGTGGTCCGTTGATCCATCGAACCCGAGCATTCACGCCGCGACTGGCTTCCCCATGTGCATCCCTCGATCAGCAAATGATGAGCTTTGCCCAATGAAGAATCGCCCACTTGACGGCGCAGGGAGGCCATTGACTCGATTTACCTTTAGCGATCCTGCAACCATAGGACCAACCGATCCTGACGCAATGGTTATGGCCCCTCTAATGGTGGGCGACTACATCACCTTCAGTGGACAACTGATTGACAACCTCTTCGAAGTAAGCTCCCTGACAGCCGACATTGGATTCTATACTGCCCCAGGTACGAAACCTGCATTCATCACAGTCGAAGAAGCCCAATTCGGCATTCGTTTCCCCGTGACCGGTGGTGAACTCCCCGAAACTCGTGCTGTGGCCTTCACCACCGATCCAACGACTTCGGTGCAGTGGTATGCTGAAGAGAGACATCCTTGTACTGGCAACATTACAGAACGCAATTTGCAACTTGTCCAACCACAAACGGCTGCTCCACGTGGGCGCGTTCGATTTCGATTGGGAACCACGGATCCTGGAGACTCTGTCCGGAACTTTGGTTTCAGAATGACAAACGGCGTGATTACGACGAAGAACAACTTGACTGGAGGACTCTTCATTCAACCTATAGGCGACTTTATATTCCCCGAGCAAGGAATTTTGGGTGCTGATCTTTCTCCACTAGCATTTGAGACCATGTCATTCTTGACGCAGGGATACGGCCCATATGTTCCTGGCAATGTTCTCACGCCCCCTCCAGCAACGCCCGTCCTTGTTGGTCAGCTCTTTCCATGGCCAGGACTAGGAGACGGACCTCTTGCTGTCAACTGCGCTACCGAACCGACTCCCACAGTGTCACCAACGCCAACCCCTACTCCTACACCGCCACCTGTCGACTTCATCACCATTATCTCAGCAACTAAGCTGAAGAATAGGGGTGGAGGCTTCATCGTCGAAGTGCGTGCTAAGAGCGATAACCCCGCAGCTAAGCTGAGCATATCGGTTTCTGCACTCGTACGACCGCTGAACAATGCGCCTATGGCAAGAGATCCCGACGGCACTTTTTTCACAAAGGTGTTGACCAAGGGCCAACCCCTTGGTGTGACGGTCACAAGTGACTTTGGAGGGTCCTCGAGCACTGTTCCACTTTAGAGAGGGAGGCATTTTGCTAGAGAGTAGAGTGTAAAATTTTAAGCAGGAGTGGCTGAGATAGAGTAGCGATTAAATCTCATGTTCTCGGTTCCTCCGCATTCGCTCAGAGGTCAATGTGCGTATCTCCTTTGTCCTCTCCTCTGTAATATTGGCGACCGTAGCCTGGCAAAAACATTACAAATAAATTTCTCTGTATATATTGAATGACATCAATTGCGTGGTCCCCGTCGTCTTGTCCTTGATTTGCTTTCCCCAAAGCTCATGTCCGAATATGCCGCCACCACTCAACGTCCTTCAAGCCAAGGTATATATCATTAAATCATTCGGAACAGATCCCCCCCCCCCTCCCCATTATTTCTAGGAACAACATATCCACCGAAAGCTCACAATAGCCTTGTCACGATCCGAGAGAAATCTTTCCACTCTTGTCTTTTCTATTCAGCGCCGGCCCGAAATCATTACTAAGTTACGCTTAGAGAACCCGCGGAGAACTTCCTTTATAGTCATAAATCTTCCCAAATGCCGTTTCAAATGCTAAATATGAATCCGAAAACAGATGCGGGAACCAACCCAACTCTCTCTCTCTATTAACGTCCCCATACCACACCACACCTCAACACACCACCCCTACTTTCCATTACCTTACCATCAGCCCTATATCATGCACTACTATATCTTCCTTCATCCGTGATTTCCCCCACGTCTCACAAGCAACCCACTTCTCCCCTGCGCCTTAGCATATTCTCCGTTCTTTGTCCTCCCAAACCCAGCCCCCAATATGGCTTCCAAAACTGCCCACCACCCACATTCCCGATACATTTTCCGCATCTCAAGAACACGGCATCGTGCGCGGCATCTCGGTTGACCGTTTGACTGTTTCCTAGCAGAATCTCCTCAATCTTGCATGAAGGATGAGCGGGTCGATTGAGGATGCCAATGCGACGCTACCGGGGCTTTGTGTGACGGCATGACTGGATTGTGTGACTGGCCGCCGAGACGAGATGAGAGTGGGATGCGGGACACGGGACACGCGGGTGCTGCGGTTTGGATTTGTGGTTGGATTTGTGTGTGGCCTGTAAGTGTGAGGTCTGCTCTACACCTCAGCTCGAGCTCAAGACGTAGATATGCGATGCAAATGTATGACATGCATTGAAAGGGGGAGGGGGCAGGCTCGAGTCCAAGCAACGCACGTCCAAACCTCGCTTGTGCTCAGTGCAGAGTCTTGTTTGAACGACAGACACACTGCATTTGTCGATGTCTCAACAAGCTGCAGTCTGCAGTCCACAGTCTGCACACCGCCACCCATTATCGGACATCATTCAATTCACGGAATTCCCAATACGAAACGCGGTAAGTCATAACATCTACAGATTGAATTGCATCGAATATAGAACGCGTTGATTAACTCTAGACTATTCACCCACTCATGCATGCATGCATGCATGCATACAGTCCAAGTTCAGTACAATTAGCTCCCCATGCCAGTGGGTACTGGTACATGATACGATATCGGGATGATGATCCTTTCTTGGCTTTCAGTTCCATATCTCGCCTGGTAGCGATCGTAAGGCGGTAGAATGGGGAACGAGTAATAAGAAGAAACCAAAGATTTTGAAAATATATATATATATATATAATAGAAATTTGCACAAAAAGAGTGGCCCTGTCGTAAGTGTCTCGGTCCCAGGAGAGTAGAGGTACATAAATATGCTACGACATGTAGGGACGGTGATAAGTATCGTGTAGTACATATAATGATGAAAGCTGTAAGACTGAGTGTCCATCAAAGAAAAATAATAATCGTTTTCGGGGTGGCAAGCCCAATGTCGCCGTCGTGCTTGCTTCCTTAGATTGAAAAAAACAGCGCCAGAACATAAATAGCCGTGTACAAAGTTGAAATGAAATCGAGCTTGGAATTTTGGGCACAGCTGCGCCAACACTCGTGGTTGTAAAGATTTGGGGAGATGTTACACCGGTCCATGCGAGTCCCTTGCCCTTCGAAAGAAGCCTGAAAACTTTCTGAGCTGAGCTCACCACAGCCGGACCTTGCCTTATTATGCCTACCGATTATGCTATTATGCTGCTGTACGGATGCAATAATAGTGATATCGTATCCCAGTTGTGAACGTGAGCTGATAGCATGAGAGAGCTTGAGCAGTTTGCAGGTCCGCTAGTTGCTGTCATATGCAGAATGATGTTGAAAGAGCAAAGGGATATTAAACTCGCCCGTTAATGAACACTGAAAGATTCTGAAAGAAGAAAGTGTGCCCTATCTAAATCTACCTACGATATTCGTAACAAGGGAGTAACAAGTATGTGTTCTAGGGATAAGGACAGGCCTATTGAGGCGGGGCAACTGACAAACACTATCACTAGACATTAATAACTACGATTGAGATTCGACATCGAGACATGGTGAATAGGCACTCGGGTTTCGAAGGAATTGCGCCGTAAGCCGTTCATATTACCCGCATTCTGCGGTTGAGGAAGGCCGAGGGGTGCATAGCGCTGGCCACTTACTAGCGTAGCCTCGCTTGAGGCATCGCTGAGTGAATTTCTCTTCGCATCGTTGTCGGTACTGAAGCTATAGAAACTCGTCTGTGACGGCTGGCGTGCTAACATGGCAAGAGCATCGGTGGATGACGAAGTGGGGAGAGTGTAGTTGCGGAAATTCGAATACGTAGCGCTTGGCGTAGGTGCAACCATCGATTCGAAGAGCGGTGCGGCGCTGAAACTGATTTGTTGTTGCGGAGTACTTGTAGCGGAAGAAGTCTCGTTGTGAACAGAAGTTGTGACAGGCACATAACCCATCGCACCTTCCGCTGCGCTTGCCGAAGATGTGTAGTCTTTTGGCGGACTTAACTGCTCACTGAGCTCAGTAGATGTCGTCTCCCCGGAGGCGGCACCTTGAACATCAGATCTGGCTCCATCCACATTCCATACCATTGATGCTTTTGGTGTGTACGCTCCGGTGGCGCTATGTGAAGATCCATTTACTACTGGCGCCGGCCTCAGCCTTTGGTCCTGTAACTGGTCCACTGCATTCCTCGAAGTTGATGCTGGATTTGGTTGGGGCATTGGCAATTGTCGTTGTGGGGCAGCAGACTCCGAAATCTGTACCTGTCGAGGGTGTGGTCTCTCTGGAAGAGTAATCGGAAGCGTAGACTGCAGGGAGGTCATGCTAAGGGGCGATAGGGATTCAGTCTTCACTGTAGCCCGTATGTTGGAAGCTGACGGATAGGGGAGACAAGCTGGTGTGTATGAGGAATGCACAGAAGCCTCCTGTTCCAGATAGGGATTGGACCCACTATACAGTACCTTCTGATTGGCATGATTCCATCGGTAGCTGTCCCCATAGAGATTAGGTACAGTATTTTGATTTGGCAGATATGCATTTGAAGAGTCCAAGCCGTACGCTTCCACCGGGGATGTCTCTTCAGGGTATGGTATAGTCCAGGCCTGTGGAAACACAGATTTTGTGTTGATATGAGGGTAGTGACCGGCGGGTAAAGCCCGTGGGTAAATAGCACTTGAAACAGCGTTGTAGATGGGAATCATATTATTTGAATTCGCCATACTAGCAAGGCCTTGTGCCACATTCAGATTGGTGATGACATCCGCTGCATTTTGCGATCCTACCTGAAGCCAAAATTAGCAAATATGAGCACGAACGGCGGATGCATACTCACTCGATGGAATTGGCATTGATTAAGATCAATACCAGACGATCTGCAATTTTGGCACCCAGTGCCATTTCCGGGGTCGCCGCTGCACCGAATCTTCCGTTTCCTACAGCGAGCGCACTAGAGTGATGGTCAGTTAGATTCCGTTGCCGGCTAGGACACGATAACGAGGCCCGATTTGCGAACCTGAAAGAGCCATGAGACGAGGAGAAATGTCTACTCACCGCTACAGCGATTCGGCGCCTCGTCTGGCCTGACTCGGTTGTTCCTTCGTCAAGGCCCATGTTTCCACGGCTTCGCTGTCCACCGATAGGACCTCCCAAGCCCCGGGGATCTACCCTTGACGCGTGAGACATAGCGAGCGGTGCATTGCGTGCGTGAAGGTAGTAGTGTGTTGAAGGCTGAATGGTATGAATGCCGAGCGAGGGACCGTGGGAATAACGGTGAGGTTCGTATTCCATGATACGTTGTATCTGTGTACAGTCTTAGATATTCATTCTCGTAAGAAAGTAAAGACAAGGAGGGACGCACTACGGGCTGCAGGTACAATGCGCAGAAAGTGTGCCGAGCCAGGAAGAAGGGAAAAGAAAAGCTCCGATTCGACGCTTGAAAGTGATTGACTTCAGGGATAGGATTTTTGTCGGCCAGTGGCTGGCAGGCTTCCCAGCAAGATACTTCTTGGGAAGGATATTGTGGTAAGGAGACAGGATCGATAAATCATCGATTTGGGGCTGCAAGGTTTATAGCCGAGAAGAGATGCGAAGATTGGCATTCACGCCCACGCTCAATGGAATCCTGTTTGTCAAGAAAAAACGTGGCGGCGGCTGTATTGAGGGCTAGAAAGCGATAGCTTAATTTGAACGGGGCAGCTCCTAAGTCTCCTAATGAGGTTTCTTTGGAGGTGGTTTTCTTTTCACACGCACACACTTCACCTATTTCGTGCATGGCCCAAGAAGGTAGAGGGACGCAACGCAACTGCGGGATCCCGGCGCCACAAGCAAGTCTTTAGCAAGTCAAACAATGTGACTAGGATGCCTAGATGCACTGGTGCTACATGACACAGGATGAGAGAAGATTGGTGATGCTGCCCTTCCAAAGATGGGGCGAATACGGCCGGAGTGCCAGGGCTGGATGATGCTCAAACTTAGGAGCAGCTAGATCAGTAAATGCATAGATGACAGCTCGCTTTTCTGGATGGCTGTGTCTAGGAATAAGTGAGGCTCAGAACAGAGCCGGAGAAAGCGCAAACGGAATGATGGAGGAAACATTCGTCGACAGCGAACTTCCCCTCAATTCACGACCCCAAGGTAACTGTTAGTTCTGCCTGTTTGCTTGGCCAGTGCCACCAGCGGGGAAGCGGGAGGCGGAATCGCACGCCATAAGTATGCATACTCTTCTGTAAGTCAATTTGACATTCCGGTTATGAAGGGGTGCCAGAGTACAGAGGGCTGAGGAAAAGCGGTGATGCGCCGAAGAGAATCAACGCCTTAATATTTTACTGGGAGGTGGTCTGTTAATTAGATATAGAGATTCGCTGAAGAATGAGTCTGCAGCGGTTTGATGATGGGCTGCTGAGAGGACATTTGTCAAGGGACGGCCACCTCGTGAGACTCAGCGCTTGTTTGGGAAGTACTGGAACAGACGTCAGCTTGAGCAGTTCCAGAAGGGTGAAACACCTGCCTGCACGCCATGACCGCTCACCTGGGCTGGGGCTTTGGCCGGGCAGCCTGGGGCTGGAACCACAATACGCAATTGCATCCCAGCAGGGACGTACTGCACAAAGTCTTTGCTGCGTCCGCTTGAGTGGGGGTGGAGATGCGAAGAGGACTGGTTGATCAAAGCCCTGCATTGCGTCCCGACGTGCATGGCCGCTTCTGCACCCCCTAGCATCAAGGATCATAAGTAACGGGCCAATATACGGGGAAAGGGGAACATCAGTCTTCCGACGGCACCCAAACTTGATCAGGATCGCAAAGATCTCATCAAAACTGCCAGATGGTGGGGCTTCATCCTTTCCTGTCAGAAGACAGGGTATCAGACGTCACCTGCACCCCAAATCTCTAGGAGAGATTGCGTGGGGAACGAGACAGCATCTGTGCCGATGAGAACAAACAATGCAGTGCGTCACTCGGGAGCGGACCCATCCAGTCGTTGGCTTGAGGGGTCGCTACTGTGTGTAACACTGCCAACCTGACTGTGGAGGGAGCTACCATCTTTTCCTACAGCCTACAGATTCTGAGGTGCAGACGTGTGCATGAAGGGAATCCGCGTTGACGACATCCACCAATCGCGGCCTAAACGCCAAGAGTCGAGGACCACAACGTAGCAAACTTTTCGGTTCTGGCCCCTTAACGAAGATGTTTCACTGGTTCCATGCCTGTCAATTTTGCAGTATATACGAAAGACGGCATTCCTGGTTTCCCCGAGCAACGTTTTTGCGCTCGTTAGCTAGCGATTTTTCCACAGGAAGGTGGCTATAGCCTGGTAGCAGACCGCGTAGGGCCATGATGACGAGTGGAATTGGTCGGGGAAATAGCCGGGAAAGGAGAACACGGGCAGAGGAGGGTTGGAGAGAGGATTTCGGTTGTCATGGAGCGAGCCAAATCGCGCCAGAGGCCCGCATGCAGAACAGTGGAACCATGCAGGCGGGACTGCCATTGTTGACGTATGATGCAGTGTGAGGTCTCAGAGCGACAGCTCAGGTAGTCGGGCTGAAGTCAGAGGTTCAATCCAGGATGTATAGATGATCCATAGCTTCTGGTATATATCAGACGTGTCGAGCGCATAATTGACTAGAGTGAGGAGCGAGGACCCAGGAGGCGTTCCAAAAATGGAAAGAGGTCGTGAAGCAGCGCCCCAAGGCTGAGACCCGAAGCAGGTGGAAGGTCTAGTGAACTGCCACCAAAGCCATTTCTCCGATCTGCGAAGTAACTGCAAAGGTGGGCATTTTTCAGGGTTCGGGGCACGGATCGTCCTGGCCTGTTCCGTTGTGTGCATGCTGGATTCAGCACCTTCCCGTCGTGCAGTGAGGAGACCAGACCGCGACGACAGCTAGGTCACCGCCAATGGCCCGCCCGTCTGACAACAAATCCCCTGCCATGCCGCATGCTTTGAATGGATGTTGTTGTTGGAGATGGGTCTTTTTGTGAGCGAGCGAGTGTAGACTGCTTGCAAGGCCGACAGGCGCGTTCCTGAGTTTGCAGGATACAGAGACGCTGGAGAACGTTCCCTCGGAACATTGACATAGGGGACGGCGCTTTTGCAAGACCTTGAACAAGCCGTGAAGAGTGGTACGTACCTGAACGTAGCACGAAGCGTGTGGCTTGGGGCTAGTATCGGAAAATGGTTTCGCCGACATGGTCCAAGCTCAGACTCTCGAAGCTCTCACAACTTTCAACAAACACCAAACGGCACGCTGACACGCAAAACACAACGCACGCCCCGACTATGTCTGTGCTCCTTGAGACGTCAGTGGGCGACATCACTATCGACCTGCTGGTCGATGAGGCGCCAAAGTGCTGCGAGAAGTAAGCGAGCCCCCCATTTCTTGCCCCGTATCTCGTTCACTTGTTCACCCTCCGGCGCATGGCCATGCGTATTCCCGCTGTCTCTCGACAAAGCTGAGCACAAAGCAGACTGACACCCTGGCATCACCCACAGCTTCCTCAAGCTATGCAAGATCAAGTACTACAACTTCTCGCCCTTCCATAGCATCCAGCCAAATCGCTCCTTCCAGACTGGTGACCCTATCGGTCCAGGCTCCAAGGATAGCGATGGCGGTTCCTCCATTTGGGGCGTGCTTTCCAAGCAAACTGCGAAGAAAACATTCCGGCCTGAGTTTCGCCCCAAACTGAAGCATGCAGACATGGGCACCGTCAGCATGGCCACTGCGCCGTCTCCTGATGATCCAGACAACCGTTTGGCAGGGAGCCAGTTCCTCGTGACACTCGCGCAAAATGTAGAGTATCTTAATGGCAAAGCTGCGGTATTTGGTTTGGTTGTCGAAGGGTTCGATGTGTTGGAGAAGATCAACACTGCATTCATCGACGATGATGGACGTCCACTCAAGGACATTCGCATCCTACACACGGTTGTACTCGATGATCCTTATGACGACCCTGAAGGCCTCACAGAGCCGCCAAGCAGCCCGGTGCCTTCACAAGCTCAACTTGCCACTGTGCGCATCGGCTACGATGAGAGCCTTGAAGAGGAGAATGACCCAGAGGCACTTGAGCGCATTCGCCGCGAGCGGGAAGCACGCGCGCAGGCTCTCACACTTGAGATGGTGGGCGATCTACCGTTTGCCGAAGTCGCACCACCAGAGAACGTGCTTTTCGTCTGCAAACTTAATCCCGTGACACAAGACGAGGACCTTGAACTCATCTTCTCACGTTTCGGCAAGATCATGAGCTGCGAAGTCATTCGGGACAAACGCACCGGGGATAGCCTCCAGTATGCCTTCATCGAGTTTCAGAACCAGAAGGACTGCGAACAGGCATACCTCAAGATGGAAGGAGTGCTGATTGACGACCACCGCATTCATGTCGACTTCTCGCAGAGTGTCTCAAGGCTCGCCGACACATGGCGCGATGCCACCAACTCAAAGCGCAAGCGCGGCGGCTTCGGCGGTATCGAGAACCTCGAAAGGAGGCGACAATACCGCGGCGAAGCCGGTCGGGAGCGCGACCGCGACGGATATGGCTTCATCCAGGACCCTGAAGCCGCCAAGAAGCGAGAGTTGGAGAGCAAGAAATTCGAAGACAATTTTGGAAACGGTTCCAAAAAGCCCGTGCCTTCTGGGAGCGAGGACCGACGCAGGCCGCGTGAGCGAAGGGAGAGGGAGACGTCCTACCACGATGACCGTTGGCGACGAGACCGTAGTCAGAGCCCGAGACGGGAGAGACGGGATCGTCATAGCGATGGACGGTACGAACAGCCTCGTAGGGAGCGTAACCGGAGCAGGGATCGGTATCGAGATGACTGTAACCGACGAGATACGAGTCGAGATCGATATCGTCAGGAGCATCGGGGATCAGATCGTAGACGTCGAGATTGATGATCTGAAGGCCATCTTTCACCCTCACATTTTCTATCCCTCCACGTGTACTCGAATTGGACTCCGGATAGGTCATCTCGGCGTCGGGGTTCCCTCCTTCTTTTGGTCATTCCGTGCAATAAGAGGGATTAATATCGGACTGATTCCACTTGTACCAATACTCACTTCTGAATCAGGGGAAAGGGAGTCAGGATAGCCAGGCGTTCCCTACCGCCTTGGAAGGGCCACCTTCGACGACAATACCTCAATGACGCCCGCGGTTACACGAATACCAATTTTCTCTCATCCCACGTGTTTCATCCCTTACTTCCTACGCCTTCCCTGCCCAACCGCTTAAGATCAACTTTAGTGAAAACCTTAATCGCACTTGAACTTTAACCGCTTAAACTCTTCTTTCGTCCCGTCTTGAGCCAGTTAACCAGTCAACACATCTCATCCCATGAATCTTCAAGAGGTATTCATTCAATCTCTATCTCTCGTGCAAGACGTAATATACAAAAAAGCTTAAATACGTTCGCACATAATCCGTATCCAGTTTCGCATATCAAGGCCAGCCAATCGGCTAGCTCCAGGTCTAGTGCAGCCAATTCTGCGAAATCCCCGAATTTTGACCAAAGTACCTCAGTTCTGGAGGGGCCCGCAATTCCTTTATGCTCTCCTTCTGATCCGTTCCTCAATCTGATTATGACATATAGTCCTCCCTTAGGGACTCTAACGCCAAGAAATGCAAGAAGCTGTCAGCCAATTGAAGAGAGAAAGAAACGGATGATAAGAGAGAGCACTGCAGCGCAAAGCCAAAGTAAAAGCACTGGCAGAGTCAAAAGGAACGAATCTCATCACCCATCATCAAGAGTCTCGCTCTCCTCACGAGACAAGCTAGCTTCCCCTCTCGCCTCCGAAGATGTCGACCAGGACTCTGTGTGTCAGATGTAAGGCCAACTCCGTCGGAAGTCTCTATTTGCAAGGCTTCCTTCTAAGCAAACCCCATGTGTAGCACGTCGCATACGAATGCTTGTAGAGGGAGCCTCATTGAAGTTAGGCCTGTAATGTATAGATCCCGACTGCCAGAGAAAAGAGGGATATTAGTGGAAGATTTAGAAAAGAGGCTGCTTTGGGTGGAAACCATTAAGATTTGGGAGGTGTATGGTTGGTTCTTTTGGTTTTAGGGATATATGTGGTAAGATACCTCAAACATTGCTTTTCTTTTTCCTTTTCTTTAGAGCATTGTTGGCGAGGAGTCTGCTAAAGGGAGTTGGGGTTGTGGTTTTAATCTCTCACGCTATTGTCACTGATTAGCTAGGGTCGAAAGGTGGACGAAGCAACGATCTTACCTAATCCCAGTCCTTGTAGTGAACATACGCGACGCAATATTCATACTCATCAGCTCTTGGAAAAGCAGCTTGGCGGCGTACGGGATCTGTATTTGAGAGATTTTGGTCTTGTTGTGACACGGCCTGCACTCGTACTGGCCCTTCCGGATTTGCCTGCTCTTAAATTAGTACTGTATCTGAAGTCTGCAGTGGGAGTGTTAGATCACTTACGCAATCGGACTCATCAACCCGCAAATATCGCACACATGTACCGTATACGCATCACTGACTTCGAATAGCCTCTCCTTGAGGAAAGCAGCCGCACCGTGCGCAATCATACAATCGCGCTCCATCTCTCCGAAACGCAGACCACCATCTCTTGCCCTACCCTCAACCGGCTGTCTTGTCAGAATCTGTAACGGGCCTCGTGCACGGGCGTGAATCTTGTCATCCACCATATGCCTAAGGCGCTGATAATATGTTGGTCCTAGGAAGATTTGTGCGCGGAGTTTCTTGCCAGTGTGCCCGTTGTACATAACCTCAAAGCCACGGGATTGGTAGCCGTGTTCGCGGAGGAGCTTGGAGACACCCTCGACAGTGACGTCGGTGAATGGGGTTGCATCACCTTCGCAGCCGCGAAGGGACCCGACTTTGGAGAGTAAGCACTCGACTAAATGAGCAATAGTCATACGGGATGGAATGGCGTGCGGGTTAATGATAAGATCGGGTGTTAGACCTTCACGGGTGAAAGGCATGTCTTCTTGCTTGTATGTGATACCGATAGTACCTTTCTGGCCGTGACGAGAGGCGAATTTGTCGCCGATTTGGGGGACCTTCGTCGTTCGAGTGCGGACTTTGACAAAGCGGAGACCTTCTGTGTTCGTTGTGAAAAGGACTTGATCGACGATACCATTCTCAGTACTCCTGAGCGGAGTTGAGACATCACGCTTTGTATGCATTGCGGTCTTCTGACCGAGTTCCTTTGCGTCTGTTGGGATGGGAGCCGTCTTTCCGATGATTATATCGTCCCCAGACACACGGACACCGGGAGCAACGACACCATCATCGTCGAGCTTGTCGTAGGTACCGCCCTTCAGCCTCAGCGTGTCAGCCCGTGTCGGTTTCTCGAACTGTTCCAAAACATTGACTCCGATCCGTTTCTCTTGTTCCGTGTACGCGCGGTAGAATAAACTCCTGAAGAGACCTCGATCAATGCTGCTTTGATTCATGATGACGGAATCTTCCTGATTGTACCCAGAGTAACAAGCAATAGCCACGATAGCATTTTGCCCGGCAGGAAGCTCACGGAATTTGAGATATTCCATAGATCGAGTAGTAGCCAGCGGCTTCTGAGGGTAGTATAGGACGTTCATCATGGTTTCCATTCGGAGAGCGTAATTGGTAAGCGCAACGCCCATGGCTTGTTTACCCATAGCAGATTGGTATGTATTACGAGGAGACTGATTATGATCGGGGAAGGGGATGATGCTAGCGCAGATACCAAGGATCATACTGGGATGAATCTCGCAATGCGTATAAGTCTTCACTGAAGGATTGGGCTTAGGCTTGATACGCTTGTGGTGATCGGTCGTGGTGTCTTCAGACGTAGGGTTACCAGACATGAGGTTCTGGTGGTCTTCCAGATCTTCGGGGGTCATAATGATCATGGCAGATTCTTCCTCTTCGGCGTCAAGGTATTCGACGACACCATCGTGGATGAGACCTCTCCAGCCGTACTTCATTTGTGCGGCCTCCTCATCGCTGTACCCGGAAGTGTCGATTTCTTTGTCCTTGAGAAGCTTCTGAATTTTCGCCTTGTCTAGTATTAGACTTCCACGATTAGGTTTCTTATAGTCTGTCTCAACGACAAACAACGGCCGCATGACTCGGCCGGCATCTGTGAAGATCTTGAATTCTCGATCTCGGATATCGCGAATGAGACTCATCTCGTAGGACAATGTTCCATTCCGGCGGAGCTCCTGCACGACCGAGACGAGCTGTGATGGCTGCGAGTGCACACCAACCCAGACACCGTTGACGAACACTTTAGTAGCGGCGGGGTTCTGGACAGGATCGTACTCTTCCAGTAGTTCCATGTTCCGCTGGCTCATGAAATCTGTGATGGGTGTGCTCTCGCTACCAACACTTACGTAGCACATCAGCGAGAGATTCTTGACTAAGCCACAAGCCTGTCCTTCTGGAGTTTCGGCAGGACACACCAAGCCCCAATGAGTGTTGTGCAGCTGGCGCGGTTTGGCAAGCTTGCCATCACGACCGACAGGAGTGTTGGTTCGACGAAGATGCGACAATGTCGACGCGTACGTATACCGATTCAACACCTGCGAGACACCAGCCTTAGCCGAAGCAGCCTTCTTCTGATCACCCCAGTTTCCAGTCGCGAGCGAGTACTTGAGACCATTGGTTATGACGCTAGCCTTTACCGCCATCTGGACGTTGAAGTCCTGGTTGTTCTCCACGCACTTCTGGAGGTATTTGTAGACGTCTTTAGTAAGCTTGAGGAATAGAACTCGGAACAAGTTCGCGATTAAAGGCCCAGCGAGATCCAAACGCTTCTTGCCGAAATGATCACGGTCATCTTCGTCTCGGCGGCCGAGCACGCACTGTAGGAGACGGTGGATCATGTAGCCAAAGAAGAAAGCCTTCCTGGTGTCTTGCCCCTCCTTTTGAGAAATGTGTGGCAGGAACTCACGCTGCATAATATCTCTTGCAAACTTGAGACGCCTGTCTTTTGTCCCTGTCGTGTTACCTCGTTTGGCAATCCAGTCCAACGCGTTTTCACGATCTTGGATCATGGCACCCTCTTCAATACTCGGCTTCAGTAGTTCGAGCATCTGAGTATCGTTCCTATCGTACACAATGTGGTTCAGAATATCCTCATCAGAGACGATGCCAAGGGCGCGGAAGACAACCGACATAGGGACATCTGCCTTGATATATGGAAGCATGGCGTAAGCGAAGGGACCAGGTGTGCGCTTCAAGACAAGCGAGTTTTCGGCCCACTTGATGTTGAAGGAGGAGATAAGACGAGTTCCTTTCTCGACAGCACTACGAATTTCGGCGGTCCATGGAATGGGTCCCTGTTTCTTTCGGAACACCTGCACGATATTGGCAGCGCTTCGCTCCTGGGCGATCAGGACTTTCTCGCTACCGTTGATGACAAAGTATCCGCCCTGGTCATAAGGGCACTCGTTAAGGCCAAAGAGCGCCTCGTCGGTCTGAGAGCGCAGATGACAGAGCTCAGACCGGAGCATAACCGGGAGTTTTCCAATAAAAACCCTAGCCTCTTCACCGGGCTGGAGAATTTGGGGCTCATCTTCACGTGTCCACTCGATACGCGTAGCTCCCCCGGTATTGCCTTCCATATCCACATCTCCCTCGGCGCTGACAGGCGCTTCTCGGGCGACCATTATCCGATTGTCGATGTCAGCCATCATGGCGCCGGAGTATGTGAGATTGCGCAGTCGCGCCTCGTGAGGAAATAGCTGTTGTGTGGTTCCGTCGCCTTCGGTGTGGGTGGGCCGAGCCAGATAGACTCGACCGAAGGTAATCTCATAGCGCCTCTTGACGATTGGATTCTCTTCCTCTTCTGGGTTGTAGGGCGTATTCTGCTCGAGAATTACGTGCCCATTCTCTCTAACAATATCCTGGATAGTATTCCGCGTGAACTCATCGTAAGAGTCGAGCTGCTGTGAGACAAGACCTTTGGTGTCGAAAAACGAGGTGATGACTGCCCAGCAATCCTCCGCCGTAATCAAACTATCGTCCTCTTCATAGTATTCGTCATCGTAGTCATCGTAGTCGGCCATGTTTGGAGGGATCTCTACGAAGACGAGTTAAGTCGATGTGAAAGAGGTGGCGGATGGCGACGGGGGAGGAGGAGAGGGAGCGCAACACAGCGCGGAGTCCTGTTGATCAAAGAAAGTTCAGCTTTCAGTGAGAGACAATGGACTTTAGTGAGGAGAGGGCCAGCATAGATGGGTCACTGGTAAAGGTAGATGCGAAAAAGGTTTGGCAGAGAAGAGGGGAGCTACGATGGCTACCGGCAGCTCGTTGCGAACTTTCCAATCAAAGGAATCACGCCAAGACTACGGAGTATAGTTTATCCAGACCGCGCTTAGTCCTTATCATATCTCTTGCCCTTAACCCCACACCACCATGAAATGATTTCAACGGCTACCGTCTGCCACCACGATCCCTTTGAAGGCCATTTGCTGACTGGACACCGCGCCATTGTTCAATACCTTTGCATCGGTGTCATCAGGACCATGGAGCGCCTGCTAGGGTTGACCTAGAAAATCGCAGGGCCTCACCATCTCATCACGTTTGTACTATCAACGGACTTGAAGTGCGAAGTCTACAAGACTAATTCAACCTACTCAGCATTCCATTGTTGATGTAATCGCAGTATACTGATGGATTGCCATTTTTGAAGTTCATGGATTGCTTATTCAACCCAGCCGCCACCGCCAGCTCGTCTGGCGTTATGTTCATAATATCAGCCTCTCCGATCTTGGAAGAGATTGCGTGAAGAAGTAAAGATCCAAGCAACAGATGGCGACAAAGTTTGAACAGCCTCCCTCCAAATAAAGTTCGAGGCCGGTCCGTGACAGCTAGTCACTATGAGGTTTGCTACTAATTTAGAAGCGCAGTATCTTTAGCTTACGATCGCATAGCATACTGCATGCTTAACTACCCGCTGAATCAAGTTTGTTCTTCAAAGTTTCCGGACTTGACCAAGTAGAACCTGGTGGAAGTCGCTCACCTATCCAAATGTTGCTCTGGTTTAAAACTGAAACGAGCCCTACAGAATCGAACCTGGTTTCAAGACGCCGTTCTCGCGGGTATTGCACATATCCTTGAACCTTGACGGCTGCATGGTCCTCTATCCCAGAGAGACTACTATGAAGGCGGACATCGAGGAGGGCTGGTCGGATTGTCGGAGCGGACATACCAAGCCAATGTATGGGGAATGCCCGCCCTATTTTACCTCGATTTAGGATTAGATCGGTTGGTTTATTCAAGAAGACTAAATGAAGAAGATCTATAAACGATGAGGAATCACAAGGTTTGAGCCAAGGCCGCTTCGGCGAAGATTCAAACTCCCGAGTCTCAGCATCACTGTCCGTTTAATTAGAGACTCTAGCGGCAATGCCAGCGTGATTTGGCATCTTGGAAAACAAACCCCGCGCCGTGGGTTAGAGCCACAGCTAGCATGGACGGAGGGAAGTAGCGACTGATTTACACCCTCTTCGGTTTGAGGGGCATTGAGAGTTGCAATATGAGTCTAATCGAGCTTTCGCCAGGTGGTCCAGCCAGAGTTTGAGTTGTCTCCCGCCCCTGTCACCCTTGGAAACCCGGATTTAGAGGTCCATGTCTCTTCCATTGTGTTGTTGGTTACTTTGACTCAGAAACGCCTGGCACTATACCATAGACGACACACCGGGGAATGTCTGTGGAGGAAGCCATGGTACACCGGGCATATCATGTCTAATCTATTCAAGCGGGTTTCACCCTCGGTATTTTTCTACAATCAAATCTTGCTTTGACCATCCTGAGGCACTTTCACAACCACCTTTCCCCAACTGTCTCTTCCGCCTAATGCTTTGAGTGCAGCTGGTACACTTTCTAGTCCAACGTATTCCTGATCGGTAAAGCAGGTCCCTCTATACTTCCCGGCGCTCATCAATTCAAAGATACCATCCCAGACTTTATCCACCATGCCGGGTTCCATGGTAGCATACATGCCCCAGTGCAGTCCAACAACACTCACATTTTTTAGTAAGATCCTGTTGGTTGCCATTTTCTCAATGTCGCCAGCAGCGAAACCAATCACTAGCAGTCTTCCATTCCAAGCTGTGCACTTCATTGACTGGGCGATGAGTCCAACAGGATCATACACGATATCCACGCCACGTCCCTTTGGAGTCAGCTTCTTGACTTGCTCGGGCCAGTCGCTTTGCCGGTAGTCGATTGCGAAGTCTGCACCAAAGGAGCGGGCCACATCCATCTTGTGTTGGTTCCCTGCCGTCGCAATTACCGTGGCTCCATACGCTTTCGCGATTTGGACGGCTGCAAGACCAACACCGCCGGCTGCTGCGTGAACGAGGACCCAATCGCCTGTACAAACGGATTAGCTCTTTGCTTACCAGCCCTCTAAACTTCATATTGTCCACGACATGATTGCGACAAAAGCTCACCCTTCTTTATCCCCGCCCTCACAACCAGCCCCGCATAACTTGTGGGCCCGGTAACAAACAAGCCGGCCGCATCAAAAAAACTCCACCCCTCAGGCATCGGCCGTAGCCTCTCCTCCGTACACGCGATCTTAGTCGCATATCCGCCCTGACTTGCGCCAAACACCTTATCCCCTGCTTTGTACCTCGGCACCCGGCCGCCAGGCAGAGCTGTTGGGGCTCTAAGCACGACGCCGGAGAATTCAGAGCCAGCGACCCAAGGGAATGCCGGCTGGTGCTGGTATTTGCCCCGGATTTGGAGCAGGTCGAAGAAGTTGGTTGCGGAGGCGTGGATGGTGATGAGGTATTCGGAGGGATTTGGGACGGGGTCAGGCAGGGAGATTACTTTGAGGTCTTCGGGGCCCTGGAGGAGAGTGTTAGATGGGGGAGGGCGGATGAGGATGGGAGACGTGCTTTGACGTATTCTTTGATTTGTATTGCCTTCATCTTAGTGGATATCTGAACTAGAGGGGGAAGGTGAAGGGGAGGTCTAAATGAGAGTGAAAATGAGAATGTGAGAGCAGGTCAGCCCGGATTGATAAAAGGTAGAGCGAGATATCGACGCGAAATGAAGTTGATTTTCATGACGGCTCAGAATCCGTAGGATTGAAGTTGCTCACTGCCGCAAGATACCTCGGCCTGAGCTACAGTTCCCCACTCAGAGCGCCACAGGAGTTCCAGTCGTGCACCAGCCACATGCACCGCCTCGGACAGCGGGTAACGAGCTAATGACGAAAGGCATGGGCTTCTGTGACCTTCCGTAGACGTCGCTAACAGAGACAAGCGCCGAGACAGCAACGACAGCAACGACGGCTGCCACTCCCAGGCCAAACCTCCCTCCACACCACGCACACACCCCCAGCACGGTCGCCTGCCCTGCCTTTCTCCTCAACAATCACACCCACGCTATACTGTGTACTTTGGCGAGTCCCGATCAACCGTCCGCATCCCTCACAGTCGCCGCCTGTCCCACGGACGAAGATCCGCACATACCTACACTCAACCACCCACCATGGCCGACGACGCCACGGCCGCAGAGGAGTCCCAGATCACGTTCAACGTGAAATCCGCCAATGACCAGAAGTTTGTCATCACTCTCACCGCAACATCCACAGTCCTCGACCTCAAATCGAAGCTTGCGACTTCCGAATACGCAGACATCCCCAGCGACCGCCAGCGCCTGATATACAGCGGCCGCGTGCTAAAAGACCCGGACACGCTTGCCAGCTACAAGATCAAGGACGGGCACACTGTGCATCTAGTAAAGGGCGCTGCTAGCAATGCAAGGCAGAATCCTGCGAATCAGGGTGCGGCGAGCTCGACTGGAGCTACGGCCGGCGCGAGTACCCCACAGGTGCCGACGAATCTGGCAACAGGGACCGGGAACAATCCACTTGCTGGGCTGACGGGTGCGAGGTATGCTGGGTTTCATGGGCTGCCTGGCGCCGACATGTTTGGGCCAGACGGAGGCGTAAGTTGTGATTGAATATTGAAACTTGGGTGAGCGTAATCGTTAACAAGATGCAGATGGGCCCGCCGCCTGACTCAGAGCAGCTGCTGCAGATGATGGAGAATCCCATGTTTCTGTCGCAGATGAACGAGGCCATGAACAACCCCGCCGTCATTGAGATGATGACGCAAAATCCGATGGTAAGTCAACTTCTCCCCTTTCCTTCGGCCACTACATAGGCCTCTGACGCGCTGTATATAGATTCGCAACAATCCCATGCTAGCAGAAATGATCCGCAACCCCGACATGCGCCGCATGATGTTCAACCCAGAAATGATGCGCATGCAGTTACAAATGCAGCGGGCAATGAACAGCCAGGGCTCACGCTTTACCGCACCTGGAGTTACAGATACTACGCCTCAGCCTAACTCAACAGCAGCAGGGGATGGCACAGCCACAACACCAAACCAGACAAACACCACAGGCCCTACAACCCCCCAGGATCCCTTCGCAGCCCTGCTCGCAGGAGCAGGAGCAGGAGCAGGAGCAGGAGCAGGCAGCATGGGCGCCAACCCCTTCACCTCCCTATTCGGACCCGGCGCCGCCAATCCCTTCTCTCCACAGAACCAACCCACCTCGCCCCGCTCATCCAGCACAGACGCAAATCCCCCAACTACAGGCTCAACAGACAACACACAAGGCTCGCAAAACCCCGCCTCACCGCCACCAAACCCCTTCGCCAGCATGTTCGGCCCACCAGCCACAGGTGCAGCAGGGGGCGCACAAGGCGCCAACCCGCTTGCTGAAATGACTCGCAACCTAATGCAAAATCCTGAAGCTATGCGGTCTGCGATGCAATTCATGAATTCCATGAATCCTAGTGGCCAAATCGGAACCTCACCTTCCCCGTTTGGCGCATTCCCGCTCCCTACAAATCCCGCAGGAGCACAGGCTGTCACAGGATCACCTCCTCCGAATCCCTTCGCTGCGCTGTTTGGTCCCGGTGGGGGGTTTGGAGCACCGGGGGGAGGGTTTGGCACGCCACCGCCGCAAGATAATAGACCGCCTGAGGAGGTGTATGAGCAGCAGTTGAGGCAGTTGAATGAGATGGGTTTTTTTGAGTTTGAGAGAAATGTCCAAGCGTTAAGGAGGAGCGGGGGGAATGTACAGGGGGCTATCGAGTATTTGCTTAGTGGAGATTCATAGGATTAGGGTGAGAAGAGAGGGTGATAGTGAAGGGGTTGCAGGGCGATGACATTCTGGGGGTATTAGTTAGGGTCACTATGCAGAAGAGATGAGGAGAAGTGAGGAGAGGAGAGTAAGCATTCTGAGTGCGTCAAGTCCTTAGAAGTGGTTTATGGAGTGAGGGATTGGTGGAACCTCTCCTCTTCTTAGCACTGGACTAGAATGGCCTTGGTATGGATTTATAACTCGGCTGCCTGTGGGCAGGAAATATTATATCCTGGACTACTTTAACTTTTTTTTTCTCCTTCCGTTTTTGCTATAGATGATTATTAAATGGGTTCTCGAGGTCATAGTGATGGTCGACGTATCGTGGGTAGGTCGGTGGTCCATGAAGGAAATGGCGGTGGTAGTTGGGTTGGGCGGGTGGTATGGGCCTTGTTCTCGTACTATGGCGGTCCGGGCCGAAGCTCCGTTACGAGAGGAAAGAGGCTGAAGAGTGTGATGTCAGGCTTGTTAGGCTGTTTGCTGGACGCTGATCCTGCCCAATTAGGGGATTTGGGCATCGTTCACCCGATTTCGGCCTTAGGAAAAGCAGAGGACTTGTTGGCGCTAGAGATTGCAGTGTAGATTGGGCAAAAGTCCTAAAGGGGTCGCTTAGACGCTGACCTGCAGGGAGGAGGTGCATCTGTCAAAGCTTAATTGTCGTGTGCGAAATTTGCTGGATTCTTGGCAATGCCAAGTAACCACTTTTCCCTCACAAATCTTATAAAGATTCAGGTAACTGTACACATCGCTCTATACACTCTACTAAATAGGAGAAGGACGTTGTATAGTAAGTAAGGCTTTTTAATAGACCCTATTTGTAACGATTCTCGTGAATCGTTCCATCTCGGGTCGCCCAGAACCTATCCAAAGGGTCCCTGTGTGACGGCGCGTACCGCGTCACATGCTCTGCGGCCTCAGCTCCCTCGCTTGCGCGACCAGTAGCGCCTTGGCAGGGAGCACACATGTATATTTAAACTCGCAGAGCAGCTCCTCTGCTCCTTAGTTTAATCTAGTTGGGTTACACCACCTCTTGCTTGTAGCTTGAGCATGCCGATCGTGACACCCTGTATTAGCTCTGACCCTGACTTAATTCTTATAAATTGTTCTATCTTAGGTTGCCTAGAACCTCTCTAAAGAGTCCCTATATTAGCTCTAACCTGTAACGGCACAGGCGAGACAATGGGTCTGAATGCGGTGGGAATCCACTCAGAGGCATATGGGAGTGCGTGGGGACTCGGAACCTGGGAATGCCATTAACACCTATAGGCCTTGTACAAAAGGATATCAGAAAACTACTGAGCTAGCTACAGGGGCGAGGTGCAACTAAATACATAAAGGAATAGGGGTACAGCAGGGGGCAGGGTATATATTGTTACAATCCTTGCTTTGTGGAAGCACGCGGGTCAATGTTGTTCCTGGCGGGCATGACAGAGGGTAGTGTAACGGCGCAGGCAAGACAATGGGTCCAAATGCGGAGGGAGTCCACTCAGAGGCATATGGGAGTGCGTGGGGACTCTGAACCTAGGAATGCTATTAACACCTATAGGCTGTTACAATCCTTGCTTCGGGAAGCACTCGGGTCTGTTGGTATTCCTAGGGGGGAAGTAGGACGGAAGGTAGGGGCCAATGCGGTAGGGTGTACAGTCCTACGTACAGGCTATTGGGCTAATGGAGGGTGTTGTAGGGAGACCAGATCGTGGTTTGCCCTTAATGCGGCAGTAGGGTGGCCAGGTCAAACAGTCCTTATAGACAGGGTTAGAGGTATATATAGTGCAAGATATACAAATAGTATTACAGCTCTTTAGAAAGCTAAATGCTACTTAGTCTATGTAAAAAATAAACTAAACATTAAACACACTTTTTAAAGGTTGTTTAATGCAAGAACTATATACATATGTTAAGGGTGCTAAGGGGAGTTAAGGGGAGTTTATAAGAGCCTGCTAAGAGGGGCTCTTATAAGCTCCCTTAGGCTCCCTAAACTCGCGGCCTGTTTTCTTATTAAACAGTGCATTCTTCTATAATCTTAGGTAACTGTGCTGCCTCCGCGTCCTCTAATTAGTTTATAAGCAAGCCCTGCCCTAAACTAGCTAGATTGTAGAGCACTGCTAGTAGGGTTACGCTGGTCCAACTGTAGACCATAACACGCTGCCCCCTCTCCCTAGCGGCGTCCTCGCCGCTCTGCTTACACAACTGTGTTAGTAAGGGTTTGTTTATAAGGTAGGCGTCTGCCTGCTAAAAGGCATCCTTAACATCTATCTATCTTATACTAAATAGCTTATTAGTCTTGTTTGTCCTACTATTCTTATGTTACTTGTTGTTTTAATCCTCTTCACTAGACAAAAATAAGGCCCTGTGGCGCTTGCTAGTCCTTAGGGTTATCCTGTGTGTTAACTTTGTCCTTAGACAAGTGCGTTAAGTGTGTAAAAAAGCACAGCAAATGCAACGCCTTTATTTCTAATGCTGCGTAGAATTATTTAAAGAAGGAGTAAAAAACACTTCTTTAGAAGGCTAAGGCCTCACAAGCCTAGAACTGCGCGTTGTAAGACAAGCAACAGGCTTAGGTCTAAGAACAGCTCTGCTTGCAAGAGGAGATGCTAGGGGCAATAGATAGGGAGCATTCTAAACAGGATTATATCTAAAAATTACTAGATTTGCTAGAGGCTTATTACGCAAAGTACCTAAAAAAAGATCTATCCTCCTTAGACAAGATAGAAGCCCTTAAGGCTAAAGCAGAGAGCTATTCCCCTCCTTAACTATTATTAGCTAGGACTTGTCTCTAAAGGCTGCTGCTATCTAGTAATAACATAGCTGCTCCTTTTAATATAGGTGCTTTGTCGCCTAGCTAGTTTCTTTTAAAAGAGCCTAGAGGTACTCCTGTACTAACAGCTGCACATTCCTTAGATTCTTAGCCAGCTTCTATGTGTTTTTACTAGTAAGCCACCTTTTCTATTTTACTAGAAATTCTTTCTAATTTCTTTAATTACTAATAATGTGCTTAACCTTATACTCTGTTTCTTTATCCTCCTATTCTTATATAAATAGGGGAATCCCTTTAGGCGCTTTTTCTAATCTAGAGATATAGAACCACAGGTGTATTTTTATATGTAAGAGAAGCTTAAGTTTGCAGTTGTCCTGTTAGGTTTAAAGGACTTTATATAGTCCTATCCTTCTTTCTGCTAGCTTCCTTAAGGGCTTAGGTGTCTTAAGGTTTTTTATGTTAAAATAAACATAGTCTCCTAAGTAGATTTCTAGTCCTAGTTGTTATAATTTATTTGCATATCTCTCTATTATTGTTCTGCTAGATCTTACTTTTATAGCTAACTTTTTATGTATCTAGCGCAGGTCTGTTAGCTAGTCTATTAATTCCTGCAGGTCTGTAGGTTAGTTTCTGTGCAGCATAAAATACAAGTTATATCTAAAATTAGCTTTATATAGCGTTTCTTTTATTATAGCTAATTCTACGTTATTAATTACTAGTTGCGCTATTAGGAGCTATTCTGCCTAATTATTTTAAGTGTAGGAGATGTATTTTCTTAGATATCTCTCTACTTCTGCATTTGCTCTTTTAGTCTGGCTGTCTGTCTGCAGATAGTAGGCTGTAGATAGTTTATACGCTATTCTAAGGTGCCACATCACTGCTTTCTAGAAGCTGCTAGTAAACAGCTTATCTCTATTAAAGATAATAATCTTAAGGCATCTATACACTAATATTATGTTTTATTCTAATTTATAAATAAATTTTTTAGCTGTTATTATCTTCTCTAAGAGCTAAGTATGTAGATACTTAGTAGTTTTATCTAGAGCTACTATAATTATATTACACATCCTGTCTGTCCCTAGTTCTTTAGACAGAGGTAATCCTATAATAAAATCTATTGTAATTATTATCTATAGTAATTTTAGTGCTTTAATTAGTTAGAGGTATTTATAGGCCTTATACCTTCTTAGATTATTCTTATTACAGATATTGCATTCTTTAAGCACCTCTATGCATAGTTGCTTTACCTTTAGTATTTATTATAGTATAGCAGCCTTTAGCTTCTTCTAAAGGGTGCCTATCCCTAGATGTCTAAACATTAGAGATTTATAATATTCTTAGATTAGGTTCTTCTATTCTTACTTGCTAGCTATAAGCATGTAAAATTCTTCTATAAGTTAAGGTCTATTATAGATCTATCCTTTATTAGTTTCTTTAAAAAGTGTAAACTCCTTAGTTTTTTTTTCTTCCCTATTAAAGTAATCTAGTCTTTAGCTAAGGGCGTTAGCCTGTTAATTTTATGCTCCTAGGACATGCTTAATAACGCAGTTAAACTAGGCAAGTTCTATTGCCTATCTTATGTGCATTAGTAATAGTTTTTTTACTGTTAGAAACATAACTAAGTTTGCATAGTTAGTTATAATATTAAAAAGCTTTGCTATTCTATGTAGCTCTATGGCCTATACTCTTATAGCATTTAATATTGCCTTTAGTTCTTTGTTAGGTATGCTGTAGCCTACTTTAGGTCCTAAGAACTTAGCAGAATAGTACGCAACTAGGTGCCATTTTCTGTCTTCTTGTTTCTAGTATAACGTTGCTCTGCTAGCTTCTAGGGATGCATCTGTATAAATCTTTGTATCTAGTTGTGGATTGTACATTCTTAGTACTAGTTTGTCTGTTATAGCCTGTTTTAGCGTTGTAAATGCTTTGTTCATTTCTAGCATCTAGACAAACTTTGCTACTGCTTACTCCTTAGTTATAGCATTTATTAATAGTATAGTAATTTTTAAATAATCTCTAATTATCTATCTAACATAGCCTAATAGTCCTAAGAATTCTTTTACCTCTTTAACTATTATAGGTTCTAGCTATTTAAGGACCTTCTATATTTTAGCTAGGTTAATCTTTATTTCTTCTCTATTAATTATAAATCCTAAGTATTCTATTTTTATAATGTAGAACTTGCATTTAGAGAGCTATAAGTAAAGTCTGTACTTCCTAAGCTGTTCTAAAACTTTTTATACCTTCTGTACATAGTCTTCTAGGGTATCTTTTAAGTAGATAAGAACGTTATCTAAATATACTAGAGTAAAGACATCTAGATAAGGGTTAAGGGCAGTATTAATAATTTGCTAGAAGGTTGCTAAGGCATTTATTAAGCTAAACAGCATTACTAGTAGTTTATAGAGTCCTTATAAGGTCTTAAACGCTGTAAGCTACTTATCTCCTTCCTGTATTCTTATCTTATTAAATCTGTCTTGTACATT